AACTAATCTATATAAAGGCCTTCTAGGTAAGTTTAAAAAGGCTTTAAAATAAGATTAGAAAATACTTAATAAGTAGTTATAAAATAGATTAATAGTAAAATAAGAGGTAAATAAGTTAGCTAAATAATACTATACTAAATAGGTTATAATCTACCTTACTTATAAGTTATTATAGCTTTAATACTTTACTTAAGTAGTTTTATTCCTATTTATATCTAGGTATATTAGTTTTATTATTATATAAATATATATAAGAAAGATTAAACTTAATACCTTTTTTTATAAATAATATATTCTTAATTATAAGTTAAGCTTATATTATTATAAAGAAAGGCTAGAAGATATTTATTATATTTTATTAAGTTATATAGTATATTAAACTAAGCCTAGGCTATTAAAAAGGTAGCTTTAAGATAAATAAGATATATTATTAGTATTAGACTATTTAAAGGATTTAGTAACTATTACTAAGTAGTTATATTTATAAGGTTAACTAATATATATCTAAACCTTACTTAGGTTAAAACTAAACTAAGATTAGGTTAAATATAGTATAGTAGTAATATAGGTATATAGTAAAATAAGAATAAATTAGGTATATATTAATATTAGTTTAATATAGGTATAAAAAGTAATTAACTTTTAATTTTAAAATTTAATAAATTAAGCTATTAACTTACTCTTACCTTAGTATAGCCTAGGCCTAGTATTAGCCTAATTTTACCCTTTTTTTTAAATATAAAATAAAGGATTTAAAAAAATAAGTATAGCCTAGGCTAGGCTTAAAACTACCTTAACTTTATTACTTTTAGTAGACTAAAAATATATAGAAAATTAAAAATAATTTTAAATAGGTATAGCTTAGGCTAGGCTTAGTATTACCCCTTTTTACCTCTTCCTCTTTTTACTTCTCCTCCTCTTTCTTATCCTCCCCCCTTTTAGTTAAGGTAGCTAAGTCTAGGCCCTTATCTAGCCTAGGCTTAAGTATAGTTACCCCCTAGGCCTTTAAGGTAGCTATAATAACTTAAAGTAAGCTAGCTAAAGTATATTACTATTAGGCTAGTTAGTAAACTACCTTAGCCTTAGCCTAATCTAGATATACTAGTATTTTAATATTAATATAAATAGTCTTAATTAAGACTAGGTTATAACTAATAAAGACTAATATAATTATAGCCTAGGCTAAACTAACTATATTTTAAATATAATAAATATTATTTTTAATATTTATATTATTAACTTAGTTATAAATATAATAAATAGCTATTATTAAGTAGTTAAACTTAATATTATTTAAGCTTAAAGCTAAGCTATTTTTAATATAAGCTAAAAGCTAATCTTAAATAGTAATAGTTATAAGCTTAATACTATTAATAAGCTATTAATAAGTTAATTAAGATTAAACTTAATTAAGCTTTAAATTAGAATTAAAAAGACTTATTAGTATATAAACTTTATTATTTTTTATATACTTAGTATATATAGATATATTAAGATTTAAGACTAAATTAAAATAAAGGCTATTTTAATATAGTATTAGAATATTTACTAGCTTATTTAAAGTAAGTAATAATACTAATATTACCTATATACTTAAAATACTAGTTATAAAAGACTAATACTAGCTTATTTATAATAATAACCTAGTATAAGTATTTAGTAAGGTAATAAAGAGGTAAAAAGAATAGCTAGCTAGGTTAATATTAAAATAAAGGTAGATAATAAATAAGTAAAGGTTATTTATATTATTAATAATAATAATAATAATATTAAACTAATAAGGTTAAGGATAAAATAAGGCTAGGTATATACTAAGGATAAGGTAACTTATTATAATAGTAGTAATAATAATAATTAAATTTTTTTATTTTTTTAAAAAGTATTAATAATATTAAGATAAGGCTAGGGGTAGCCTAGGTATAGCCTAGGGAAGTATATAAGAATAAGAAGAAAGGGAGTATATAAGTATAATAATAATAATAATAAAAAACTAATAAAAAAAAAGTTAATATAATTTAATAACTAAAGTAGAAATAGCTTAGCCTAGGTAAAGGTAAAGGTAATAATAAGGTATAGTATATATATTAAAGGTAAAGAAGATATATAATTATATATTATTAAAAAAAGAAAAAAAAGTAAAAATTAAAGAATTTAAGGCTTTTTAAATATTATAATAAATAGGCTAGCTAGCTAGGTAGTAGGCTAAAAATAATAATAATTAAATATATATAGTTATAACTTCTTCCTTACTTAATATAGTAAATATAATAAACTATATAAAAGCTAATATTAATTTAAAAGCTTTAAAGGGGTATAGAAATATAAATAAAGTAATTATAAAGTAAGAAGTAGAAATAGGTATAAAAGTATATAAAAATAGAAGAGTAGTAAGGCTATTTTAACTAGTTCTAGGTTAGGTAAGGCCTTATAAGGGGTAAGGTTTTTACCTATTTAATATAGATAATATAGAAAATAAACTATAAAAGCTAAAGTAAGAATAATAAAGGTAGGTATTATAGCCTTCTATAGCTATTACTATACCTACCTAAACTTTAAAGTATTTAAAGATTAGGATTTAGAAAGGATCTTAACTATATATAGTATTTAGCCTAGGCTAGAATAGAGCTATAAAGGAAGAAGGTTAAAGGGGTTAAGTAAGGAATAGGTAGGTTTATTAACTTACTAAGTTTTATATATTTATACTTATTATTATTATCTTTTATTAAGATAAGGAGTATACTACTCCCTACTAGGAATTACTTTAAGATTATACTAAACCTATATTAGAACTAGGGTTTTTCCTTTAAGTACTCTAGTTTTTTCCCTATCTTATAAGCTATAAAGGTACTAGATAGACTAGTTAGTCTAATTAGTATAATATAATAATAATAATAATAATAATAATATTATTTTTTTATTAATCTTAAAATATTATAAGGTTATAAAAGAATATTTTAAAGTTACCTTAAGCTAATTAAAAAAACTACTTTAGCCTTATATAAAGTAACTTTACTATTAATATTATAGTATAATTAAAGTACTTATACTTATTAACTTAATATTTAATAATATTCTTATAATAAAGATAAAGCTAGGTTTAAATATAATAAAGAATAGCTTTTAATAGCTATTTTCTAGGTATTATAAACTTTTATAGTCTCTTCTTATAGGTATATATAGTAAGGGAGTTAATAAGCTTTTTCTAGATTATTAGAAACTAAATAAACTTAAGATACTAAGTATTTATATATATAATAAAGTTCTAGGTTAGTTTAGGAAAAAACTTTTTAGTATATATAAAAATATTTATATAAATATACTATAAATATAATATATATTTTTTTAATTAAACTTAAAGTAATCTTTAAAGGCCTTAATAAAGGTAAGGTTATAGTTATAAATAACTACCTTTAATAACTAGATCTTTTTAACCTTTAATACCTTTATAAACTAGTCTAAAACCTATAAAAAATAACTAGTACTTTTTTTAATAATAAAGGCTATAATAACTTAAAAAGTCTTTTTTATTAATATAATAGAATATATATTAAAAAGGGGGAGGTTAAAGTAGTTAGTCTTATAAGTATAATTATATATTTATATATTTAAAAAAAGCTATAGAACTTTAAAACTAGTATATAGAATAATAAATAAACTATTTATTTAGCTTTTTTAATTAATTCTAACTTTATAAATATATTTTTTAAATACCTAAAAATAGTTATAAAGCTATTAAATTAAAGTATAGCTAATAAGCTTTACCTTTTTATAATAGTTAAGAAGGTTATTAATATTTATTAGTATAGTCTTTATAATAAGGATATACTTTTTTTTTTAATAAATTAATAATATTTAATATAAAGATATTAAAATTAAAAAAGAAAATAATTTCCTTTTTATACTTTATAATATCCTTAATCTAATATAAAGAGTATACTTTAATACCCTTTAATAAGTAATTATATTAATAGTTAATATTAGTCTTAATATACTTAATTACCTATTAATTTAGATAATATTTATATAATATATTAACCTTAAAAGGGTACTTATAGCCTTATAATTAAGATTTCTTTTTTTACCTTTTTATAAGCCTATTAATATTATTTAATAATAAATATATTATTTCTTTTATTATATTATAGTATTTATATTAATAATTATAAAATAACCTTTACTTTTAATTATATTTTTTATTATATTATTAATATCTTTAAAGGTATAATATATTATTCTATAAAAGGTATTTATATTAAATTTAATAATAATAGCTTTAATTTTAATTATATAATATAAGAATTAAGTTAGTAGGTAGTAGTATAGGTAGTAGGTAGTAAGGGCTAGATAGTATTTATTACCTTACTATATAAATTACTATAGAAAAGCCGGCTTTAGCGTCTAGGTATTATACTAGCCACCCTAATAGTCACTAGCTACTAAAAAATTTAGCAATTATCTATTTAGGTTCGGCAAATATTTCAGCCCCAAAACAACGCACAATGCAATGCAGTGTATGATGACTGTCTATTTTCGATCGATGTCCAACAAGGGAAGGAGCAGCAAGACTGCAGAGCGCAACCACCCAGCTTCTCGACGCCGCCAATCACCTTCGTCTTTGTTCATACCCGCGAGGTAATTGGACGCGGAGCCGGAGGAGTGGCCTGAGACACGCCGCCCCATGACGGATGGCGTGAGAGGACTGGGCAGGATTAGGACGAATAGGATGAATAGTATGAAATAGCACGTAATAGATTATTATCAGTACCATCTCTCGAACAGAGGGAGGAGATAGATCCACAGACTCGCAGTCCCTGAGAGTACAGTCTCTCAGAAGTGGCATTTCCTGGACCTGTCTCAAGTATGCTCGGAGTTGATTAGTCACAAACCCTGAAAGTGGCGTTAACTCGGCTCGTAAAAGCCTCCCTCCTGTAAAAGCCTTTAACTACTCCGTAGTATCCATAATATTGACCCCAAGGATAACTTATACCAACCCGAGTCTTTTATTCGAGGCAGAAAGACTGGATGGAGAGGAGAGTCCCATTTTTGTCTTCCTGAGTGCAATGCTTCTCCATGAGGCAGAGCTCGGCCCTGGAGCGTATGTCCATCAGCTTCTCCTTGCAGATGCACGGGATGTCGGTGAACCAGCAGCCGGCGTCCCTAATGGCAGAGCCCAGGCAGACGATCTGTATCAGTACATAGCAGGCGCTGCTGTTCAGTCTAGGCTGTTGCAGGGTTATTGATAAAGGGGACACAGAATTCGTACACATACAGCGTTATTGGAGAGAACGGGAGGGGAGGGCCGAGCGGCAACGAGGCCAGCAGCAGCGGCGGCGAGGACAACGACGAGCTTCATCTTGATTGATTAGGTCAGTCAGATAGTAAATAGGTGGGGGAAGTTGAAGATTGAAGAACCCTGAAACATAGGTGACAGCTTGATTGGACTTTGCGGAATATCTAACTAGAGAATACAAACTGCCTATTATGGTATTTCGTGGGCTCGAGTGGAGTCCAGGGTAGCCAATGAACCAATGAGAGCGAAGTAGGTCAAAGAGGGACGAGAAGGCTGACTAATTAGCGCGTCAATCGCTAATTATTGATTGGGGAGGCTTTTATGCCCTGGAACTGAGGTGCCGCTCGAAGAAGAAGGCGGTGGGGGTACCATTTCATGTATCAATGTACAAAAGGATGAGAATAGAGATAACTAGGGAGTTTTACCCAATTCGTTAAAAATACCCTGTGAGTCTTTTGACCCAAGGCCTTTATATAGATTAGTTAATAATAGTCTTATTTATTATTATAGTTATTATTACTTATATTATTACTATTACTTTAGCCTCTTTATTACTACTAGGACTACTTTAGCTACCTAGGTAAATATATACTAAAGCTAGGCTATTACCTTACTTACCTCCTACCTTATTAGTATTTAGTACTTCCTAGTTATTAAGTACCCCGCCTCGCGCGTCTGCATGTACCTCGTTGCTTGCCACTGGGCTCATTATCCCGCCCTGTATTACCCAGGCCTCATTCTGACACGCTGTCACGCCATTTCAAGCACGGTATGAATCCTCCGAGGGGTTGAGTTGCTTTTCTGGGACTCGTCACTTGGACCTGTACGGGCAGCGGACCAGCTTTCCGAGGTCTTCACGCGACTGCCCGGCAATTCCAAAAAGTATTGATTGACCCTTCGGGTTGCTATTTATGGGAGAATGCGGATGTGGGCGCCGTTGAGGGCGTACCCTGGTTTCTCAACGTCGGACACCGGACTCCGGCTCGGTTCGGTATCACCCCTGCTCTGCCCTGCCTAGCTTCATTGGTGGGAAGCAGCCAGCTAACTTGCAGTTTTACATATCCGGCTCTCTCTCGCTAAATTGAATTGCTGCTCTTGTGCCTGTCGCTCACTCGGGTCAGAATGCCGCTGAGAGTGAAAGGGCCGTGCGCGAGCGGCTCCGTTGGGGGGCACGGCCTCGACAACCGAAAGGAACTGGTCGTTGGCGAAATGAAATGAATGAAACGAAGACGGTGTGGGACAACGGAAACGGCGCCGGTGGTCGGGCAGCTCTAATCCGAAAAAAGTCAGCAAAATGTGGCGTGTTATTGATGTGTTGCACTTCGATCTCCCGATAGCCCGAATCTGCAACGCCGCCTTCACCAACGTTCGCGGGCCACCTGAGTGATGCCATCCCACCGGGCTGTTTCTTTCAACATGTTCATTTGAGCTTTTGCCGAGCTCGTGACCCCGCCGTGCAGAACCTGCAACTATCTTCCCGCCGTGACTGCCGAGTCATGCGAACTGGTGTTTCCTGGCCTGTTGCCTCTTTGGGAAACCGACATGCAAGGCTATTAAAATACCTCGTGGTGCACATGTGGATACGGCAATCCCCATGTACTCTGCAACTTTAGACACGACGAAACGTAATCTTGGCATGATACGTGCGGCTGACGACGGTTGAAACTGATCAACGTCGTTTGGTGCGTGAGATTACTACCACATGTACATGCTCTGGGTACAAAGTTCGCTCGTGCTGATGCTGGGGATATCCAGTCTCTGGAACCATTCGATAACTAGTTCAATAAGAGACAAGGGCGGATGCCAAGTATCGCCATCAACCCGCATTTGCCTAATACCGCAGGCGTGACGGGTCCAGATAAGCTTGCCTGGGCACTACTCATGATAAAATCACGAGGTACGGATACAGGCTCGCGAATGACGGGGTAAAAAAATAATGAAATTGGCTCATCGCTATAAACTATTCATGTTGATGTATTATACATAATGCAGTGGGTTTCTGTGCCGGTGTAATTCCGTCTCATTCTCATTGCGGCCCTGATCGTGGTGACCATCTAGACAGTACCCGGTAGAGACCGGCTATTGAGCACTTGCGGACTGGAGCGGCTGGGTTAGGCAACATCATCGCATTCTAGACGCGTCCTGCGCTGGCGCAAGTCCCACATCATCAGGGCTGATCTGAAGACCCAGTCGACTGTGACCTTTCCAGTTTCACAAGCCCTTGCAGGGAGTCGTGGCGCCGCTGATCGGAGTCGGCCATGGAGGCAATGTCTTTGGGCGGGGGCATCTGACGACTGGCAGGCGTAGATGCCGGATAGGCGGTGACGCGTGCGCTCTTTGCCCACATCCGGCCCTTGTTGTATAAAACCGAAGAGCGGGAACGGTTTCAGTTGGTAGTGGCTGTGTAGAGGTACACCATCCAGGCCCGGGAATTCGAGAGCGGGTTGGGGGCAGTTTGGAAGCGGCGTGGCTGATAATTATGGTCCAGATGAGCTTGCTCAACCGGAGCACAGGGGACAGCTCTCCTGAATGACAATGTATCGCTCATGGGGACCTGCCGGGCATGAGTGCTGGCGACTGCCATCGGTTGAAGTGCTGCAAAAGTGCAGACCCGGCTCAACGCATGACATGTAAATGTAATAATTTTTGGTAAAATCACACATCTTGGTGGGTTTGTGAAAAAAGGAAAGCCGGCAACTGAAGACTGAGTTGTTAGCATATGGGTTTTCCTGAAACACGTAGCATGGGAAGCAACACACCTTGAATGACTAAACTGTGTGGAGTGCAAGAGCTGTGGGAAAGGGCGGCCCGGCGCGACTTTATATGCAACAGAGAAGCCGGTAGCAGATGGCGATGTAATTCTACTCGGACGGCAAGGGCTGCAATGCTGCGCGGAAGCTTAATCTCGTGGAGCCCCAACAGACAATGCTATAGGGCAACCTTGGATATAGTAATAATAAGACCAGGAAGATGGGCGGAGAATAAGAGTTGGCAAGTAAGCCCGATAACAATAACAGCAATTCGCCCGAGCCTAGACTTGAGTGTCAAACTGGGCACGTGAAGAGGATGGTCGTCGTTGAGAATAAGCTTGGCCGTGTTGAGATCGGATAGAGATGGAGAGGGCGGGTGGTCGATGGTATTATATGTCTGTGAGCAAAAGGTGTTGCCACAATGTATTGCAAGTGTACGAGCGACGGGCCAGAAAAAGAGAATAAAAAAAATAAAAAAATAAAAAAGTTCTTGTAAGTCGGGAGGTGTGCCAGGAGATGGGGGGGGGAGTGCGGGCAAGGACATAGAGCAAAGCAAGACACGGCCAGCAACTAGGCACTTGCGCAGGAACAGCAGCTTCTGCAAGGATAATTTGTACATACGAATGAGATACGTACTTGCCTCGATGGGAGGGGGGAGGGGGTATGGTCAAGGAATTTGGTACGAGCGCGGAGAAGGACTTGCTCTCCACACTGTTGTGCTTTTTTAACGGTCCCTGCCCATCCCGGCCGGGATGGATGGGCAGGGAGAAGAGGAGGGATATTAATGAATATAATAGTAATAACCGCAGTAATATAATACGCCGCGCTTTTATTGTTGCGCCATCATTATTAGACTGGCTGTGGAGGCAGGTTGAGACGATGCCAAAGCTCACGTCTGAGAGCAAAGGTGGGGAGGACCGGGCTGATCCATTGACAGTCATAGGTCGTACGAAGAAGAGTCTCGTCGCTGCTATTAGGAGAAAGAAGGAAAAACATGGGCGCCTAGAACCAGTCGCTGCCGGGGGGGTAAACGGTACTGAGCACGATGAAGGGGGGGGGGGGGGTGTCACTCTCCGCAGGGGGGCGCCTTTTGCCACCAGTTTGTCCGTGGACCGCAATAATCAGTGAGCTTGCATGTCGCGGCCCGGTGGAGATGCTTTGACCCAAACGTTCTGTCTGGGTTAATTAGTTACCGCCCTGCCCGCCTTGTCAAGTTGGTTCTCACAAGTAGTTAATAAGTTGTCGCTCCTGGCGGCCCGGCCGGTACCCGCCATGTGTGTGGTTTTGTGATGGTAACTATGTGACGAGAAATGAAGCATACCCATGTCTACTCCTTTTTTTTCCTTTCTTTTTTTTGCTCACTTTTTTTCCTTCTTTTTTTTTCGTCGCGATTGAGACGACCATCGAGCATCCGTGAAAATCGTACGAACTTGCGACGTTCTGGTTTGCCATGTGGAGGGGCGTGCAAAAAAGAAAATAAAATGTAGCAGCAAAAGGAGCAGTGCAGCCTTGTTTCGGAGCACATGGCAGGTCCTTCCTCTACCATACCCAGTCCGCCTCGAGGCGCTATATCCGTACACACGACTACTAGTTACCAGTTAGTTAGTTACTCCGTAAACACTCGGACTGAGGGGATTCTTGTGACACCATCACATCTTGGAAAAAAGAAGAAAAAAAAAACCGATAAATTATCAATAGCGATAAAGAGCATGTGGCGTTGCATTACGCAGTTGCCTGGCTTCGGCAAGGTTAGTCTCTAGAACCCTGATGGCTCTCAACCATCTTTTGACAAATGGCAGACCATGCATCACATGGAGAATAATACGACCTGGGCTCGCTCGGCTGGCTTTGCCTAGTTACCCAGAATGCGGAACCGCAGTATATTCGTAGAAAACGGCACTCATCGATGACATCTAACAAGGACCTTATATCCACAAAACGTGACTTCCTTCGTCACTTGCGCCCGTTGCCAAGGCGCTCTAGAATACAGGCCGTGTAATCCGCAAAATAAAGCTCATCCTCGGCAGTACGCTAACTAGTGCAGTCTAGAGGTGAACTAGCCGGTATCAGTAGCTACTAGCTAGTTACCGGGCAATGGCCAAGGTGTGCAACGCACAGATGGTGTTGGTGAAGTACGGAGTTGTCGTGGCTTTTGTTTGCGGCGTGAATGTCACAGCTTCGCCTCGAGGATTCTGTGCTTCATGGTAGTTACTTGGACTTTGTATACCCAAGCATAGGCCAAATGCCGGACCGTGCAGACGCCCAACTGGTACCATGTCTGCAGCGTCATGTCGCAACTTGGCAAGCCGACCGTTGGCTGCCGCATCGAGCCCCTCCCTCTCGGAAGCGGCTTGCTCATTGATGCCAGAATACTAACTAGTTAGAGGTTGTCGCGCATCACGGAGGCCAATGGACCAGGCATTGCTGCGCCTGTACCAGTAAGAGAATCCAGTAAGCGTGAACCAAAACGTCTGTTCCCCCGCAGTAGCGCGGAGATGGCAAATGGCCCCTCTCCGCTCTCCCAATGCAGGGTCCCGGGTCTTTTTTCATTCTTTTTTTTCATTCTAATCCCTGTACACGCCATTTTTGTGAGAACCGATGCTTTGACGGCCGAGTGCCAGGATGCTTGCTGACCCCATCGACGGCACTGGGTGGCGAGCGAATGTGAAACGGACTGGCTACCAGCTAGCTAGAATCTGGGCCACAAGGCAGATGAAAATCGTCCGAGTTATGAGAGCTCAGCAATGCCGCTAATTTAGCGCGCGCTGTCTCCGTGTGAAACCTACCAGCACGTCCCGGCCAGCCAACACTAACTAATGCTGTGGTCATGTACACGGTTTGCATGATCTTCGCACGACATGGACATGGACGAAGTGAGATGACGAATTAGTCGACGGTTCGGAGAATGCTCACGAAGCATGAATCACGTCAACGGAATGCTGAGAATGGTGGGCAGGCAGAGAGCGTGTTTCGATATTAGACGGATCGGATTCTCGGGCGTGCGGGGCCGACAAGGCCGCCGAAGGACTAAGAGAAATAGAGACTGCCAGGGCTGTCGAGGCTGCCCGACGGCAGGGGGTCTTGAGTAATATTCCTGGTAGCTGCACGGCTGTGAGCGGTCAAGACGATTTACCGTGATTGCCGCGGAAGGGGTTTGCCTTTGGTATGAAGCGTATGAAGCTAGCGAGGGCTGGGAGAAGCTCTTGAGTGTCAATAAACTAATACTAAATGCCGACAGTCGAAGCTGTCATGCACCCTCCTGCACTGCAATCACATTGCCACTTTAGTCAATCTGTTCCGAAGTTCCCTTTTCATCACTTTCGGGTGATCCCGACATATACGCCCCAATTGATATATGTACATGGGCGTTTTGAAAATATTCCTGCAATTACCACCATCACGCGGAGTAATGGTCCCCTGCAAGTCTCATCTCAGCGAGGCCCATGGCTTGTTGCCAAGACGGGTTTCTTGCGTTGTCCCAATCGATCTATTATGCGCCACAAAGTCGAAGAAGCAAAAAGCAAGCGCCCCCCCTGCACAAAGCAATTCTGGCGCCAGAAAAAAGAAAGTCCTTTGAATCCCCGTCATTCTTCCAGAGCCGCAGCGACAAGCGGCCAGCCAGCAAAAAGAAGCAAAGAACGCGAGGCTCGAGGTCCAAGCGACCATCATGATCTGCATCGCATAAATGAATTGGCTGACATGAAAAGCAAAAAGCAGAGACACAAATTCGACGCCCATCCGCTTCATCAACTGTGTCCTGCTGTTTCACCTTTTCGCCTCTCCCGCAGAACTATACCCGCGTCTTCAGACCGTTCCCCCGCAAGACACAACCAGCGATGTAACCCTCACCGGAAATAGAAGCAACTGCAGCAAAGTGTCCTAAAACAAAAATTGGACAACATCACAAAATAATCTGACGAGCAGATTGGGGCTGAAACACTGCCGGCTAAGACATATATGTCACTTGGGGGTATTATCCGAGGTCGCCTCTGTTCCAGATGGGAGCCCCCCTGGGTCAAGGAGCATTCCTGACCATTATTAGCACCCAGAATCCGAGATGACTTTTCCCCTGAGAAAAGCCTTTTTTTTTTAATATAGGTATACGCAACACAACATGAAGCGACCAGCAATGGACAGTATACCGCCACATTTCTACCAGCCAAGAGAGTCCACGATAACTAGTCACAGCCCGTCATATTCCGATGAGTGAGACGCGGGGAACTATGACGTTTCACTCCATAGCCGCATATTCGTTTTCCATCGTACAGTAGTGGATTAGCCGTGCCGCATGACCACGCTTACACCCGCAGATGCACCACTTGCCGGTGCGCCCTCCCCTCATTGCAGAAGACAGCCCGAAAGAAACTCTGCTCTTCTTTGGCATGCCCCAAAGTTTGCCATGGTGCGACGGGTGTGTCTCCTATTCGTCTCAAGTGGTATATCCCAGGGCCGAAAGAGGCCGCGCATCCGTAACTATGGACGACAGTTGCTTGGTCCGACCTGAGGAGTCACTTCTCAACTCTTGGTCCCGGCCAATACGAGTTTTGGCAGGAAGTATACTGGCATGATACTCAAGCTCGCCTGCAAATCATGATGCAAGATGCGGCTTGAAGATACCGATTTGACGCCATCAAAAGAGAAATCTTTCTTTGATGCCAGTCCAGTGCAAAGAGATACGGAGCTGCTTTTCGGGCGACTTTTCAATACCCATACTAGCGTCAATTCAGCTAAAAAAAAACCATGAAGCGGTGTAAGAGCACATATGACATCCTCGGAATTGTAGCCGCTGCTTCAAGCACTTTGACCGGCCAGGTCAGTTGCCAGTACTCGACCTCCCCATCGAGCAAGTCCAGTTTCTAGCTCACTTCCAATCCATTCGACAATGCAGATGTACTGATTTAAAGCATCAACACGTAGCTATGATTCGTGCCAGAGCACCATCCTTGAGAGTCGGTGCGTGAGTGGTCAAAGCCACAAGAGCGAAGCATCTTTGCTTCGTGCATGAGCACAGCTGCCTCACAGTAGTATCGGGGCGCCTAGCTCCAAGAAATCAGCCTATATCTGACGTAAGCGCATCATTCTCTGTCAATTGTACGTGAGTTATTGCATGTTTGCCATGACAACTCCTCTACTGGCGAGGGATGGCCGGCCAAGTCTCGAATTCAACGATGAACTTGAGACTATGCAGTGTATGCACCCCCATCTGCCACCTAAATTATTAATTAGGGCAAATTAAAAAACTCGACAGAGTCGAGAAGAATCAGCGGCATTATATTATTTGGAGCCAATAACGCGGCCCCAGCTACGAGCCCCTCATTCCCATGTCCGTGCCCGGGAATCGTACTGCTATGGCTCAAAGGTTATGGATCGCGTATACGCGGCTTGATTTACTATTTAAATGGGGTGGGCTGACTTGAAGGTAGAAAACAATGTGTACTCGGCCCCCAATAAAAGTAGGAATTGATGTCAAAGTAACTGCTCACATGGTCAGTGGCTGCATCGAGAGAAGGTGAGCGTGCTAATTTTGTCGACAACAAAACCAGGAAAAGGCTAAGAAGAAGCGTAAATTAAAGTATATTCACAAAAGACAAAAAACGTTCTAGAGCGAAAGGAACGTTTGTGAGGAGGCGTTATTTGAGCATACTCTGGCCCGTTGCCTCCTGTACCGAGATAGACTTCTGACATCTACACAGGTAGGTGAGGATGCTCATGTTCTGGGAGTGTCAATAGCAAACTTCCAGAATCATAGCGCTATATGGAGAACAGAAATATAGACTATAGTCAACAGAGCGCAATGAAGCTGTACACCGACAATGTCAGTAGTCCGTGTGCTTGTTTCAAGTTATTCGACTGGACCCGCCTATAGCATCTGCTCAACCCAAGATTCAATGTTCCGGCTAACACGCCAAAGCGAGGGAAAAATACTCCGGTTTATTAGTTATGATGGGAACCGCGAGATTTGCTCGGCTGGCCCTGAGTACAAGCAACTGGGCTTTGTCGAATTGTACAACAGAGTACGGCTGGCCCACACAGGAAATGGCCTTTCAAATATTTCTTCACCAAACTGAACGACCGACTTCTTTCCCAAGTTCATTTATTATTATCATCATTACTCTTTTTTTTTTTTTCTATGGTACGCAATTTGTTTTTGTCGCCACCTCGTTCATGGCTCAAAGCCCACTAGCCACAATGGTGTGGAGGTGTAATGTGGCGCGAAATGTAATAAAAACGCGACGCCACAGCTGCACTGCATCGCGATTCGCCATCCCGACCAGAGTGCCTGAACGGCCCCTTCCCGAGCCTCCTTTTCAGCTCCCCCAGAGCAGCTTGAGGCAGCCCTGAATCTCTCATACTGGGAGTTAAGCCATCAACAAGACGACCTCTGGTAGCGTGATCTCTATGCTTTCCGCAGAGAGCACCCGTTGAAGCAGCCGCCGACCAAACTCCAGGGACAGGGCAGGGAGACAGTCTGGGATCGATAGCCAACGCTCCACTTCAGTATCTCGACGAGTCGACGACATGGCTAATCTTGCACCCAATGGTCCTCGACACTCTGATGGCGAAGATAATGACGTTTCGCGCATCGACTTTGCATCACAGGAGCACGCTATGACCGAAGCCGCCGCCAAAGCAGAGGCATCCGAGGGCTCGAGCCCGGAAATCCAGGATGCAACCCAAAATGACGACGCAGGCCTTTCGGGGCACCCTGATTCAGCCGACGATCACGAAGGTGGCACAGCAAACGGGGTAAATGGCACGGCCAGCAGCAACCAGCGTGGCCAGACCGGTGATGATCAAGCATACCTGCAACGACCGCTCGGCCCAACAAGAACACCATCCAGCACATATAACCCGTCGACATCTCGAAGGCCGCGACCACCACAGACATCATCAACCTATGATGGGACTGTCAGATCGTCTTCCGCAACGCGCCCGTGGCCGAGTGATAGCAGATTTCGCGCCCAGGAACGAGCCTATGTGCAGAAACTACGGCAAGAAAACGATGGCGAATATTTCAACCAGTACGATGATATTGGCAACGACTCGGACTCGGACGGCGAGACGCCTTCCACCGAAAGCCCTTTCGACGATCGTCTTGATCAAGAAACAATCATGTTCTACGGAGATGATACTGTGCAACCTACCGACGACGAGTTGAAAGACCCCGAAAGTCGAGAAAGGCTCGAGTGGCATGGCATGCTCGAGGCTGTCTTGACTGGCGATGTGGTGCGGCAAGAAAAGAAGAGGTTGATTGGTTCATCCGAGCAAGCCGTTGGAAAAACTGGTCACAAAACAGAACTTTGGCTCGGTGTCCGCAGCAAGGTGTGCGGCAGACATCTTCCAGTGCAGAAACGCATTGTTGAGGAGGGACGTGCCGTTCTTGACCGGACTCTGGACGAAATTATCAATTTCAAAGTCAAGGGCGAAAGCGAGGCGGGAAAAAACCCGTACGAGCAGGTCTGCGACATCGTCGCCTCGATGGAAAAATGCGAGAGCCTGTACCCTTCTTGGGCGGCTCTTATTGCCGAGCATCCAACCGCAGCCTCACCACATTTCAGTGAGGCTTACGAGTCAATCATGTCTTGGTACAATACGAATACATTGATAAACACCGAGCTGTTAATTCTCAAGAAGTGGGTTGGCAACGACGAGCTCGACTTTTCTCGCACCAAACAGCGCTCCCCAGCTGTGGACGGCATCGCACCCGACGAAGCCTCCTTCTTGGACCGACTCTTGAAAGAAGACGGTCTAAAATCCTTGCTCGACGACAAGATTCCCGATAATCCCAAAGGCATGCTGCCTCCCATCGGAAACATCATCTCCAAGGCCAAGGTAACCTTTATACGCAACTCGGCACCGTTCCAGAAACGACACCTGCCGCCCTATTTGGATGAGCTTTTAACGCTCATCAGCTTCCCATCTAGACTCATCGAAGAGATTACGCGAATGCGTCTTGCTTACGCTAGGAGAGTTAAGGAGACCGCCCAGCAGAATCCATTGATGCAGGATCAGATGATCAAGCAATTTCAGTTGCTGCTCAAAGCAGCGATTCGAATTAAAGGAGAGTACCTCACAATAGAGAAGCCAGAGCCAGGTTGGGATCTACCTCCCTGTATTGACGAGTCCTTTGACCACGTCGTGCTGGAGGCCTTGAAGTACTACTTTAAGATGCTCAACTGGAAACTCACGGGCAACAGAAACACTTTCAAGGAAGCTGAATTGTTGTTCCAGGACTGGGAGTTTGCAAATGATATTGGTAGGCAGCTGCAGCGAGGCCATATCGAGGTTGCCGAGCAGTTTAGCTCCCTGGCCCTCAAGTCCATCAGCCGTCTAAGCCAGACGTTTGAAAAAGAGTTGCAGGGCAAATCGGGTGAATCGGCTGCTGACATGACAAAGCGATACAAAGCTTGCCTGGACTCTGTCCGCGTCCGCCAGCGAATGCTGCAGCGCTTTTCGCGCATGTTAAGCGACAACTACGAGCACGCGTCAGATTACAGCATTTCGTACGCGCCTCAAAATGTATCCAAGTTTTTTGACCAATTAGCGGCCACTGGCCACTTCCGCTTGCAGACTGGTGTTTTTGAGGACGATGGAATTTACATCATAGCGTCCCACGATTTGAAAAACAGGCTCGACGATATTCAGGCAATGATGGCAATTACAAAGAAGGACACCTTTGAGGAGGAGTCGAGCGCCGGGTACATTCTAGTGGCGAGGCCGGAGGAGACTTTGAGCTGGTTTGGCACGGTTGTCGATGTGTCATTGAGGAGTCAAGTTATTGACTTGAAACGTGGCCAGCTTCGTCTTTGCGCCACCAGCTCACAAGCACTTCCCAATGCCAGGAAGGAATTCCTAGACGCGGTCGACATGCATGTTGATCTTTTACAAGAAGCGAGATCCAACATTCACAAAGTTAACCAAAAGCTGACGGATATCCGAAAAGTCACGTATAAACTTTCCAACACGTTCATGGACAGCGTCGAAACTATTCGAAGGCAAGCGCTTGGAACCGGAAGAGACTGCCACGAACTCATTCAGACGTGCTTTGTATTTGCAACAGAATTTGGTCAGCGATCGCTGCTCTACATGGACAGCAATCGGCGTCAGATGAACAACCTCAAGCTCACCAAGCTTGCTCTTGACTGGGTCAGCTTCATTTGCGACGACTGTGTTGCGTCTGATCGAAAGACGTTCCGTTGGGCGGTGCAGGCACTGGAATTGGCCATGGGCATGACTCGTGGACGGCATGTTCTTGCACTTGGTGAAAACGAATACTCGACGCTGCGAATCAAGGTGGCTGGCTGCATGTCGGTGCTGATTTCTCACTTTGATATCATGGGAGCGCGATCCAACTTGGCTGCACAGGCTGAGAGAGAACGGGTCGAGGCGATGATGGGCCAGTTCAGGAAGTTAGACAGCAAGAAGATGCTGGATGACGAGGAAGCGGCCAGATGCAGAGCCCTGCAGCGAATTGAGTTGCTTGACCAGGTTGACGGGCTTCGTCTAGAGAAGGACGCCGAGCGGCGATCGCTAGGTCGCGTCCTGGAGGCGAATAATGAAGCCGATCGGTCGCTGGCCTATCTGTCATCATCGGCCATGAACGTGACGATGCGCTGGCAGCAGGGCGCCTTTGTTGGAGGCGGCACTTTTGGCAACGTCTATGTCGCCATGAATCTCGAGTCGGGCCAGTTGATGGCTGTCAAGGAGATTCGACTGCAAGATCCCAAGCAAATCCCGACAATTGCGGAGCAGATCCGTGATGAAATGGGCGTACTGGAAGTATTGGACCATCCCAACGTCGTGGCCTACCACGGTATCGAAGTCCATCGTGACCGTGTCTACATTTTCATGGAATACTGCTCTGGGGGGTCTCTTGCCGCGCTGCTTAAGCACGGCCGGATCGAAGACGAACAGGTCATTACTGTTTACGCGCTGCAATTGCTCGAGGGTCTCGTGTATCTGCATGAAAGCCGCATCACCCATCGCGACATTAAGCCAGAGAGTATGTTGTGTCACACTATGCCCGGGTACCAATGACTAATTCGGTTGACAGATATTTTGCTTGATCATAATGGTATCATCAAGTATGTCGATTTTGGAGCTGCCAAGGTGATTGCCAGACAAGGCCGAACCCTGGTTCAGGATCTGCACGCAACGAAACGAAACAAATCCATGACGGGTACACCGATGTACATGTCGCCTGAAGTGATCAAGGGGGAGCTCTCTGAAAACTCTGGCAGGGCTGGGGCCGTGGATATTTGGTCGCTGGGGTGTGTCATTCTGGAGATGGCGACGGGACGACGACCATGGGCCAACCTTGACAACGAGTGGTCCATCATGTACAACATTGGTCAAGGTCACGCCCCGGCGCTCCCCACTCGTGAGTTTCTAAGCGCTCAGGGCCTCGACTTTGTGAAGAAGTGCTTCATCCGCGACCCGAGCAAGCGATGGACTGCGGTTGAGCTGCTCCAGCACGAATGGATAATGGCCATCCGCAGCCAAGTCGTGGAGTCGCCGACGCCCAGCGAGATGAGCTCGTCGGCGGCGACAACGCCCTACTCGAATTATCAGTGATGGAGGCACACCATCTTGACCACCAAGGGGGGGGGGGGGGGTACGGACGGATAGGAAGGAGTCAGACTGGCTGGAATTAGAACAAGGTCATTCTTGGCAAGGAATGGGATGTTGCGATACCAATTAATGATTGTTTATTTTATACCTTATTATTTTCTCATAAACGAAGCTCTGTTTTCCTACTGCAAGTACGTCATGCCATGTCGCTTGATGCGCAGACGTGCATGATGCTTCATTCCGCATACGGGAAATGTGGCAGGTATCTTGTGACCAGGTTCCGACGACGTTGTGTAAGCCGACATGTCGTGACGCAGACGCGTAGCGGCCCGATTTCGGTGTTGCTGAACGGAGCGCACCGAAGCGGGGAGAGAGCCGGCTCTCAGGCCCCGCCATAAGAAGCAGAGAACAAACGGACACGACCAATCTCATTTCCTACAACCCGACGGATTTGATCTGACCATTCCGACATTCAAACCACGAACCATTCAAATCGCAGCACGCCTTTCAAAAGTGAAGTGTACAGACGCAGCTGCTGATCTCCCCCACCTCTCTCTCTCTCTCAGCCAAAGATGCCTTCCTCCGCGCCGCCGCTGCTCTCGGGCAAAGACGCCGCCGTCGTCTCCGCCACCTGCGCGGCGCACGGTCTGACGCGCGCCGAGTTTGACGCGCTGCGGGACGGCGCCGTCGCGGCCAAGGCCACGGCCTACTGTCCGTACAGCAAGTTTCGCGTCGGCGCCGCGCTGCTGCCGCTGGGCGCGGGCGCGCAGGCGGCCGTCATCCCCGGCTGCAACGTCGAGAATGCGAGCTACCCGGTCGGCATGTGCGCGGAGCGCGTCGGGCTCGGCGCCGCGGTCGCCCAGGGCGTCACCGCGTTCCGCGCGCTGGCCGTGGCGACGGACATTTCGCCGCCGGCGAGCCCGTGCGGCATGTGCAGACAGGCGTATGTTTTTTTTTTGGAACGCTGTGGCTCTCCGTAGACGAAGGAGATGAGGGGCTAATGTGTGTGTGTTTGTAGGATCCGCGAGTTTTGCTCGAGTGACATGCCTATTGTCATGTTTGACAAGAACGAAGACTATGTTGTATTAACAGTACAAGAGGTGCGTCTGGCATGGATTGTTTCGTTTTTTCTACGCTGCTTTTGATGCTGATGCCCTCCTGATGTTTGCAGATTCTGCCCATGTCCTTTGGCCCGGACCAGCTGCCGCCGCCCGGCGCGCCCGGCACATGAGCAGGTGCCGTACAAGCGCATTGATGATTGTGATGCAACGGTGGCGAGGTGTTGAGGAGTACGAATGGTTGGTTTGGAATTGAGAAGTCACAAAGGGAAACCCCCTCAAAACCAGTAAACGAGAAATATACTGTACATGTTGTATCAAATAATGCTATAATGGTCACCCCAATTCCCTCTCGGCTGCAGCGAACTGGCTAAAATTCCGAGCCCTCGTCGCACGGCGGGATATGCTCCGTCTCCTCCGGGATGACTGCCGTGACTGTCGTGGCGGTACTCTCAGACAGGAAGACCCGGCTGGGTGTGGCCGCGTCAACCTGTTTCCCGCGCGTCTCTCCATCATCACCGTCATCGTCGTCGTCGCAGCCGCAGGGCCCAGGACTGGACACCGCCGTCTCGACAAAATCGGCCTTGTACTCGGGACACGGCACCGTCGCGGCCGGCTCCGGCGCCACGCACACGGTCACGTCCACGGTGACGGTGGCGACGTAGAGCACGGCGGTGTGCGCGTCGCGCGTGCGGTCCGTCGCGCAGGGCGCAGCCACAACCATGTCGTCGACGTGCCGTCTGGCATGGGACTGCTGGTGGTTTGGTGTTGGTCGTGTTTTCGGAGGGTGGGGAGAAGTTTGGGACGTACGGGTTCAACGGCCGGGCCGGCTTGTGCGGCGTGCGCGGCGAATAGGCCGGCAGCGGCGATCAGGTCAAGGCGGCAGCGCATTGTGATCAAGGTATCAATGTGCTGCAAACGAGGTGGGAAAAGGTCAGATGCTGCGGAGAGGCGTAACTACTTTATCGGACCTATGAATTTATTCGTTTACGAGTGGACGACAAACACTCTTTATGTTCTACATACCGCCACTACCCAGATTCAATCTTCCTTTTTTATTACTGTCGTCGTTGACAAGGGCAGCTGAAGTATTGAGCACAAATCTCAAAACTAGCAGGCAACGTAGCCCTTTGCTGCTTGAGTATAGCAAAGGGGCCAAGGGCGGCGCGTCGTTGGTTCAAGACACCGTTTCCTACTTGGGAAGAAGCGTCGAAAGATGACCAAGGGCCGAGGTTGAGCGGCCACACAGTGAATCATGAACAAGCAAGAGCAGGATGCGCCCGCATTTGAATATTATTTCATCAAGAGGGGAATAATTCCTCTATCGATCTGGCATTTGGCTCGAGGCCTGTCGATGATACTACGGCGCTGCAAAGATTGGACGCAGAATACGGATTCCAACTAGTGGTTCAGGCATGGTCACCAGGCCCCTCGCTTTGTCTCAGATGGAGCATTCAGACTTGTGTATTCAATAGGTTAGTCGGTTTGACAGGACTGGCTGTAGGCTGAGTACAGACAGGCCCTTTGCTAACAAAGCCGAGTACTAGCACGGCATAGCTTGAGGGCGTAAAAAGGGTATCAAATCAGTCATTCAGAGGGAGTGGACTGCTCGCACCAACGTCCCCGCGTAAAGAGAAAGTCATTTCAACATGAAAAGAGCTCAGAAAATGCGACATGGAAAACAAATAGACCCGCTCTGCTAATCGTCAAAAACTCGCCCCCTTGAGCGCCAGTAAAGCGTGGAAAGCATCATGCATCGTGGTAAAAAGCAAACCCCAGGCCACACCGTCCGGATAGTGTCAATCTTCCCAAATAGTTTCGAGGTCCAAATCGCCTCGTCGTTCGGCGCCACAAACACTCCATCGCTTGCGCTTGTCACGGGGCCCAAAAGTCAGAGTCCGACCACGACTCGGCGTGTCGACGCTGCTCCGCCCCTTGGAATCGGATGACGAGTCGCTGCCCTCTGCTGCCTCGTTGGCAGCCACCTGCAGCTGTGCTAGGCGCTCTGCCTCGAGGGCTGCCTCCTCAGCGTCTGGCGAATCGGGTATCGTTTCCAGGCTCGAAATACTTGGACTCCGTGACCGGGCAGAAGTAGGTGTCGAGGGGAAAGACGAAAGGCTTCCGCCATAACTATCATAGCCCCTGTATAGGGGTGAGGAAGCGGTGGAGGAAGGTGTGGTCGGTAGAGTAGTATAGGAGCTGATAGCCGAAGGTGGCATATTTTGGAAGGGTGACGAAGTTCGGCGGTAGCGGGTAGAAGAGCTGGAGGAACCTCTCAGACTAGGCGAGATGCTTCGTTCCGAACATCGCTTTTCTGGCTCTAGGACCGTCGTTCTCACGGGAGACATGGGCGGAAAAGCTTCGTCGGAGGATTTACGAGGAGTTCGCACACGGCTAGGCTCGGAGGGACTAGCGGGACGCAAATGTGGCGAGACAAGTATGTGACCAGAGGCATTGACGCCGGGCAAAGATCGCGTCCGTGACATGGGGTGAGCAGAGGTGATGCTGGTGGCAGACAATGAGCGGGTATGTGAGTTGGAGAGCGGAGAGGCGGTGCGCGGGCGAAAGGGTAGGGCGGTAGGTGAGGGCACCCAGGAGTTTGAAGACGAGTAGCTCGAGGTGTAGCTGGATGGAGTAGGGTCGGTGCTGCGTCGAGTGTTGGCAGGTTTCTTTATGATGTGGAGGTCGGGCGAGGAGTCGTAATGGGAGGCTCCGAGATGCAAGGTTGGCAGCGGTGAGGGACGAAACTCCTCCATCCGCTCCGTCTCGGGAACAGGCTCCATGGTTTCGGGGAGGGCTGTCAGCGGCGAAGGCCGAAGCTGGGTGAGGCGACCGTCGGCCGTGGCTAGAGAGAGAGGTTGAAGCGCAAGGGAAACTCGGGGTGCAACAGAGGCACGGGAACTGGAAACAACCCTAGTACAACAGGCGACGGGGTCCGGACGAGCGTTGTAATGTATGGCCAGGTGGGACAGGCCAGACGGCAATCCGGGTTGGTGACAGATTGGCGGGATGAGACGACGACGGGTGTGACGCCCCAGGTGGCAGCAGCGTCGCCGGAACAAGGTGCACGCACTCTTGCAGTGTCGCAGAGCAAACCAAGACTGCAGGGCCTATGCAAGGCAAGACAGGACACAAGACGAAAGAGTCAAGCCGTTGGGAGGCGTCTGCCTGACGCCTAGCGCCCCCTCTTTTGGGTGTGTCGTGGCTCGGGGTCGTTTGGTGTTTTGGGAGGGCGGAGGCCACAGCGCAGTACGGACGGAGGAGCCGAAGGGAGCAAGGCGACGGCGGGTTTTTGTCTGTCGAGCAACGTCGTAGTGTCGGTAGGGAGGTAGGAGGTAGGAGGAGAAAGGTTGAGGCCGCAGTGGCCTGCAGAGCCTAGAGGGAAGTTTATGAGGTTTGTTGTTTGCAGAAGGAAAGGCAAGGGCTGGTGGGACGCGTCAAGGTCTGGATAACTAACTCGGTACATTAGTACTCTGTACGGAGTACATTTTGTACTGTTAGGTGTTGGTAAGCAAGTCATACAGCGGGTTGGCGGCGAGAGATGCAGCAAGTGGGCTCGCCGTGGGACCCCAAGAATCCACTGCAACGCCCGGGTTTCTAGCGGCATCATAGCCTATTCGTGCTGGGCCATCTACGTAGTTGGCTCCGCTACATTATAGTGGATTACAGTGGATGCTCTCTGGATCCTTTGCCTTCACCTTTACCATTCGCAGGTTGTCCTTGACTAACAACAACTGCATTCCTGTCAGCATCGATGCGACGCTACCCAGCCCGAGTAAACAAAAAATCCCATCTAAGTGCTGTTGTTGCGTCATGTTCAATTTAGCTACAGAATAGCATGCTGCGGGTCAAACTCTTGCCATTGTTTTTCCTAGTGGTGGCCATCTGACTCGACAACTGGAAGAATACCCAGGTAGGTACCTCCTACCTGGTACTATTGATTGCTCCGTAGCGGGCGCCATTACTCCGTGCACACACCAGGAACCAGGTCGAGAAGCCTGCTGTCCTATCAATCGCGCAGCACGGCGCTGCCCAGACCAGACACTTGTCACACCAGCCAGTCACCTGTATAGATGGCCGGTTGCAGCTTTGAACGTGACGGGAAAGAACATCGCACGTACGTACAGACTACAGGGTATGCACATAGTTAGGGAAAGACACCAACCAGTAGATCGCAATGAGGCTAGCATTTGTCTCTTCATTTGCTGGCTGATTCATACACCACACTTGGCTTACTCGCGACTCTGTCTTTGCCGCCGCCACCGTTGAGCCACGGTACTTGGTACCCACGCACACCACGGCGGCACCGACCACTAACGGAATAGCACCAAATACGCTATCAAGTGCTTTTATACACGGCCACTTTGGTCTAAAAAACGACACCATTTGCGAGTCCTCCCAATACAGCATTCAGTTCTGTATATTCTTCTAATAATGTATTAATCTTATCAATTTTGATCGACCTCCTCCAGCTTCCGCAACATATGCAAAAGATTGCTCCTTTGTCCAATTTCTGTGTCATGTCAGGTATGTGCAACCAAGTTGGCAGAGGCGAGGGTTGCTTATTCCGCCTGCCTGCCCTCCTATCTGGAAAGGTACGCTTTTTGCTTCATCGAGTCATCACCTCCTTTGATAAAGAATCTAGTAAGTCTTGAGTGGTATTTCTCATTATTTGTTAGCAACTCCCAGCGGCACCAAGCCCGCCGCGTTGAATCCCCTCGGTCACCTAACCGCGGACCCATAATATTTTCCGTCTTCTCGACTGCAACGAGACAAAGGGAAACAAACCCTCTTGCATCCGTTTTCCCAGCAACACATCTGCCAACACGCACAACCCGCTACCAATGGCTCCGGACGACGACACACCGGGCGCGACACCAACTCACAAACGACGCCGAATGCGCGACGCACAGTCACCGGGCGACCGCTCGCCCGACGCGTCAAGACGAGGGCCCGATCGCGGCGACAGCAGCGACTACTACTCCAAGACGCGCGATTCGTCGCGCTCGCCCGCGGGACGACGACGGCGCGCGGTGTCTGCCTCTAGCTCGGGCGCTAGCACGCGGTCCGAGTCGCCGTCCCCTCGCCGTCCAGCGCGGCGGCGCTCCGCATCGCGGTCGCGGTCGCGCTCACCGTCCTCCACGTCGTCGGACCGCACGCGGACAGAGTCCCTTTCGCCCAAGCCCGCACCGCCGCCAACAGAGCCGCCCACGACGACGCCGCCGCCACAAGCACCGCTGAGACCCAACTACCAGGCGCGGCTGGCGCTGCACGGGCACAGCAAGCCCGTGTCGCAGGCGCGCATCTCGCCCGACGGGCGCTTTATCGCGTCGGCGTCGGCGGACGCGACGGTCAAGATTTGGGACGCGGCGACGGGGGCGCATTTAGACACGCTGGTCGGGCACATGGCGGGCGTCAGCTGCGTGGCGTGGGCGCCTGATAGCAACACGCTCGCGAGCGGCTCCGACGACAAGGCGATTCGGCTGTGGGACCGGATGACGGGGCGGCCCAAGTCGACGGCGCGCAAGTCGCTGGGCGGGAACGGGAGCGGCCACGGGAGCGCGGACATGGCGCCGCTGCGTGGCCACCACAACTACGTGCACTGCCTGGCGTTCTCGCCCAAAGGCAACATCATCGCGAGCGGGTCCTACGATGAGGCCGTGTTCCTGTGGGATGTGCGCGCAGGGCGGCTGATGCGCAGCCTGCCGGCACACAGCGACCCGGTGAGCGGCATTGACTTTTCGCCGGATGGGACACTGGTGGCGAGTTGTTCTACAGACGGCCTCATGTAAGTGATGGATTTACGCGACTCGGCAGCGCCACAGCAAGGCTAATATAAAAACGCAGTCGTATATGGGACTCGGGAACCGGTCAATGCCTACGGACGCTCGTGCACGAAGACAACCCGGCAGTGGCCAACGTCTGCTTCTCGCCCAACGGGCGTTTTGTGCTCGCGTTCAACCTGGACAACTGCATCCGGCTATGGGACTACGTGGCGGGCAGCGTGAAGAAGACGTACCAGGGGCACAAGAACGAAAAGTTTGCGGTGGGCGGGTGCTTTGGCGTGCTGGACGGGTCGCCGTTTGTGGCGTCAGCGAGCGAGGACGGCGACATTGTACTCTGGGACGTCATTAGCAAGAAGGTGCTGCAGCGGGTGCGCGGCCACGCCGAAGGCGTCTGCTTCTGGGTGGACGTGCACGGCGAGACCATGGTGAGCGCGGGCCAGGACCACACGATCCGCATCTACCGCCACATCGGGGGCAGCAGGGCCGTTGCTGACGTTAATGGTGACGGTCTATCAAACGGCGTTGCAGTACCGGCGACGAACGGGGAGGGGACTTTGGAGGTGCTGCCGATCAGGCAAGAGGACGTCAAGATGGAGATGTAACGACGAGGTCATGAATTCCTCCTCTTTTTTTCTTGTTTCAACATGTTTTACTGGGCGTGCATTGGGCTGGCGCTGGGTTGTTTTTCGTCACCGCGTGGTTAGCGTTTAGTTATTGCATGGTGTAAGAAATGAAAGCGAGCGACAAGACAAGAGGCAAGGCCCAAACGAAGATGGTGTGCGGTTTTGCGGTCGGGGCATTTCGATCATTTCGAGTTTGTTTTGCACAAGTGACTTTGACTTGTAAATGGTGAAACAACAGTGCCGCATTGCATAAATACATGGGCTGGAGATGACCGGGTATGGGCGGCATAGTTGATGATGAGAGATGATCGGCGATGGCATGATTTCCTGCGACTATGGATGGCCCAGGGGTGAGCCGGCGCGGCAACAAAGGTGCCGAACAGGCTGTAGGGCAGAAGCGTTGGAGAAGTGAATTCCTCTTGGTCATGAACAGTCACTTGAGAACTAGTTGGTGAGTCAGGCGGGGAACGTGCTTCCCAGAATAGCAACTAATTGGCTGGCGCACGAGCTCATTGTCTCGGACATGCCTCGATGGGGGCAGTTCCGACAGGGCAGAGGAATATTTCGAACAAATGTTATTATAAGAAATATTGCTCATAGACATGCTCGTATCAGAAAATTGCGGTTGGCAATAACAAGTGAACAACGCACCAACGAGGATGAACATATTAAGGGGGAGGGGATATGGAGTGAAGAAGAAAAACGCTACAAGAGGCCGAGATGCCGCCATCGGTGACACAATTTGTAGATTCTTGGGCACAGGGGTTCGGAGCAGGGGTTGGTTGGTCTGAGGAAGATGAGTTCCAAGTTCGTTATGAAAGAGATGCGTGGAAATATCAAAGGAAAGTAATGTGATGCGGCTGTCAAATGATTTAGCGTTTATGATTGGATGAGTGGCCTAATGGAGAGCATTTTGACAATGCAGTGAATAACTAGACCAAAAGAATGCCAAAGACAGTTACTCCTACCATAAAATCTAGTAAACCGGTAATTTGCACATGGTCCACTTGAGTGCTTGGGTGCGTCGCAGAGCAAGCCGTTTCCCGCCTATGAAATGTTTTGTTGGCTCGTTCAAGGCTGAAGGCGGGGAGCATGTCCCGTACGGGTGGGCGCCAAGCCAACCAGAGAGCCTGATTGTGAGCGCTAGTGCTTTGTGCCTGAGGGCGCCACAACGCCACGCGCAGCCCCAGTACATGAATAATGAGTACATTATAGAGAGCTGACAGCGTACATAGGGGCAGCCAGTGATTTCGTTAGCAGCAGAAATCACGGTAAAGGAATCTGTATTCGTACATAGGTACGAGTCGAGGTGGAGCAATGTTGGACTCCTCATTGGGCGTATCAAGCCTGGTACCTGGCCTAGTCCAGTCTACAGCGTGATGCAAGTGGAATGTCCAATGTCGTCTACCCGTCTACCTGCTGCCGGCCGGGATCAGTACCTGTTATGTGTGTGCGACCCATTCAGCCCCCATGGCAGTTCGCCTCATGTCTCATTTTCTTCTCGTCGCCGCCTCTTCTTCTTTTCTTCTCTTCCTTTCCCACCCACCACACTCACTTAACATCCCACGTCCCAACATCCACGGTTCTTTCTAACCGCAGTCACTCTTTATCCACGCCGTGCCATCACCTCAAACCTCCCGTCCATCTCTTCTCTCACCTCCCAACCAGCCAATCTCCAAGATGCGCTTCACCATTGCTACCGTCCTGGCCTTTGCCGCCTCCGCCGTCGCTGTCGGCGTCGATGCCGTCGCCGGCTTCGACAAGGTCAATGTTCCCGCCTCGGGCGAGCAGATCCCCGCCGGCAAGCCCTACGTCGTCAAGTGGGAGGCTCCTGCTCCCTACTCCGCCGGTCCCATCTACATCCAGCTCCTCGGCGGCAAGGACGGCAGCACCCTGACCGTCAAGACTGAGAAGCTTGCTTGTACGTCTTCTCTCTCCGCACTCTATCCCCATCCACCATTGGTCATTGGCCTCGCTAACTGGCAGAACTAGCCCTCGACAACAAGGAGCAGCAGTACACCTGGAACGTCGACGCCTCCCTCGGCGACGAGCTCACCTATGGCCTCCGTTTCGTCTGGGCCGCCGACGAGAACATTGTCCAGTACTCGAACCCCTTCACCATCAAGAAGGCTGACGGCGCCGGCTCCTCCACCATCGTCTTGACCTCGTCCCAGGGCGTCAAGACCGTCACCCTCTCCTCTGCCTCTTCTTCTTCTTCCACCACCACCACCACCACCACCACCACCACTGCCGCCACCACTACCACGGCCTCCAACACCACTACCGCCGTCATCACCAGCTCGACTGCCAGTGCCAACACCACCGTCGCCCACAACACCACCACCCACGCTTCCACCACCCTGAGCAAGACCACCGGCCTCGCCACGCAGTCCGCTAGCCAGACCACCACGGCCCCTACCACCAAGCCCACCAGCGGTGCCGCCCACGCTGCCGGCTCCATCGCCATCATCGGTGGCTTTGTCGCCGCCCTGCTTGCCCTGTAAAGGGGACTAGACTTATCTTATCACGACTTTGATACGGTGTCTTTTGGTTCTCATGTGACTTTTTGTCCTCTTGCATCGGTACATACGGGACACGGGTTTCTTGCTTTTGGGCTAGTCTTGCTTTTGTGCGCAACGAAATTTCTTTGACCAAACCCTGCACATACAGCGACTAATTTCTCGTTTGGGTTGGAAAATTACATAATGCTCAGAGAAAGACAGACCACAGTTGGGTGAAACTAGTAGTCGAAGGTGTCTCTCGTCACCAAGCTAAGCCTCATGAATGCCGCGCCGTCTCACTACGAGACAAGATTTCATGTCTACTTAATTGATACCACAACTTGGCGCACTGATACTTTTCTTTACTTGTCGATCCTCTGTGTGACTGTCTTAATATACATATGTGACCTGACTGTTTTGACATGGAAATGTGACCGCGACAGACAATTGGCGAGGGATCAATGCGCACTGCTCCCTGTCAACCTGCCTTGCTCTTGTTGACTCTCTACTCACGTAAAAGGCAAGTCGCGAGTGGGACAAAGCATTGCAGACTCGGTTGAGACGCCACACTGTGCAACGTGAGACAAGTGTGTCACTGATCCAGAACGACACGCGGAACCTTTGACGCGTCCCCGGGTGAGACATGAGATTAGACGCGGTGCGGTCAAACCTCGGCTAGTGCCGCCACAATCACAATGGCTTCTCCATTTCTCATCCAACAAAACAGACAATGTTTTCTCAGGATGCATAGAGCGGCCACTTTGAAGGAGAACGAGGCCGCTTGCGGAAAAATGTTGGCAGGTCGCTATTAGTTAGGAAACAATGGGGCATTGTTTGTACACAATGCTTGGAATGTTGGTGACATTCCGGGTCTCTGGAACTTACGCCCTGTCACCTTGTGCAGACTCCGGGTCTCCGATATCTGAGGGTAGTGGCACGATTGCGATACATGTGCGAAATTGTGCTATCACATTTGTCATACTTCTTTCCCAGGCTGTTTGGCGATGGATGGCGAGGTAACACATTCACGCAGCCTACGACACTACATTACAGTAATTTGATGCACGGCACTGACAGGCATTGGAAATCACACACAGTGAAACATGATTACATACTTTTTCTAAACGACGGGCTAAACTATTGACTATCATGACTCTCATTACAGGCTCCCACCACTGCTCGCTCATCGCCCGCCCACCTGACCCTTGGGCAGCGGTGCGATCCAGCACACGGCCAGGTTGAGCGCAATGTGCAAGACGCCAATCACCCAAAGCGCCTTGGCGTAGTTCTTGCCGTGGTCCATGAAGCGAAACACAATCGCGAACAGGACGCCGCCGAGGTTGCCGCCCGCGCCCGTCACGCCCGACACGATGCCGTTGGCCGCGGGGTGGACGTGCGGCACGAGCGCAAAGTTGGCGCCGTTGCCCGCCTCGATGAAGACGGCGGCGAGCGTCACGAGCCCGACGAGTGCGCCCAGCGGCATGCCGCGCGCCGCCGACGGGTCCACGCGGCCGGTGACGACGAGCAGCGCGCCGCCGAGCACGCCGCACGTCGTGATCCACAGCTTCTTCCACCACAGGTTGCGGCCGCTCTGGCGGTAGAGTACGTCGGCGACGACGCCGCCGAGGGGCCGCGTGACGATGTTGAGGAAGCCAAAGATGGCGGCGCAGTTGCTGGCCGTGGTCTGCGTGAGGTGCGGGAAGTTGTGCTTGTAGTAGGAGCTGAGGACGGAGTTGATGGCGAGCTCGCCGCCAAAGGAGCACGCGTACGTGGCGACGTGAAAGATGGTCTGCGGGGAGAGCAGGATGGCAAAGGAGTCGCGGAGGCGCGGCTTCGTGACGACCTCGCCCTGGGCAATGTCCATGGCCTGCTGGTGCGTGAGCTCCGCCGCGAGGGCCAGCTTGGTGGCGCTGCCCTTTTCCTCGTCGGACGCGTACGTCTCGGCCGGCGTGGTCAGGCCCGTGTTGACGGCCGTCGTGAAGCCCGTGTCGGTGCTGCCGCCGGCGCTGCGCTGGAGGACGCGCATGTTCTCGTGGATGCGCTCCTCGCGCTGCTCCCAGGTGCCGACGGGCGAGTCCGGGCACAGCAGCAGCATGCCGAGGGCGCAGGCCATCAGGCACACGAGCGGCACGACAAAGGTGACGCGCCACGCCGTCGACGGGCTGAGCCCCTGGCGGGCGACGAGCGAGTCAAAGACGGCGGGCATGATGAAGTAGGTGATGCCGCCGCCGGCGTTGCCCCAGCCGCCGGCGAGGGCGTTTGCGGTGCCGACGACGTTCTTGTCGAAGAAGCCGGTGCACCACACCTGGCACGGCACAAACGTGGCCCCGAGCACCCCCAGGAAGAAGCGCGCCGTGTACAGCCCGCCGGCGCTGCGCACGAGCGGCGCCAGCCCGACCGGCAGGCACCCGACGAGCAGCAGCCCGACGAAGACGCGCCGCGCCCCAAACAGGTCGCACAGCGGGCCCGTGGCGAACCGCAGCAGGAGCGTGGCCACGAGGGAGACAATGTTGGAGTTGGCCACTTGCACGTCGGTGAGGTGCAGGTCCTTTTTGATGGTGACGGTGAGGAGCGGCGGGAACGTGTACCTGTTCGGGGATTTGACATGTTAGTTGGGCGGAGAGTGGCAGCAGAAGGAGGAAGGGATACACCGTACCAAGCCCAAAAGGCGAGCATGAAGCCCATCCAGGAGAAGAAAAAGACTCGCCCGTACATGTCGACGGGGTTGAGGACGGGGATGCTGCGTGCTTTCTTGCTCACAGGGCACACCTCGGGCGCCGCCCAGAGGGCAGAGAAACTAAAACGAGGCATGGCAGTAACAAATTGTGTACTGGTATATCATGTACTCTTTGTTTTTTTTCTTTCTTGTGTATGAAATGATAAAGGCAACAACCAGCAGGCGTCGTGACAGAGAGTTGTCGTTGTATTATACTCAGTCGGGTTGTGCAAGTACTGAGACGGGCGCGCTTGATAGCCAGCAGTCGATTTCATCGACGCACACCCGAAGCCGTCTCGGGCGTCAATAGTGCAAGTCCAGCCGTAAACTAGCAGGCGTTTTTTTTCTTTCAAAGGCTGCTGGCTAATCTATTGGGCTGGTGGCCAAGATGGCGTGGCTGAGGAAGAGTTGTTATCTTTCTGGGGGCTGTTGGTGCCATCCGGGGTGTGGCCTGCTATCGGGCTGTCTTAAAGAACGTCTCCGCGGTGGTTACTATATATGGATTTTAAATCTTGCTCAAGGTTCTCATCACTATGGACCGTCAACTAGGTTAGATATTCTCTTTGTTGGAGTCTTGAGGCCGAGCTTTGTTCTTTTCTACGCGGCTTCATAGTTTGTCAGTGTTCAACGCGCTCAATCAAAAGGTCGGTAGTTGTTTGGCTCTGCAAATTACCAAGACTTTCCATACCAACGAGAACGAGTCCCTCAAAGAACTACATGCATCCTTCACATGCAACCCAAGTCGTTATCAAGTGAAATGGTCGAGTCTCGGCCTGCTTCACCCTTGCGACTCTGTGACGGGGGGGGGGCTCCCAGCTGAGGCTCGCCCCGGACCTGGGCCGACGAAATACACACCGTCTCATTGGATCAACCCCAGGTTGCGATAACCCGTCTCCGGTTAGTGTTTAAAGTGTCGTGCCTGAGAACAAACAGCCAGGCGAGATAGCCAAGCGCCCCCCGGGCTTATCAACGTTTGGGCCCACCGCCGCGGCCGCAAACGCCACTAGGGATGATAAGGGCACAAGTCGAATGGGTTATAAAGGAAGAGCCGAGCCGATCTCCTGGATTCGTTTTCTATCTCTGAAGATTCATCTCCGCGGAGCGCTCTACCGTTGTCTTGGCTGCTCCTCGACGCCGGCAACGGCAGTGCTGGTGAAGGCGGCTGGTGGTGGCACGTTCGAGAGGCCTCGATAACGAAACGCGCCCTTGAGATACCGCATGAGTGTCAGTCGACAGCTGACACGTATTCGAAGTTGCACCTTGGGCCTGCACCGACCGCTTGACAAATTTGGCTTATCATGAAGCTTGAAAAACTGCCACTGGCCAGTTGCAGCCACCGAATGAAGGCTCACCACTAATAACCAGCTCTTGCGACCGCGTCATGCAGCTGGACAAGTACACTAGTGCGCACCGTATTCATACCATGCTTTAACGTTTCCGGTCTTCTAGAGAAAATCGGAGATGCGGCGACAACTTGCCTTTTTTGTAATTGCTGCGGTTTAATTCGGCAGCACCATCGAGGGGGCGGTTGGTCGGGCTCGGCAGGTGGGCCAGCCATCAGCGCGTGGCAGATGGCAGATGCGGTGGGGACTGGTGCGACTGAACGGACAGAGGCTGTAACAACCCGGGGCAGTATGATCCATAGTAAAATTCAATGCCTTGGTGAACTTCTGTATATATAGAAGCAATTTTGCCAGGAATCTGTCGCGGCTCACCTTCTTTCAGTTATTTGCGCGTCCTGCGCAGCCTTGCACAAAGGCTAGTTAGAGCGATGTACTATGGAAACGTCGAGGCTAGGCCAAATGGGGTAGGAGGGGCAAGCCGTCCCCTGGAGGCTGGTTTGCGGCTCAATTTTTTTTATTGCGCAACTTGCAATGCTGCCCCTCCATCCGCAAGGAGGACAGCACAACTTGTTGGCTTTTGATGCCATTTTTCTACAACGTCTCCTCCGTAGACCGTCATCGTTTGACGATTTCACGCTGCCGTAATTCCGCCGTGTAGAGCGCGCGCCATTGTCCCGCCAAAAACACTCCTTCCTACAGCCATGGCCGCCCAAACGACGCCCAAGACCTGCAAGGTCATCACCGCCGAGACCATCTCCAAGGGCTACATGCAAGAGGTCAAGGATACGCTGGCCAAGGTGCTCGGCGACAGCAGCCGCAAGCCCACGCTCGCTGCGTTCCTCGCCAACGATGACCCCGCAGCTGTCATGTACGCCCAGTGGTCCAAAAAGACTTGCGAGCAACAGTGAGTGAAGACGGCCGATTGCCTATTGACGCTGTGGTCGTTCCTGACAGTACCTCTTCTTGATGCAGCGGCTTCGATTTCGACCTGCGCACCGTCGACAAGGACCTCCTCGAGGAGGAAATCATGAAGGCCAACGAAGACGACAATGTCGACGGCACCATTGTCTACTACCCCATCTTCAACAAGAACCCGACGCACGACAAGTACGTGCAGGAGACGGTCGACCTGGGCAAGGACGTCGAGGGCCTGCGGCACCTGCACCTGCAAAACATGTACCACAACGTGCGCTTCCTGGACGCGCCGGCCAACACGAAGAAGTCGATCCTGCCCTGCACGCCGCTGGCCGTGGTCAAGATCCTCGAGTACCTGCAAATCTACAACCCGATCCTGGCGACGGGCAACCGGCTCTTCGGCAAGACAATTACCGTCATCAACCGCTCCGAGGTCAACGGGCGGCCGCTGGCGGCGCTGCTGGCCAACGACGGCGCCACCGTGTACTCGGTCGACGTGACGGGCGTGCAGCTCTTTACGCGCGGCCAGGGCATCAAGAACCCGCGCCACAGGGTCGAGGACAAGGAGGGCTGGGGCCTCGCCGAGTGCCTGCCGCTCAGCGACGTCGTCATTGGCGGCGTCCCCGTCGAGTCGTTCAAGGTGCCGACGGAGCTCGTCCGCGACGGCGCCGTGTGCATCAACTTTTCATCGCACAAGAACTTTGACGGCCCGGCCATCAAAGAGAAGGCGTCCATCTACGTGCCGTCGGTCGGCAAGGTGACAATTGCCATTTTGCTGCGCAACCTTGTTGTAAGTGAACTGCCGGTCTGACGTGGCCACGATGCAAAATAGCTAACTGGGACAGCGCCTGATTGCGAACCGCCCCCCCAAGGATTCCGAGCAGGGCTTGGTGCAGGCTAGACACGATGCTTTCAAGGATGATTGAATTAATGACTAGTGATGTGCAATGAGGTATGTGTAGAGGAAGAAATAAGAAGAAAACAGAGTCAGTGCATAGAATATCTTAGACAGCGCTAAACGTCTAGTGTTTGCCTGGACACGTCATTTTGATATATATTTGTGCGAGAAACCGCAAAATTAAGACACGGCAAATCAACTGCCTCTGGAATTGGATAAATACGCGAATCGAATTACCACCGCATGCCCTCTGGTTCCTTGCTTGGCCCGGTGCATGGGTCGTGTTCCGCGACACATCGGATGGCGATGTGGCGTCCGAGTCTGAAACGCGATGAAGATGTGGGAAGCGAGTGGCGTAGCAGCGCACGGAGCAAAATCTGGGGTCAAGTCGAAATGGGATGATTCGAAACAAGGGGGAAATAAATATGAAGTAAGCTGCGTGAAGCTGCTGCAGGACACCAGCGTACAACAGTGCATAATCGTACGAGTAGGGTAAAACTTGCATTTGTGCGTGGCCGCGGCAGCCATCCCTGTCGTCCTCGGGAAGAAGGAAGAGAGAGGTGGGCAAGATGGGTGAGGATATTTCGCAGCGCCGTGCCTTGATCGTTATAACGGCAGTCGAGATTTGAAGCTGACTGCCGAGGAGTTTGATTATAGTTGAAGCAAGGGTGGCATGTCATCGACAAGCCAATACATGGTTTCGGTATGGGCATGTAAGGCAGGTAGCGAGGACTTGGTCTGTGTCTAGCAAGGGTCAGTTGCTCAATGGCAGAATACCTACCTGTTGTTTGGCCTGCGACCAGACAGGATCAAAGTACCAAGTTGATGAGGATAGGCCGGTGGTCGGCCCGACCCTTGCTTCTCCTTTAATTACATCATGCTTTAGCGCATGGTATGAGTTCAAGCCGGGCACCCCCTTTACCCGGATGGATGGCGGACAACAGATGACATCGTTGGATTTATTGCTCTGATTGGATGGAAGATACAACTAGAAGTGTTGGTGATACGGCAGCTATTTATTTAGATGGGATGCCTGCGGCCTTGAAGCGCCGTCGACCTTGTGATAGTTTATAATTATTTCAAGACAACAATCGAATTGTTATTAATGTATAACATCGCCAGAATTCCAGAATACAGAAATTTCCTTGTAGTATGGCCTCAGAATCTGATCGATTGCACGACTTCGGCTCCACGGATGCTCCCAGTCTGGGCACGATACCGCTTTGCAATATTCCCAGTATTCAGGGTAAAATCCCGAAAACTCCCAATCCAAGATAGCCACAACTTTGGCGCCCTGGACAAGGATGTTTCTTGGGTCAAAGTCATTATGCGTCAACACGATGTTGTGGTCTTTCATAACATCCTTCCAGACATCACACCGCCATGCAATAAAGGCGTGCGGTCCTTGTTTCCTCATAAGGTTGACGATACCTTGGTTAAATTCATGCTCTGTCTGGTATGGCCCGTAGTCTTCTTTTTCGCTAAAAAAATATTGATCTTGACAAGGTGTGCCATCAATGCAGCCAATAAAGCTGCCTTTAAAGCTGCGAAGTTGGGACATGTAGTCTTGTAATTGGACGATGACTGACTGACGCTCGGGTTCAGTATAGTTGACCCACGCTTTGTCAAGATTTTCGCCCTCTATAAAATCCATGATAATGACAACATGCCCGGTAGTTTCGTCGATATAAGCGTTATGGACTGCAGGTACCGGGATGCTAGTATTCTCGAGCACGAACTTCATAGTTGCGGCTTCAGCCATTCGAACGATTCGGGCAGTCTTGACGACGGTTGTCGGGTTAATTTTGAAAACGGGTGAGAATCGAGACAGCCTTTGGCCGTTTTCAATTTCCTCTTTTGTAACTCTCTGGGCCATTGTATATGCCGTTGCTGATTCGGCTGTAGGGACAAGTAAGTTGCAGGAAAAACAGCGAGTAGATGTACATATGCGCTCCGAGCCGCAATATGGAGAGGGTAGATGCGGTAGATGCGTGCCCGCCTCGCTTGTCATATCACTAAAACCGTTAGGTACTAAAATAAGCGTAAAAGGTATAAACACCCTTTCGTGTCAACGTGTGTATCTCTATACACAACACTACTTGGGAAAAAATAGGAGAGCTTAGGTGCTTAGAGATATGGCTCTAATAAATACCTCTTCTTATTGCTAGTGAGTTACCTTTTTTAGATGTAAATTTGTATGTGAATGACAATATGACGGTTATACTGGGGAGCACCCTCTTTGGAGGCAAAAGCGATAAAGAGGGGCACGGCTGTAGTACATATGCACAGAGGCGAAATATGCGTCTAATGAAACTGGTCGGACCGTACCTAGGTACCTTAGTAACCAGGTACCTAGGTACGAATTATGGATACGAAGTTACCTCAAGTGGCATTAGTTTGAGCGTCTGGTGTCGCTGTACCTGTTAGCCTGCGCTAGCTCGCAGTGCAGAAATCATCACTTGCACTCTAGAAATGGCAAGGCCGCTGACCTGTTTGTTCCCACCCACAGTTGAGTTCTTCTTGGGTCCCCTCGGCTCGCTACTGCACGCCAACTTGGCAGAAAATAAAAACACTCGTGTTGACCCCGGAGCTGCATCAACACGAATCCGCTCTTTTTTTTCCATCCCAAGACTTGCATAATACTGGGTCGCTTGCGCTGCCATTGGACACGCGTCACTGGCTGGAACCAGGATCAAGCCGGGCGCCACCACAAGAACAAGAGCTGGCTGGCTGGGACAAGCCTGGTTCCCCGATTGCCTCCAGCCTCAACGGCCCCCCCCTGGGCTGCGATACGATAACTATATCCGTCTCTCCGTCGGTGCCATCCGCGGCTCATCCAAGTTATCCAAGCTGGCCGTCGTCGGTACTGCCCCTTCTCGCGAATGGTGTGTGCGTGTGTGCGTGCGTGCAACTGACTTTTTGCGCACGGGGGGCACGAGTCAACAAATCTGAGTTTGGGTCTGTTTGTTTGGGTCTGTGTACGCACCTTCAGGATTGGACGACCGAGTGTCTGCACCACAAACACGCTAGTTACCCTCACCTCGCTCCTCCCGCCAAGGTGACAAAGAAAAATTACATCGCCCGTGTGCCGGCACAACCTCCCTCTTCTACTCGAGGCAAACAGCACCCGCGCAACCTCATTGGGGGAGCCTAGAGCCTGCATCTTTCCCGTTTACGAGGGCTCTTGAGCCAACTCTCCACATTGACGTGGTCCCCTCGCCTTTGTCCGCTGGAGCAGCTGCAGCTGCCAAACTCCACAATGGCGACGACGGCCACTCCGCCGTCTGTTCGTCATGCACGGCAGGACTCTAATGGGAGCATCCCGCCTCTCCGGCCACAGGCCTCCTCGCCTACCCTGACCAACCCCGACATGATCTTGCCCGACTACGACGACCGCGAACCCCTCCCGCCGAGTCTGCTGCAACACCCATCCCTTGGCTGGGGCAGCGTGCCGCTCAACCCCGACGACATGTTTGACTTTGCCGACGTCGTCGACTCGTCGACCGCATACCCTCAAAACACCCCCATCATCTACGGCAATGGCACCATGCTCTCCGACATTGGCGAGGTCACCGAGGTCGAGAGCAATGTCGGCGGCCCGACGCGCCAGCTCTCAGGCCGCTCTAATCCCTCCCGCCGCTCCAACTATTCCGACGACAACCTCGCTGCCAGGCGCTCGCCACCCTTCATGCCTGCTCAGAAGCAATTGCTCCGTCGCGCGCCTGGTGCCAATCCCAAAGACAACCGCGCCTCAATTGACTCGGCGCATACCATCCTAGCACATCATGATGGCACCTTTGCCGATTTAGATGACTCGGTCAGCATCGACGATAGCAACTTTCAAGGCGACGACGAGGACAGCGTCGCTGAGTCCTACCTCGAAGGGCATTTAATGCCGCGCGATGCGCTCGCGCCCAAGAGATCCGACCTATCAATCAACGAAGATCGGTACTCGACGTCCTCCATTAGCCGAAGAGCCGAACAGATTCTGGCCAATGCCAAGCGCAGACTGACAGTAAGACAGCTCCATCACCACGTACCAATTTGACCCATACTAACAACGGCCAATAGACCATGGAGGGCAATCTCACGAGAGCGCGAACCTTTAGCTACTCCTCAGTCTCTGACGGCTCCACGCCGTCGCCGATACGGACGCCAAAATCGGCCGGATTTAGATCCCCGGTACACGCACGCGACGTTAGCGACAACAGCATCGCACTGAACCAAGGCGCCATGCTCCCAAGATCCGCAAGCGCCTTGGGTGCTGCTGGGGGATACCGTCAACCACTTCCGCTATCTCGCAGCGCCGACGCCATTGGCCGCACCCACCACGGCATTTCTCAACATCCTCTCGATCTTGCATTGGCGCCGCTAAACGAGGATGACGGTGCTCAGGATGAAGACAACTCAGACAGCACCCAAGTCACTGGATATGCAAGCCCAACATTCAATGGCTACAACGACGCAGGCATAGCACGCTCTGCTTCAGCGGTCCAAATGCGCGGCATCCAGGACCAAATGAATGGTCTCAAGGGCAGAATCTTTTCACTCAGAGAGCAGGCTGCCGCAGACAACATGAAACGACGGAGCCTGCAAAGCTTGCGCGCCCCTAGCCTCTTTACTCACGCCAAAGGCGAGGATGCGAACTCGGACTCAAAGTCGGCGCATACCGAAGACGAGGGATCGCCGGCTCTCGGCAGCCCTTTCCAGCCCGAGTTCTTCCAGGAGGCGGAAGAGGAGTCACCGGCCCCGCATGACGAACAACGCACGCCGCCCTGGAAGAAAACAGAGCGAGAGCCCATTGTCGCACGACATAGCCCCATGCAGAACCTCCACCAAGCATATTTGCAGGATGAGAATACGCCACCAAAGGGGAAAGCGGCCGCGGCCAAGGAAAAGTTCGATGAGCTCGAGAAGTCTAGCTACGCCGACGAAGACGACGACCTTCATACTGAAAATGGAGATGCCCAAGACGACCCCGAAAACGATGCTGAAGATGAACCCGAAGAAGAGCCTGCGGAGGATCTGGAAGCCGACAATGTTAGCGAAAGTGGCGACTCTTTATACCACGAGACTTACCAGCATCCCGTGTCTCACGAAGACCGAGAAGATGCATTTGATTACGAACACTTCTTTCTACACTCGGCCATGGGTCACCTCAGCAGACAGAGCTATCGAAACCCAGACGAGGATTCTGGAAGCGAATGTTCGGAGGACTCTGTGGAAACCACAAGAGCTGCCCCCACGACGGCTTCCGGACGCCCCCGACGGCCAAGCCTGGACACCATGACATCAGTCGACAGTTTCGCGACGGCGCAGGAGGGTCGTGAGAGCCGTGCTTCCACTATTGATTCGGTAGAAGATGGTTACGAGTCCCCAGTCATTGGCATTGGCCAAATCCACCGTCAAACGGACAAACATCTCGCGTTTGGTACACAGGAGAGCGGTAGCAGCAGCGAAGATTCACGTTCCTCAAAGGAGAGATATGGCGTGCGCCATGCATTTCAATTCCGACCATCCGCCATGTCATACAGTGCCATCGGCCCCCCTAAGCGTATTGGCCTCCATCGTCCGTCGGTATCCTCTTTCGAATCTACCGGTACAAACCGAAGCTTTCCTCTCATTAGCAAGTCACGACTGAGCGACAGCACAACTCCGAGAGACTCCCCGGAACTTATGATGCGCGGAATGCGTAGCCTACCACAGAGCCGACGAAGCAGCTTGAACGATCACGTGCTAGCTAGAATGTCCAATGGGTCATTTGCTGGTTCCGCGAACGGCTCCTTCAACGGGTCTGCAAATGGATCGTTTCATGGGTCTATGACTGGCCCATCCAGCGGCTCCGCCAATGGTTCTGCGAAGAGAAGCTCTGGTTCCACGAACGGCGGGGACATCAATGGATCGCACAATGGGACTCTACATTCTCCTGCCATGCCGCCTCTGAAGGATGAGGACCAATCATCCATTGACTTGTTGTTGGCGAGCATTCAAAAATGTGCCATGGGATTGCGCGACATGACACCATCGGGCATCAAGATGCACGATGCCTATCGACGGAGACTGGAAGCTGCCCGGCAAATTCTTGATGGCGCTCCAGATTCCTTCTAAACTGCATTTGTGCGACACGAAAAAACGGCGTAGGGGGGTTACAAAAGGTTGGCACTGTGTGGTTTATACTAATGCCTGAGATGACACTGATTGCTACTACTACCCGGAGTTGCGGAATGGATTGTATTTTCGATATCCGGTTTACTTTGTTGTTTTACTATTCTTTTTATTTCCCATCCATTCCTTTTCTTCATTCTTTCTTGTACCCTGGTCGCCATGTAGCGACATTCTTTACATCTTGTTGTATTATACATACTGGGAATAACAGCGGGAGAGTGGCAACTCTTTGGACAGAAGACCGCTCATTAGTTTATTTTATTTTGTTCTCCTTCTCGCGGAAGAGTAGCGAATGAACATTCATTTTATTCAGAGAGGTCGTGGACGTAGGCATGGTTGTGACGGTACAATCAATGATGGCAAGTTTGTTGCTGCCTTTCACATGCCAACTTGGAAAAAGCAATCAGTACATTTTGAGCGCTGCAGGAGAAGATCAATCAAGATGCCATCATATAATGGATGGCTTCAGCCTTGATATGCTTAATACACCCGTGTTTTCTCTAAAGTTTCGCAAACCATGTGTGACATGTTCTCGTAACAGCTTGATTCGCTGAGGTCGTTCCCGGAAGCGATTGCGCGCCGAGCGGGGCAGGTGGTTTGTGGGTCCCCCGCCCGGGGTGCCGCGTTCGGATGGTGCAAACGACACGTTTTTGTGCTGGGCCTTGCCCTGTTGACATATGAACCGTTCTCAGAGAAGAAAGCGGCAAGGACAGAACGAATCGTTTCAAATTAACAGCCATCGCTCTACTTCGCGTCGCGCATGTCTTGTTCACAGAACAAACAAACACACAAGTCTGAAGTGCCCGCCAGTGCGTGCTTGACGCCACTTTAACGCACGGTATCTTGACGATAACGCGAACCTTTTTTTCCTTCTTCTTCTTCTCCTCCCTTCTTCCTGCCCCGCGCGCGCCTCGAGCATCGAAATTCATACCAACCTACAAGCAACCAAAACGAAAAACGAGACAACCGCGAGGCGATACGAAAGGCCAAAAAAAAACCCCCGACGGGCCTTCTTTCTGCGCGGCACTCCCCCCCTTTTACGAACAGTTCAACCGGCATCGACTTTGCTAGGATTTTTTTTTTAAAAAAAAAAGAAACCATGGACGTGATGTCGACGCTTTCGGACCTCATCACCTCACTCCTGCCGGCCGACACGGCGGCGCTGGTGCACCACCACGTGCTGCGCGCCGACGCGCCGCTGCAGGTGTACTTTGCGGCGGCGCGGGCCTCGGTGACGCGCAGCGCCGGGGCGGTGACGCCGTACGTGGCGCCGCTCGTGGAGCGGCTGCTCGCGTGGACGCACGACTCGGCGCTCGGGGGCCTGCTGGTGCCGCTGACGATTCTCGTGGCGGCCGTGGTGGTGATGAACTGGATCCGGCGGGTGCTGCTGTGGTGGACGCGCCTGGCGCTGCGCGCGGTGCTGTGGGCGACGCTGGCCGCGCTGGCCGCCTGGGTCTGGCAGCGCGGCCTGCAGGCCAGCGTCCGCGACGTCGTCGTCGTCGCCGGCAAGGTCGCCGGCTACGCCGCCGTCGTCAGGGAGATTTGGTGGAGGGAGTACAGGAGGTACGAGGACCAGCAGAACGCCGGCGGCAGGCGGGCGGCGACGGCGGCGGGCGGCGCCCATCGGTGAAGGGATTTGGGGAATAGGGATATGCGGTTTGGTGGCACGAGTTTCTATCTGGGAATGGTTTGGGAAGCGCTTGGGTGTGTCTGTGTATGTGTGTGCTGCTTCTCGGGGAAATAATGGCTGTTGAGCGGCGAATGGACGCCAATATTTTACGATGGATAATGCGTCTTGTATCTCTCTTTTATTGTTGATTACTGGACAGTCTTTTGGATTTTCTGCGCGGCACCTCGTCGTTTTCAAGGAATTTATGTACATGTGCGTATCGGTACGTTTTGACACAAAGTTTGGATTCTTTACATGTTCATGTTATGTTAGTCTATATACGGCTGCAAAGCCATCCATGGTATTCTAAATACAAAATCCAACTCCGACGCTATGCTAATGATGAATCACTTTTCTCTATGCGTGTGTACATGGCGCTGCGCTCCCGCACTACTCGTCTTTCTCGGCCTCGTCAGCTGAGGCATCCTCGTTGGGGTCCTTGGGGTCCTGGGCCTCGTGGAACTGGATGCAGTCGTCAATGTAGCTGAGAATGTCACCGACGCTGTCCTCGTCGGTGACGTCGAGCTTGAGGTAGTTGACCATGCTGAAGCTCTCGATGAGGCCGGCGACGGCGCGGTTCAGGCGGCGGAAGCTCGCGCCCTTCATGACCTGGGAGGGGTCGTCGGGCGCCTTGGACTCGTCGTCGCGGGCGTCGTCGTCGACGTCGCCGGGGAGGCGTCGGCGCTCGAGCGGGTCGTCGTCGAGCAGCGCGAGGTCGGGGGTCAAGAAGTTTTTGAGATTGCGCTTCTTGACCTGGTCCTTGATGAGGTCCATCTTGGAGAGGACGTTGATATGGGGCACCTCGAGCATGAGCATGGCGGACATGGCGCTGAGGGTGCCGGCGAAGAACTTGGCGCGGTCGACGACGAACGTGGCCTCGAGGAGGTAGACGGCGGCCATGCGGATGTCGAGGGCGCCGGGCTGGGAGAGGTAGCGCATGAGGGTGGGGAGGATGGGGATGTGGGTGTAGAGCTCAATCTGGCCGGGCATGTCAAAGATGATGAGGTAGTCTTCGGTGAGGGAGTCGAGGGCGTCGGTCAGCCAGTCGAGGTTCTCCATGAGGAACTCGAAGCAGTAGATGAGGCCGCCGTTGGGGCCGAGGCCGACCTCCTCCATGGCGTCGCGGAGCGAGATGAGCTCCTTGATGTCGAGGTCGGGCGTGTGCTCAAACGTCTCGGCGGCGGGGTCGAGGTTGACGTAAAAGGCGGAGCGCCGGTTGAGCTGGAGGTGGGTGATGAGGGCGGCACAAAAGGTGGACTGGGACACGGGTTAGCATTTTAGTCCGTCCTTCTAACGTCATAAGAGACGAATGGAATGCATGGGAAGACATGGCTGCAGGTACAGAGTCGGATGCGAGTCGAGGACACGGAGGGCGGAGAGGGAGAGTGGCTGTCGTACCTTGCCGGCGCCGGCTGGGCCCATCACCATGGTGCCGAATTTACTCATGGTGGCGATGGGAATGGAATGGGATTGTTCCGAGTCAACACTGTCAGACACGCGCGCGGCTTTGTTGGTTGGTTCGCGATAGCTGGGGAACTGGTGCAGTGTCAAAAGATTTTACGACGGCGGTCGGTACATAGTGGGGTCGCTGCCGGCGGGCGGGCTGGTGGGCCATTTGGAAGCTGACTTGGCGGGCTGGCTGGAAATGGAAAAAAAAATGGCAACAAAATCCGGTTGTGCTGATGCTGCAGAGAGGGTCAGCTTCAGTATCTTTCGTCACTTCTGCGGCGTAATGCAGCTTGCCGTCCATCTTTGCTCCGATCCCGCCGACAATCCGAGACCCAACTTGCCAACTACCCAGCCAACCCCCCTCCTTATTGCCCCTCCAGAAGATGAGCGTGAACTTGTCCATGTACATAGGTATCAGTAAGTGTACCTAGGCATGCGGCTTGGGGGCTGACCCGCACCACGTTGTCGCGGGCAGCTCTGGTACTGGCGACGGCATGCACTCATGGTTTCCAAATGTCACGCAACAGATGGCGGCACAAAGGGGTTGCCATCCTCGCCTACCTACCTGAATGTACATGCTTGCTTCCCCAGAGACGGGGCTCGAAAGGCAGCTCAACAAAGCTTGTCCCTTGCACAATTGGTTCTGCTGGGGGGGGGGGGCTGCTTGCTCTCGACAAGTTTTACTTGTCCTGCAGGCTGCAAGCTAACTAGGGGGTTCAGCGCGTCCCGCTTCCGATTGCGCAATATCGCCCGCAGCTGCGACATCCACCTTCGTGTTCGGGCCAGCTTGCCAGCGCGGCCGACCAAGCCAGTTTTGGGCTTTCTTGATGAGCGAGGTACAACCGAGCAGAAATTCAGAACCATTTTATGCCGTTATTACCTACCCACGTTGGTACTCTCTCTCCTGAAGTCTCGTAGCAGGCCGCTCGCTGATGAATAAGTACTCCTTGGTCCCTGGCTACAGGTACATAGGTACCTAGGTACTAGTCCCTTCAGCCTTTTACCAGGGTATCTTATGTCGCTCTGTGCCTGCGCTGCCCCTCCTCAACGCTAGCACGCTACTTTATGCTGCACGGAATTCATAGCCAGATGCATGTATTAGCGCAACAAAGACACTTCTTTCGACCCCTCCATGGGTCCCACTGGTACTTTGTGCCTGTGTGTTTTAAGCCGGCCGAGATTTTTTTTGGCTGCCGTGAGGTACCGACCACCTTTTTTCCTCTGGTGCAATTTCTCCCCTCCGCCTTTTCTTCTCCCTCTTCCCTCGCCGTTCTTTCCCATCCTCTTTTGATTCTCTTCCCTCTCATCCCAACCTTTCTCTACGAGGTTCGTACATGTCCCTGATAACATCGCTATCTCCTCGCGAAAACGATTGTGCTAACTAACCCTTCCCCGCATTAGTCTTCCGGTGCCGTCTTCTCCGACGCTTTTCTCACTAGAATCCTTTTTCTGCCCTCTTCCAAACTCCCCTCCTCCTTCCTTCTTTTATCCTCTCAAATCATTCACAATGCCTTCCACAAACGGTACCAACGGCGCCCACTACAACCAGGGTAACTTCCTGTTCACCGTATGTCGCGCAATGCGTTTCCCCGCGGCGCTACCCACCCCGTATCTTCAGCTTATGCAGTCTGGCTAATCTTGACTCCGCAGTCCGAGTCCGTCGGCGAGGGTCACCCCGACAAGATTGCCGATCAGATTTCCGATGCTGTCCTCGATGCCTGCTTGGCTGAGGATCCCCTCTCCAAGGTTGCTTGTGAGACTGCCACCAAGACCGGCATGGTCATGATATTTGGTGAAATTACCACCAAGGCCAAGATTGACTACCAGAAGGTTGTCCGTGATGCCGTCAAGGATATTGGCTACGACGACTCTTCTAAGGGCTTTGACTACAAGACCCTCAACTTGCTCGTCGCTATTGAGCAGCAGTCCCCTGATATCGCTCAGGGTCTCCACTACGACGAGGCCCTTGAGGCCCTTGGTGCTGGTGACCAGGGTATCATGTTTGGTTATGCTACGGATGAGACCCCCGAGCTCTTCCCCCTCACTCTCCAGCTCGCCCACAAGCTCAACGCTGCCATGTCCGCCGCTCGCCGTGACGGCACCCTCCCTTGGCTTCGCCCCGATACCAAGACTCAGGTTACCGTCGAGTACAAGCACGACAACGGTGCCGTTGTCCCTATCCGTGTCGACACTGTTGTCGTCTCTGCCCAGCACTCCGAGGACATCACCACTGAGCAGCTCCGCAAGGAGATCCTCGAGAAGATCATCAAGGCCACTATCCCCGCACAGTACCTTGATGAGAAGACCATTTACCACATCCAGCCCTCCGGCCTCTTCATCATTGGTGGTCCCCAGGGTGACGCCGGTTTGACTGGCCGCAAGATCATCGTCGACACCTACGGTGGCTGGGGTGCCCACGGCGGTGGTGCCTTCTCCGGCAAGGATTTCTCCAAGGTCGATCGCTCTGCCGCCTACGTCGCCCGCTGGATCGCCAAGTCCCTCGTCGCTGCTGGCCTCGCCCGCCGTGCTCTCGTCCAGCTCTCCTATGCCATTGGTGTTGCCGAGCCCCTCTCCATCTACGTCGACACCTACGGTACCTCCGAGAAGACCTCGGACCAGCTCGTCGAGATCATCCGCGCCAACTTTGACCTCCGTCCTGGTGTCATTGTGCGCGAGCTCAGCCTGGACCGCCCCATCTACCGCCAGACTGCCAAGAACGGCCACTTCGGTACCAACCAGAGCTTCACCTGGGAGCAGCCCAAGACCCTCAAGCTCTAAAGCATTTGCGGCAGAGCTTGACTGGGAAAGCATTCAACAACGCTTTCCTCTACTTGTTTCAAGATAGATGTGTTTCATGTTCTTTTCATGAGGCACAACATTTTCAGGCGGCGTACGGTTCTCAACGAAACCAATTTGGTACACAATATACCCCGCAGGGACGCGGGGCTTTTTTAGGCGGTTTTCAGCATACTGATTTTCTTTTGTCCCTTTGTTTTTTACATAACGAGAGGCCATGTTTTTGGCCATCATGATATACCAGGAACGATCCGTATTGCGTCTTTCAACAAAGGTCGGCAGCGGAGCGTTCGTGCATTTGGGAAAACATTACTGCGAAGATTTGCATTTGGGATACCCTTTCAGTAGGGGGGCGCTTAAGAGGCAGCGAGCGTTACGAACTTGGCGTTTACGGGAACACAAAAGAACTTCAACATCTTTTACTTTCCTGTTTCTCTGACCGATCATGTGCGGATCATTCAGCAGGGCGGGAGAGATGAGCAAATAATGTTTTTCGCAGATAGTTTTGGTCTATTGACCTTTGATATCTATGCGGAGGAAACCAATGAAAATAATTGGGAAGCAACAGGCGTTCTAGACTGATTGTGGTTGTAAAATTCTCTCAAAGTGTTGGACAGAGAAGCGGCATGGCACATGCTGTAAACCAAATCCAAGACCACCCGCCAGCCCCATCAAAATTCAGCTCAAGGGAGGGAAACAGGAAGGGAAAAAAGGGCTCATCGTCGATCCACTAAGCAACTGGAGGTCTGAGCCGTGCGCCGATGTAGCACATCATTCGCTAAGTAACCAAAGGAAACAGGAAGCTAACTAGACTACGACGAAAGAGACCAAAACGCAGATCCAAGGAGGCAGCTCGTCTTTGGTCTTTTCCGGCTTGCACTGCCCCTCCCGGCGAGCTGAAATATTGAGAAAAAAAGGTACGGCACAATGTCAACCCCACCCCAGCCAGCCGGGCTCGAAAAGCTCCCGACCAAGCCTCCTCGTTGGCACCCCGCTCACACAACCAGGACAAGCAGGCGGAGGACCCTTTTAAACTCTTCTTCACCGTCACCATCTCACCTTTAATCTCATCTGTCTTCTTCAATCCACAGTCCCAGTCGAGCAATTGAAACATTCCCTTACTTCTTATACCCCTGCTGCCCTCTACGTTTGGCTACCCCGCCCCCTCGTTCAATGACACTTGCTCGCTCAACTTTTTTTCGAACCAACAAAACCTCACAAAGTGTAGCGACCGCAAGGGAAAATATGCCTAACCTTTCGATTCGTAACCTCACCGTGCACCCGCTGGAGCTCGTCGCCGCGGAGCGCTTCACCGGGGAGCGCATCAAGACGGTGGGCATGCTGGCGAGCATCGGCGGCGCCGTGACCAACTTTCTCAACGCGACGGAGCACCCCTCGTCCGAGCTGCGCGTCAAGGCGGACCTGGCGGGCACCGAGCGCCGAGACGTGTCGTTTCGCGCCGAGGCTTTCCAGACGGTCGAGACGGACGTGGTCGTCGCCGAGGCGGGCAGCGTCGACGTGGTGCGGCTGACGTTTCAGACCGAGGGCCACCGCTACGAGACGGACGTGCCGAGCCCGTCGTCGCGGTCGGCCGTCATGAGCAAGCTCGACGACGGGCCGCACGACCTGACCGTCGTCTACGTCCCGAAGCACGCGTTTGTGGCCGTGTACTCGTCGGCGCGGCTGGACGCCTGGATGGGCGAGCTCAGGGACGAGTGGCCGCTGCCGTCGCTGTCGGTCCCCGGCACGCACAACTCGCCGACATGCTACACGGCGCTGCCGTCGGTGCGGTGCCAGGCGGTCGGCGTGCCGGAGCAGCTGCAAAACGGGGTGCGCTTCCTCGACATCCGCGTCTCGGCCACCAAGGACGACGACCGGCTCGCGCTCGTCCACAGCGTCTTCCCCATCTCGCTGACGGGCACCAAGTGGTTCGGCGACGTGCTCGAGGACGTCTACCGCTTCCTCGACGAGCACGGCAGCGAGACCGTCATGATCAGCCTCAAGCGCGAGGGCACGGGCAAGGCGTCCGACGGCGACCTCGGCCGCTACCTCAAGGACGGCTACGTCGCCAAGCGCCCGGACAAGTGGTACACGGAGCCGCGCGTGCCGACGCTCGGCGAGGTCCGCGGCAAGATTGTCCTCATGCGCCGCTTCGGCCTCGACGACGACCTGCGCGCCGAGTGGGACGGCCAGGGCTGGGGCCTCGACGCCTCGGCGTGGCCCGACAACTGCGAGGACGGCGAGGCCGGCAGCTGCGCCATCCGCGTCCAGGACTTTTACGAGGTCTCGGAGAGCGACAACATTGACAAAAAGGTCGGCTACAGCCACGGCCACCTCGAGCGCGCCGGCGAGCACCGCTTCCTCCTCCCCGGCATGGACGGCTACGACGAGGGCAGCCCCCGGCCTCCGTTTTACGTCAACTTCTTGAGCGCCAGCAACTTCTTCAACGCCACGTGCTGGCCGGAGCGCATCGCCGCAAAGGTCAACCCCCGCGTCGTCGAGTACCTCTGCACCAGCCATGGCGTCGAGGGCAAGGGGCCCAATAAGCTGAGCATCGGTTCCGCCGGCGCCGGCATCGTCGTGACCGACTGGGTCGGCGCCAACGGCGACTGGGACCTGATTCGCTGTATTGTCGGTATGAATGCACGCCTGCAACTCAACAACTAGAGGCTAGGAGACTAGACGCGCGCGGCCGTATCATGCAAAGATTTCACGCAATAGAGACAAGTCGATGAGCGGTCAAGTAGATGCAGAAATGTGTATTGAATCTTTTGTATGTTTTCTTATATAGCTTGTGTTCGCCTCGAAAGGTGTACGTGTCGTGTCGTAACACTTACTTACTACGAAAGCTGTTAGCATAGCCTCCACGACTGTAGATGTAAGAACGTTGAGGGTGAAATTTCTGGCAACAAGTCAGTACGCGATGCCACAAAGTTGGGGGTGGCGAGTAATTACCAGTCAGGAGGTGTGTATTATTTTCAAGTCGCACAGCTCCGAAAGGAGCGTGAGATCAACCAGTGTGAATACAAAAAAGAAACATCTCATCACAGAAACGGTGTAGTCGAAAAGCGGAAAGAATTCTTATTTACCTATTGTAGCAAGACAATTAGTTATCAATTACGCGCCAGGCATCAAGATCCCGCCAAGGGAATACATCTGAGAGTTGTGCTCAAATCAGGTGACGAATTCTCATCCAGAGATCCTACCAGCCCTACACCACAAGGTTTGTACGCCTTGCTTTTCTAGGGTATAGGGGCAGCAGGGCTCGATTATGTCCGCCCGTTCGTTCAAATCTTCTTCATAAAAGGCACGTGGTATGGGTGTGTAAGCGCGAAAGAGTATTTACCTAACGCCTCGAGAGTTAGCACAGTGCACAAAACTAGAAGCGTCAAAGTGTAATTGGTATAGGCAATCCGAGTCAGACAAGGCTGAAACTTAAAGCAACGTTATCCACATTATGTATTAAGCATGAGGAATCCCTGAGGTGTCGTTTTGATCATCATTCGGAGGGGGAAGGTAGGTGCATGAAGAGGAAAGATAGTAAACGAACCTTTTGATGTTGTACATGGAATGCGGTTTGGGGTCGTAAATCATCAAGTCATCTTCTGTAATCCAGTTAGAGCTGGTTCAACAATGTATTGGGAACAACAAATAGTGTGTGCAATAAATCTGCTCAGGGTTATTTAGATAGATTGCTTCTCACCATGGGTTGGTATGAATTGGATTGTTCATTTGTGATCATAATCATCATTGTGCAGTGGACATGACCAAAGGTCAAGGGAAATATGCTTCTTACCTCGAGATATTCCAAAGCCCATCTGTACCTCTTTCACTGAGCAGCGAGGGCTCTCGTAGTGCGCTCGAAGCTTTGAGGCGCTGATGGGCTTTGTCGTGATTAAGAAGAAAGCTGAAATGAAAGGAATTTTTTCTTGGAGATATATTGGTAGCTTTGTGGGTCTAGCCCTCTCTGGGACTAGCGTACTGATGAGGCATCCTGTGGCGGTGCAACCTGGCAATGGTCACTCCCGCAATCCGAGTGGCGAATAATGCCGGTTTGTGGCGCAGTATATATAGTCGGAGTAGCTGCATCCTCAGGTTACCAAGCTATCTCAGGTGACACACTACTCCTCATTCTGCACTCTGCTGGAGTAAATCAGCTTCTGCATACGCTTTTTTTCGCCCATCATGGCATACATGGCGGGGATATGGGGGCCAGCGGCCGTCCGTCTCCTCCGTGTCGCTGCCGCGAGAGCGACGGAAGCCGTGCGGGCCAATCTCGCCAACGCCGCGCGGCCGTTCTACGGCAAACCGCAATATATTCCCATCCGGTCCGGCCCTACCGGACGACAGCCCATTCATCCCGCCGCCTTCTTGAAACAGCAGCGACGGTGGATCTCGCGCGTCTCGGGCCAGCACGCCCAGGCGATTCGCCGATTCCTCAGTACCGCAGCCAACAGTGGTGCTCGCCAGCCGTTTCGCCGCTCGCAGCTACCTACGTCGGATACCTATCGCCGAGTCGCCCAGTTTTCCGGACGAGCCCCGTTTGCGAATGCCCTGCGGCCAAACTTGACGGGCGGTGCGATGCCGCGCTCCGCCGGTGGTTATGGCATCGGAGGCGGTGGAGCGAGGTACTTCTCCCACACGCCTGCGGCGCCCGCTCAGGTTGTGCAGAACGTCTCACAAGCCATGAGAGGTTTCTTCCTTTCCGGACAACGCCTCCGGTATGACGGCCTGGGCGCCAACGGTGAGCCCCAGTACCGTGCCGTTTCGGCTCTCGAGGACCAGGCCATGCGCAAGATGACCAACTTCCCCCGCTTCGCCTCGGGCGCTTTCATCGACTTCAAGCTCAGCCCTACGATCACTGCCATGAGCCCTCTTGCGGCCGCTCTCATTGAGGCCTCTGAGATCTCTGGCTTCAAGGGCGCCGCTCCCTGTGATGGCACTTCTCTCAACACCGAAGGATTCCTGGATGTGCTTTCCACTGACTTTGGCCGCGCGCTCAAAGATCTTACTGCCGTGTATGCTGATCTTCGTCGGTTATCCGTGCTCGGAGATTTGCCTATTTCGATGGAAAAGAGCAATGTGCTTCGGGTTCGGTTCCCAGGTATGGATGTGTACACATTGGAACGGCTCTGCGATGATATTGGTATCGAGCGGGGGGTGCTTGGCCAAGATCCGCAGTCCGAAAATATGCACCTGACGCTTCAAATTCCATTTGCACCCGAGTCGGCAAAGACGTTTACATCGCCTGGTGGCTCCACCAGGTCTGTCTGGGGACACGGCTCGGAATATGATGCTCTTAGCGATGACTCGTTGATTCAAGAGGCATTTGAGCTTGATGGAAATCCGTGGTTGTCAGACCCGGAAGAGTATGAAAGCCTTTCGCCGGCTAGTGGCTCGGCGGAGCACCATTCTCAAGCTCGGGAATTTGAGGGCCTTGAAGGCATACACAGGTTCTTGGAGGAATGCGAGCGGGCCAAGGGTCGGGTCAGCTAGCTATTCAGCTGTGTGTGAAATTTTGAGCGCAGCGGATGTACTCCGCACACTGTCATTCATTTGTACACCATAAGATTGATATCTCAGGGCCAAGTAATTGGCACTATTCCTTTGTTTGAATACCAAGTGCATTAAATACTATAGCTTGTTTGCTGAAGTGACTGTCGGGTATTGGCCACGTGGCGGGTGGCTCGTGGTTCCATCAATTGACTTGTTGTTGCTTCGAGGTTTGAGGAGGTCTGTACTTGTAGATAGATGCTGTAGAAATATCCCGAAGGAGAGAAGATTGCCGCAGCAGACACTGCAGTCTTGATTGTTCATGCTGTGTTTGGCAAGTAGATTGATGTTGAGGGGAGCTTCACCTGAGGTACAAACTGTGGCCCTGTAGCTTGTCAGACCCACTGAGATTCCAGTGGTTTTATCTGGAAACCTTTTAGTTGGGGATATGTTTGGACAGTCTCTTTATGCAACTCTTTGTTCTTCTTCTATCTTTATCACGAGGCGCCATTGCAATTGCTTAGTGGTGTAGTTACTGCACTAAGATGACTATTCGTTGTCAATGTTGCATCGACCGGAGTTTTCGCTAGCAGTAGACAACGAGCAACGGAGATTTGCCATTTGCGCAGCTTGGTGGCGCTAACTAGCTACAATGATGAGAGGTCGGTAATCCGAGTCGGCAAGCAACCAACTAATAATATCTACTGATTCTTCTTTCTCTAGTTAGGTGGTTTTGTTGTTAGAAATAGTATTGCAGTCTGTCTACTTCTCGGTGTAGCGGATTCTGGCCCTTCTCCAGCCATGCGCTGATACCTATACTTGCCCTTCTATCATTCCAACATGGCCGTGTCCTATTCTCAATCGAAAGGTATACTTCGGCAATTCAGCCATCTTGGCCTGATCGTGTGCTTGATCAGGCTAGCAAGCCCCGGATGGCTTGTATGCGGGGCGACTGACAGCCGCTGGAGCTCCGGTTGCACCTACTGAATAGAAGCTTGACCGGCGTCCGAAGCAACCTCGGCAGAGCCCCATCTATAAGCCCGCAAAAGCGAGAGCAACTCCTCAATCATCCCGTCTCCAACTCTCTCCTCTTCTTCATTGCCCGCATTGCCAGCATTGCGCAGCAAGAGACCTTTTCCGCTTCCATTCTCCCAACAAACATACACATAGAAACGAGCCATCATGTCTGGTCCCGGTGTCGGTTTCGAATATCCCCGCCAGAAGGTGTCCTGGCTGAAGCGCGACCTGCTCCTGTTTGCCAACTCGATTGGCGCAAAGGCCGACGAGCTTCACCTGCTTTATGTAGGAATTGGCGACCGTGGAACTCCTCGGAGCGTGCGCTGACAGTGTTTCTAGGAGCTGCACCCCGACTTTGCCGCATTCCCCACGTATCCCATCATTCTCTGTAAGCGCGCCTCACCAGTCCTCGTTCGCCACGTTCACCAGCACCGAAATTAATCGCCTGAGCCTCTTTAGCTTTCAAGGGCGCCACACAAGAAGTCATCGACTTTTACGCCAGCAGCAAGGCCGTCAAGATCCCCGGCATCCCCGAGTTTGACTACCGCCGCGTCGTCGACGGCCAGCGCAAGATGGAGTTTATCAAGCCGCTGCCCACCACGTCGGCCGGCCGCAACTTTGAGACCCGGACCAAGGTCGTCGGCGTCTACGACAAGGGCAAGCCCGGCACCGTCCTCGATGTCGAGACGGAGCTGGTCGACGCCGACAGCAACGAGGTCTACAGCCGCATCCATACGAGCTCCTTCTTCATCGGCCAGGGCAACTGGGACGGCCCCAAGGGTCCCGCGACCATCAGCTACCCGCCGCCCAAGGACAAGCAGCCTGACGCCGTCCTCCCCCACCAGACCACGACCGAGTCGGCCCTCCTCTACCGCCTGAACGGCGACTACAACCCCCTCCACGCCACCCCCGAGCCCGGCAAGAAGATGGGTTTTGGCGGCGCCATCATGCACGGCCTGTACTCGTGGAACTCGACCTGCCTCGAGATTGTCCGCTCCCTCGCCGGCAGTAACCCCGCCAACATCAAGGAGTATCAGGCTCGTTTCGCCAGCCCCGTCAAGCCCGGCGACAAGCTGGTCACCCAAGTCTGGAAGACGGGTGAGAAGAAGGGTGACTTTGAAGAGATTCGATTCGTGACCTCGGTTGAGGGTGGCAAGGTTTGCCTCAGCAACGGCCGCGCCCTGGTTAAGACTGTTGGCGCCCCTAAGGGTAAGCTTTGAGCGCCTAAACGAGTGGCGGACAGCGCGCCGGATTTTGTATAAGAGAAAACATAGCCGACGAATATGAATGAATGTCTTTTTCTACCTTGAATTTATAATAAATGTAAAATTTCAATGACCGATCCAAATACTTGTAACGTAATGCATCCATCTGCAGCGCAGATTGTGCTACTACTGTTGCCCCGTAGCAGTGTGCCCACATCTGCACCGCTTCGATGCTTAATTAATCTGCTGCCTGGCCTTTCATCGCTTTCATCGCCCGGCAACTCAGTGCGCCGAGGGCAAACACAATGCTTCCTATCTCATAAACACATCAGAGTATTTCCGGCATCGCTCAACAATGGCCGACTCGCACTACCCGGGCGAGCGTATCTCCTACGACGATGCCCTGTGCACTGTCCGCTACATTGGCGAGGTCGCTGGCGCGACTGGTGCCTGGCTCGGCGTCGAATGGGACGACGGCACCCGCGGCAAACACGATGGCTCGCACAAGGGGGTGCGATATTTTTACTGCAAGTACAAGGACACGGCCGCTACTACGAGATCCCGCGCAGCTAATCCGACCTCCAGGCACATCCGAGTCGCCCACCGCCGCCTCGTTTGTGCGGCCAACGCGACCTGCAGACGCCCGTGTGAGCTTTGTGGCCGCGCTCAAGGCCAAGTACGTGGAGGAGGAGTCCGAGGCGAGTGGCGTGCCCGACTCGCAGATCCGCTTCGCGGGCAAGATCGCCGAGGAGGTGGGCTTCGACAAGGTGCGCCGCCAGATGGCGCAGCTGGACGAGCTCAAGATGGCCATCCTCGACGGCGTACACATGGCCCTGGCGCACCAGGCTGGCGAGCCGACGGTCGCGCAGGTGAGCCCGAAGCTCGCGCACATTGACATTAGCCGGAACTTGTTTGAGGATCTGGGCCCAGTTGTAGACATCTGCAAAGACTTGCCCGGTCTGAAGAAACTAGCCATCAAGTACGTCTTTCCGCGACCTCAATAGACGTAGTAGCTAATTCGCTCCAAATCAGTGGGAATCGCTTTCAAAAAGTCTTGGACGATCCCGCTCTTGAAAAGGCTGCCGCCGCGTTTTCACGAGTCACTGAGCTGGGCATCGGAGACAACATGCTGGGCTGGAAAGAGATTTGCCGCATTGCCGTCGCCTTTCCTTCGCTAATTCACCTGGCTGCCGGCGCGAATTACCTCTCAAACCTTCCCGCGATAGATTACTGTGGTTTATCAAAAACTTTGACAACACTCAACCTGGAATACAACAGCTTCACCACAGTTTCCGACCTCGCCAGCCTCACATCCCTCACCGCCCTGCGCAACGTCTACCTCAAGGGCAACAACATCCGCACTCTGTCATCCGAAGAGACGCCCTGTCCGGTCTTTCCCAAATCCTTGCAATACATCGATCTGTCCTACAACCAGGTCGAAGGCTGGGATTTCATCGACAGCCTCAGCACGCACTTTCCAGGGCTGACGGCGCTCCGCATCAGCCATAACCCCGTCTACGACGTCCGCGCAGCGCACAACGCGCCGACGGCGACCGCGGACGAGGCGCACATGTTCACCATTGCGCGCATCGGGCCGCTGCAGACGCTCAACTTTTCGCAGGTCACGGCCAACGACCGCAGCAACGCCGAGATGTTTTACCTCGGGCGCATCGCCAAGCAGCTCGCCGCGGTGCCCGAGGCCGCGGCGGCGACGGTGCTGGTGGAGCACCCGCGCTACGAGGCGCTGTGCGAGCTGTACGGCGCGCCCGACGTGGTGCGCGCCCACGAGGTGAATCCGACGTTCCTCGAGGCGCGCCTGGTGACGCTCGCGCTGCGTTGCGCTGGCCGCGCGGACAGGACGGCGCGCATCCCGCGGGCCTCGGACGTGTACACGGTCAAGGCCCGCGTGGCGAGGCTCTACGGGCTGTCGCCGCTCCGGCTCCGGCTGGTCTGGGAGACGGGCGAGTGGGATCCCGTGGCCAGGAGGGGCGGCGACGGCGACGGCGACACGTCGGACGAGGAGGATGATGATGAGGTGGTGGCCATCCGGGTCGGCGAGGGGGCGACCGAGGATACGTATGGAGAGAAGCTGGCGGATGCGCAGCCGGGGAGGTGGGTGAAGCGCGAGGTTGAGCTGCGCGACGGGCCACGACAGCTGGGATATTGGGTGGATGGCCTGGAGGCAAAGGTGCGAGTAGAACCACTCTGAACGTACAGGGGAAGTTGGAGGAAAGAGTCAGTATACAGCTGGCAATAGGTCATCTTGGCAGGGCTTGTGTCAAATCCATTGCCTACGCAGCACCAGTGGTGCAATTACAAGTGCGGTTTGGTTTAGAAGGATCAGCCTCCTCGATCTGGCTCAACGGTCTAGACTTGGCGCGACTACTGGACAAGAAACTGTGTAGGCGCTGCCTGTGGCGCACAACTAAATACTGGCAAAAGGCCGCCGTGAGACCATGCAAGCTGGAAGTTTGACAAACCGATCCATGAAGTCGTTGCACAGCTTTATAAGGGATTAATACAGACGTCGCTTCTGTGCCGTTTCAGCATCACTTTCCTCAGACACATTCCCCATTGTCATATCCAGCCTGTCAATGTGCCCACCACCAGTGCCACGGACACTCACTCGCTAGCCATGGAGAATAACTCTCTTTCAAAGGACGATAGCCTTTCTCATGAGAACCCCCCCGCGAAGGTAACTGCAGCCGACGACTCAAGCGGTGTTGTTTTACAAGTCGAGCGAAATGACTATGGCGAAGTAGTGCCCCCAAAACGAAGGAGAGCGCAAGCTATGGACGGCTTCGATGACTGCTATTCAGACATTGTCGACTACATTGTTCGATGCACTCACAAGATATGGGACGAGCGTGATATCGGTCTAATCTACACACACTACACGCACAACTGCACCCTGTACGGCACAATGGGAACCATCTATGACCGGGAAACAATTGTTCGGGATACCATCCAGCGACTTGTGTCCTTTCCCGATCGTCGTGGCATGGCTACCCAGGTTCTCTGGAGCGGCAACGACAAGGATGGATTTTACACCTCGCATCTTGTGACTGGCCATGGCCGACACACACAGCACGGTAATTACGGCCCTCCCACCGGCAAGACCTTCACATCGCGGACCATTGCCGACTGCATGATCTACAGGAATAAGATTTATCGCGAATGGGTCGTCACTGACAACATGGCCGTCATCAAGCAACTTGGCCTTGACCCGCACGCATTGGCACACGAGACGGCCAAGGGTCTATTCGACAGGAACCTCGAGGCCGTCGACATGGGCGAGAATCGTCGCATGATCGGGCAGCAGCTCCCCGAGGTCGAGGCGGACACGTCCATTGCCAGTAGCGGAATCGAAGCGGACACGCTGTCATGGCTGCACCAAGTCTGGAACAGGCGCATGTTTGGCCGGATCGGCAACGTCTATGCGAAGAACGCCCAGTACCACGGCCCCAGAATGGTCGAGCTGTACGGCTCCGAGGCTGTCCTTCACCAGCACCTCGCTCTTCTCGGCTCGATACCCGACGGCGCGTACACGCCGCAGCACATCTGCTCCAACCCCCGCGACGAGGGAGGCGTAAAGGTAGCCGTGCGCTGGATCATCGAAGGCCACTTCCTCGGGCACGGCATCTTGCACGAACTTGGCCCGCCAAAGGGCCAGAGGTTGCAAGTCATGGGCATGACGCACTATCACTACAAGCACGGCAAGATTGTGGATGAGTGGAACGTCTACGACGAGTTGTCGCTGCTGGTGCAGATCAAGCTGGCGCAGTTGGTTGAAAACAAGCGAAGAGACTGAGTAGCAGCTAGGAAAAAAAGATGCTGTCATCAGCCAAGATGAAACACCAGTATGGCTCCAGGACGGTGCATTGGCTTCGAGTCACGGTATCTCCCAGATAGGTGTGCCGCTGTTGAGTACTTTTCGCTCTACCCTCACGGCGCAAGATAGTTCATTTGCCAACTGATGGGCTCCAAAACCCGCCTGCTGCCACATTTCCCATACATCCTCTCCCATGGTGTTCGGCGACTGTTCTGACATGTTGACATCTGCGGCCCCTGCACTCGAGTCAACATTCAACCCTTGCGTTTGCGTGTTATCGACCAGTATTACATCTGCCATGCCGCGCAGCAACGGCACGTATCGACGTGCAAGATGGCCATTCGGTGGACTGGATGCCTCTAGAGTGCGCGCGGCAAGGTCAACTAGCCGATAGAATAGGGAGCTAGATCGATCCCGACCTAATGAAATGCCATGCTGCAGCATATTGAATTGGAGGTTTCCTATGCAACAATACATTGTTAGTTTGTAATTTCTCGGGGTTTCTCGTGTAGGCATAGCAGATGATGAGCGTGCTTACAGTCGATAAGGTTTTTTTCAGGCAACTATTGACAAGGAACAATGATGCATGATATCACAACATGACAAATATGGCCTTGGAGAGGCCGCCCGGAATGTCGCGGAGTAGAAGGGCTGCCAGATCCTCGGTCGCAGTTCATGTGAAACGTGAGCCCGAGTAAAAATACGGTACCTCTGTAAGCTGTTTCGCTACGGCCGCGGCAACGTCAGTTCGCGAGTGACCCAGACAAGAGACGGACGGCTCAGCGGAAGCATCCAGTATTTGCCCGGACTCGAGGATCAACCGTATGTCGTTGGTTCAGTATCCGCTCCGTTTTGGCCGCAAAGGAGTACATCGGGAGAAGTTGATGCGGCCGGGGTTTGATACCGACGACGCCCTCCAGATACACCCAGCAGCTTCTGCCTTTTCCCAAGCGGTACGGTCTGGCTACCAAGTTTTTGGGAGCTGTAGTAACCACAAAATGTTCCAAGAGCACATTGTTGTCATTGCTACAGTTATCCACAAGCTACCATGCGGGTAATAAAAAAAAGGTAGACATATAAGTCTATACTCTCTTATTAAGAAGGTTACAATAGGAAAAGGAATAAGGGGAACAAGTATACGTAAGAAGATAAGTAATATAAGAAGGATAATAAAAATAAAGAACATTAGAAAGAGAAAGGAGTTAGAAAATAGTTAGAAAATAGTTAGAATAAGGAAGAGGTTAGTGTTCCTTGGCTATATCACCACTGTAGCGGAGCGGCATCAAAGATAGAGTGGGGGGGGGGGCTGTTGGTGGATTTCACGCAGTTGAGACAAAGCTAGAAAGTTTCGAACTGTATGAACATCTCCGTCTTCAGAGGATTCAGTTGCTACCTCTCTATCAAACTGCCATAACATATTACTCCAGTAGACTTACCTTAGCTTCAGAAAACGAAGTCCTCAGGAGTGAGGCTCTTGAGCTCGCAGCATTTAGTTACTCTCGCTCTTTTAGTCAACGCAATTGGTTTACTAGTAGCTATTCGCCAAACCTATACACGCTGTCGTTATTCCGCAGTATTCCGCAGGTATAATGGGATAGCCAACAAGTCTGACATGGATCGTCTCAGAAATCCACGTGCTCCCCGTCGACTATCAAGGGAGGATGGCCGCGCGGCGCTGGAGCCACCTACTGATTAGAGGGAGGAATATAGTGTGGGGCGTGGCACGTATACCGTTATTTATACATTCCACCCCTGTATTCTCATGATCCCCCTTCAAACTTCAAAAAGAGAAAGAAAATGGCAGGTCAACTGGTTGACTTCACCTCTCGTGCCTCCATGCGAGTCGCCACAAAGTTCCTCGTGATTTGGCTGTGTGCGGGCTTCATCCTGGCGCTCATCAAATTCACTCCGAGCAGTGTAGTGTCAGGCAGTTTTCGGGGCTTCAAGGCCGTTCCGGACGCGAAGACGAGATCAGAGTACCGAGCGTGCCGGGAGGACAACATTGCAGGATCGCAACGTCGCTGGAATACTGCGAAGAAGCGGTACTCGCATCTCCAGGATGACAAGTTCACGTAAGTTTCTGCGATGTACTTGCGCTTCAGGTGCAGCGGCCGCGAGTGTTGGAGAGCTAACAGCTTTACAGCATCACCATGCAGACGTATAATCGCCAAGACGAACTCGGCCAGACTCTCCATGCGCTCCTGAGCGAAAAGATTCCGTCTCTGCTCGAAGTTGTCGTGGTATGGAACAACGTCGACGAGGAAGCGCCGGCCGATTACGTCTCCGAGCACGGTGTCCCCGTGCGGTACAGACAGTCGCCAGTCAACAGCCTGAACCAGAAGCTCTGGCCCGATCCCACCTACAAGACGCAGGCCATTCTCCTGAGCGATGACGATGTGCACTACCACCCCTCCGACGTCGAGTTTGCCTTCCAAGCCTGGCGCGAGTTTGGCCGGGATAGGATGACGGGTGCCCTTGCGCGCTGCGCGGAACCCAGAGAGGGCGGCACGCTCCAGTACTCGTTGTGCTCCAACGCCAAGGACCAGGATGTTTACGCCATGGTCCTCACGAACCTGGCCTTTTCGCACATTTCCTTTATGGACTACTACTGGTCCGACGACGCGGACATGGCCACCATCCGCGACTACGTGGATCAGCATATGAATTGCGAAGACATTGCGATGAATCACGTCACGTCGCTACTCACGGGTCAAGGTCCACTTCTGGTGACGGGGCGCGAAAAGTACGTCAACTTTGAGCCTGCTTCAGGCATCAGCAGAAAACCCGGCCATATTGAAGCTCGGAGCAAATGTCTTGACGACTTTGCCGACATTTTCAAGTGCAAGGCCTTGATTAACGAGACAGGCCACATTCAACGGGGTGTGGTAGTGCTATGAGTTCAAAAAAAGATGGCAGCAGCATATAACTAATGATGTGTGTGTACGGCATCTTTGGCCTTTGGGTCAGGGCAAGCTGGTGGTGAAGTTGTAGCTGATAATAGGGGGCAGCTTATATATAAACTCGATGTATTATTAGTCACGCCAAAAAAAAACCCCCCATTAAAACTATCAGCCTCGACCGTCTGCGCCACAGCTCCCCAGTAAGCCACCATGCAGCCGGATTATCTAAAGCTCCCCCTTCCGAAGCTCGAAACCCCGGCCAAGCTTTGCGAGGAACGGGAGACACCGGGAAGCGGACAATGTGCTCTCGCCGACAGAAATGACGCCTCGTTCCTAACCACTAACCCAGCCAGGTCACGTTCATCCATTCCCACAACCAACAATGGCGGCTCGAGTCCTCTTGCAAAGGGTGAGTCTCCTCTTTTTGATTCAATTGAGTCGTGGCTGTCCTTTTATCGAGCCCAGTAAGCTAATTGACCTTGCCAGCACGCTCTGGCGGCTGCTGCCCTTGGTGCTGTAGCCCTCATGCCCGCAACGGCTCTGGCAGAGGCACCCGCCGTGGACAAGGTACGATGATGAACACGAGGCCGCCGCCTTTCAGCTGCTTTCGCGTTGCTGCTGCTGCTGCTGCACACCGTTCACTCCCGGACGCGGGCGGCTCGGCTCGCAACCCGCGTCAACCACAACCCCGGTCGCTAACGTTTTCATCCTCGCAGCGGAAACCCATCTACGACGACTTTGAGGCCCTGCCCCCAGCGCCCTCGGCCCCGAACGCCGCGCCCCCAGCGACCGCGCCCGCGCGAGAAACCAGCAGCGACCGCGACGACACGCCGCTGGCGGTGGTCAGGAAGCCGCGCGGACCGACGCCGACCGACCAGCTGGCGGTGCAGATCGGCAAGGGCCGGCTGGCGCTGTACCGGCTCGCCGTGGCCGCCGAGGACAGGGTCAACGAGGCCATGGACTGCGCGTTTGGGCTGGAGCAGTCGTTTACGCGGACGCTGGCCTCGCTGGCGCCCGCCCGCGCGTCGGGCGAGAAGCTGATGCCCGGCGCCATCTACGTGCTCGTCGCCGCCATGGCCGGCAGCATCGTCGCGCGCAACCGCGACGTGCTGCTGCGCGCCGCCGCGCCCCTCGCCTTTGGCGTCGGCGCCGGCTGGGCCGTCCTGCCCGTCACCATGCGCAACGTCGCCGACCTCAGCTGGAAGTACGAGCAGCGCTTCCCCGCCGTCCGCGACACCCACCTCCAGATCCGCGAGGGAATCGAAAAGGGCGCCAGCTTCGCCAGGGTTCACGCCCGCCTCGGCGTCCGCCTCGTCGACGAAAAGGTGACGGATGTCAGGGAGATTGTCGAGGGTTGGGTCAAGCAGGGTAAATAAAGGATACAGGGGGCGTGACAACGACCGCAACAAGTAAAAAAACACAGCATATTGTTTTCGGATAAAGGGGGATGCCACAAAAACTGGCAAATGATTGTACCATCACATCAAAAGTCTCATAGATGATGTAGCAAGATTTCATATTTTCTTTGTTCAAGAATTGCGACGAACGATTGTTCGACATTTCTGCATTTCTCGCCGTTTAGTAATGAGTTGGGCTGTGTGTTGACCATTTAAAGGCCTTGGTCCCTGGTTTTCGGACTCCTTCACTTGAATATGTCCAGGCAACTGCCTTTGTACCCTCAAATACCTTGTATATCAAGTCGTTACCCCGCCACACTTATCGTCGGCCCTTTTGATCTATCCTAATAACTCCCATGGCATGCAAAAATTCTTCGCTTATGTGTAATTCCAAGGCTGCCCTTCCAAGAGGAGAGCTGACAGTCTCTATGTATCTTTTTGTAGACGCAGACACCTGATGTTGCCTCTATACGGCGGACACCACGAGTGGCTTATCCTGGTCCGAAACTGAGGGGGGCTGCTGGCGGTTGGACAGCGACTTTTTTGTCTTGGACAAGGCGCGTGCGTAGCCCATCTGTCCACCGGCGGCCAGCGCGCTCGCATTCGTCGACTGGGCTGCCTTGCGAGCCGCCTGCAGCTTCTGCTTCTCCGTGGGCTGGCCGAGGCCGCGCAGCTCATCGAGGACACGGGCCTGGTCCAGCAAGTGCGGGAGGCTGAGGCCCTCGCACATGTCCACGTACGAGCGCGCCTTGGTGACGGCCTTGTGCGCGGCCTCCTTTCCGGGCACCATCTGCGCCAGCAGGTACTTTGTGTTGCTAAACTTGTTGTTGACGGAAATCGCCGTCGCGAGGTACTCGCCGATGACGTCGCGCCACGGCAGTAAGCCGCCGTCAGCCGCGGTGCGGAAGCAGCTGGGGTTCGTCTCCGCCGCGGTAGCAATCATGGCGCCGTCGGCGCCAAACTCAGTGGCCAGACGCAGACCCTCGTCCTTGGACTCGACGTCGCCGTTCATGAGGCACGCGACGCCGGCCTCGTGGCAGAGGTCAGCGACCATGCGCAGCTGGCCGCGGATGGCACGCTCGCGCGGGCGCATGGGCGTCGTGCGGCAGTGTACTGTGAGGCCCGTGATTCCCGTAGCAACGAGGCGGCGGACGAGCGTCTCCGTCTCGGCCGCCGTCTCAAGGATACGGATCTTGACGCTGATGCCAATGTCGTAGTGCGGAGTGATGTTTTTCACAAGCGCCTCGAGGATCGCGACGAGCTTATCGGGCGTGCGCAGGAGCGCCGCGCCCATGCCGCCGCTGGTGCTAAAGGGCTTGGGGCAGCCGGCGTTGACGTCGATGCCGGCGACGTCGCCCGCGATCAGGCGAGCAGCCTCCACGGCGAGATCCGGGTCGGCCGTGCCCATTTGGAAGATTAGCCTCTTGGCCTCCTTCTCCGGTTCCGTGACGTATATGACGCTCATCTTCGCATCAGGTGGCGGTTCCTTGAGGCCATGCGACTGTGTGCGGCACCACTCGATGCATCCCGTCTGCTCGTTAACTTTGCGCGTGGTGCCAATGATGGCGCGGTCGATGGTCTCGGGGCCTGAGGTTCGATAGAGAAGGATTTTGTTAGAGTTTTGAACTCGGGGAAGAAAAAAAGGCCTTGAAGAAGCGATGCAGTCATCACTTACCCCAGACTAGATCGGCGCCGTACTTGAGCGCCAGGAGTCGCGACGGCAGCTCCCCTGAGCGGACCATGGGAGCGAGGACGACCTTGCCGCGGTAGTCGACACCCTTGGCAGGTATGGGAACTTTTCTCACTGCTTCCGTCATGATTCTCCGTAGCCACATGCCTCCTGGGGTTGGTTTGTAATGGTTGATTGCGGATGCAGAACGACGGCAAGTGGCGACACTGAAGTGGGCGCAAGCTAATTTTTGACTAGGTACCTATGCCTTATCTAATCGTGGATGTGCCATACATACATAGCCTGCCACGCATAACAACCAACTATTATAAACAAACGAGAGCCGTGCATTTTCGTTAATGTCAATAAGTCTCTGGGCGGTTGTTTCTCTTTGTTGGTAGAGATCCGATATATTGATTTTCGGTGTAGAAGTGTGCTTATCGTTGGCCGGCGCAGGCAGTAGAGTGTCCCCCGCCACAATAAGTTGGAGGAAGCCAACATCATGGTAGTTTCAGTGGCCGGTGGCGGCAGATCAAGCTTCACTTTCCCTTGAAGCTGGGAGCTGTCTGCCTTGCGCAGTTATATATTCTCCTGTTATGCAACGATGTTCCCCGAACAAAATGTGCCTGCAGCCGTTTGAAACAGCATGCAGGGTAACCACTGCTGCGACAGCGGGTACCTGACAGGCCACCGAAAGCAGTATACCGAGGGCCCAGGGAGCTTCTGGTAGCAGGCGGCGAGCATGTGCTTGTGAAACAAGTTCTACATTGTAAGTACTATGGGTATTCGTGCGTATAGATATGTCGCTTCAAAACTGGCCAAGAAAATCACACGAGGATATTAATAGAGGGAGTCATGCGCTTTAAGCGCCCTCACTTGCTACGCCACAAGACGGAGACTCGCTCGTAATTATTGTAGGCGCCCAACGGTCCCATGCGGCCAGCGAGGTTGAATCGCGGGGCAGGGCAGCGAGCGCCCGAAATAGCAGCTGGGGAGGGCTGACGGGCCACGAACCCGCTCGATGGAGGAGACCCTGGCGGTTAATACGATGAAGACGAGGCAGCGGTCGATGGTGCCCAAATCGTGTTCACGGCTGGAGGAGAAGTGCCAGGAAGAATCAGAGATGGTAATGAACGGTTGCTGGGTGGCTGCCAATGACCTTGTTGTCATATGTAGGCAATAAATAAGTTATATTAGCAAGGACTGTTGTCAAATACCAGACGATCTGTCAAGGGCATTCCTGGCCCTAATAATAAGCATGGCGAGCGTCAGTGTAATTTAGCGCTTGTGTTATGTTACAGCGGTAGAGAAGAGGATGTCTTAGTGGTCGGGTGAACCAGATAAAGAGCCTGTTCCATCAACCGTTTGTTTGGTTTCAGCACGTCTTGTCCTTGGCTCGTATTTTCCATTTGCCCTTGACGGATCGTAGGTATGTCGCTATTATTGTGAGGTATCTTACTAGGAGTGGTAATAAAAAAAACAAGCTTTGGCTTCGCCCACCAACAAAAGCCCCATCTCGAACTACTCCGTACCTACCTGTACCTACCTGTACCTAGTAATACTGAGCGGTTACTGCTTTATTACCCACTACATTCAAGGGCCCAGGCGTGCTCGACGTCACAGACTCACACAACCAAGGCTTGAGAGCCACAATGCAGCGAGGCTTGTTGCTCCGTGTTTAGTGGGATACCTAGGTAGTTTCTGCTGCCCTTTTCTCGTCTTGTCGTTGGGTCGTCTTTCTGGCCTTGTAACCCCTGCTAACTACGGGCTACCAACTATCTGCTCCTGGGGCGGCTTGCCTTGGTGTTGCCGCGGGCGGGCGGGCTCCCTTGTTGATCAGACCAGGCTGACGCCGCGCGCTGGGCTTGCCTTGTCCTTTCCATTCTTCCATTCCATTCTCCATTTGCTCCATTTGCTTGCTCCTTCTCTTCCTCGTTCGTTCCCCTCCTCCAAACCACGGACCGTTGCGACCTCTTTCACAGCCCGCCTGCACAAGCCCTTTGACCGGCACCGCCGTCACAAAGGCCGTCGATATACGAATTCATACCGGGACGCCAACAACCCTTGGCCGAGCAGGGGACCTTTTGTACCTAGACACTCTGGGGATATTTGAGGGAGCTTGTGCCCCTCTGCCCGCGCATCTCTCTTGGTGGTTGCCGCTTTCCCAAGCTCCAACGAACAACAAGTGACCTCGGAACGCACCACGCCAACGCGGCCGGCACAAGTACCTTGCTTGGCTCGCCATCGTCGTCTTCCGTCGTCGTCGTCGTCGTCGTCGCACAATACCACCACAGTGCACACGCCGCCGCACTGTACCCTGACGACTTCTTCATTCTGCAAACATTACCTGGCATACGTACCACTGGCCACATTGTCTACGTGCACCAGACCAGACGGTCGCTTTTCCCCTCTGCGGCCAACCTCCATCAACACCCTCTGCCTTTGCTTGGCCGCAGCAACGGGCGAGGCGATACTGCGCATTCCCCTCCTCCCCCAAGCGCGGCCCATGACTCTACGGCATCGTTCCACCACGAGCTATGGAAAATGAGGCGTCCTCCAGAAGGGGCCGGCTTATCGGCAAGCTCTTTGGCAGTAAAGAGCGCAAGACCTCCGATTCCACCAACGCTACCAGCCTCGACTCCTTTTTACACAGCTCCGACAACTTGCAGGTGACGCATCCTCCCCCACCACCCCCGCCAACCACTCTGCCAAAGCTCGACACCACCATATCGCGATACCCTCAGGCTCTTGCCGTCAACCAGCAAGCCCAGCTGAACCGCCCAATTGCCCCCGGCTACCTCGATCTTTCCGCCACCAAAACCCCTCGAACGCCGCGCCCAAACAAAAAGGGTCTTTTGATACGATTCTCCGACGCCCAGCCAGAGGTCATAGGCGAAGGCGGCGATGAATGCGAGAAACCGACCATTGAAATCTCCCGCGCCAAATCCGCACGCTCCCCTCAGCCTCCCCCTCCCCCACCTCCTGCTGTACCTCCCAAACGGGTGCCCGTTCCACCTACTGGCGACATCTTCCGACCGAAGCGTCTAGCTAGAACCCAGACCGGCTACTCCTCCATTTGCTCTCCAGAAGAAGGCCCCGAGAGTAATGATGATCCCGTCTACCCTCAAAAGTGGCGAGACTCACCACCCCCACCCGGGACGCAACCCAAGCTCGACGTTCCCGATAGGTCTACGGCGGGAGGACTCTTAGCAACCCCGACCCACGACGAGAATCGTCGGTCCTTTATCGAAACTCAAAAGGCACAGATGCGTAAAGCTGAGGGACAGGCGTTTGCAAAAGCCGCGCGCACCTCGAGTGTTGCCTACGATGGCAACTGGGAGGACACAGCTTTGCCTGCTACTGCGCTGCCTGCCACAATCGCCGAGTCCCCTCAAAGCTCCGCGCCTAAAAAGTCTCTCGACTACAGCCCAGCGACATCGCTCACGTCCCTGGCATCCAGCACCTACCCGCCGTCTTTGCCGTCGCCTCTGTCGACCGGGGCGCAGTCAGGCTTTCCTCCTCAAAACGAGGACCCTCGGCCTATGGCCACGAGAATGGTGTCCGTAAGGATCACTGACACGATGGGTGGTGAAAGTACCGAGGCATTGGGCACTTTTGTGCATCGAACGACACATCTCCACGAGCTATTCCGTCTTCATGCCGAGACCATTGTACCCTTGCAAAATTGCGAATTGAGAGATCTCGGCCGCGCAGGGCTGTGGTGGTTCCTAAAAGGTCGCTTGGGGCTTGAGCAGGCCATAAGAGAATACCAACCTAACACGCCAGCTGCATCAAAGGCCCAGCTGCAGAATGAACTGGACAAGCAGCAGGCCTATGCCAATCTGGCCAAGTCGTATTGGCTGTGCCAACACGCCATTCCAGAAATCTCGCAAATTCGCCGACTTCCCCCCGATCCCGAGATTCTGGCTGCTACGGAGCAGCTGATGTCGTCACTAAAAAAGCTGGCCATGTCTATGAAGAGAAATGGCCTTTTGCCCCCAGAAGAACCTTTCTTGCCGGCAACCATAGATAAAGCCATTTGGCTGGAGTATCCAGCTATGAGCCAAGACATGATTGCCTTGCTATCTGGTGACTGGGGCTCGGGCATTTCCGCTATTCAAAAGCCAACGACAAACTTGCAAATATTGAATGCGCTGCCGCTCACCGACATGACGGACTTTTTCAGCTACGGCCGAGTTGCGGCAGACTGTTTCTTGATGGAACAGGGACGAGAAGCACAGAGAGTCTACTTTTCCTGCTTCCTGTCTATGCTGCGACCCCGGACCGAGACTGGACTCGTATTCATCATTGCTAGCCAGAATGGGGTAGTTCAACTGGCCATACAAGATAACAAGGGAGCCGGTCCAGTGTGGGAGGATGTGCGTTGGCGCAACGACACCTGTACTCTGGAGCTACGGCTACCCCGTGGATTCATGCTCGCCGTACAGCTGTCACAAACTGACTATCGCATGTTGTGGAACATGTATGACTTTGGTGCCCGGGTTCGGTCGTCCTTGAAACCTCGCCCTGATGAAACGATAGTTTTTAGAAATACGCTCCCTTCGTTCCAGTACATTGACTCTGATCCGCAGTCGCGTGTGTTCCCCAAGGACGCCGTGGTGCAGTGCGAAGTGGCGCTGTTCGAACGAGTGTACAAAGAAAACGGCCCCGCAGGCCAGAGAAACTGGCACGCCGGGTTCCGCATCGCGGCCGTGACGGGACCGCACACCAGGACATTGAGCGGAGTGCAGCACAACTACCCGACTCTGCTGCCGGTCCAGTTTGGCTTTTTCCGCGACGGCGATGCGCCAGCTCTGTCCATCAAGTTTGAAGGAAGCCGTCAAAAGGGGTGCATGGTGCTTACTTTTAGCGACGAAAAAGAGCGCGTGCGGTTTCACTCGCTCATTACAGGAACCGCGTTGGAGGTGGACGAGCGAATCTTCGCCAATGTACCGCTGCGTAGCTTGCAGATATCAGAGAAAATGGACGATATGACAAACATATTGCCGTTTGGGCGCATGCCTTGGAAGGCGGCGCAGGTCATAAATGACGAGTTTGGGCCGAACGGAGAGCAACCGCCGTCGGTGCTGTCGGATAAGCTCAAGGTAGTGCTGGAGTACCAGAATGGCATGGTGACGGACCGAATCAACGTGGCGCCCGGGGAGATGCGCCTCAGGTTAGACGTATCCAACAGTTTGGTATTCCGCATGCTCCGTCAACCACAGCAGGACATGACTGTGTCCATCTCGGATACGCAAGTGCCAAAGGAGCTGGCGGCGGAGATGAGCCGTGGGCTACAGACGATACGACACAGACAGACGATACGCACACTGGAGTTCAACAGTCTGAAGGAACTGCATGAGTTTCAATTCGCGGTGACTGGGTACGAGGTCATGTTCGACGCGATGGCGACGACATTTGCGATTGCCCGGCGCAGAATGGTTGTGCCTATCCATAAGAAGTGGGAGGCTGGCCTGACGCGGATCCAGGTTGTGCGACAAGAAGACAAGCAGGTGCAGCTGTTGGCATTCTTCGAGAACTGGCAGCATGGGCACTGCATGAACTTTGTTCTCAAGGGTACAGACGTGTACGAGTCGTTCCAACGGAGCGGCAAGGCAGGAATTAAGTTTGTGGATGCCAAATTTCCGTTACCGCGTCTGCCGGAAGACAAGGATGGAGATCTTGGCGACATGGCGTTTGTCTGCCTTGATCTTCCGGACCTGCCGGGAGAGCACGACGACATTTCGATTGTGTTTGAAAAAGAACTGGGTAAGTGACGAGACAAACAAGGCTGTAGATGAGGGAGCCAGAGAACTAACATGAAGTGCAGATCGCGACCGGCTGTGCTTGAATCTGCCAGCAGCTGTCAAAGGCGGGGGTCGAATGTCGATATCACGACTCAGGTAAAAGGAAGGAACCTATTACAATTACAATTGCGGCGTAATGACGGGCTCAAGGGGTCCGTTTAAACGCGGAGGATACAAGCAAATGCAGGACGGCGACGTTAATTGTTTGTGAAATATATTAGCGGGTTGCCGGATATCATACAAAATGCATAGCAGATGATGGGATAGCATATGTAGAAAGATGATTTATGTTTACAACGAGGAATTAGCCGAGGCAAGGCGCAGACTGATTTGGGAACGTGAGGCAATATGTGCGATGCACCGACTATAGAATACAGAACATAATAATTTGTACCAGGCTATCGATTGAACTACAGGGCGCAGCGGTGGTCGACAGGGACGTTGAGAGGGTTGGGGCCTTGGAGGCTAAAATAAGCGGAAGCTTGTTGCATGATGGATGGATGGATGGGCTGAGAGGGTGGAGGAGACTCTCAGGAGTAGCCCAACCAGAGCCGGGGTGGCGTGCATGTGCCTGGCTGGAGTGGCCGGGGATGGAGCGGCGGAGTTTACGACTTTGTGGAAACTGTACAAATTACGGATAACGAATTCTTGTATGAGAGGAGCGGAGGGAGACTGAGACGGGGTGGTGAGAGTGATGGACAGTTCCTGCTCATGCAGTTTGCGTGTTACGCAGAATGTGGTTTCGTAGTCTTGTTGTCGGTTGGTGTAAGAGGTTACAGCGCTGGGGAGGGATGATGCGAATGCTTTGTTTCTTTGATCCGTTACCAAGAGGGCATGGGACCAGTGCAGTTGCCTGGCGATAGTTACGTATCAGGTCACATTCAGCTATACCGACGCAGCCTATGACGACACTTGGTTGTACGGTTTAGCTTGGGCACGGATTAGGCGGGTTGTGTGGCCTAGACTATAGACCAGTGAGAGTGACGGAGGAGTGGCCAGTCGTATTATAAAGGGGGCAAAGCAGGCCCAGTTTGGCGAGCCTTTTCCTCTATACATTATCGTTTTCTTTGGTTCCGGCCAATTTGCTCAACGAAAGTGACCAGCCACGCGGTCGTTACGATCAAAGCGACCAAGAAAAGCGACGAGAACAGACAAGACAGCAGACCAACGTCATTTGACAAGCTCTCGGGAGAGCTAGCGCTAGCAAAGCAAGGTTAGCGAGCGGGCGGGCCATTTGGAGCGGTGGCGGTGGCAAGAAGAAGAAAGCACGAGCAACGCTACTCGGTTGATGCAAACTTGGTGCGTTTCTTCTTCTTCTTCTTCTTTTTTTCGCAATTTGAAGCCAGCTCTTGACGACGGCCAGCATCGGAAGCAGCAAGGTGCACTGCATCACTAGCACAAGCACTTTTCCCAACAACTATCCAGGTGGGGTAACTTATTAGTAGCCAGCGAGCTGCATTAGGTAAGCTGGCGGAAGCAGCCACTGTCGTTTTCATCCGTGCAGTTGGACGCCCTGAAATACAGCGGCCACCACCGCAGGCAACCGTACCTAGGTACCCAATTTCGGGGCTTATAATAACGGATCGGCGCGCTGGCTTTTCAGCCTCTCCAGGCTTCTCTGCTTCTCTCCAGCGCTCTCGCAGCTTGGCAGCCACCAGCCAACGCCCGAGCTTCCCCGCCTCTCCCGTCCGCGAGCCCCTCCAGGGCGGCCAAAAAAGTCGTCGACGTACAGGTACCTAGTACCGGCGACAGCCTCGAACGGAGCGCAATTCTTGTTCTCTTCCTCTTCTTCTTCCTCGTTCACCATCTCGCTCTTGACATCGCTTCACCATGACTCTGATGGGACTTGTCTCTTCTGGCACCCGTAAACGGGGTATGTCTTGTCTTTTTCTCATCCCGTTTTCAACTACAACACCGTGCACAGCTTCACACACGTACCTACCTAGGTACCTACCTCCTAGGAAGCTGTCCGTAGCTTCGGCAGCGCCGCTTAGTACCCAGCTTCCCTCCCTCCCACCTTTGCCCTCCCGCCAAAACGAGCCCCTCCATCAACCCCCATCCTCAAGTCATCTGCTCCCTCACTCTCTACGCCGATTTGGCCCCTCTCCTTCTTCGTCCTACACCATCAAGCTTAACATACATACCCGACATTTTGATACCCCGACGTCTTGTGGCGCTGCATCCTCACATCATGCTAACAGGTTGGTTTGGCTCTACTGAAGCGGGCAGCCGAGCTTCCGCAGACGACGGCAGCAGATCCGACCCCGACGATGACACTCAAATCATGGAGCCCGATCAGGGAAATGGTGCGTTGAACATGAATATTTCACCTGCGCGACGACTTTCGGCCCCAATCTCGCCGCGCCGTCTCCGCCGGTATACTCGACTAACCCGTTTCTCCCCCGCAGTCCTGTCGCACATCATCTCCCAGCTGCGCCCTGGGGCCGACTTGAGCCGCGTCGTCCTTCCTACCTTTATCCTAGAGCCGCGCAGTATGCTCGAGAGAATAACAAAGTTGGTTACCCGTCATGAACCGTATGGCCTTTTTCACCTACTAAACCGCGCCTCACAGCTTCATGTGTCACCCCGAGATGCTCCTTCACATCCCCACCATAGACGATGACGTCGAGCGCTTCGTTTCCGTCGTCAAGTTCTACCTCAGTGGCTGGCACATCCGACCTCCGTATGCTTCCTCCCCAGATTTTCGACACTTTCCTTCCCGCTAATATATCCTCAGAGGCGTCAAGAAGCCCCTCAACCCCATCCTCGGCGAAATCTTCTCCTGCTACTGGGACCTGCCCGACAATAAGAAGGCATACTACATTTCTGAGCAGACCTCGCACCATCCGCCAAAGTCAAGCTACTTCTACATGGCGCCCGAACATCACATTCGCATTGACGGCACACTCAGGCCGCGCAGCAAGTTTCTCGGCAACTCGGCCGCTAGCATGATGGAGGGAATCGCATTCTTGAGCCTGCTCAACAGAGGGAAGGACAGAACCAAGGGCGAGAGATAGTCAGTGACCCTGCATGACTTGATACGCAAAATATGCCCACTAACAGCCGCCGCAGCATCGTTACCCAGCCCAACATGTATGCCCGTGGCATCCTCTTTGGCAAGATGAAGTACGAACTCGGAGACCATAGCTTCGTTCGGTGCCCCGAGCTCGACCTTACTGCTGATCTCGACTTCAAGACCAAAGGTTGGGTCAGCGGCACCTACAACGCCGTCGGCGGTGTCATCAAGCGCGAGAGCACAGGCGAGGTGCTTTACGAAATTTCCGGCATGTGGCACGAGGAAATGTTCATCAAGAATGTTGCTGTACGTCCCCGATACTTGAAACGAAATTTCATCCTTCTTGCTAATGCGACAGACAGACTGGCCAACGTGAAATGTTCTTTGACGCTACACATGCTAAACCTAGCAACCCCCAAGCCCGACCCATCGCCGAGCAAGAAGAGCGCGAGTCACAAAGATTATGGGAGTTGACGGCCAAGGCTGTCAAGGAGCGCAACCACGAGGTGGCGACGGACGAAAAGACAAAGATCGAAGACCGCCAGCGAGAGGAGGCTGCTGCTCGCGTCCAGGAAAACAAGGAATGGCAACCTCGACTGTTCCGTGCTGTCAAGCCGTCTACCGAAGAGTCCGAGCAGGGCGAAGAGGGTCTCGAATGGATTATCGATGCCCACGTGTGCGTTTCCTTGGGACATGCATGCCGCGATTTCTGCTAACTGGTCTTACAGTGACGGCGCAGCCTCGCCAGAGGAACAAACGAAACAGGTTCTTTCCATATTCCCGATTTTGCCTGAAAAAACAGCTGGCCAAGCACCATACACCAACAATGCAGCGCCCCCTCCAAGCGCCGCCCAACCCGCTGCCTCTGGAGACGATCTGATCGATATCGGCAGCAACGATGTGCCAGCTCCGCCACCAGTCAAGCCAGCTGACGACGTAGAGGCCATGCTCAAGGAGACGGGAAAGCCCGCTGAAGGATCACTCATTGATCTGTAATTGAGCGTCCACGACCTTGCTGCGGCTGAGAGGGCCTCTGATGTTAAACAGTGCATCATAGGCCACATCGGGGCAGGGGTTGGGCAATGGTGAAAGGTGCTTGACTTTTTTCATATTTAGTTATTATTACTTAGAGATATTTTACGCTTAACGCATGACATGTCGGTGTGGCAGATTCCTTTTTTGATTACTCTGCTTTGGGTAGTACGGAATGCTACATACATTATTACCCGGGTTACTAGCATTCAACATGAATTAATGAATTGGAAATGGTTGCTTGATGCGGTGTGACATATGCAATACACAGAGTAGTGTGGAAAAAGGCGGATGTAATGCAATGAATGGTCTTGTAAATTGGAGCGAGCGCACTCCTAATACATGCTAATTGCCTAGGTAGGTAGGTACCTAGGTAGGTACTCATCCTACCAAACTTTTCAGCTTGTTCCATAAACGCACATTCCCAAACCGAAGCTAAAGATGCCATAACGCCACACCAAAGTATACAATTTGCCGTCATCTCCCGCCCACCAACTTTTTCCTTTCTACACGGCTCGCCTCGCCATCACCGCCTCTCTTCTACCAACGTCGCCTCGTAGGCTCGGGCGTGGGCGAGCGGCTCACGCTCTTCTCGTCGCGGCCGCGGCTGCGCAGCCACTTTTTGGTGCTCAGGGTCAGGTCGCGGTCGAGCTCGTCGCTGGGGTTCTTGCGGTGGATAAAGTTGCAGAAGCCGCCGCGCATGCAGCCCTCGCCCGAATTGAGGCGACAGCAGGCCTCGCGAAAGTCGGTCACGGGGCTCAGCTCGCAGTAGATGGGGCGGCCGGCGTACCACCGACCGTTGAGTTCGTCGCAGGCCTTTTGCGAGGCGTCTTCGTACTTGAATCGAGCATAGACATTGCCGATGAGGTCTAACGTTTGCGTGTCTCCGTTAGCGATTTTTTCTTTCTGGGCTTCATCGAGAGGGGGGGGGGGGGAACGTACGATCATTGTTATTGTCACACACAACAAGCTCTTCCAGCTCGCCGTACTTGCACAGCTCGCACCAGATATCCTCGTAAAAGGCGTCAAAGTGGTTCTGCAGCTGCGACGGGTTCATGCGGTTGACATTCTTCTGGTCGTAGGCCGGGTTCTGGTACAGGTTGGGCATCAGGATCGTCTGGCTGTACGAGGGCTTGACGTGCTTGCGCGAGCACCGGTCGCCGTGCCGGCACGCGCCAATCTTGAAGTAAAAGGAGCAGTTGACCTTGTCCTGCTCCGTGCCGAAGATGGAGGCGAGAAAGTTGGCCATGGCTGCGGGTCGGTTTGGAGGTGGCGGCTGTTTGGGAGGCGCTGCTGGGTGCGGCGCTGCTTTGTGTCTTTGTTTGCGGTCGAGCGCGTGATGGGAAGATCACGGTCGCGAGCGAAGGAGAAGAGGACGGAAGTCGGATTGGGAGATTTGCGCAGTCGATGGGCTTTTGGGGGGATAGGAAGTGACACGGGAAATTCAACTTGGTAATACGATAGCAGCTTTGCGGTGCGCCACAGAGATGTGGCGTCGTCACGTGCCGTGGCTGATTAGTAAATCTGCCCAAAACGCGTCTCCAAGCTTCCACGGCACACTATTCCGTTAACCATCTGCCAGTCAAGTTATCTGCCTGCTTCTACCTCTCTTACCCGAGAACCACTGATCGGTCTGAAATGTAACTAGACGGGCGACAACTTGCCATCTTGTCCAATCTGTAAGTTTTCAAATTTTTCCCCCCAACCCATGGTTCTCCAATTCTCTCGTTCTTATGATGGTTCAATTCTTCAATTGAATTCTGCAATTCTGAGAGGCTTGATTTATTTCGAGCTCTTCTGTGGATAATTATACAGCTGATTATGTTGCAAATGATTATATTTAATCATTTGCCAGTCGTTCCCTCATTCATTTCATCTATTATTACATGCACCTGGTTCTAACATACCTTGGTAGAATAGGACACCTCTCCCCCCAATTTACGTGTTGGTCGGGAACATGGACGGGTACCGCGCGCCCGCCGTCTCAAACTCGTTGGCAAGCTTGGATAGCGACGCAAACTCGTCGTCCGACAGCCGCACCTCGGCCGTGTTCTCGTGCACCCGCGCGACCGACGTCGTGCCCGGGATGGGGATGACGGCCGGCAGCTGCCCGTCGAGGTGGTCGTGCCGGCGCACCCAGGCGAGCGCGAGCTGCGCAGGCGTGCAGCCCTTGTCCGCGGCGAGGGCCTGCACCCGCGCCGTCAGCTGCAGGTTATGGTCGAGGGCCGCGCCCTGGAAGCGCGGGAACATGCCCAGCCGGCCTTTGATGTCGGCGGCGCTCTGAACCGCGCCGGTGAGCAGCTAAAACGTAATTTAGCAACCAGTGTTGGTGTCATGTGGTGGGTTCGATGAGAGAAGGGGGGGGGGGGCTTACGCCGCGGCCGACGGGGGAATAGGCCATGATGGGGATGTCGTGCTTGGCGCACGCGGCTGCGATGCCGTTGTGCAAAATGTCCGTCGTAAACAGGCTCAGCTCCAGCTCCGCCAGCTGCACGGGCACCACCTGGACGGCCTCCTCCACGGTCTGCACTGAGCACTCGCTCAGCGAGACGCCGCCGATCTTGCCCGTGTCGACGTACTCGTCTCGAATCATGCGCAGCGTCGCCGCAAAGTCGGCCGTGGTGTCGCGGCGCGCCACGGCAAAGATGTCGAGCTTCTTCTTCCCGCCCAGCTGCGCGAGGATGTTGTCAATCGACTGCCGCACAAAGGCCGCGCTCGTGTCGGGCGCCAGCTTCTGCGTGTCGAGGCCGCCCTTGATGCAGACGACGACGTGCGCGGCGTCGGCGGGGTACCGCGTAAAGTACTCCTTGATGAAGAGCTGGCTGTTCCAGTCGGGCGGGCCGTAAAACTCGGCGCCGCTCCACAGGCGGCAGCCGCTGTCGTAGGCGGCCTTCATCGTGGTGAGCACGTCGTCGAGCGTCAGCCGGTCCTTGGCGAAACCAAAGCCTGCGGGGAGGTGTGTCTTTGGTTAGTGCATGCCCTGATGCGCTGCGGCTTCTGGCGGCGCGCCAAACATACCCATGAGGCCGTAGCCTGTAGTGCCGACTTCTTTTCCGAGAATTTGAACCATTGTGTAGTCGTAGACGCGACAACGGTCGTGGAGGTTTAGTGATGTTGGTTGGTTGTAAGTAGTTGGGAGCAAACGGCCTGATGAAGATGAAGACTGGCCTCCTATGGGCCCATCTGGCCGCTACTTATGCTTCAGGAGCCTCATCGAAACCTTTGCACCGAACTTTACAAGCTCCTGCTAGCTTCCCAGTACACCCCGTCGATGATGGTCCGTCTAAGTCCGGGGTGGGTGTGGTTACTCTGCCGCGCCTTGTGGGCCTCACCCACTGTCATCGGCTTAACTCCGTGGACAGCCTTGTTTCCGTAACTCTCCAGCTGGCTCCCCCTCAACGACAACTTATAATCCACGCATCATTGTTTCTGGCTCGTACTTCTCCAGTTGCGGAGCGCTAGCGGAAACCCGCCATGCGGGACAGTTTCCCAACCCGTCGTGATCCGTCAGCTCCAAAACTAACCCTATCTCCGTCTCGGCGATGCTCACCAAGCACTGACGCAACTTTATCCAAGAACCCGACGACCAAAGCAGTTGTAAGCTCTTTCTACTCAAGTACGGTGGACTTGGAGGAATTACACCAAGAGATGTCCGATACAACCGAAGCATATGTTGGTCTTCCTTCATTGCTGCTCCTTTGTTGACTTTCGCGGTCCTTGCAGCGGCGGCGTGCTTACAGCGACTGACTACATGACTTGTGTGCCATGTTCAACAATCTTCAGAATGAGACTGCCTGTCTTGAAACGCCTATCGTCGGAAATTCTAGAGCCCGACTTCCACAGGGTTTAAGGAATTGCCAATGCGGGGAAGCTGAAATAGTGGAGGGCTTGTGAATTAATTCAGTCATTCGCAAGCCTCGGCGAATTTGCCGTCGTTCGGTGAACCGGAGCCGAAGGCTGCTTCGGCTTCTGCCGACATGACCGGGCATTCGGGTATGAGGAGTCAGCGGAGGTGTTTGGGCATCACAGCTGTCAATGTTTGAAGAATCCAAGGCAATCAAGCTGCACAAGAGTTACATCCACATGGTCGCAAACACTATGAATTAGAACTTTGTATATGAGATTTTGAATAGTGCTTGATTGGAGTATAGCCGCAAGTGTCGTATGACAACGAGGCTGTGAGAGACTACTACAACCGTGCAAGCCGCTATTGAGCGTGAATTGCTCTGTAGCAACTATCTATTCTAGATTCATAGCACCGCGCTGTTGACTTGATTTATCTGGTCAAAGGCAACCACTTGTCCTCGTTTTTTACTTGACTCTCGAGTGCAACGGCTTACTTAAACTCGGCTCCGGAGCTTTTCGACACAACATACCGCGCGAGGGTTAGTGGAATGATTTCGTCCCTGGGCTGTATCGTCGCTCCAATTGCAGGTCAAAAGTAGATTGTCGAGGGAACCTTTGGCGTTCTCTGGCTGGCCGCGGCCGACACCTGGCTATTGGAAACCGAGGCGTACAGCACCGACTTGAAGTAGGTCTATGATGTGCTCGAGGGCGTCAAGGCCGACGTACCCTGACATGTTCTTAACCTGCGTACGTGGCCATAGCCAGCCCTACCACAACTCAAGGCATTGGAGTGGTGATCCATACCCAGACCTCAGGACCGGGAGAAGCCGAATGGCGTCGAAGCTTCTTATCGTCTTCACCCAAATTCTGGCCCGGCGCTGTTTCCGAAAGCCAGTTAAACGTAACGAATATTCTCCAGATGAGTCTGGTATACTTTCCCCACACGAAGTCGAGATTACAGACAGACGCAGCAATCTCGGAGCAAAAGCTGGCTGCCAAGGAGTACAGAGCATGGTAATAACACGTATTAGAGACTTGCCTTTTGTGCTGACGAGACACTCCATATGCTACCCTTGGGTTCTGCGGTCGCGCAGTAACGTAAGATCTTTCTGGGGACCCCTTCAACGATGGTCAAGGTCGCGAAATGGCGAGCTGACACTCACCGACAGGTCAACTGCCTATCCGAATTATATTTCGATACTGTACTAGAAGCCGTAATACAGCTAGATGCCTAGTATGCAAGGTCTGGCGTTGTCCGCGCCCCCCTGCACGGACTGCCCGTCTCCCTTAAAGATTGCTTCAAAATTGTCGGTACTGATGCGACCATCGGCTGCAGCGCGATTGCCAACCAGCCAACGCTGGCATCCAAAGAGACTGAGTTGACTAGGATAATGCGAAAAAGTGGTGCGATTCTGTTCTGTTAAATGAACGTTCCGCTGGCGCTCATGTCTGGTGAGGTAAGTGGCCGGCTGATTGTAGGAGAATTGAAGCATGATGGACCCTAACAGCCATGCCAGACGTTTAACGCCATATACGGCTATACCAACAACCCTTACAACCGAAAACTCTCTAGTGGAGGGTCTTTTGGCGGCGAAAGCGCCTTGTTGGCGCTGCGAAGGTCCCCCCTCGGCGTGGGCACGGATATTGGTGGCTCGATTCGTGCGTCTTGCTTGCCATGGTGACGCTATGCGCTGATTTACTTCGTCGTTTTGCGGTCTATACTCACTCAAGCCATCATTTGGCCGCTGGAGTCACTTCGAAATGTTGTCGGGCTAATGTCAACGTCATGCTAACCTGGAGTTATGGAGCAAGTCCATTCTTCAAAATAAGCCGAGGAGGGCTGCGGATCCAGATTGTCTGTATATGTCATGGCGTGATGTGTATGCACCTGAGAAGTTGTGTTTTGGTCGGTCCTCCCGCAGTGCTTCAGCTGATGCCGCGGCAGAGGCCGGCCTCAAGGACTGGCATGACATAGGCTAACTAGTTCCTTGACGATGGGACTGTCAGGCCACTCCCACCAGTGACCCGAGCGCTTCTGCAAACCAAAGCGTTGGAGAAGGCGGGCCATACGGTCATTGAGTATCAGATGTGCGCTCACCAAGCCCCCAGTTCAACTCCTTTCTGATGCCATATTGATTGTGTTTTGCAGTCATGACCCGCTGTACTTGGACGGGTTCAAGTCCGCTTTGTACCGGACCGCCACAGCCGACGCATTACACAAAATCATCAGCCGGATGCAGGAACCGTGGCCAAGAGGGTACGAGGGACTCGCACGGCTGGTGGAGAGCAGTAATAGCGGCGGCCAAGGATGGGATGGAGAACGACCTGAAGGGCCGTTCGAGGGCTGCACCACCGTTTCCCAGCTGTGGGAGGCTCAGGCCAAGCAGACAAAATTTGCCAAGCGCATGTTGACGGCTTGGGGGGAAACACGGCCGAGGACGGGTACAGGGCGGGAAATGGACGCACTGCTTATGCCCACTTCACCGTGGCCATTGTCAAAGCGGCGAGTTGGCAATGGTTCGTCGGGTGGAATGGACGGTATTCTGATGCAGTGGTCGTATAGATTTCAGTTCTCTTACGACAATTACACCAGTAGTTATATGAAATGTACTAGACTACTGCGCGACGACGATTCCGGTCACGCACGTCTCTCTCTTACGGCGGACGCGAAGCCAGAGCGCGAGGCCCCAAGTGACCTCGAGGCAAGAATCTGGCAGGATTGTAAGTCAATGCCCAGCGCTTGGCATTCTGTATTTCTGATGAGAACAAATTGGCCGGAGAGCATGATGGGGTGTCCTGTTTCGGTGAAGCTCGTCGTCCAGCGACTGCATGAGGCGTATTTGATGCAAGTCACCAAGAAATGCGACGAGGGGATCAGGGTGTATACGGCTCTAGCCTGCGAGTGTTTAAAAAAAAAACAAGATAAAAAACAATCCGGCTTCTCGCAACATGCACGTCCGAAATATGTATTGTAGAAGAACGCGGGTGGATAATACTAGATGTGTTAGTGTGAAGCTTATACAGCCGAGCTTACACAGCCGAGTGCAGGACATTTTCAACAGTCGCAAACGAGTGCTGATGTGACGTTGCAGTCATAAAAAAATTGAACAAAGTTAGTGATCCAACCTGTAGTGACACCAGCTGCTTTATTATTGACGTGACAAGCCCGTGTAGTTGGAGAGGTGAAGCTGTGCTCGTGGAGGCGTTGTCTTGTTATGGTGCTGTGGCTGTTTTATGGTGATGTGTGGCTGTGTTTGGCGTTTTGTGGCTGTTTCCCGCTGTTTCCCGCTGTTTCCCCTGGTCTGGCTCATGATTGGCGGAATGGCCGACCAACGGCCTAATCCGGCTAGCGCGGTAGCCCGGTCCACGTGCACTAGGACTAGCGCAGTCCACTGATGCGTCTGCATAGAAGAAAACTCGGGCCCTGGATCATGCCAAGATGCACAATGGCCCCCCCCCCTCTCCTCCCCTGCTAGCTGATCCATCCATACGTGCGCCTTGGCGCTGTCCGAGACAAAAGAGGGAACCGTTCACGGACGTCGACGACGGTGCGCTCAGCGCTCACACCCACCCTCGATGATTAAGATTCAGGTTGCCAGCTCTTGCAGTCTCTGCATTTAGTTACCCATCTCGAGCCAGTTTGCGCCAATTCATCCGCAGCGATGGTTGATGCCACCTCTGCCACGTCCAGCTATTGCTCGACCCAAGATGGGGGTCTCTACACTGTATACAGATGGACGCATTGACTTGACTAACTACTGGTAGACTGTGTTTTGCCGATGAAGATGCGTGGCGATGGCTCCGTCGACCCACGAAGGGCCAGCCAGGGTCAGTGTCGGTTCAGGGGCACAGAGCCCCCGCGGACTGCGCCGCTCCTTTGCGAGCTCAGGTGAATGAGTATATCTGACACTCCGACTTGGCATCGCATAGTTAGTCAGGGCCTCTCGTACCTGCGCATCGTGCGCGGACGTGGTGCTCCCACAGTCCGCGCTCAGGCAGCTCGGCCAAACCTGCGCTGAACTGGAGCAGCCGGCTCTCTCGGGAACTTTGAGCTGCTCATCGCGTCCGGGCAACATCCCCGTTTATGCGTGCCAAAATAGATGACGCTCTTGGTCTGAAATTTTTCTTCTCCCACCGTTCCTTGGGTGGACTCGCCTCGCCTGGTCTGCCGATGCGCCTGAAACGGACTCCACGCTCCGCGCCGAGAAATAGCTATCATGGCAGCGCCCTTGTTTCTATTTATGCCCGAGGTGGAGGATAGACCGAATGCCAAGTGGGCATGGTGTTTATGCGAGATTGGTGACGATGCGCTACGCTGGTGAACCTTATTAACGAGGAGTTGGCCTGTGATATAACTGTAGCTGGACCCCATGTGCGGACAAGAGGGCATATGCGTATCAAACAAAATCATGCAGATTTCGAGACTATAGGAAGTGTACACCAGTCTCTTCCGCTTTTCGTCTCTTCTCTGTCTGTTGGTCGACGCCACTAACCAACCGGTGTGACGGACACGCCTCCTGGCACCATGGGGTGGCCTGCCGGCTTGCTGATTGCACTCGTGGCTGGTCTGGTAACGGGTCAAGAGGGCCTCTCCAACGGCAAGACGAAAAATGGACTCATCGGATACGGGATTCGACTGTACGAGCCAGCATGTGCTCACGCATGCTGGGACACCATCGCTTACATGACCAACTGCACAACCGACATGTCGAATTCACGATTCCTCAACCCCGACATCACCGCTGCGGACAGGACTACTACCGACAAAAGCGAGGTGGAAGAAAACCCCTACTGCAATGCGCAATACGAACCATATCTGCAAACACTGGCGTGGTGCATACACCAAGAATGCCAGGAAGAAACGGAGCTGGACCTGGAGCGGTTCTGGTGGGACGAAGGCCCAGGAAAGGACAACAGCTCCGTTGAGACATATTCTCAAATCTGGGCGCGCGTAAAAGACACTCCGATGGAACCGATCAACGAGCACGCCACCCTCAACTACACAGCGACAGTGCCCAGTGATCAGTGGAAGCTCAACTACGACAACATTGTGAGTCTGACGAGGATAGAGATTACGCACGAAAAGTATGCTTTGATTCTGTTTCTTTCCTGCGCCTTGATACCCATTGGCTTGTCCTTGCTTCGCTTCCTTCCTTGGCCGGCGGCCTGGGTTGCCCGATTTCACGCCTACATCATCGACCCTCCGTTCATCGGCCACCGACAAAACGAGCTCATCGGCGAAGTCTTCATGATGCCCACGCGCGGACAGGCATTCTTCATCGCCTACATGTGGATCATCAACATTGTTCTCTCCGGGACGGGGTATTGGTTTGTGCCGGGCAGCTTCTGGTACAAAAACGACACGCACCAACACCTGACGCACGTCGCCAACCGCCTCGGCATGCTGTCCTTTGCCAACATCCCGCTCCTCATCCTCTTTGCCGGCCGCAACAACGTTTTGCTCTGGCTCACAAACTGGCCGCGCACCACGTTTTTGATGATGCACCGCTGGATCGCCGTCATCTGCATGCTCGAAGGCGTCTTGCACACGTTTCTCTTCTTTTACGCCTACTCAGTCAGCTGGTACGCCATGACCATGAGCGTGCTCGTCACCAAAGGCTACTGGCTCTGGGGTGCCGTGGGCGTCGTCGGCCTCTTGGTCCTCGTCGTCAGCGCCGTGCAGCCCGTGCGCCGGCGCGCCTACGAGCTCTTTGTCGTCATCCACATTGTTGCTTCAATCTTGGTTCTGGCGGGGTGCTACCAGCATGTGGTGCTCCGCTTCGGCCGGCAGCGCGGGTTCGAGACGTGGATGTACGTGGCCTTGTCGGTCTGGGGCTTTGACAGGGCTGTCCGTCTCATGCGCGCCTGCAAGAGAGGCGTCAAGAAGGCCTACATCAGCCCCGTCGACGCCGACTACATGCGTGTCGATATCCCGGGCGTCAGCGCCCGCGGACACGTCTATCTGCACTTTCCTACCATCAGCAAGTGGCGGGTGTGGGAGAGTCACCCGTTCTCGGTGGCTGGCAGCAGCTGTCAAAACACCAACAAGTTTGGGTACGGCCTGGACCTGGATAAGGCGATCTGGCCGCCGGTGGGAGATGCGCTGTCCACTCCGACGCACCTGGCGACGGCGTCGTGGAAGCCCCAGGCGATACAGCGCAAGACGGGCGTCACACTGTTCATCAAGAAGCAAAAGGGCCTCACGGCCAAGCTCGGCGCGCTCAACACGGGCGATGAGGGTATACCCGTCCTGATGGAGGGGTCCTACAACGAAGAGGTATCGTTTCTGCAGGAAAATCATCTCCAGCCGACGCCCGACTACCAAAACATCATCTGCTTCGCGGGCGGCGTGGGCATCACGGGCGTGCTGCCGTTCCTGGACAAGTTTGGCGGTCTGACGAGCCACGGGTCCAAGCGGCTGTTTTGGACGGTGCGCAGCATGCCGCTGGTGTACGCGGTCGAGGACATGCTCGGGGCGTACGCGGGCGCGCAGGGCTCGGAGCGGCGCTGGGGCGACATTGACGTGAGTGTGTCGTTTGGCCGGTTCAGCATCCGCAGCGCGCTGCAGGAGCACCTGGACTGGGTCACGGGAGGGTCGATTGTGGTGGTGTGCGGGCCGGCCGGCATGGCGGACCAGGTGCGGATGCTGGTGACGAGTATGGCGGCGGAACCGGAGCGCAAGAATAAGCCGCTGAAGCTGATTGTTGAGAGCTTTGCGTGGTAGATGGTTGTGAGAGGGGAGGTTGAGAGGACAGCCTGGAGTTTGTCCTGGTCAACGGGTGCCTGCTTGCACCATACAGCTCTTCTTTCTTTTCTGGCATCTTTCCTATGTCTCTTGCTGGTTCGTTTCTTCCTTCCTTTTATCTCCCTTTTTTTCGATCTGGGCATCGTCAGCGGGGTCATGGCGTAATAGATTTCACATGGTGGCATACAGAACACAAGAATACCATTAGATACTATAGAATAATTTATAACACAATACATAATTGTAACAGTAACTACTATTGTTGGTTCTAGGTGCATCGGCCTCCGGCGTCCAGTTGAGCCGTGACAGTGCGGGGAACAGACATGACCGGCCGGAGGGCTGTCGGTCCAAATGCCGAGCATTACCGGTTTGGGTATACCGCGGCGACCAGGGGTGGGGGAACAACGGCGGCGGCGGAGGGCGGAGGGCGGGGGTTGGCATACATACATTGACCATTTGAACAGCGGCAATTGGCGAGATTGGCAAGATGGAGAGATATTGGCCTGGTGAATGTCCGGGGAGCGGGCCATGCCGGGCGAGTGCAACCGGGATGCTGATTGCTGACTGGTTTTCGCTGATGGCGGGGTGGTTGAGAGGCATTCTGCCCCATTCTGCCACTGAAATGCTGATGGGTGGCCGCTAACTGGTGATAAATATGCGCTAACGCTTGCACTAATCACTGTCCAGCCGCAGCGCTCTCAACTGTATCGTCGTTACTCGTAGCACCATGGCTTCGCCAACAGTCCCCGAGCCGCCGAATCTCTACTTTTTTTCTCCCATTCCGGGTATTGGACGAGATTGGTGAAATGGACATGATGTCGTAAAACGCAGCATAATTTCCCTGCCTAAGCCATAACTTCTCAATGCACATAAAACCCAACAGCACTACTGTCCACTATATCGCCCCCGCCCGCGAGGTACTCCTACCTCATAGGAGGTACTAAGGTACTTAAGCCAAGGGCCGGGTCGCTTCCCTTGGTCCTTCCGACCTTGGTTTCCGCAAACATGTGCAAAATCCTCCTCCTGAGCTTTCTTCTCTCGTGCCTCACTTCCTCTTCCCACAACCCATGACCTGCTCATCGCCATCTCGGCCCCTCCCATCCACTTCTCTATACTTGCTGCCGCATTTCAGACCCCTCCATCTCATTCAATGGTAGGCAGTTGTTGCTCCGCTGCCCCCCTTCCCTCACCATGCTGTCATCCGGCAGCACCCGTCTCTGGGTCTGTACGCGATGCGTCCGCCGTCGCGTGACCAGGCTGCCTCAATTCCAGCAACGCCTACGCCATTCGACCGCCGCGACCGCCGCCGCCGATGCCTACAAGCCGCTCGTCAGCCACGGCGTCAGCCCCGACCACGACGACGCCGTCCTGCGCGACCTGTTTGATGCGCCTTCGGGCACCTTTGCCAGCTTCAGCCTCAAGCGCAGCCAGGGCCTCTTCAAGAACCGCTACCTCACCAGCCCCGATGGCTTCCTCGTCTTTGCCCAGAAGAACCTCGACCGCGCCACACGCATTGTCAATCGCGTCCTGGCTGCCACCTCCACCAACGACTACCGCGCCGTCGTCCGCGACCTCGACCGCCTCAGCGATCTGCTCTGCCGCGTCCTTGACCTGTCCGACTTTGTCCGCATGACGCATCCCGAGATCCGATTCCAGCAGGCCGCCACTGATGCCTGGTCACTCGTCTACCAGTACATGAACCAGCTCAACACCATGACGGGTCTCAGCGACCAGCTCAACGAGGCCATCTCCCGTCCCGAGGTGACGGACCAATGGACCGACGAGGAAAAAATTGTTGCCGATCTTCTCAAGCTCGACTTTATGAAGTCGGCAGTCAGCCTACCCAAAAAGTCACGCGATCGCTTTGTCGAGCTCTCCTCGCAGATTAGCGACGTTGGCTCTGCCTTTGTTCAGACCATGGCACCTGAAAAGAGAAAAGTTACGCTGCCATCTCATCGCTTCTACGGCTTGTACCCGAGCCTCGCCTCTACCCTCAAGGTCCGCTCACAAATCTCCATTCCGACTACCGGCTCAGAGGCAGCAGCCGCCCTGCAAAGCGTATACGACGAAGGTACCCGCAAAGAAATCTACCTAACACAGCGAACCGCATCGTCGAGAACCATTGGCCACTTGGAAAACATGCTTAGGTTGCGTGCCGAGCTGGCCGGACTTGCAGGCTTCCAGAGTCATGGCCACATGTCGCTCAAGGACCGCATGATGGCCAAGTCGCCCTCGTCTGTCATGCAGTTCCTACTGGCCCTCCGAGAACACAATGCGCCCATGATCCAAACTGAGCTGAATGAGCTCCAAGACCGAAAGCGTGAGCGATTGTCCATGCCCGACGCTGAGCTGTACCCCTGGGACAGAGATTTCTACATGGAAAGGATCCGCGCCGAGATGCGATCCAAGGTACGCCACGAGGATCAGCTCACGGCCTTTTTCTCCGTTGGTACCGTCATGCAGGGGCTGTCTCGGCTCTTCGATCGCTTATACGGCATTCGCTTCGTTCCACGCGAGACACTGCCCGGTGAGACGTGGCATCCTGATGTCAAGAGACTTGATGTCATGTCCGACAATGGCGAGCAAGTCGCTGTCTTGTACTGCGATTTGTTTTATCGGCCGCAAAAGTCGCCAAACCCCGCTCACTTTACTGTGCGATGCTCCCGTGAGATCCTCCCCGACGAGGTGGACGAGGCCGGCGCCGATCTCGGCTCGGCTGACATGCCATACTTTGACTCGCCGGAGCAGGCTGCCAATGACGGCATGGAAATCTCCCGAGGCGGCGGCCCGCTCAAGCAGCTGCCCACCATTGCTCTCGTCTGCGATTTTCCCAAGAATGACAATGCTCGCGAACCTGCCTTTCTCTCCTTTTACTCCGTCGAGACCCTCTTTCACGAAATGGGCCACGCCATCCACTCCATCCTCGCTCGCACCTCCTTCCAGAACGTATCGGGTACACGCTGCGCCACCGACTTTGCCGAATTGCCATCGACGTTGATGGAACACTTTGCTGCTGACCCAACCGTGCTCTCTCTATTTGCGCGTCACTGGAAGTCGGACCGTCCTCTACCCTACGACATGGTGGCCGAGCGCATCAAGGTCGCCAAGCGCTTCGAGGGCATCGACACGGAGCATCAGATCCTGCTGGCCATGGTGGACCAGGCGTACCACTCGCCCGAGGTCTCGGAGCCCTCGTTTGACTCGACGTACGTCTTCCACGACATCCACAAGCGCTTTGCCCACGGGCCGCTCGACCCGCCGCGCACGCGCTGGCAGGGCTTCTTTGGCCACCTGCACAGCTACGGCAGCACCTACTACAGCTACCTCTTTGACCGTGTGCTCGCTGAGCGCGTCTGGCGCGTCATCTTCAGCGGCGGCGAGGGCGGCATGGCTGTCTCCCGCGCTAACGGCGAACGGCTCAAGGAGAATCTGCTCCAATGGGGCGGTGGCCGCGATCCGTGGACCTGCCTCGCCGAGACGCTGCACGATGACCGACTGGCGGCCGGCGACGAAAAGTCCATGGCCTTGGTGGGCAGTTGGGGCATCAAAGACTCTGCCAAGACGAAATAGAGCAGCTCTCTCCCCGTTCTGTACACAGGTTCTTTTCTTCTTTTGTCCCTAGCGGACAAGCATTGTATAGGACATCTTTTTTCCTTTCAAATCTTCATTGTGTAATTTCCCGCTAGGTCACACAGGAGGGGCTCATACACTTACTTACACATATACTTGTACATAGAAGGAGTATACATGAACTATACAGTCGTACCAGAACACTGTATCAATAGATATTTTACGCCACACTTGTACATACGAAGCATAAAGTATTGATGGACGCTTGACTAATGCCCAAGGCATGGTTCATCTAATTCGTGACCCTGGTAAATCTCAACAATGAGCAAAACAAAAAACAAAGACAAGTCGTGGTATCAATATTCAACTCCGGCGCTCCCAAACTCCATAACTTTGCATAGTAAAAAGCAGTATTACCACCGTAACAAAAAAAACACTGTAGATCAAAAAAGGCCGTGAAAAGACGAATATTTTTACATGACGGCCGTCGGCATGGGGGCCATGGTCATCCGCGACAGCGACAAGGTCCGGGTCGCCGAACCGTCCTCCTGCTGCTGCTGATCCGTGCCGCCAGGATAGGCGCCAAAGTCTGCGGCGTGCGTCTCCTCTCTCGGCGTAGCGTATAGCTGCGACGCAGACTCGGTGTCATCATCCTCATCATCGTCGAAACCGCTCCCCTTGGCAGCGTGGTAGGACACGCCCGGGTCGATGCCCGAATCGTCGACCGGGTACCCCTTCAGCGGGTGCCAGACGTTGTAGCGGGCGCTGCTGCTGCGCGGGGACTCGCTTTCGTCGGCGTCGTACTCAAACACGGACACGGCGGCCGGCGCGGCGTGCTGCCGCGCGTGCTTGCCGAGGAGCGCGCGGACCTGCCGCGTGAGCTGCTGCACCTGGGCCTCGAGCACGAGGCGCGCGGAGCGCTCCGTCTCGAGGAGCCCGAGAATGGCCGTGAACTGCTCCTCGCTGAGTGATGGGGTGTGACGCGGCGCGAGCAGCTGGCCGTTTGATCCGCGGACGGTCTGCCCCGACGTCGGGCGGGCACTGTCAAAGAAGGAGGGCTGCTGAGAGACGGCGCGACTGTCGGTGCGGTTTCCGTCGCCGCCACCTCCGCCGCTGTGAGAGGTGATGGACTCGGTGAAAACGGCTTCGGAATGGCCCGTGGAGGGCCGCGTAGATGTGGGCGCCATGCCCATGGATAGGCTGTAGTGAGGATCTCGAGTATTTGGGTAGGAAAAAGAAGGTTGGATGCCCAGTCCGGAGGGTATCGTGGCGTCGCTAGGTTTCCAGCCAACGTTTGCGTAAGGGTTCGACTTGTACCTGAGGAGTGATACCGAATCCTCCAGAACGTGTAGCCTATTCTCGATGCCATTGACCCTCGAGCTAAGCGTAATCTCACCAACCTGCTGCCTGTTGGCAGCCTCTTCTTCGGAAATGAGATTGCCAAACAAATACGGCCCTGGTGTTGTCGGCTCCGGCGTCGCCGGTCGTGGCGGGTTCGGCAGGTCCAGGTCGAAGGTAGCCAAGGCGTCCTCTTCGGGAAACTCGGAAGACAGTGGCGAGAGGGGATCTTCGTCATAAAAGCAGCTCTCTCTGAGCTCTCTCAGTTCCTGACTTCGTCGACGGCGCACCTCCTGGTTGGCTTCCATCAAGGACATGGCTGACATACTTCGAGAGCGGCGCCTGAGCCCGCTGGCGTCACTGGTAATGGCACGGCCGATTTCGTCAGGGTCGTCGGTCATGATTGCTGAGCTGCGAAGATCCCTGTCATTGACACTTGCGGGCCGCGGGCACAGTCCAGCCAGCTTCCCATCGCCAATGTACCGAGCCCCGAGGGCATACGGAGTTGCGCTTTCGCCGATTCGTTTCTTGGGCTGGATTTGGTCCATGGCCACAGAGTTTCGTGCGCTTCGAATCGCGATGACATCGTCGAGGCCGACGGAATGGGAGCGAAGCGCTCTGTCAAACTCGGTGACAGGCAACGACGCCGATCGGCTAGCTCCAGAACCTCGTGCTTGATTGGCCTTTTCAATTTTCCCCTTACTTCCGGTTAGAATGGGAGCGCTCACTCGTGTCGGCTGCGGTGAAGTTGTAGTTACCATATGCTGTGGAGGAGCACTAGAACGTTGGGCAGGCTCCGATGCCGTTGTAAGCTGGCTAGCTGTCTTCCTTCGCCTCCCAAAGAGACGGCTTATCACATCGCGAATGGGTGATCTTTTGCGGGCGGGTGCATCCTTTGTCTGTGACTTTGAGAGGCGCTTGCTGGCTTCATGTACAGGATTGGGGGCTGCCGAGTTATCTATAGTGACTCTCTGGGGTCCAGATTGTACTTGAGATAAAACTGCGGAATCCTCGGCGGCCTTGGAAATTTGGCTCTGGTCAAAGTCCTGCTCCTGCCTGGGGTTGCTGTTGCCATCAAGTTGTTGGGCTCCGTCCCGAGACGGATGCAGTTGCATGGGCTCGGAAAATTCCGCGTATGAATCGGCAACGGGTATAGGTGCGGATATTTGCCCACGAATAGACTTGGCAGTAGATTTGGATCTCAGTATTGGCTTTGGCTTGGCAGCCATAGAGGACGATGAGGACTTCCAAGGCATGTTTACTTGGGAGTCGTATAGTAGACGGAGATGCGCGCCTCAATCCTATATGTATAAGCTGCGGTTGGATAGGTATTTGTGGTGAACGCGGTTCAAGTGTGTGATGTGAAAAGGCGTTGGAATGGTAAGCAGGACAGGACTAATGGTGAGACATGTCTAGCTCCTCCTGCTTCCCTCGTGGCAAGACGTCTGGAATCTTGCACGGTGAGAACAGCAAGGCTAAATATACCCGGGCGCAGAGAAGATTGGGAGTATCCGTAATTGAAATATCGCAAAAAGAAAGCATTTGTAACGGAGTGCACGCGGGGTTGGGGACTATGAAGCCAGTGGCGGCCAATAAACTGGCTTGGATGCTAGGCGGCGGCGAGCATGTAAGAGAAGCAGACTCGGGATGGAACAGCAGAGGGGACAGTGATATAAAAATACGAAAATAATGCAAGAACAAGGTACATGCGCGCGCGCACGCCATGCGCCGCCAAGCAGAGACGGCTCCGGGCTACAAGGGATGGATAAGATGGATACTAGACAGTGGAAGAACCCTTTGTGGAAGATCCATGGATGCATGATACAGTCGCTCATGGGGCAGACAACAGGAGGGGGAGATAGAGGTGTCAAGGGTGAAACAAGGCGAGGCGCCAAGGCAGGAAGGTGGGAGATGGCAGATGAGCCAGTGCCAGTCCAATGCCATGTGCGCGAGGATGGTGAAGACTTAAGAGAAAGAAAGGGCCAACGTATCAAGGCTCGGCTCCGCCGCACCAAGGTGGCCGCCAGCAGTGGATATTGGAACCAGGACAATTTGGCGGCCGTCAAGACGACGGGGCGATGCTGCTGCGCGGCGTCGGGCGCGCCTTCATGCAGCACGGAGGGAACCCAGAGCTGCGGCGGCGGCGTTTCCCGGTCTCCAAGCTGCATCTGGGGACGGCAACTACAACCCTGTGGTGGTGCCTATACGTACGGGGAAGCCTTGCAGGTGCCGGCTCTCGATGAGGAAGCTGTCAGGTCCCTTAGTTGGTTATTAGTGCTGGTTAACTGACTGCCAACCTGCAGAATAGGCGGCGGCGAGCGCTGCGTGATGGTGGAAACTGCGCTGCTATACGGACGGAAGCCTGAATATCCCTAGCGGCGAATATAAACAGTAATGCGCCCCGAGAGCTGGCTGGGTGCTGAATGGAGCAATTGTCAATGTCTTGGGGCCCAAAGGCAAGCAGGCGTTCGGCGGGACCGCTGATGTTTCTAATACAGATTTGGTTCAACATGGCGCGAGTCTCTGCGCCGCGGCGTTCAGCACAGCCCGTCAGCAAGCAGCAAGCCGCCCTGTGACTGGTGAGCGTGTCAGTTACGGCTTCTGCGTTGTCCGATGGAGAATGGCCAGGGCAGGAGGGGGATGGACGGAGCGGAGAGTCGAGGAGGCTAGAAGGTCCAAAGGAAGTATTTTAGCGAGTATTAAGACAGGAAAGCGGGACAGAAAACCAGAAAATGCGAAACGGGGTCACCAACCATGCTGCATTGCATGAAGAGGAACCACTGTCCGTTTTACCAATAGGCGGCGGCCAGCGAGTTATTTCTTTTGTTGCTATTTTTTCTCGGTGCGTCAGGTCTGCCTCACCAGTGACAGGCGCTCGTCTCACACACACCCAATCTTTCACACGGAGCGGCCTTGCGGCTGTGATGGATCACTGGGCCGTGTTGTGCCAGAGGCCGCGTCGTGGTTGGATGGCTGCGTCGGACTATCTGGTGTGGCTTGCGAGGCCAAAATATGGGCTTTCCGTCGACGCAACTGTGACGGCAGCAGGAGATGGGTCGGGGTTGGTGATGTTGATGGAACTTGGATGCAGGATGCCAGACAGGGGCAGGTTGGGTTGAAGAGTCGAGAGGCCGTTTGACGCCCGTGATTGGCCTTGTCGGGCCGCCAACCAGGCGCCTGCCTTGTCTTGCCTTGGTTTGGCGGACCACCAGCTGGCACCAGCTGGCACCAATAGGTACCTACCATAATTTGTACTTCGTACATACCTGGTACGGCTAAGTCAACTACCTTACTACAGTTTTTCCAGCCCTCACAAATTTATTGAGGTACTAGAAGGACCACAGAGTCCAATTAGCGTATATTAATAAATAAATAAACCTTTGTTGTCTCTGCCCCGCGACGCTATGTATCACCCATACCTTTGTTGTCTCTGGCGACTCTACGCAGCTGGTGCGTGGCACGTGTATTCGTACAAACAGAGCTGATACCTCCTATCATCCATGCCTCCCCAATGCCCATCCAAGTTTCCGGTTTTTCTATTATTATTATTTACTATTTCTTTCACCAAGTAATAGCCGTCAGTAGCTGGAACGCTAACAGCTACCGACAGCTGCGCCACCCGCCAATTATCGACCTGAAACGCCGACTCTTTGTGACAGACAACACACCACCACCACTAGTTAGTTACTATTACTACCTACCTACACAACTACACGGCAGTAACTGGCCTGCACGGGGTCACCAACGTTGGTCCTCTGTTATAACCCCCCTTTACTTGTATTATAACTCGGCCCGCCGCGTCCCTCCTGTTTGCTACACGGCCTTGTATAACGCGCATTGCGATATCGCATTACGTTGGCCACATATTGATTGATACGCTGCCCGGTCCCCGCCATTCCCGACCAAAAAGTACATACGCGAGTGAGGCCTGTTTTTGGACAGGGTACTAGACAGGTCTCTTTTTAAACACGTTTTTTTCCCCTGTCACAACGCTGTCAGCCTGTGTTAAAAAAACTTTATGTTTTTTATAAAGCCGGTCAGATACGTTGACAGCGTCGTGACAGGGAAAAAAAACATGTCGAGCGGAAAACGTGTCCAGTGCCCTGTCAGAAAACAGGCCTCACGCGCGTAGGTATGCTTTGCTTCGTAGAGCTACCCGCCGCTGTTGAGTGACGACACGTTAGGGTACCGCAGATCGGCATTGTCTTCCAAAAAGTCCATCCATTTTTTCAGGAATGAGCTGCCCCTACTCGCGCCAACAAACAACATTCTTCGTGTTAGCCTCATCCTTGCTTTCTCGCCCTAGTCCAGCGACTTCAAACGTCTCACACTGTACACGCCACCACACCTTCCCTGAATCATCTGCCTATTCGAGAATAGACGCGGTGTGTGGTGCAACGAATCCCAGTGACAACGGCGCAGGAAGTGATGTCATGTGCTTACCTCTTTACTGTTTCTGAATCCCCAATCACGGTAAGGGACCGCTTTGGTCGAGTCATGGCCACTGTTGATCTCAAGTTAGCTTCTCGTCTGGTCCAAATCTCATGCATCCCTTCTTCGCATGAAACCCGTAATGAAGAGAAATGCAAGACACAGCCTCGCCTCGACTTGACATACCGTTCAACCGTCTCTTCTCACCCAGGAACCCCACCTCGCCTTCAGTATTGCTTCGCACCAGGCTCACAATGACTGCTTCCTTTTCACGACCTTGGAAGCCGTCTACACTGCCAAGCTCGATGCCGGGAAATTTCTCCTTGAGAGGTGCAAGCACGGCCAGCTTCGCATCCCACAGGTTAGCATACCATATCCAGTAATAAGTTTTAAGATCCCAACCCGGGAAACTGGGCTCCTACCTGCGCATTATACGGTGTCACCACCGCAATATCTTCTGCTTTCAATCCAGCCTCCACCAGCTTTGCTACGTGTTGTTGTACCAAGGCAGCTTCCATTTCGTTACTTTTACTGTCTCCATGTAAACTTGCCTTACCCTTCTTCGGATTCTCCACATCGTCTTCTTCGCTCCGTTCTGGGAAGTCGCCGCCTTGCGTATCGATGAATATGAGCGGCTCACCAGTATCTTCGTTGTCGTCAATTTTGTACTCCAATTCCTTCAGTAGTCTGCTCTTGACAGCTTCAGCTGCGACTAGTTTTGACTCGTAAAGCTCGTCGGAAGGAAATCGCATGATCTTCTCGTGCATTCGATATTGTGTGGTGAGCATCCGCTTAATTGATGGTCCGTGGAGTGCCAACAGTCTGTCAAAGAGCGTCGTCTCCAGAGTCATTCCTTTGATCGGCTTCGCCTCTGGGCCGTCCTTGAGCTTCAGTGCCGCCTTGGAGTTGCTCGATTTGATCGTAGGGGGCAGCTGTAGGTGATCGCCAGCACAGACGGCCTTGTTGGCAGACAGAAGCGGTACCCAGCATTGCGCCTCGAGCGCTTGACTTGCTTCGTCAATGATGACGACGTCAAACTTTTCGCTGCGTAGCTGGTGTCCGCCAGCGCCATGGAGCGTAGCCAGAACGACCTTACTTCCTCCCACCAAGTTACTAACGCACTTGCGTTCTCTTTCTCGGTACTCTTTTCGTAGCTCTCGCAAGTCGCCGTATATTTGCCGACGCTCTTTGCCACTTTTTGTCTTTTTAATAGATGCTTGCTTGGCATCCATCTCGGCACGCACGTCTTTGACTATGGCCCCAGCCTCTGATGTCTGTGTTAGCACATCCAGAGAGTGGTTGACGACTGATGGCAACAATCTTGCCGGATGTCCCAGACGTAAGATTGGGACCTTGTGCGGCGAGAGTCTTTCCACAATATTGTCGACAGAGATATTCGACGGGCCGCAGACCAATACTCGCTTTTTGAGTTTGATCAGCTGTAGAATGAGCTCTATCAGTGTGTGCGTCTTTCCTGTGCCTGGCGGCCCGTGTATTAGAGCAATCTCGCGCGATGCCAGCGCGAAACGAATAGCGTCCTTCTGAGAGTCGTTGAGAGTTGGATCAAACCACTCAATCTTGCTCAGCTCCTCGTCTGCTGACAAGTCCTTTGGAACTGGCGATGGGCTGGACAGGCCAAACAGCACCTGGATGAAACTCGAGTATTCTGCTTCGCTCATCTTTTGCAGCTTCTCCATCACCAGATTCATCCTTCGATATGTGACCTCGTCTGCCAATTTGACCATCCACGCCTTACCCCCAAACGCCACCTCATCTTTGCCATCGTCCAATGCCGCAAACACGGACGTCTTCTGCACCTTGGTCACCACGCCACGCGCGCCCTTCTTTTCCAATTCCTGAATCTCTTTCTTCTTGGCACTGCCCGCCGGCTGGTCCGCAACGAGCACAATGTCACCGGTGCGCAGGCCGTGCTCCGGCAATTCACCCGTCGTTGAGGTAGCACTGTCCGGTCCCAGCTCTAGCACCGTTCGACCGCCAAGGCCAGTGCGCTGCGAGGCGACCACGAGGTTGGTGATCGCCAGACCTGCGCGCTGCAACCGGGCGGGGCTGTGATTGGTAATGAGGGTGCTTGTTTCTTGCACCTCGCTTTGTAGCTCGCGTTCCAGCAGAGCTACCTGCGTGCTGGCAAACAAGGGCACATCGACGGGCTCCCTGGGAGCCATAGCGAGAATATACGAGGGCGCTTGGTTGTGTAGGGTGCGGGTTGTGAGGGTTGTTTGTGTGACGGGAAGTGGTTCGTGACCCCACCAATGACGAAATTGGAGCTACAACTAAATAGCTACCATGCGAGCCCAGCAGTCGGAACAAAGATATTGTCAATTTCAGGGTCAAGCCTTGCAGACAAGTACAGATTTTTGCGCGTTTAAAATTACTTGATTCCATGTCCAAAACAGTGGTTGCTACGTAGCATATCTTGTCGTAGCCACAATGACCCAAATAACAACTCCAAAAGAAAAAAAACAACGATGAGGCCCGCTAGTAGGGCACTGGGCCATGCGCAGGAAACAATGAATCATGTACACATTCACATAATACAAGAAAGGGAGCCATCAGTCCTCTGCCGGATGTATCACGACAACCACGACCAGCGAGGCGACCATGATGGCCAGCCCTACAAGGGACACCAAGACAATGGTCCCGCGACTAGCAGGAAACTTTCCCTTGAGAATCCACTCCTGGCCGTGAAAGTAGCGCCTGTACCCCAGGAGCAGGATCAGGATGCTGATGCCCAGAAACGTCCCGCCGAGCGGTCGGCCGAGGCGCCGCAGCGTGTCCTTGGTGCGGTCCGGCGTTGCTGTACTGTCGTTGAGCGAGGTGTTGAGTCGGAAGAGCTGGGTGACGGCGATGCCGATCGAGGCGAATGCGAGCGAAGTGCGGAGCCAGGCGAGAAATGTTCGTTCTAGGGGGCACACACGTGTCAGCGAGAGCTTCAAAACAGGCTTCGTTTCTCTTTCGGGTCGGAAAGGGGCATTGTTCAACCTACCGAGTGCCAGGTGGTCTCTGGCCACGCTACCCTTGTTCTCCAGCTCAAGCGACTGGTACTTGCCAAGCTGGTGCCTCCACCACGATGTCTCCGTCTCCTCGCCTGTCCTCGTCTCGTCGTCCCCCTCGTCGGCTGCGGAGGGCGGAGCTGTCGCCGCCCCCGCGGTCCTTGACCGCAGGCTATAGATGGAGCGCGTCCCGCTCCCGGGCGGCGGCCCGGTGGCGGCCGCATGCTCTGGGGGGTTCACCGCCTGGTAATTGTGGCTCGATCCGCGGGATACGATGCGCGTCGTCTCGTCGGGCTCGTCATCGGCAAACTGTGTCTTGCGACCAAACGACGAGTGGCGGCGGATGGTAGTTGGGTTGGAGCCCATCTCCTCGGCGCGGCCTCTGGCGTTCTGCAGATGAGAGAAGGGGGGTTTGTTAGCCGAAAGCGGATTGGGACGAGCGGGAGGGACATGCATCAGCGTACTTGTAAAATCTCGCTGATACGCTCGCTTTTCGATTGCCGCCGCTGCCGGAAGCGGCCTCTGGTGGTGCTGCCGGATCGTTCTGGGACGGCGGTCGCAGAGTTGGACGAGTCTAGTGCCGTGTCGGGTGCGGCTTCATTGGTGCTGGTCATGACGGGAACGAACGCCCGGGAGGGCCGGACGTTTATTATATCTCGAATTAAGCTTTTGGCTCGGTATGCAGGATATATCGCGTGAGATGGGGGCCCTCTCTGCGCGCCAGCCAAGCCGCTTGCTGGACAGGGAAAGCGACCCAAAACGGGATCGTGGAATTTTCTGCAACCAATGTTAGAGGACAATTGAGGGCGGATGCGATCGCGTCATTGCGAGATGGTGGGCTGGTGGCCGCATGGCTGCATTTTGCAGGGTCTTTTACGGGGCACAGATAGGACGCTAAGAGATCAAGTTCCACCCACAGTACGAATTACCGACCTGTATTTTAGATAAGGTCCTGTCAGCAGGGCTATAATGCACCAGGAAACATACATACCTACATACTCCGTACCCAAAAGTTAGTTATGCAGTGGGTTGTATGACTATCTATTATTCCCGTCAATCATTCTTGCATATTCCCTGCCTCTCTCGCTGGCGGACGGAACAAGACGTTGACAGATGTCGCCGAACACACTATTCACTATACCCCGTTAATCGATAACCTAAAAACAGCCACACACGATGCACTCCTCCCATCAGCTGTCCATATCGAATGGCTGGGCACAACTGGGCATGGCAGTTCAATGCCATCTAAAGTTTCGCTCCAGCCACTCATGCTGTCATTGTCCACATACATCAAGTAGGGAACCTGAGCAGCAACATCGACAGATTCGGCACCCATAAGACGGAGTGACTCGCGATACTTGCCCCGGACCTCGGCCACAATAGCACTCACGCTAGCTTTGGCGCCGAGACATCCAACATTTGCCAGCACTGTGTGGATAAAGACGCCTTCATCCGCTCGGACCAGTGTATTCCACGATCGCCATCCGTCCAGCTGCCTTTCAGTATGCGACACCAACTGCGTACTCGCCTCGGCGAGTCCCGCCAATCCGATGTGAGCGTGCCACTCGACTGTAGACTGTCGCGGCAGCTCTTGCACCTCGACCGCAAAGAACGGCGGAATGCAAGTCTCGGGTTCATTTTGCTGCCGCATAGGGAACACCTCCCAGTCAGGCAGTGGTCGTGGCCGGTTACTCTGAGGGCTAGCCAGAGACATGTATTGTGTATTGTATTTGAGATCCCATGGGTCCAACGTGGCCTCCTCTTCATCTTCTTCGACAGGCTCTGCATGCATGAAGCTCCACGCCCTACTGGCCAACTGCGCCTTGTGCTGCATATCCTCGGCTGACGCTGACTTGTCAAAGTAGGCGACGGCGCTCGTCCATTGCTGTACCTTCATTTGCGCGCCAATACGCCACAAATGTTGCAGAGAGAGCGTTATTTGCTCGACAAGAGAAGTGTCGGAGGGGGTGGGTAATATCATGCTATGCGGTATCAGTGGTATTTGGCCCGCGATGTAGACAGATCGCAGACCAAGGCTAACATGACACCTCGTGATAGGAGTGTCAATGGCCTGACTATAGGGGCCAATGTTGGCTGGCGCCCAGTATGACCTCGACTGCACATGGAGGCCGTCTCTTGTGAGCGTCTTGGCGGCTGCCGGAACTGTAGCGTACAGCATGATATTGCGTCCCTTTGGTAGCAAGTTGCCGCAGGCAATAGTCACCCGGGATGCGGGATTGGGCGACTCGAATAAGCCACCATATACCTGGTTTATTGTGGGAAAGTCGGCCATGTTTCTCAGAACGATGATGACCGTCGTCAACTGCGCGGCATCGAGGCCGTGCTTCACCAGTGCGTCCTTGAGTTGGCTCACCACGCTACCCGTTTCCTCAGTTACCATGTTCGAGTCAAATGGCTCATCAGAAACAAAAGTCCACGTGTATAACTCGGGCTCGCCATGGTATGTAATCATGGACAATGGTTTGGCCACGGAGCCTTCCACCGCAGCTCCTGGCACTTTATGGGGTTGTGCAACCAAGTCCTCTAGTATTCGTGCGAATTTGGGATCAAATAGATCAGGAATTCTCGCATCAACCGAGTCATCTGCGCTTGAGGTGTCTTTGTCCTGCAAGTGTGCACCTCTGGTCAAGAGCCACGTCGAGCCACCCCCTTCTTGAACCGCAAGCCTGCCTTGTTCGGGTATTGCAATGCTCTTCTTGAAGAGACAGCCAGGCCCATCCAGGACCAGCGTCTCGAATTCGCCCCCTTCTCCTAGAGAGGCGCCGTCGACGGCGCCAAATTTGCTTAGAGCCTTCTTCACCCGGAGAGACCCGGCTTCGCTCGACACGCACTCCCACAGATGACTCTCGTCCAGTCCTGCGCTCGCCACCTTGATAATGCGGGCCTCGAGCCCGGCAGCCTCCATGTCGGTTAGGAGCTGCGATTCATTTGCCGGTGTGACGGGAGCAGGCAGGACCGTATACTGCCAGAGGTAGGCCAGTGGCGTGAGGCCCAGACGAACGGCGACGGACTCGACACGGGTGCGTTGATAGGTCGACAAAATGGCACCGGAGCAGAGGGCGTTGGCCTCTGGGTGCTTTTCCTTGATGCGTCGCAGGAGCGGCAGCATGGACTCTGTCTCGTCGACACCAGGCTCCGAAGCATCATAGGCATAGTCTCTCTCGTGGCGCGTCGCGCCTCCTGCGATGAGCTGTCGGTACAGCGGGATGCCCGTGGCTTCCGCATAGAGCGGAATAACTTCATGGCCGACAGTCTGGTACATGAAGCTGTTCAGATCTCTCTCGTCTTGCGAGCCGCCGGCAGGCGCATCGGGCACCGGCGGATAGAGGTTGGCGAGGGCGACGATGCGATGGCCATTCTGGATGCAGTGCAGCAGGCTGTAGAAGCTGTCCTTGCCGCCCGAGATGAGCGCAATCACGTTGAGACTTGCGGTCGCCATGGCTGCCACCGAGTACGCACAGAGTGGAACACTGCCCGCGACGATTCAGATGGTGCCGATGCCATCTCAAGCAGTGGCAGCATTTTGCGTTGTTGCAGTGGAGCGAATCTCACGTGCAGATTTTCATGGTTGGTTCTGACAGTGTGTTCACGCCCATCAACACCATTCTGCCTAGTACAATTTTCAGAGTTTGTGGGGGGACAAGAAGACTCTGTTAAAAAAGAGAGAGAAATTTCAAGATTATTTTTTTTCAAGTTGCAAAGCAATGTTTCGTTCTGGCGATACCTTTGGCCTGCAAGTCACTTGCGAGCAATGGCGGCAGTGGAGCTCTAATTGGACCTTGTCATAAGGCTGTTTCATGTTGAGCGCCTGTACACATTCACAAGGGAATCGTAATATATTCAAGATTATAATCGGCATTTAATCTAGCCATCTAAATAGCATCTACAAATAGAAGCACAAAGCGATACAGGCTCAGCCACAATACAAACAGTTGTTATTGAAACAGGCTTATTCATGCTATGGCGTGTGAGTCGCAGGGGTGTACTCAAGGCTCAGTTTCCTGCATAAACCCTAGATCCGTGTAATTCCAGCGCAAATGCAGTGATCAACCTTGCAGACGATCACTCTGCATCTGCCGTCTACCATGCAAGCCAATAGCGTTGGCGGCCAGTGACCACTGGCGGCGAGTTCTTCGTTAGCTATCATTCACGAATAATGACATATGACATGGGGATCGCAAGAAATGTTTCCCGGCTGCTTTGACACACAGACGACCGATGTGACAGTGATGTGATGTGATTCCCATCCGGGTGGTTCTTCAAGATGGGTCCCCCAAAATGTGATGAGGATGTCCGTGCGACGACACTCGACAGGGCCGAGGCTCGCGTGGCTTGTCGGGGATCTTCAAACGCTTCATTTTATTGAGATCAAAAGCCGGTGTGTGAAAATGCAGCTGTCGGTTTTGCTTTTTCGATGTCGTTGTGAAACAGCTATTAGACACGGGCGTTGGACCCGTTCTCTCTCACACCAGACCCCTAGTTCCTTTGAAGAAACTGAAGAGGAATCGTAACTAGAAGTCTGAAGCAAGGCGGCGAGAGAAAACAGGGCACAATACTGAGTACGACTTTGTGTTGTGAAATCTACTATGCCTCAGAATGGCAACTGCCTTCTTCCTAGTCTCTCGGGATGACCTCTTGACACTTCATGCGCAATGCAGTCTCATCAATACGGCCACCCCAGATCACGTGGAGGGACATTGTAGCCGCTGGGGCTTAAGCAACGTATTATACTAGTACATGTTACATTTATAATAATGCACGTAATGCGATACGAACAAAACTATGAAGAGTATCCGTGCCATGGCCTGATGCTCTCTCGTGACAGTGGCGATTTTTATTAATTTATGCGGCTTTGTCAATATACAACTACCAACATGGCGGTCAAGAGTTCGCTTTTTTGTTGCCCGGTCTATTATTACTAGGTGTTTTTTCAGATATTGTTCTGAAGCGATATAGCCGTCTTATCATGGCCCAGTATCGGCATGGCCCCAGAATCAGCCTTTAACGAACAACGGGAACTCTTCATGATTCATGAAAGAACTAATTAGCCGAATATCGAGGCAACCTCCCGGTGTGCGACATGCAACTGTCTGGATCAAGGCATCTAGCGGCCTTGTCTTGAAGAAGCTTCGAGCAACTAGTTACACATGTACGAAGTACAATGAAGTGCAAGTATGCATTGCACACTTCTACTGGACAATGCTTTTCGGCTTCCCGAATCAGGATTGTGACGGCCCACGGGCCTTGCTTGCATTATCAAGCTTTTGCTTCCGAAATATAAGCTTCCACAGCGGACGGGACGTCCCACAGCGGCTACTCGATGCACGGGCTCCATGCACTTGATGAAAAAGGAGTCAACCCGTGGTGGCCCGTCGACCTTGGCCATATTCGTCCTCCTCCTCCGGAAAGAGTCACAAGCAATATTTCCCAAGACGCGGTGGTTTCTGGAACCGACCAAGGAAGAAGTCCCCCGGGATTAGATTGGGGTACCAAAAAAAAGCCCAAAAAGCTTGGGCCAAAAAGAAGAGTCCGGGAAATTACACATGCTGGTCGTTGGTGGGGTGGATAGATGTCACTGTGAGGGTACACGCCCCCCCTGGAAAGGAAAGGAAAGGTCGAGATTCTGTCATCCATCGGCATTGGGAGGCCTCGGTTCCCGCTCCCCCCAAGAAGCTTTCTGGGTGAACCGGGGTGCCCGACCTGGTCGACATCTTGACGCGGCAGGGTCTTTTTCGGAGACAGTAGTGGAAGTAGCTGGGAGATTAGATCATGCTCCAATTTTTCACACATTTTCTCTGACGGGTCAAATCTCAATGAGGAACCAGCATGGACAAGTTGAGCCCCAGCTGCATGAAAAAGAGAAGAATGCGGCCGCCCCCCCCCGATCCAGGCACCAGGTACGGACCGGGGAAGGCTAGTCGAGGTCCCCCGCCCGCCGGGTCCGGGGGGCGTGCAGAGTTGGAAGTCCCAGCTAATTTTGAGTAACTAGCAGGGGGGGTTCTTCCATGGTCAGGTACAGAAAAAGCTCAGACCAAGATGCCCAGAGTCTGGCTGATACGAGTACTCCGTAAGCATTTTATGGCACCACCGGCGAGGCGCAGGCAACAGGGCCATTAAGAAAACCTCGAGACGAAGAAGGCGTTGATTGGATCAATAAGAGATGGCTGGCTACATACCTCCACGTACAAGCCCGGCCACCGCTATCCATCATCACTGACTGGGTTGTGAGGGCCGTCTTTTTTTAAAATGGACAAGGACCCCTTCTTTACCGCCTACCATGCCATGAAGAACTTGTCCCGAATCCCCCTTGCAGGTAAACACACGCAATAGAGAAAACCAACAAGGGCCGCCGGAAGAAACGGTGAGAGAGAACCGGGATCTCGCACACGCCGCGGTCCGTCACAAAGCGAGGAACTCATGGCCCTTGTTCTTGAACGACGGAGAAATTCGGTTGTCGGCTTGATCTCCCCCTTCCGAGGACAGGGCCAGGACCATGTAAGAAAATCTACGACGTTACGCAACGATTCCCGTGTCAAGTAGTACAGACATCCTAGACCGAGAGAACGCGCGACAACTCGTGTTGTCTCGCAGGTCAACACACAACATACCAAGATGGACAATGATACCAACAACCAACCCAACCTGCATGTAGAAATGCAACTTGTTTCTTAGTTTGCAGCGGGACCTGCATTAGCATCGTCCGGGTCCGCGGTACGGGGTGCGCCCCTAGCGAGGACCATTTCTTCTCCTTCTTCCATTGAACTTGTTCTTTTATCGAGCCCTTGCCTAGATAGGAAGGTTCTGAAAGAGGCCCTTTCTCCAGTGATCCCATCGTTGCACGCGAGCCGATGCCAAGACCATGCAGCAGAAAGGCTATAATATATAGCCGACAGAAAAGGTTTGCAATGGCGGCGGCGCAAGAACAATTGTCTTGCCCTTTTTTTGTTGGACTCGAGTCTCTCATGGCGGGACGGACGGACGGACGGACGCCAACGGGCGGGAATCGGGAGGACCTTGCATCTTTGGACTTGGATACACGGATATTATCCGCAGTGCATCGTTGACCCTGTCGGAACTCGAGTGGCGTCCGCAACGAACCAGGAGGTAGCTAGGCCGCAAAGGCATATTGTGGGCAATTTGGCTAGCCAGGGATCCTACCGGGCCGTTGTCTCGACCTCTCTACATAGCCTGCGACTAAGTAGAAAGTGATTTGGAAAGATCGATTTTGACATCTCCAGTAGTTCACGGCCGTCTAAGCGATGACAAGCTGGCGGATCGTGAATTTCTAAGCGTGAAACTCTACTGAATAGTGGCAAGAAGCATATGGGATGAGGATGAGGGCAATAGGTACAGTAGTCACAGGCAGGCATGATTCCAGTTTGTCAATGTTCAATAAAAAGTGCTCAATTTGGCGGAAGAGATTTCATCTAGTTCAAGTTGCAGACCAGCCGCGCCCTGTCCTAAAGGATTACAACGAGAGTAAAGAAAGAGAAGCCTGCTTGGCCGAAAAGGTGACCGAGCAGGAGAACACACAAAAACAAGAGCGCCTAACACGCCGAGTGATCCCAAACATGTCTCTTTCCATACCCGAACACGTTGTCCAACTTTTTTTTATGGTCGTAAAAACCGCGGCCGCGGATGGTTTCCGGTAGCCACCGTCGTATAAAATGATGTATGTCAAAAACTTGATACAAGAACTGAAAAATGATTGTATATGCAGTCGTAAACCGTGGTTTTGTGCGTCCTTCTAGAAATAAAGCGGCGCAGAGCAACAAGCATGTCGCCGAACCGCTCCTCATCCTCGAAATCAGGCACGCCAAGCGAAGCCACTTCCAAAAGATGAGGAGAGAATTGAAAGGAATGTCGTAGAAGTCGTGATGGGCCAGGCCCAGGAGTGTCGAGGCAAAGGCCCATTACTCGGAGCGCTTGCGCTTCTTCTTCTTGTCCGAAGCATCTTCCGATACGTCCGGGAGCTCAGAGCCAATCTGGAACATGACTTTGCCATAGGAGAAGTCGTCTCCTGTTGAGACGGACATGCCACTACCGTCAAAGTGTGAGGCGTGGTCTTCAATCAGGTCCATGACGATGGCACCACCGGAGTGGGTACGGGCGTGCTGGGCAAGGTTGTCGCTACGAGAGAACTTCTTGCCACACTCGTTGCACTCGAATGGCTTCTCTTGGGTGTGGAGGGAGCGGTAGTGGCGCTTGAGATGCTCTTGCCGACGGAAGCGGCGGTTGCAGAGGTCGCAAACGAACGTCTTGGAAGGATCCTCGGTGAGCGACTGCTTGCGACCACGGCGACTGGGGGGGGCAGCGACAGAGGGTGTGCTGTCATCATCACCAGGGGATGATACGGTCGATTCGGAAGAGTCAGAGCCAGCACTGCTAGCCTCCATCTCGTCATCAGTAGGCTCAGAGACAATGTCGGTATCATCGTGAGACTTCTTCTGCTTCTTGTCGCGGTGGTCATCTTCGTGGCAGGGGAGCGCGTCGGCGTTGGGAAACGGCAAAAAGGCAAAAGTGTCGCTGTCTTCACAGCTCAGGTCATCGTCAAAGCTGCAGTGGCCAAGGGACACGACCGATGAGCCGGTGCACGCGCGGGGACGGGTGATCTCAGGAGCGCTGCTGGCTTCAATGTTGACAAGATTGGTGAAGTCATCCTCAGAGTCCAGATCATCAAGGTCCTGGAAGGCTGGAAGGCCGTGGGGAATAGCAGGGTTGAAATCAAAGGTAGACTGAGCGTTGGCGGTCTTGAGATGGGTATCACCCATGTTGGACAGGCTAAAATCGGGAGCAAGAGTAGGGTTGCTGCCGGCGGAGACGGTAAGGTTGCGGGGGTCGCAGAAGTCGACATCCTGCTCAGAGGAAATGGACCGGGCATAAGCAGGCGTCGGTGAGGGAGAGAGTGACGGGCATGAGGTCATGGACAAGATGTCACTGGTGCTCTGCTGGAAAGCGAAAGGCTGCGAGGCGATGTAGACTGCACAGTGGTTAGCAAGGGCCCCACACACAAGGTCCAAAATTGGCTTTTGACGAGCCATCGTGACGACAAGTCTAGGCCAGACGATTGAGACATACCAGGCGTCATGGGAGGGGAAGCGCAGCTAGACCAGTCCAAGACCGAGGTTTCAGCCGAATCAAAGAGATCCTTGACCGGGAAACAACCATCGAGACCCGAGAACATGGGGTTGACGGGGGTCTGCATGGCGTCGCACATCTTGGGGCTACCAATGGCGCTGCCAGAAGTAGACAAAGGTGGCGTAGAGGGAAAGTGGCTGTCATAGACGTCGGTGTCGAGCATCATGTTTGTCTTGTGGGCACCATTGCTGTAGAGCGTAGGTGGCTGAGAGCCAGATGAACCGGGGCGAGAGTAGATGGGCGTGGCGGGCATCTGCTGGTACATATAGGCGGCTTTGCGGGCATCTGACTTGGCCTCGCGGTTCTTGAGGAAGGCTTGGGCCACCGAGTGTGGGTGTAGCATGGCGGTTTCCATTGTGGGTGGTTTCTTTTTTTGGCGTTTGTCTAGAGGCAGACAGTTGGTTAGTACTGGCGATGCTGCGCTGGCGGGGTGTGACGCGGGCACACTGCGGTGGGTGCGCGACAGCTCGCGTGGCAAACGAACCTGGAACAAGCGGGCGTCAAGCAGAAGCCAGTTTCAGAATATTAGAGAGTATGATAGTATGGTAGTATCGTGGTATGCGTAGTGTACAGAGAGTCCGTTGGGAAGAGCAGGCGGACTTGGAGCGGGTAAACGTGGGTGTTGGCGGGCAAGACGTCAGAAGTCCCAAGCGTCGACTCGTTCGGGAAGGAATGTCGTTGGAGGCCGGGGGCGGAAAATCAAAAACGGCAGACAGCAGCAGGCTATTAGGATAATAATTTGTTGTACAGGACGAGGCAGGAGCCGCACGATCGTGGATGGATGGTGCGTTGGTGGTCCGTGTATGTCGCGGTAGAAGGAGAGTGAGGAAACTTGACCGAAGAAAAAGTATCAAGAGTCCCAAAGATGAAAGTCGACAAGAGCAGGCCACAAAAAGAAGGAAGAACCAAGGGCAAATATAAAAAAGAACAAGATTATCCAAAAAGCACCGGTTCCTAACAGGATGCCGATCGTATGGCTCACGGACAATGGGGATGGGGGGGAGATGGCATAAGTAGTCGGCAGCAGCAAGTAGAGAGAGCAAGGCAAGCAGTCAACGTCGATCCAGCGTCGGCGCAAAACGACATCCCGGTTGAGCAGAGTGCAGCGACCCATCAAGCGACAGCGATGGACAGGCCAGAGTGGAAACGACATCCGTTGCCTCCACGCTGTCTCACACCACGCAGCGAGCGGCGAGGCAGGTTGGCAGCAAAAAGCAAGGGCACCAGGATATCAAAGCGGGCTTGCGGGCCTTGCCAGGACGGCGGGGGGGCGCGGGCGAGACGGGTCGGGCTCCATGGCACGCCCCTCCTCCCTGTTGGAGGCGTGGGATGGAGATGAGAGGGTGGTGTGGATGAAGAAGAGGTGGTGATGGAGGCAAGGAGGGTGTGTGTGTGGTGGTGGTAGTGGAGTGGGAATGGCGGTTGGGTGGGTGGCTTGGCTTTTGCTTGGGTGGTGGTGGTGAGAAGGAGACACGCCCGCTAAGCCTGGTGTTTTGGTGTGGTGTGTCTGGGGCGGGGAAGATGGGGTGGATACGGAGCAAGGAATTGATTTAGATTTCTGGCAAGAAGAAAGAAAAAAAAAGATTCAAAAAAAGAACAGGATTCAGAAAAAGACGGGCACACCAACGATATGTCGGTGTTTGGTGGTTATCGAGAGGTGTGGTGCTGCTGGTCGGGAAGAGGTGGAGAGCGATGGGCCGTGGTCGGTGGAGGATAAGGACAGATGTCCGTATACTTTGTACGTACTCTTAGTACAGAACTAGTAGTTACCGTACCGTAGACGGTAATTTGTAGAAGATATCAACATATTGAAAGACGTCGCCTACCAGCCCGCTCCCGGCTCGCAAGTGGCGGTCCAGTGGTGCGTTGCAGCGGGCAGTAGCGCCGTTTGTACGGGATGCGCTGCATTGCAGGTTGCCAGTAAGAAGCCGTCAAGGCTCAAAAGCCTGTCACCTGTGGGGGACTTCAGCAGCAAATCGCATCCTACTAATTCAATTGATCCAGCACGTCGTGGCGAAATGGACGGACAACTGCCAACGGCGCAGCCACGGCCGGCCCCAGCCCCAGCGGTGCTAATTCGGGACACACACCTCCCGGTATGGAAATCCAAAAGTGTGCCTGATAATCCCATCCGTACCGACATGTTGGTAGAAACCATGGGCCAATATGCACAAGTAGGCCGCACCTTAGTGCAGCGTACGGATAACACTGGCGGATGGCCTCGTATGCTGCCATCCAATGTACTGCGGTACCCGTAACTTACGCCATCTGCCCACCAGGCTGCCTCTGGCGGCAAATTAGGGCTCCAACTGTTCCAACACAGCCCACACTGGCCGACGACTTTCTGTCTATTCCTGGCTTCGTCTGCCCCCGGGGAGGCTAGGAAGCCCGTGTTAGTGCCGTCCGCATCCTGGCACCGAGAGGAAAAATTTCCCTCGCCGGGGTCTCTCTGCGTTATAAAATGAGAAGAGGGGACGACCGGCCATGCCCGTGGCTGCCGAACTCTTGCCCAGCTTCCACCAAGCTACGGATATGAGCCCAGCCCTTCCGCGTAATTATCCCAGATCCTGTTCATAAAAATAAAATAAAAAATGATGCAGTTTTTTCAACGCCTCTTGTGGTGGATATCACGGTGCGGGTAGGTATGTAGCTCGGTAACTCTATTCGTGGTCTTCGAGTCTTGGACGGCAATGCCTTCCAAGCTGGCATCCGAGCTGATGGCATGCGCACAACCACGGACAAGAATGTGCAGCACATACATTGGCGTCGGCGCGAATATGCACGCACGCGCCGCGCGCCCACCCGAGCACGGCTTTACGCGTCACGTTTCCTTTTTTTTTTGGCGCCTGCCTCCATTCTTTTGACTCGTTGCCATTCATACGAGAAAAGTTATCCACCTCAAGGGCAGAAAGACAACAAGAAAAACGAACAACAGGAAACAAGGGCAAAGCAAGTGCGTGTGTGCGTTGCATATCGTCCTCGGCGGCCCCAAACCTAACCAACCATGACCGTATTGCGCGACGCGCACCAGCACAAAAAAAAAAAGAAGCACACAACCTGTCACGCACCAATTGACGCGCCACCTTGACCCTATTTTTTATCCTAACTAATGCTGCTTTTATGCCGAGTCCCACACCCTTGCTTTTTTTTGGCATCACAATTCATGCATAGTGCCGCTATGTGATAGGTCAGCGGCTCGGACCACACCCCCCCTCCACCTCCCTTGCACATCTTTTTGGGGTCATTGCTTTGCTTGTGCAAACCAAGGCACCTGTGCTGAGACTGCGTCAGCTCTACACCAGTTATGCACCCGCTATGCATCCACGGCGCCTGTGCACAGCCATTGGGTGTCGCCCTTGCGCAGGCTCAACCAATGCCAGGCGCAGATGGACCGCCCAGCATTGGCATCGGCCCTCCTGCTCGACTCTCGTGACGACTTCCTTTCTTCCCCAGCGTATTTTTATCACTTCTTCTTTATTTCTGCTCACCAGTGCTCTCGCCTGCCACTCGTCTCGACTCTCTGATTTGTTTCTGATTGCCGCTCAGACTAACTACTGCACTCCAGATGTCTATCCAAAGGCGGGGGAAGCCTCCTCGCAGCCATCCCGCTAGCCAAAACTTGTGGCGGCGCCAGATGTGCCATCTCTCAGCATGTGCGCGTTCTCTTGTCCCAATTGCAAAGGTGAGACCATCTCTTGTGTGCTTGTCAAGTTGTTCGTCCTGTGGATCTCTACCAGAAGGTCCCAGTGGCGAGCCTCGTGCTCTTTCTCGACCTTGTGGCGGAGTTCAGGCTTTGGGATGCAAAAGCCCACAAACAGTTATGAGAATACAATTCAAATTCAAGCCTCAATATAGAAACAGGCTGTGCATATGTACCAATAATCTCCTGATAGCCACATGCATTACATATGCAGCCCACAGCCCGCCTGTATTTGACACAAACGCTGTGCCTGCATTGTATCGCAATCATCTAATCTGCCGTGGATTATCGAAGAAAAAAAATAACATAATAAATATTACACGGGGAAAGGCATATTTGCAGCGCTCGTCAAACGCCGCGCCCGCTCTCACGCTCTTAGTAGCAAAGCAGCAAAGCCCTAACGCTGGCTATTGCTACTTATTAGTCGTGCGAGTAGGTAGCAGATATGGCCGTCAGTTTGAGGCCAGTCGGCTCGGCTAGTAACTTGGCCACAAATACGAACTCTGCAGTAAGCACGACGTCAGCGCCATCGCGATCACGTCCGCCACACTGCGAACAGTCTCATCAGTCCCACGGCCGGCATGACACGGCATCCCGCATTTCTCTGCTGGTTACGCCGTTGCCGTGTATCACTCTTCGCATAAACTTGGCTCATCGGCAGATGCATATTTTCCTCCTTTGCACAATGCATAGGTGCACATGTCAGCACCTTTCGACGTCGATCCCAATTGAACATTGAAATGGGATGTGCTTCTGACCGGGGTATCTAGACACTAGTAACACGTATTTATCACGCACAAAAGGTGTTCGTCGAGGCAAGTTTATGTATGGTCATCACTCGCACACATTCGATTCCAATGTCCAATGCAGTTCTCCCAGAAATGGCACCCCAACTGCATGGTTCTCATGTGCTGGGTCAGGCAGCTTTACGCTCGCTGCGATAATCAAGCCTTCTGGTGACTGCAGGGTGGGCCATGGTACAAATTACGGTAGTATTCTCTGTATCGCAGGCACATCGAGCACGCTTTCACAGCCTACATCATCATGCCTTAGCCGGCGATGCACACTGCATGAAGCTACTTCTATTACCCCATTGGCCCCAGGAAAACCATCTCTCTAATCCCAGAAAAGAAAAGTCAATTGCCCAGAAAAATATTGCTAGCGGGAGAGACGGAGGCCAAGAAAGAAAACGGCCAGAATTATCGGCGCATGTACACGCCCGACCCATCCAGCGACATCTTTGCCAACTTGTACGTAGTAAGTAATAGTAGGTAGTCATGTACATAGACCCGAGTCAAGAAGGTCAAGATAACTAGATAATTCGTAGCCAGAATGGATACACACCACGGCTCGCCACGTTCGCGGGTCTGCCGAGGACACCATCAAACCATGTCAGCCGTTCAGCGTCGCAGACCCCAGTTGGAGCGGTTTCACCATCTGAATCTGGGGCGCGAGTCAGCCGCGCCAGTCCATCGCCGCGTCGTCCAAACCACTCACGATGACAGTAGATTACTTTCTTCACCAGCAGGACAAGGTCAGATGCAGGAGGGGCAAAGCACTGTCCATCTCCAAATGCTCTGTGCGTCCATGTCCAATATTCCTACTCCCCAACCTCGCCTACACTCATGTTCAGCTCCCACTTATAGATATTAGAGTTATATGTCACTGTGCTTTATAAATTTATTCAAGATAAAAGAATCCTGTCTGTTGAATCAATATCCTTGAAACGGTACTAATTATGGCGCAACGGTGTATGAGCCTCTCAATTCTGTACTGATATTCTGTAGTCTGTAGAGTATCTATCATCAACCCACGTATGCAGGTCCAGTATATACTCGCAGCCGATACGTTTACACGTTAGGCACGAGACGCAGGACCCTAGATCAGAGGTGCAGTTCGTTGAATCGTCTGGATAACTAGCCTACACGTTCGACACAGAACCCCTATTATTACCAAGTATCCCGTACCACACTTGTAACATTTCACCGCAACACACACACCGATTTTTTCTGCATGGCAAGATACCATAATAAATTATCTGCGGCTTCCATTTTCCGGGTCCATCACACGGCGGTGGCGGGCTGAGATGGCAAGCCATCAGCAACAAGTACGACCAAGTTGACAACGGGCAACCTTCCCATCTTGGTCGTGGCGTTCCGTATCCCACGCCTGCAACCGTATCCACGCATGCTCCAGAAGCGAGCCAAAATCAGCCAGGTTTCCCCTCCTTGCCCGTTGCGCCACCGAGATTTGTGCCGTCGCTCGCTTCTCTTACGAGAAAGAAGCCGTCGCGACGGAGTGGAGCGATGGCCCAACAGGCAGGAGTGGGATGAAATTCATCTCGTCCAAGCAGGTCCGGGCGGCCACAGTGGACGACGGGCCGTGCGATCTATCTCCCGAGCTTGGTACGGAAAGCTCTCTTGATAGAGCGTTCGTGAGGTGGTTGTGGCTACAGGTCACCCTCCATGACCAGGTTTCTTTGAGCTTTTGGATTTGATTGATTTCAAGCCAGCAGGCAAATGACTTTTCGTGCATTATTGACAGCTTCTAGAGGTGACGTTGCGGCCTGATAGCCAGCCTCTCGTTACCCACCGTGGCTTTTATTGACCTAGCGTTCCAGTGTGCTGGGTATTATGACCTGAATTACAGGGTGCAGAATCAACACCGCAGGCGGCTGCATAAAAATGTTCGCCCTTGCAGCGTACTTGCGCACTTACCAATACAAGCCTTCGCCATGTCCATCGAAGAGGGGCTTACACAACTAGTCAATGACGCACCCCAGTAGTGGAATAATCATCAACTAAATTATAATAATAATGAACAAGAAGCAGGCGTGCAGAAAAACCCGAAACACAACGGTTAGGACTGGTGGTGCATCTACATGTCGACAATGGTCGTCATCTATGTACAGAATGAGGTTGTGATGGTGCCTGTAGATCGGCCGCTGCCGCATGATGCATAAGTCGCTTGGTTTGCGAGTCATTACAGCTGAACCGCTTGCCAACCGACATGCGAACTCTCCAGGCAAATCGGTCAATCAGTCTGATGGCTACTTACTTGTACGTTGCCTCAAGGGGCGTTCCGGTGGTTGGGATTGCTGGTGCCAGCCAGGAACAGGGTCTGGGGACGGCATACTGGACGGAGCTAGCCATTAGCAGCTACCTAGTTAACTAGTCTCTCTGACGATGTGCCGACTTTTGCACATCACAGACCGTGGCCGCGAAGGTGGTTCAAGTGCATGTGGCTGTCACAGTGCCACTCGGCCGATCAGTTTCTGGCCTTGCACCAAAGTCACCAACTGCGGATTCAACTTCTTCAGATCAGTCAAAACTAGGACAAGTGGGCGGGCGAAACAAAAAGGTGGAAACACCAGCTCGGGACCAGTCCCATTGGTCGCAGCCACGAGGAATGAACCTGAAACCTTAGCGTTGCATGAGTTGGTGCGTGCTGAGGACAACGTCTACTGTCTCTAGCACTAAGTTGGCTAGCAAGCTAGGTAGTTGGGTGACATCTCCTTGCACAAGCAGCATCCAATCTATTGGTATGCCTTTGCATTGGAGGATTGGAGGCTTGGAGCACACTAGCGGTGATGAACTTCTGCCAACTAATACTGGTACTTCACTAGTTCATATCCACAGAAGCTGTTCGGCACCTCTTGGTAGCTAGAATGCTGGGCTGGCCCAGCGTCTTGGCAAGCAGCACGCCTCGGCTGCGATTGACAGGAGCACTGCTAGGGACGACCTGTTGTCGCCGATTACTGTGCTCGAAAATCTTGCCATCTTGACTCTGCCATGGCATTGTACTGGTACAGCGTTCCGATACTCTACCTAGCCTTGCGTATGGAGCACCATTAATACTTGGTTGAAACGGATTATGCGACGGCGCAAGGTATTTTTCACTCTTCGACGACAAGCTCACACGTCAAGCACTAACCAAAATCCTCGTGTAATAGGTTAATAGCCTACATCTAGCCTGGGCACTAGCTCGTGCGCGGTTCGAGGCGCAAGTAAACGTCACCGCTGTCTTGAACCTAATGCGCGCTGGAGCTTGAATAAACGGCAAATATATCTAGTCGCTTGCACAACCGGTAACTAGCAGTACAAGCGTATGATTGCGCCGCGCCGAATGGCTGCCTTTCCCATCCCGGGAAGGAACCAGATGCGAGCGCTGATTGTAACCACATCTGGCCTTGGGTCCATCCATGCTGGTGCTAGCTAGGTAATGAGTTGTTAGCTGGTTCCAACATCGATTCTAACCAGTGGAGGGCAGAGTGAAGCCGAGAAGCTAAGCAACTAACTAACTCGGTTCTTATTCAATGCGCAGCGTTGCGTCATTGGTGTATGGTTGGACATTGGAGTTGAATACGGTTAGCGGTCTTATTTTGAAGAGTTTTCTGAGACTTGAACTGACTGATAAGCAGTGTTGCCTCTGAACCGGGGTCGATGATGGTGACAGGGTTACACAAGGCTTGCAAATCGAACCAGGACATTTTTCACCTCATCACCAGAGAGAAGGTTTCTTCGGGTTCAATGCAAACTGGGCCACAGGGTTGGAGTTGGCGGGTAAAAGCCACCGCTCGGTCCAGCCCAGCACTTTGTGCCAAGGCAAAATGTAACTACCAAGCAAGTCCATTCATGTTGCGGGGTACCGAGGAAGCCAAGAAGCACGAGCTGCACATTGAGAAGAAGACGAAAAGCTGGCACTGGTTTTCAAGACACTGTGAGGAGGGCGCAAGGATTTGAGTGGCACAAAAAGTGCCTGGGATAACTACCTACCTACCTAGGTACCTTACCTAGGCTAGGATGCTGCCAGAAGAGACGTGCATGGGTGGATTGGCTTGCATGGACACCGCACAGTGCAACTCCAATTTTATGCTCGCCGCAGTCAGTGTTCCTGCATCGGGTCGCACCGTGCTCCATCTGTGCCTGTGGCACTCCGCACTGTACTTGTATGCAGACGGATATCAAGGTGCGGTTGTGCAGTCCAATGCCTGTAGGCCCACTTATGCAGGTACAGGCACAAATGCTGGGATCCGGAGATGCAGGTACGGATCAAGGCACCAAGGCACCAGGGCTTCCAGGCCGCCACGGCCGACCACCCAACCTGCCAACTGCCTCTCTCCGCCAAAAAATCCAACAATCCTGGCGTAAAATCTGCTCATATCAAGAACCGAACCGCTAAAAACCAAACCACCACACCACCAATCACTAGTAGCATCCACACGGCCGACCGGAATGGTCCGCTGCTCCTCTTCCGACGACCATCCTACACACCACAGCCCGCCAGCCTCGGTCGACCCCGTCCCAATACAACATCATATTCATCATCCTGCTCATCACAATAACTAGTACCAGTGCTCCGTACTCAATACACCGCACATGTGTGAATAGTCTGGCCCGCAGTCAGCTGTTTGGCCGCGTTGGTAACTACCTCTTGGCAGTGGCAGACTAACAGTCAACGTTGATCTGCGCTTTTTGCTTTTTCCGCGGCCTTCCGCAACGCCTTCCGGCACAAACGAACCCCGACGTATAACGTCTCTGTAATCTCCCGACCTCACGCCAGCTGGGCTTTGCCACACCGTTCTCTCTCTAGCACCATGCATGGGCAGGGTCTGAAATCCGGCAGACTGGACGAGCCAGGCAGGGTTGCAAATGCACCGGCTGCAGATACCGTGACTGGGAGGGGGTGTGCCCTCGATACATATCGAACCAGGAACCAGTGAACCGATGGTCATTACCCTTGGTAGTTCATCTGGCACCACTGCGGCCCTATGTACTGCCACGCTCCGGAGCTTTCTTCTGCGCCCATATGCACGTCCCTGTGCATTCGGCTGGCCAGAACTTCTCTTCGTCGGGGCCTGGTCATGCCAGACCTGGACAGAATTGACCAGGCCTGTCCATTGCCACCAGCTGGTGGCAATGCCACCTTGCCCGAGAGTGGGATCACTAGGACCCTGGCCGCCTAGCGTCTGTTGGTCCTCGATAACTTGACCCTGCTCTAACCATCGAGCAGGCACCATGTCGCAGTCTCTTCTCAACGCGGCAAAGCCTCGAATTTGCCACTTTGAATCTCAATCACGACAAGTTTCCAAGCGACAAACCACGGTGCAAGTCACATATGTACACAACTCAGTCCAGTCTCGCGGCAGTCATCCTCCCATGATGAATCTGAATCACTCTCAGCGGTCTTGTCTCGTCACCACATTGCACTCCCCATGGGCGAACAGGCCCTGGGAAACAGATGGCCCCGCCGCCTAGGCTATTCGAGTCCACTTCATACCCATGTCTTGTTGATCCTGGCCTTCAGTCCCCGGATTTTTTGCCTCTTTGCGCAGTCGACGCTAGGAACGCTTCAAGTGAGCTAATTCACGGAGCAGCCTGCACCATGCTTGATTGGGATGTGTTCTGTCCTTATCTGTACCAACGTTGTGGCACACTGGTGACTGGCAGCACAGTTGTTGCACTTGCAGAGACCATGACAATACTAATGTATATCAGTGGTAATGAGTAACTTGGCGTCCTGGCGGGTTTCTTTTACGACGGGCTTCTGTGGCATTACGGCCTAGTTACCAACACCGCTTGCTAGGCGAAATTCTCCTCGCTAGCCTTAATGGTTGGTACCCTGTTAAAAGCTAATTACGGCCTTCTGGAAGGTTTCGCCGACTTCACCACCCAACCCAGCGGGCCGGCAATTTGAGCCAACTGCTGGCTGACAAGGGTGGGTGCAAGCACGCGGCTGATAGCACCCTGCCAAGTTTGGTTGGCAGGTTCTTCTCTCATTCGGAAATGCAGCAATTTGGACCAGCTCCATCGAGTGCAAATGCACGAGCCAACTGGTTGTGTCTGGATCGCCAGAGAAAAGAACATGAGCAGCATGTCACTTCCCGGGTTATTATTAGTATTATCACCTCTACTGAGTACAGGCACGCCACGGTAGACCGATTTGCTCCCGCGATGGGTATCGGGACAAACATAGTTATCGGGTTGTTCCCTGTAAAACTATAGTTCTCGTGGGAACAGGTCACCGAGAAGCTCGTGCTCTTGCCTCCATCTTCGTCTCTGTCAGATATTGGGTCATGAGGCAGGCACATTGGCACTGAATAGTTTGTGCTTTGGATCATGACGACCTATGATCCTTTTACGTACCGTGAACGTCAAGTGCGGAGCACAGGTCCATCGATGCAAATCAACTGGTCTTACGCTGATGTTATTTCGTTCTAGGTCGATCGCAACTCTAGGGTTGGTGAGAAGTCGTGTGGGTATTCAAGGCACAGTCAAGATGTCTCTGCAGTCGGCTGAGTCAATGGGTGCTACAAGCAGGGTCCAAGTGGCATCTTCGATTCCAAGGCAAGCGCCAAAAAAAGCAAAGTCTGTGTCGTTTTGGACTGACAGTATGGAGCCATTTTTGCTTCTTTTCACCACGTCAATCGTGTCAAGTGTTTCTTTTTACAGTCGCGTGTCTTGTCCGTCCATTTGCTTTGTTTCCTTGTTCGTCTCGTTTCGTGACACCGCTTCCTTGGTCAAATTCAGCGGTGGACAACTGCCATCGCTTTGACAATTTTTTTTTCTTGTATGGCGTAGGAAGTAGAGTGCAGGGTCCTCTGTTGAACGGTAGCACGTCCAAGGTAGTTAGACGTCGAAAAAAGTCGGCTGGAAGCCGGTCTGAGCGCCACCTGTCAGGCGAGCATCAGGCGATGGCCAAGAGGAAAAGAGGCCACGGTACGGCAGAGTGCGAACAGGCGAGAGCCGAAGGAAGCGGCGTTGACAGACAGGCTGAATCAAGTGAGACTGGTGCCGCTGATACCTGTCGATTCTCACCGACCGGAAGACGTTGTTCGTCATTTATTACCAGGAACGATACGAATCTCGTATTCCATTGGGAAATCGGCTCTCAGCCGCGATTCTACCATCCATCGGCTTTTGGATAGGTATGCATCTGTGCTGCATTAACGACTCCCTCTTTTTTTTTTTTTTTTTTGCCTTGCTGGTGCCTTTCTTTTGACGTCTCTTTCCACCGCCTAGTTTTCTTTTTAGTCTCTATCGCGCTTTGAGGGTTTTGTCTGTGTTCCGTCACCGCCGACCGCATCCCGTTCATGCAAGCCACTCGTCTTGTCACCCGTTCGGACCCCTCTGCATCCTGCGGCATGGCGTTGACCGCGTAAGATGCCGATGGAGAGGACAAGGGAAGAAAGGAAATGGCCATCTCCCACCGCGGCGATGGGATAGAAAAAAAACTTTGGAAGCCAGCCCGAGGTGGACACTGATTTTTTTTTTATCCTTTTGGGTCTCGGGCCGCGCGTGTCCGAACCGGACGCCGGTGTGTCTACGGATGTACCAGAAACTCCAAAACAGGACTCTACATGTTTTTTGTCCATCCCTCTCTAAACCGGGAAGCCTTTTTTGAACAGAAAAAGTGGTCCAGGGAAGAATCCAAATTCCCGACGCCATCACCATCGGAGGGTTGGCTGGAATGTGTCTGCCTACCAAGTATGGCTTCGCTTCAGCACCACGGCCCTTTCGGTCTCGTCTTGCTCTGATCTGATATCTCGAGTCAGCCAATGATGATGTCAGTTCTCATCTTGACGGCTTCTCGGGCCTGAAAAGACTGACAACCTCAGCTGTAAGGGACAGCACAAAAGCAACAAGGCGGGGAATCTCCAGCGACCAGTGATGACCAGTGTATCAGCCACGCAAACCACTCAGCCGGTACGAGACGCTATCGGATTTAGTAGGGTTTGGAGAAGAAGATCCCGAGGGCGTTTGTTTCTTTCTTGTTAGAGGCCTTGACCCTCCCTTACAGTAGTACATACATGTTGTAGGGCAGTGAGGGGGAGGCGTGCAGGTAGCAAGATGCCATCTCAAGTCCATCGCGTATGCAGCTCGTTCCTCTTGGATTAAGCTTCAGCGTGGCGAGCGTCTTTTTTTTTTAGCTTTTTGCGGTATATACGAGGTGGTGATGCTTCCAGTCATGGAGGCGCGCCTCACAATGCGCGTCCCAGAGGGCTTGAGCGTTCTTCCTGCGAGGTTTCAGGCTCCACGGAATACGCAAGTGTCGAAGCTTGCGCTGCTAGATCAGCCAAGAAACAAGCCTTTTTTACCCCAGGTATTTGTCCGCCGTCTCGAGGCGTTCTTTGAGAAAAGTGCTAGTCTACAAGAGGCATGGCAAATCATGTAAGTTGTTGTGTGTTGTGTGCTTAGGCATCTGCCGATGGAATGGCAATTCCTAGAATGCCATTTCGACTTGGCTCCGTGATTTGGCGGGCAAGTCGGTATTCCCATTAAAAAAACTAAAGAACGGACGCTGCGGGACCATGTTTGAGGTTTTACGCCTTTGACAATGGCAGCTTGGCTCGCGTATACACCATCTGAAGTCTAAAAAATGGCCCGCGACGGCAAGCGAACGACGGCTACCATCACTTTAAAGTTTTGCGACGTCGTCATGGGTGCTTTAGGGTAGGCAGGCCGCTCACGAACCACGGCCCGCGTGGACCTCGGTGCGTTGCAGTGACGCATAATAAGTGAATCTTGTGGGTGGGCGAAGATGAAGGTATTATTGACCGAACCAAACAAAAAAAAGTCGACCAGTCTCAGTGTTTCGACGTCTGCAGCGGTGGTAGTGAATAGGAAGACTCGGCGGGGCACTCTCTGTCGGCTTGATCGTGTCCGCGACATGGTCACGTTAAAACTACGCGGGTTAGCTTGACACTGAAAGGAGTAGAAAATCCAGAAAGAGCATATGACATACAACCGGGAAGCCTTATTCAAGGCGTAAGCGTGACGTGGCAAATGTGTACTTAAGAGCTTGTCGATTGAACTCATTGACCTCCATACCAGTGATGATGGCATGCCCGGAAGAACTTGACCTACTACATCTAGCCTCTGGGGTGCTGTGAAGTATATCACGTATTTGATGATCAGAATCAGCATATCCGATCCGGGGTAGTCATCAGTGGCCTGTTCGGGAAACATAAACTTTCGCCCATAAGCATGTGTAACAACTTCGTTGTCACAGTCTCAAGATGATATTGAAGCCGAGGACATCAACAGAGTCGTTTTTAGCAGCCGTACTGACTGGACATCGGAGAAAGTCTAACCAATATCACAAGTGTTGTAAAAATGCACAAGATCACAGCGTTCATGACCAGGTACGAGTAGACGTACCTAGTCTGGCTCCTACTCATAATAACAAGTTGGGAAGACCCTATCCCCTCTGAGCAGAACTATGTCCCTTCGGATCAGAATTTCCCAAGCCTATCCCTGCATGGCATGAGAGCGGCATACATCGAGACCGCTTCAGAGCCGTCCTCTCCTGCCATCCTCCGCAATCTTCAGCACCGGCCGCAGGTTGTTCACGCGTGTCCAGAGATCCGGCAGACCGAGCGTGGCGCTCCTGTCCTGCTCCTTTTGGAACCACTCGCGCGCGGACCGGATCCTTGCGGGGTGAATCTCGTCGAGCAGCGCAAAGTCGCGGCGAATGAGGCCCCCACCGCCCTCGCCGTCGGCCCCCGAGTGCCGCCAGACGTTCCAGAAGCCGGTAAAGTTGTCCCGCACCGTCATGGTCGCGGGGTCGGCGGCGTCGGCGTTGTACCCCGCGGTGGCGGTGCCGCGGCCGAGCGGGCCGCCGCCGGCCCAGTAGTCGGCGAGGTCGGTGTCGATGTACCGGGCGGCCCGCCCCGTGACCTGCGTAAAGGCGCGCGCCAGCTCGTCGTAGGGGATCAGGTCAATGGCGACGGCGAGGTCGAGGCCGTCGGCGCGCTCCGGGTGGTCGAGCAGCCAGCGGACGTAGTGCTCGCAGTCGTCGAGGTCGACGTGGGCGACGGCGCCGCGGCCGAGCGGCACGCGCCAGGTGACGACGCCGCCGTCCTCGACCGTCGGCGACATGGGCGTGCCGGCGCCGACAGCCATGGCCATGTACGGGCCCGTGGTGAAGAGCGCCGCGCCCATCCGAGGCTTCGCCGCCGCGGCCGCCGCGGGGGCCTTGTTCTGCTGCAGGATCCATTCCCCGACGCGGCCCTTGCCGTCGTAGTGGCCGCAGCGCAGCGCCGGGTCGTAGCCGCCCTTCTTGTACGCAAAGTCGAGATTGCCGTACACGAAGAAGGCGAGGCCCTCCTCGACGGCCAGCTCGTAGGCCCGCATCGCCCAAAACGTCTCCGTCTTCTCGCCGGCGTTGAAGCCGTCAATATTGACAAAGGCGTACCGGGCGCCGCGCAGGCCCCGGCGCAGGTCCTGCTCGCTCGCAAACGTGCCCTCGACGGCGGTCACGTGGGGGAGCGCGAGGAGTTCCCGCGAGCGCCGGGATGTGGCGTCGCGGGTCAGGAAGCGCACGGCGTAGGCGCCGTCTTTGACGAGGCCGCGGATGACGGGAATGCCTTGCGCGCCGGTGCCGCCGACGACGAAGACCAGAGGAGGACTCGAGGGTGTGGACATTTTGTTCAACAAGGCCTCTATTGCTGTTGCTGATTCTGTTGCTGTTGCTGTTGCTGTTGTTGTTCTGGGTGGGATGTTCTTTGCAGATGATCATGTTTGCAAAGGCTGGACACTGGTGTCTTTATATACAAGACGTCACAACTCGGGGATTACGCGATCCTGATCAGAGCTTAGCAATGTCGCGCAAAGTGACGAATGTCCGGATCACTAATCCGCCTCAACCGCACGATACAATGTTGGTATACATCACCAGCAGAGGGTGTGATGACCGGGTTTGTTGCTTTTTCGTCCTAGTCTGGCTTGGTTGAGAGCCAAGTCCATCGCCACTGCTCTCAGTATTTCGTATCTGCCGTCGCCACGTGCAACTGTTGAAGTGGAGGATTCCGTCGGAAAGAGGAGGTGAATTGATCAGCCATGTTCAATATATTGGATGAGGCGGTGATGTGGGAGACGAGTTGCGCAACATCGAAGTGGATGTTGGCGGGCTGTTGAGTCCGCAAATGCCCGCATAACCCCGCACCACATATCGGAATGTCTGGTGCGCTGTTTCGCGGCTTTTATGTTTGGTATCAGCCTCAGCTGTGTCAGAGGTAAAAGTGGCCGGAAATCGCTAATTAATGACACGGTTCTTTGTACGAGTAAATATTATAAATCCTCGTGGGATAATGATCACACGATATACCGCCTACGCTGGGCTCGCTGGCTATACCCTAATAGGGTACCTAAATTCCTATATAAATTATACTATAAAAGAGGTACCTTTATAGGATAGAATTTTCCTTCCTTTTAAGTTAGAATATATAGAATATTAAGTTGCCTTTCCTCTAATTATTCTAGCTATGATTAACCTGCGCATATATGCTACGCAATTACTATTCGTAAGCACAGAGAATACTATAACGTGACAGTACGCTCACTTACATGACGGTGTGACGGAGAGTAGGCCAAGTTTGCTTGCGAGGCGTACAAGGCAAGAACCCTGCTCTAATTTTTTTCAAGACGAACAAAAACAAAAAGACAAACGAAGCAATTGACATAACAGCCATTGCAAATAACAGCAATTGGGAATAATATTCGTCGTCGTGCCTGCAATTGGCGAAAGGTGGAGATTGACGTGGGGACCCTGTCGATGCGCGCCACTTGAAATCGGCCTTCCATCAAAAGCGCGCCGCAAAGGGGGCTTCACAAGGCAATCATCGGCTCCTTTCTCTCCTTGTCCACCACGCACGCCTTTGCTCTCCTCCGGGCTCCTCACCGCACACACATCTCCGCCCGCACAGTCACCATGTCGATCCGCATGCCCCTCGGACGTCTGTCCGGACGCCTGGCGCAGCAGCAGCCCGCCGCCGGCTGTCTCTCGACAGCTTCACGCCCGGCGGCTCTGCCTCGCGTGCTTCGCCAGCAGCGCCGCTCATACTCGTCCGAACCTCCGCGCGCCAATAACCCGAACAAGGTCAAGTTCTGGCCGTTTTTCGCCATTATTGGCTTCGGCACGGCTGGCTACATTGCCCTGGCGAACCGGCGCAAGGGTGAGTCGGCAGCGAATTTCCCGTGTTGCTAAGCTCCCCTCCCCCCTTGGCTAACACTCGACAATCTGCAGGCACCGCTCCCGTACCCGGCGGCTCGCAGCCCAACACACCGACGGCCGAGTCCGCGGGCCCCGTCTTCTCGCCGCGGGACGTGACCGTCGTCTTCGTACTCGGCGGGCCCGGGGCGGGCAAGGGCACGCAGTGCGCCAAGCTCGTGGCCCAGCACGGCTTCACGCACCTCTCGGCCGGCGACCTGCTGCGCGCCGAGCAGGACCGTCCCGGCTCGCAGTTTGGCGACCTGATCCGCGACTACATCAAGAACGGGCTCATTGTGCCCATGGAGGTGACGGTCAAGCTGCTCGAAAACGCCATGGCCGACGCCCTCGCTGCCAATGGCGGCGCGACGACGGGCCGCTTCCTCATTGACGGCTTCCCGCGCAAGCTCGACCAGGCGTACAAGTTTGAGGACACGGTGTGCCCGGCCCGGCTGGTCCTCTTCTTTGACTGCCCGGAAAAGGTCATGGAGGCGCGCCTGATGGAGCGCGGCAAGACGAGCGGCCGCGCCGACGACAACGCCGAGAGCATCCGCAAGCGCTTCCGCGTCTTTGTCGAGACGAGCATGCCCGTCGTCGACTACTACGAGAAGCAGGGCAAGGTGGTCAAGGTCGAGGCCGTCACCAGCGCCGACGAGGTCTTTGCCGAGACCCAGAAGCGCCTCCGCGAGAGACTCGGCTCCGAATTTTAAAAAAGGATTGCCAAGTGTTGCATCACCGCCTTGTTCGTTTTCGATCTGGAGGTCATGTAGCGACGAGCGCAGACGCTGTACAATGGCATGTCTGTTGAGCGCCGTGGCGCTTGAAGAAAATGGACATGTGTGTAAATTTACCCATCACCTACACATTCCTTTATTCCGTGTTTAGACACTTGTTTTTCTTTACACTTTCCCTCGTCTTCTGCTTGTAGTTGCAAGGACGAATGCGCGTTTGAAGATGCTACAACATATTGGAGAGGGCGCCTCGTGCAGGCATACATTTCCTACGTTCTTAGAGACTCTGCAAGATGGAAACTAGATTATTTAATGCATAAAAGTACCGGGATTTCGTCGTTTTCTTTGCTGCCAGACCGCAACTACCCGCTGTTTTCTCGGATCAAGGCACGGCTCAACGGCCCCGAGACGGAAGACATGACACGTGGAGGATATCTTTACTGCGTAGACCAGGACATGCAGTGGATGAGGCTCAGCGGGTAACGATGTTGTCCCAGCCACCGATTTAGGCGAGCCCAGCCACCGAGCTCCACTATACAATTCATTGGGCTGTGCCACATTGCGCATTGCAGGGAGCCGCTGGGGAAGAATTACAGGGGGCTCCAGTGGTTTACAGGGCTTCGCTCAATCAAGAACACGAACAAGAGCCGCTGAACATGTCCAAGACGGCCTGAAACCCAGCCACGAGGACCGCTGCATGCCATGAGCCACGACCATGTGTCTCACTGTTTCGCATATACTGTTTGGCGGCAAAACCTTAGAATGAAATGAAAATATCAGCATGTTGATTTACCCGTCTCTACTCCGTACACTCTCGTATTTGACTTCTCGTATTGCTTTGCTGGATAACGTATAATACCATAGTTGTATATTTCTCGCACTCCAATTATCCCAGTCACACCACCGCCTGACGTAACTATCGTGTGGCTGGGAAGAGGATTTCTACCAAGGAAACGTCAAGAGCTTGGGCGATGCACACACACACACCCCGGTTCTGATCTTGGCGCGCCTGGGCCTGAATTTTTCCCGAAAAAATGCCCAACCCTAGTTATCCTCTTCCTGTTTTGTATTTCATGACGTGTATCCGTGCCCCTTGTCGGTTCTTGTGCTCCTCCATCATTCGCTTTCCATACCGCACCTACCAAAAACAAGACTTGTCATCGCAATCGACGACCACCCCTTGCACTGGGCAAACGAACAACTGCCCGCCGACCTTCGGCCAGAGAACACAGCAGCTCTCACTCACCACCCAACACCCCATATTCAAGACCTACACATCCATACACAATACAAACATGAGAATACCATTTCGGATAGCCGCAGGAGCTTCACTCCTCGCCACGACCCTGGCGCAAACATGGAGCAAATGCAATCCGCTGCTACAAAGTACGTATAACCTCCCTCTCGCTGCCTCTCGCCCAATGCTAACAACTCGGTCCCGCAGCAACGTGCCCGCCCAACACAGCCCTCGGCATGTCCATTGACATTGACTTCACCAAAGGCGCCGTCAACTCGTTTGAAGCGCAGGGCGTGCCGAGTTACGGAGCCGACGGCGCCATCTTCAAGGTGGCCGCCAGCGGCGATGCGCCGCAGCTCAACGCGCTCTTCTACATCATGTTTGGCCACGTCGAAATCACCATGAAGGCGGCGCCCGGTGCCGGCATCGTGTCGTCGGTCGTGCTCGAGTCGGACGACCTCGACGAGATCGACCTCGAGTGGCTCGGCACCAACCCGGACGAGCTGCAGTCCAACTACTTTGGCAAGGGCCGCACCACCACCTACAACCGCGGCCAGTTCCACGCCGTCCAGGGCACGCAGGCGCGCTGGGTCACGTACGGCATCGACTGGACCAAGGACCGCATCGTCTGGACCGTCGACGGCACCGCCGTCCGCGAGCTCCGCCAGCAGGACGCCGAGCCCGACCAGTACCCGCAGACCCCGATGCAGCTCAAGGTCGGCGCCTGGGCCGGCGGCGACGCCTCCCGCAACCCCCCCGGCACCGTCGAGTGGGCGCGCGGCCCGACCGACTTCTCCAAGGGGCCCTTTGCCATGGCCGTCAAGTCGCTCCGCGTCACCGACTACTCCACCGGCAAGCAGTACCGCTACAAGGACACCTCGGGCTCCTGGCAGTCCATCGAGGCCGTCGGCGGCCAGGTCAACGGCAACGCCGGCGGCCAGAAGAGCGTCCCTACCGTGACCGCCACCGGCGCTGCCGCTCCGCCCGCCACCACCTCGGCCCCCGGCGTACCCGTCGGCGGCCTGGCCAAGGACGGCAGCCCCGCCACCAAGACACAGACCGGATGGCCCTGGGTCGGCACCAACCCGCCCACCGGCGGCAGCATCCCCAGCGGCTGGTACATGACGTCGTCGGGCAAGATTATGCGCTCGGCCGCCACCGCGGGCCTCATTGTGCCCTCGCTGCTGCTCTCGGCTTCCGTGGCCGTCGGCGCCGCCGTCTTCATGGCGAGAGCCCTCTGAGACGATATTGGCTTGTAATTAATGATGACGTGGCAACTTGACGAGGTCAAGCAGAACATTGTATATACGATTGGGATTGGGATTGGTGAAGCGACTGTTTTTACACGTATAGATGTACATATATATAGAGAGAGAGGATCGGGCCAGGTGCCCAAACCGCAAGCCCTCAGCCAGGGACGCACGCCGCCTCGCTCGGGATACAAACCAGCAAGCGCATCAAGTGCATATAGATGGACATACAACAGCACAATCGCGCCACGGCGTCTAATTTACACATGAACCTGCTTCCATATGAAACAGACGATTAACCAATTGACTTCTATCTAGTAGCGCTAGAACTCTCAACTACGCTATTGCAATATAAAATTTTCTAGGTATGCTCCCCATAGTTGCACGGCCAAGCTCTCCGGCAACGACGTAATGATAGCGCCAACTAGAATACACCCATGCTTTGGACAGGAAAATAAAAAGAACCCCTCAGCCACCTCTGCTCATAACCTGCTGTACTGATTTCGAAATGTGTGCCATCGGCGACTTTTCTTTGCCGCCCTGAACAAAACGCCAAATTTTCTTCTTCCCCTTCTTCCGTGCTGCAAAATGTCTCATTGTACGATCCTATCAGTCACTCCCCGAGCTGCTTTCCCATGGCTGTTTTGGCGCCTTCCTGCAACTGTATGATGGTGCTCCTCTCGTTCTAAGACTCCGGAATCAGAATGGGCAAATATAAACCTGAAAGACAAGCAGAAGCAAGGTGAAGAGCAAAGAAAAGGAAAACCGTAATGATATAATGAAAATGTCAGGAGTGCCTCCCAGACCTCGGAGTTCAGCCATGCAGCGCACATCCCAATTCAGAACTCCCAGTCGTCGGCATCCTCGACCGACTTGATGGCCCATCGGAACTTGTCTCGTAGACTCTTCGAGAAAAACCTCTCAATAGGAACGTCAAACTTTTTTGAAAAAACGACCGTCAGGCGAGGATCGATGTAATTCTGGCATATAGATTAGTCTCGGTTTGACGTTGCACATAAAGCTCTTCTTGGCTCGACTTACAATCTTGGAAGTACCCAGGGCCACTTCCTTGTTTCCATCACGGTCTTCAGCTTGCAACTCCAACACCTTGACGCGGTCATCAAGCTTCTCCACGGCCGTGACAAACTTTTCCACAGTCGGGCCGCGTCCTTCCGCCTCAACCTTTTTCGTTTTGTTCTCCTTCTTGAACTTGGTTTCGAGCTCCTTAGCAGCTAGGAGACGCTCCTTAAGCTCCTTCTCCGGCAGCGGCTTCTCCTTATCCGCCTTGAGCTTCTCATTATCCTTTTCAAACTTCTTGGTGATTTTGGTGCGCTGCTCTTCGACAAGGAACTGCTGGTGCGCCAAAACCCATTCCTTATCAATCTCCTCGTCAAGTTGGAAGTAGGCAGCGCCTTTCTTCTTCTTCTGGCTCGGATCGATATCAAGAATCATCATCTTGGTGCGCCATTGCTGATATCGTAGGCCCTTGATACGGTCGCCCATCTTCTGCATCTGCTGCTCGTGGCTAGCACCGACTGAGCGCTTGTGGTTGCAGAGAATGGCAACCTGCCGGTTGCAATCATTGTACAGCTTAACCTTCTCCGCAACCGAGCCCTTGGAGCGAGGGTCATTCTCCAGCTCTCGAAGAAGTCGCGACATGGTGAACGAAGCGTTGTAAGTACGGAATACCTTGGCCGTGAGACCTTGCATGTAACTGTTCAAGTGCTTGTTCAGTTGCGAGGTGGTTAGGCGATCAAAAAGGTCATCTCCATCAGACTTTGGCGCCTTCTTGAACAGTTTTAGGTTCTTGAAGACTTGTGCATCGACCTTCGCGGTTTCATTGTATCGAATACTATCTTTGCCGAGGAAGTCGAAAGTGACGTTGTTTGGCGGCTCGAGCGAAATGTGCTCGAACTTGAGCGAGCAGCAGCCTACAGTGTCGGCTTCGTTCTCGGTATCTTTTTCGTTGCCCGCTCTTAGCGCCAACTTGTCAATCAGGTACATGGCCGTAGCTCTTTGACGATCAGCCATGATTTCGCTTTTGAGCTCCTTGTTGTAATCACGGCGAATCTTGTCAATGTGCTTCTTCAGTTCGCGGGCCTTTTCAAATTTCTTGAAATCACTCTGCCCCTTGACATCACTGGCAGCTCCCAGCATGACGTACTTGTAGGCGCCGTTGATGTTTTCTTGCCACATGGCAAGCCATGTAGCCTTTTGGTCATGCTGGACAGCCTTCCACTTGTGGCCCTTGGGCGGCTCTGGAACCTTGGCCTCCTTGCCAATGTTGATTGTGATTTGCTCGGGCCAAACTCGACTTTTCACTCGACCAGTTTTGGGATGCTCGCCCCGACCACGGAACAAGCTGGGGGGTTCAACGCGAAAGTTGCCAACTTTTTGCTTTCTGCCATCCCAAAGACATGTTATGTATGGCGCCTCCAGCTTGTCTTTCTCAGCCTTGGCAGCGTCCTTCTCAGCTTTGGACAAGTTCTTGTTTTTCTTGGCCTCCGTCTTCGCGAGCCAGTGGTCGTACATGTTTCCAAAATCGCACTTTTCTAAACTCTTGATGGGCACCTTGTCACCGGCCGAGTTCTTGGCACCACCTGCCTTCTTGACAATCTCAGCGAAGTCTTCGAAGAAATTTTGTCGAAACGTGGGGTTCTCAAGATGGTGGGAAGACGCAGGCGTCATCATAGCAACCCAGAAGCTGGCTGCTTCCTCAGCTTCGAGAGGCAGAGTGACATCCTGGCCATCGTACTTGAGCTTGATATGCTTCGGGAGAGGCTCGTAGGCAGGAGCAAATAAAACGCCGTTGTGCTCCAGTGTTTGCCACTTGATGGAGTCGTCCTCAGGCCTGGTTGCATTCCACCATTCATACTCCTCCTCTTCCTCTTCTTCTTCCTTGCCTGCCTTCTTCGTTTGTTTGGCGGGAGCAGACTTGCCCTTTTTAGCTGACGTGGTAGCCTTGGATTTCTTCGAAATTGGCACGTCAGAGTCAGACTCCTCCTTCTTTACGCCGTTCGACTTGCGCTTGGCTGCGACGCCATTCGATTGTCTCTTGTTCGAAGATGACTTCGCAAGAGGGGCGTCATCATCAGACTCGTTTTTGATGCTTTTCCTGGGTGTTGCCTTCTTTTTCGCCTCCTTGGCGCGGATAGCCTGAGCCTCTTTGGCAGCTACCTTCTCGATGGCGGCCTTCTTCTTAGCCAGGTTGCCCAGCGGAATATCGTCATCGGAAGAATCGTCAACGGCCTTGCGAGGGGTCGACTTTGATTTGCTGATGGGTTCATCATCAGAGTCAGACTCCAGAGCCTGGTTCGATCTTTGTCGCTTGGCCTGAGCTCTCGCGTCAGTAGAGAAAGCGGCGAGAGATAACCAGTTGCTGGCCGTCAACTTACCAAAGGCTCACCGTCGCTATCCGAGTCAATTTTGTAATGAATTTTCGTGATCGATGTGCGGGATTTGCGCTTATTGTTCACAGCACCGTCGACCTCCATCGCGTCCGAGTTGTTACGACGGACGAGAATTCCTTCACCACCGCCAGATGGTTTGGGCACCGAGCGATCGAGTGCCTTGTCCATCGATGCGGTAATCTTTGCAGCCGAAACTAAGCGAGAGTGCAGGTTAGTGGGCGCGTTCGTGGCGATTGCGAAAGGGCGGCGCGGGAGGCAGGTGCAAGAAGAATCTTTCGACAGGTCGCAAAGCGCGAAAAAAGACGGAAAACAGGTCCAGTATATTGATGAGAGGCAAAGAAATGTACACACCTTTTCCATTCGGCCTAGCAAGAGGCATATCATCGTCGGAGCTGGTGCCGCTGTAAGCCATCTTCTCGGGCGCGCGTGGAGACGAGGAAACTATTAAGGTGTAGTTTAGTCTGAAAGAGAGCTGCGAAATGGCTTGACAAGCGATTCTGTTGCGGGAAGCAAAAAAAAACGGAGTAAGACGCTGCAAGATGACCCCTCCGCGCCTAGTACAGGTGAAGAGGGAGTTAAGATAGGCCACCTTTGACGAGAGTGGTGAAGAATGAAAGGATTAAGTTTTGGTGAAGCCCGGGATCGAGTGAGATCAGTGCTGCGAGCACCTGGCACAGCGAGCAAGCGCCGTTGCAGGGTGGGTCACGTGATAATTTAGTCCCGCCAATTTACCGGAAAAATAGCGACGTGAGCAAAACGAGCCCGGAATCCACCTCAACCACCCGAACTACGATCCTCTCCCCCTTCGTCAATTGATCCGACAAGCGCCATCAATTGGGTCACCGCTCGTTTGAGACTTACTCCCGACCTCTCGAACTCTGTCACGATGCTGTCCAGAGCGGCCCGCCCTGCCGTCCGCGCCGCGGTCACCTCGACTCGGTAAGTTACGGAACTGCCTCAAGTGTCAGGAAACCCCCCGAATGCAAGCTCCGACGAGCTCGGCGAGCCATGTAGCAGCGGCGCATGACTTCAGGGCGCATGCAGCCCGACGACGAAGCTCGTCCGGAGCCGCTCGAGCCCATGCGAAATTCCACCGACGAAATCGAATTTATCCCTGTTTGCTGACGCTCGCCCGCGATGCTATCACAGAGTTGTCCCGGCCGGTCCCAACAGCAGCGCAGCGACCTATGCCACCCTTCGTGAAATTGAGGGCCGCCTCAAGTCCATCAAGAACATCCAAAAGATTACCTCGACGATGAAGGTCGTGGCCTCGACCAAGCTCACCCGTGCCACCCGCAGCATGACCAACTCCCGCGCCTACGGCGAGACGTCCAACGAGGTCTTCAAGCAGGCCGAGACGGCCGCCCTCGTAGAGGGTGAGAAGAAGACACTCGTCATCGTCTGCTCCTCCGACAAGGGCCTCTGTGGCGGTATTCACTCGGGCATGAGCCGCTTTATCCGCCGACTTCAGGCCGAGGGCGAGAAGTTCGACCTGGCCATTGTGGGCGAGAAGTGCCGTGCGCAGCTCTCCCGCACCAGCGCCGAGGATATCCAGCTCACCTTTGCTGGTATCGGCAAGGATATTCCCACCTTTGCCGACGCTCAGGCCATCGCCGACCAGATCATCATGCTGCCCACCGAGTACACCGACGTCAAGATCCTGTACAACCGTTTCATCAACGCCAGCAGCTTCGAGCCTGTTTTCATTGAGGCATTTTCCGAGGAGGCCATTCTCGCTTCCCGTACGTTCTTTTATGCAATACATGTCCTAGGTTAATTTGCAAAACTAACTGGATGCCAGCCAACATTTCCTCCTTCGAAGTCGACGATCAGGTTCTCGAGAACCTTCGCGAGTACAGCCTGGCCAACTCTCTTTTCTGGGCTCTGGCTGAGGGCCACGCCTGTGAGCAGTCTGCCCGTCGCAATGCTATGGATGTGAGTCTACTTCTGCTCTGCCTTGAATCTTGTCCGTTTTTACGTGCGCCATTTACTAACAACCAACCCCACAGAACGCTTCCAAGAACGCTGGTGAGATGATTGGCAAGTACCAGATTCTCTACAACCGTACCCGACAGGCCGTCATTACCGGCGAACTTGTCGAAATTATCACCGGTGCAATCGCCTCGGAGGACATGTAAATGCTGGAGGTGCAATCATAACTTTGAAAAGATTCCCTTTGTACCAAACTCTAGAGGTCTCGCCCGCTATGGGGGTTCCCCGTGTATCAAAGCCTCAATAAATTCCTTAGTATATCCTTTTTCGCCTCCTGTTACCAGCTAGCGAAAAAATGCAATGACAACAATTGTAAAAATTGGATTCTCTACAACGAGATGCTTGTACAGGTACCATATTCAACTCTCGAGGTTGGACGCAGAAGCCATCACCAACCAGGTCGCCGCGTAATAAATAACCCCATGAACTCATGAATACATAGGGGATACAAGAATCTTCGCATCTTCTACTAGTTCCAACCCCAGACAAACGCCGAATCACAAACAGTGTATATATATACGCATTGCGAGGTGCCACGGGAAAAAAAATTCATGATTTCAACAAGATGCGTCTACCACCGACATTCAAAACTCCATGCCATTGTCATTATCTTCCGCATAGCTCACGTTTCGAGCGCGACGGCTCTTTGGCGTGAGTAGCTCGCGGCTGCTGGAACCAGTCGCAGCGTCGCCAAGTTCGGGCATAAACGGGTTATTTCTTTCATACGTCGCCCGTATCTCAATGGCTTCGAGGTCCCATTTTTCGGCCGCTTGCGTGTACTGAGCCATGGCCTCGGCATATACTTGTTTCTGCTCCATAGCTTGCGCCTCAAAGGGCTGGCGAGTGTCCTCCGAGGCCTCTTTCCACATGCGCGAAGTCATTACGCGCACTTCGTTGGGCATGGCCTTGGTTCTGCCCGTTTTGCGGTTCTCTTCACAGCGCCTGCGTGCCTCGTCAAAGTACAACTTGCTGAAGATCAGGTACGCATTGCCAGCCATCTTACCTGGTGGTATGGGCCGCTCTCCGATCCTGGACTTCACATGGCGCCAAGCCTCGGTCTCATAGGCATCTACGCGTGCTTGACGGGGATCCTTTGCGGCCTCTTTCCTTTTTTGAAGAAGCAAGGAATCACGCGGCAGGATCAACGGCGTCGGTACTTCGATTGGCCCTAGGATCTCCTGAAGAACTTCCGAGGCAGCTCGCAAGCCAGAAAGGTAGGCGCCATGGACAGTTGCCGGGTGTGTAACAATAGTGTGCTCACCAGCAAAGAAGAGATTGCCCAAGGGTTTTGCCATGTTGTCGTAGTCCTCGGGCTGCATGTTCGGCGCCGCCGACGAGTAACTCCCTCTCGCGAAGGGATCAGACCCCCATCGCGTGACAACTGCCTCCAACGGCTGAGGCACGTCTGGCCCGAAGATACTGCGTAAAGTCTCCGTGGCTTCCCGGATCAAGTCCTCGTTGCTCGAAGCCTCAGTGTCAAAGCCCGCATCTCCAGCCATCAATGCAATCAAGCAGGGTATGCCTGTAGTGTTTGTGACGTTGAACCACTGAAAGAAGCGACCGCGACTGCCGCGATATTCATGCTGTGCTGTGCTTTGCGGATCCGAGGCATCTTTCAAAACCCCAAATATATGTCTATCCGACTCCCAGAACACCTGGTCGTACACCAAGGCGACCTTGTTCAGTATGCCAAAGCCCAGTCTCTCTACAGCTAGAGACTTCCATTCAGGTACAGGCGGGTCAAATTCGATGTTGCCATGTTTCAAGACTCCAAGCGGCACCGTGCATACGACCGAGTCAACTTCCACCACTCTCCCATTTTCGCATTCAATGCGCGCAGGTCCATTAAACGTATCAGCTTGGTAACGAATGCGCTTCACGGGCGACTTGGTCGTGATTTCTAAGGGAGTTGGGCAATGGAGCAAGCCCCGCGCCACACTCTGATAGCCGCCGACCACCATTGTATGACTGCCTTCCCACTCATTCCCAGCGTCAATGTCCCATAGACTTAGACTTAGATTATGCAAGTTCGTAGCATTGCTGTATTCGAGATTGGCAATATGCCAGTTTATAAGTCGATGATCCAATGCATTCAATTCAACCAGCGATTTGTACTGGGAAATAGCATCATCGAGCACGGAACCCAAGGTTGCGTTGGGGTTGTGAACAGCATAGCTTAGATCTAGATCCTTTTCGGTATCGATACCTTGCTTGAGCGTCCACCCCATATATGCCGCTTTTTCGGGGGCTTTAGCGGTGGCAGGTACGCCGGCCTCAGTAGTCAGTTCATTTGAGGATACCGGAACCGTTGGCTCAACATCTCCCGCATTCTGCTGTGATTGCGTCGACTCATTGGCCTGGCTGGCTGCTAGCTCTTCGCTTTGAGCAATAGTTTTGGACCCGTCTGTTGGGCTGTCTTTACCCTCATTCAGCAAGTCACGATTGCCTGCTATCAACTTGGCCGCCACCATTTTGTACTTGTGCTCGCTGACACGGTCCAGACACTCGTTGTACAATTTTTCGATTAGCTGATCGCGCTCAGCGTCGACTGGCTTCCCATCGCTGTCATATATTGTGGTTTCGGCTCTGAGGGCATGATAAGGAAGGCAGAGCTGACCACGCACCAGCACGTTGATAGGGTTGCCACGGTCGAATCCGGTGACGATCATCCCACCCATTTCTGCCGTGCATCGTTTGTTATGAAACCCATCCATGGGCGACTTGGGCTGCGTCTTGAATTGGCGGGAGTATACCCGCCCTCCAACCCGGCTTCGTCCTTCAATGAGTAACACTCTCGGTATGTCTTCGTCGAGCTCGTGGAATCGATACGCGTATTGCTTAAACAGTCCTTCTAATTGCCTAGCACAAGATAGGCCTGAGATGCCAGCTCCTATTACTGCGATTGTTCTCCTTTTTCTGGATTGGCTTTGGTGCTTCGCTCTTGTGGCAACACGGCCAAGGTCGAGACATCCGAAATTGATATACCCGCGACGGACAAGCCAGTCGTAGCATACATTAGCAGCATCGAACCAACGAGCATTTGCACATCCCACAGCCTCTTCCCTCGTTATCCCTTGCCAAGGTTTCTGCAGCCATAGGCGGAGGATACTATTTCGAATATTCAGGTACGTGGTCACCTGAGCGTGGGATATATGATAGCGTAGAAGGAGATATTCCTCGGTATGGAGAGCATATGGGTTCAGTCTCGAGTTTTCTGCCGCAATGATGCACTCGGTTGCATACTGCGAGGAGGGTATATCTTTAGGAACGGATGATTTAGGTTGAACGATGAAGTCTAGACGGTCGCCGTCATGTGAAAAGCTGCGTTGAGGCATCGTGGGAGTCGAAATACCGGGTATACGTTTTTTTGGCGTATCATTATCAGCTGGCGTCGTCGCTTTACTAGAGAAGGATGATTGACGAGATGAGAGATCAGACATCTCAGAGTCGAAGGATTCAGTGGCGCCATTGTTGAGGGACGGTATCGGTATTTCGCAGTCCGAGTTCTCAATCTTGATTTTACTGAGGATTGGTTAGATCACTAAGAACCTACGTCGCGCATTTTACGTGGAAAACTGCTCACCTTGACACATTATGCCCCAACGGGGGGGTGACAGTATCCAGCTCCAGTACTTGACTTTCGACCCCTCGAGGATCCTCAGCCATGGAAATAGGCCCATATGAGCTATTGTGATGGCATCCTGTTGATACTTGAACTCGCCTGTTGACGGGCGGGACATTGCTCCGGGTCGGCGCGGTCGCGACGACGTTGCTCAAAACTGGGAGTGAATCGATCGGTCGAGTATCACAAGGACCGAGCTCGTAACCCGGCCTGTATTGGCTATGAACATCTGCTTCCATTTTGGCGCCAAGTAAACATGATATTGGTCGAGCCGGATACGTAGATGAAGATGCCGGGTGATGTATCAGCACGGGTATGTGGCCACCGCCTATGAGAGTTCGAATTTGAGGGTCGCCGTGCAGGTTTACGATAGAACGCTTGGTATAGCCATGTGGCGAAACGAGGGCAGAAATTGACTCTGATAATTCGCACACAAATTAGCCACGATAGAGTCTCACTTTGGCTCATATAAATGCCCATCCAATGTCACTCACTCGGTGCGACCTTGCTGGGATATAGTCAGATTCGAACGCTAGGCCTTCGAACGGGCAATGGTATCATCGATCAAGCCCTTGGAGCCCGCTTGTTGAGGAAACTTATACAAATGCCACTAATCCATTCTTCCAAAAACGCAAAGAGATGGCTCTCGGAATTACAGCGTTCATGAAGCCCCTCAGGTCGCCGAAACTACTGTTAAGCGCAGGGTCACGTGCAGCGGCCTCGTCGAATCATTCTTGCCACGACAGTGGGGCGGCTCCCTAATCTTGCCGTTTCGAGCTTTACACAACTACCATGGGCAACGGATGCGACTCGGGCCAGAGGCAGGATCGAAAAACCTTTGTATTGAAGAAAGTCTGATGCCGGCAGATATCAGTGGAGGGAGTACCGGAAATCTACGGGGTTCAACCGGTCGAATTCTCGTCGCGATGCGTGCTCCGCCGACACAACGACAAGCGAATTCGAAGGCAGAAGAGTCGTCTAAAATCCGACAGTGTTAATGAAAAGTATTCTTCGATTGCTATGCTTACTGTACATATTACGAGGGCTAAGGCGGGGTAGCAGGTTCGTCTTCCTCCTTGACGTATGATGCCTTCTCGATTGCAGCGTCCATCATCCTGTTGCCGCTAATTATTGAGGTGGTACAAATGACTATATTTCGTCGCTCTGCTCACACTTGTTAGCGTTCATTTGATTGAAGGAGCCATGATGCGAATACTCACCCTCTTCTTGCTTAGCAATGAATCGCAGGGCAGCAAGCTCGGTAAAGGTTATGCCTCCAACAAAAACGACAAATACTGTCTGCTTGCTCGCGCTGCCCGAGAGAAGAGCACGCGCTTTCACAGCTTTATCCTCTCCCTTTTGTATCTCGTAAAAATTTTCACCCCTGACGTGCTTCACAGCCTCATCGAATCCGTGCCAACCCTGCGAGCCACTGGCTGCCACGGCGTTGCCGGCATTGGCCACGCCGTTTCCCCTGATGATGGAATGCAGATATGGCTTCTGCAGAATGCACTGTACAAGTCGGATAGATAGCGGGGCGTAGCCGCTGTAAACATATGCAATATCATTTGGGTCGTCTTCTTTGACCTCGTCGACGATGAGGCGGAGCTGCTTTCGCAGATATGTATAATTCGTTTTCGTGCCGGTGGCGCCAGGGTTGACAGTCATTGGTATCATTCCCGCCAAAGGAGATGAGCGAGAAAGGAAGAGCTGCAACTTTTCTAGACTATTGAGGGTGAGCATATGTTGGTAGCCGTAGCCTTGCAAGATGAGGCGTTTGAACTGATCGAAATCTTTCGGTTTGACGCCACCCGATATGCAAGAGTAAAGGCAAAGCAGTCGCAGTGTCTCGCGAATGGGCGCCTCTCTTGCGATGAGCTCCTCAATGCCATCGAGTTGAGAGGACGGGTCCGCTCCAGCGGCGAGGTTCTGCTGGACTTCCAGCAGGCCGATGAATTGGTCGCTCTTGGTATGCTTTATAATTTCCTCCGCGAGGCCCGTATGGAGGCGAACACTTTGGTGCTCTTGTTGGTATCCGGGTAATTGACTGACAAAGTCTTTAAGTTCGGCAAGGGTCTTGGTCTTGTGCTTTGCTTCGTAGTCGCTCTGGACTTGCTGAAGACGACGAGCGACTTTATTTAGTTGGTTTCCGACAACTGCAAAGTTGGAGTCACGGAGCTCCCCATACAACTTGTCGCTGCCATCCAGCACAATGTTGCGCTTTCTGTTCTGAGATGCATTCGATGACTGAGCTCCGGGTCCGACAATTGTGGTATCCGCCTTCGTTTGGTTATGTCGGATCTCGAACAGTTCGTCGATCAGGCCTTCGTAAGTCAACTGAGTTAGAAGTGGCGTGACAAAGTCAACTTCGCGATCGATAATAATGACGCTTTCGTTGGTTATGCTGGGTGTTAGCTTGGCGCGGCTGGTATCTTCGCCGGCTTGACCCGCTAATGCTTCCTGACGCATACGAATTAAGAGGTCGGCTACCTTCTTGGCATTGTCTCCCTTTCCAATGATTCTGGGAAATAGGCCGTGCACTTGCTGAATGTCCATGAGGGCCTTGGCTATCAAGTAATTCGGCGTGATGTCTTTGTGGAGGTAGAGGTCTCGGAAGGCATCGTCAAGTTCGAGTGACAGGACATTTTTGTCAAGAGGGAAGAAAGAAAGAGGGATTTCGGAAACGTTGATATCGCCAAGAACGCCGGCTTCCTCAAATATTTGATCGGACACTACGGTGCGGCGGGGAACCCAGCAAACATGAAATTCATGAGTGGTTTGGCTTTCGCGTTGTACGCGCTTGATTTGATCTAGAGATATCCCAGTCAGTATGCATGTCTCCATAGGGTATAATAAATTGTTAGCCATACTTGCGATGGCATCGGCTTGCCGAGCGCATTCGCCTCGAGCGATGAAGACAACATTGTGCTGGCTGGCGTCGACATTGTTGTTTTCCAGGACGAAGAACTTGTCGACGCCGTATTCTTGAAGGGTGGCGACCTTTACAATGAGACCAACAGGGCCTACCAAGCTGCGATCAAAGACCAGGTTTTTCTTGCCGCGAACCTGAACGCCAACGGTTAGCTAATCCAGCAACAAGCGGGCTCGACAAGTGCCTGGGGGAAGGTTCGGGATGGGGCTAGCCGTACGCCTTCGAGAAGGTAGAGCAAGTCCTTGCGAGCTTTGGCGCGGACTTGCTCAGTATTAAACTCTGGTCGAGGTGCCATGGCAGCTCACCGCGATCATTGGCAGCGCTTTGGAAGAGCTAGGCGGCAGTGTGGCGTGGTTGAAGGAAGGTTGGTGAGCTGCCCAGCTCTGGCATTAGTGAGCGGTGAGCATTGGGACATTCGCGGGGTGGCCTGTAACTACAACCCTGTAGGTGGTAGTTTACCTACGGGAGATGAAGCCACCCCCACCAGACGTCATTACCAGAAGACAAGTCACACACGCATTTAAACATTGGGTTTTCTATCATTTTAGGGTGGTAGTATTTGACTTTTCATATCTGGAATTTAGTTGCGTTTGCGCTTGTATATTTACAGTCCATGATGTAATAATATTCAAGTTGCGCCGAAAGGTCGCTGCCCGGGGTTGCATGCTTGCCTCGCTGATGCGCGAAAGGCCACCAACAGTGCTTGGGTACGCGACGCTGCGTTCACCGAGCATACGTATGCAAACGGAACGGAGCAAGATGCAGGATTTATATAGAGAAACGCTTGATATGCCTTGCGTAGTCATGAATCGTAAAAGGTGAAACGAAGGAGGAATTTCGATGCGATGGTCGACGCGCTAGCTTAAACGTCGTTGTCGTGGTAAACAAAATCAATGTCACGGGGGCGTCGACGGTTGCCCTTGACAAATTGCTCATTATCAGGCGGCCTCTCGTCCTTCGAGTTGCTTGTCAACATGCTCTGGATGCTCATGCAGACGCTCTCCGCACTCTGAACCGGGCTCCAGCCCTGGTTACCTAGCAAGTCGAGACAAATGATGCCATTCGAGTAAATGTGCGGGTGCATCGGGATGTGACGGTCTGGACCTAGTTCAAATGTGGCCTCAGGTGGCTCTAAGCAAGAAAGGGATCAGCTTCTGTCGTCGATGCATGTCGATGGGGGTGGTTAGCAGAAACCTACCAATCGGGTACGAGTCGCCAAAGACAATCTTGAGTCTGAATATCTGGTTGTGATAAAGCGGGTTGCCGTCAAGGACACGGATATCAAATTGCCATTCTCGCATGTCCTCTCCCGATATTAGATCGATCCCCGGCGGGAGTCCCTGCTTTGCGATCTGTAAGCGCGTGGTTAGCGGGAGCGCCTTGGCCTGATGATTGAGACGTGGGAATAGCTGCCTTTTGGCGTTCCTTTGCCACTCGGCTTGCTCGCAGCGATGCCATGGCGGTAAGCTATCAGGAGTAGAGTGAATATCGGTGCACGCGGTCGTTATTTCGGGTGCGTAAAGAGTCGAAGAGCTCGCGCGCGCTGGAGAAGCAGGCGGAGAACGAGCGAGGGCTACCTACTAAGGTAGTAAGTAATATGTGGTATGCGAGACCAACAGGTGGCTGCGGCACGAAGAGCCCCAGGCTGGCGGCCGGGCGGTTTTTATCCGCCTGTCGCAGCACGGTGGGTCGCCACGGCCATGCCGCAACTGGGGTGCTACAGAGTGACTACAACCGGATAGCTAGAGTCGCTCACGGCAAAGAGGGTGCACGATACTGGTCTGTATTATTTTGGGCATACATGCTATGTTATCGTATCCTGGAAGTAGACGGGTGACAGGCTCGGGCAGAGGTGGGGGTGGGGGCGCTGGGTATGCTAGTTTATAGGTACCGGGTAGTTGGGGTGGGATCTCGTACGCTGAGAGGCTGGTTCATCTTCTATTACTAGTGTGGTAGGTAGGTATCCCTAGTGACTAATAATAAGATAGGTAAAAACACAAACGACGATATTAGTCTGTTAGCGCTGGTAGAAGATGCCTTGCGGTGCAGCCTCACTTTTGCATACTTGGATGTACGACTTAGTGACACATCGCATTTACAGCCACAAAGAGCACAGCTGCTCAGCCACAGCCAGGGTCGTAATGACTGAATCACGTGGACCGTCCGTCTAGCAAAAAGAGAGCTACTGAACTGTTGCATCAGCACATGGTTGCCCAAGAGGGGCCGGCGGCTGACAGGCCACTCCAAGGAGGGGCGGTTCCCTGTGACGCTCCCAGCAACCTGGTATGTACATATCCTCTGACCCTCCCAACTCTCGATTACGTCCTGAGAAACCCTGTCGTCCTATTTTTTCTTTCAACCTGTGTACACGATAGAAGGTTGGAAAACAACCGCCTCCTTCCTTGATTTCGAGAATTCGACCTACCGATCCTACCACAACCGCCACCTACCTACCTACCTAGGTACCTAGGTTTCTTGGTACCTAGCTTCCCCGGCTGGACCTCACGGTCGCAACCCCTCCTCAACCGATTTCTTGATACCCCGCCACAACAAACAGAAACTCGAAACAACCCAATCAAAATGAGTTGTATGTTGCCCTCGATGATCTTCGCGCATAATCATTCACAGTGCGCTCCCATGCGAGCAAAATGGCGCATCATGCGCTCCAATGCGCGAGCTTGCATCCGTGCCATTCCTGCCGTGACAGGCCTTGACTGACCCGTGAAATAGTCACCGGCATGCTGCACAAGCTAGGCGGCCAGCCCGAAAGCTACGAGAAAAAGTAATGCCCCTCGAAAACCCCTCGAAAAATCCGCCTCGAAATTTTACACGCGATACGCTAACACGCGTTCTACAAAGATCAAAATACAAGTTTGGCAAGACGCTCGGCGCTGGAACCTATGGCGTCGTCCGTGAGGCTGACGGCCCTCAGGGCAAGGTCGCCATCAAGATCATTCTGAAGAAGAATGTCAAGGGCAACGAAAAGATGGTCTATGATGAACTTGACATGCTCCAGCGACTTAAGCACCCGCACATTGTCAAATTTGTCGATTGGTTTGAGTCTAAGGTTGAACACATGCATCTAGATATACTTGGTATAACTGACCATGCCCCAGGACAAGTTCTACATCGTCACCCAGCTGGCGACGGGCGGCGAGTTATTCGACCGCATTTGTGACCAGGGCAAATTCACAGAAAAGGATGCGTCGCAGACTATCAAGCAGGTCCTTACCGCCGTCAACTACCTGCACAGCAACCAAGTCGTCCATCGAGGTACGCTGGCAAATGCGCCATTATATGACAACTCTTTTTCCACCTTTCGGCTAACGCACTCTCAGATCTGAAACCAGAGAACCTGTTGTATGTTACTAGGGATCCCACTTCCGACCTGGTACTCGCCGATTTCGGTATCGCAAAGACGCTCGACAACAAGGAGGAGACGCTCCAGACCATGGCCGGCTCGTTTGGCTATGCCGCCCCCGAGGTCATGAACAGAGAGGGCCACGGCAAGCCGGTCGACATGTGGTCCATGGGTGTCATCACGTATACGCTTCTCTGCGGCTACTCGCCGTTTCGCAGCGAGAATCTTGCCGATTTGCTCGAGGAGTGCACCCAAGGCTCCGTCGTCTTCCACGAGAGGTACTGGAAAGATGTCAGCCAGGATGCCAAGGACTTCATCCAATGCCTCATTGTGCCCGACCCCGACAGACGTGCCACTAGCCAGGTCAGCTTCCTTGCCTCTCTGACTAGTCCTCTATCCATTCTTGCTTGTATACTAATCTCTGCCATGCAGGAAGCCCTGCGACACATTTGGCTGAGCGGCCAAAACGCCACCGAGCACGATTTGCTGCCCGAGCTGCGCCGCGCCAAGGAGGCCCGCGCCAAGCTCCAAAAGGTCATTTTCGCCATCCAGCTGCAGAAGCGCATCGCCCGCCTCCGCCACGAGGCCGGGGGAGACGACTACGACGACGGCCTGCAGGACGCTGAGCAAAACGTCGAGACCACCGGCCTCGCCAAGGCGTTTTCCGGTGTCAGCGTCTCCAGCGGCGGCAGCGGCGGAAGCGGCAGCAGCGGCGAGACCAAGAAGCCCTCCCTCAAGGACACCGTCAGGAGCGGTGCCGTCTTTCGCGAGGTCGTCCTCGCCAAGGTGCGCGAGGAAAAGGCCAAGAAGGAGGCTGCCCTGCAGACGGATGAGGATCTGGTGCAGGAGGCCCGCCGCCGCAGCTTCAACACGCAACATTCGTGATGGGAAGGGCGGCGGGAGCAGGAGGGGGCGAACATTCAAGGACAGAGATTTGGATCGTTTACATAACAAGACAGAATGCTATGAGAAAAATCAATGGGACAGCTTGTCGAGTGTTTTTTTTTTTTGGCAAGAACAGTTTGGTTTTCCAGGATTGGTTGCTGTAGTTGATGACGGCATGGAGAAGATGGCACTGGGCAAATCATGTACTTTCATGTCGTCTCGCTTGTCTTGCCTCTTCGTGTTTAGTTGCGCGTTCTGACAACTACCCACCTTTGGTGTTTTACTTTTTTTTCTGCGCTGAATAGTTCAAAGATTGGCTGCTATTTATGATTTGGCAGCAGCAGAGAGATTGGCCTCTCGCGTCTGGTTCTGTGCACCTGTGCTACTAAGCTAGCCATCTGACAAATTCCAAATTACTTCCCATATACTATTTCATTATGATAATCGAATGGCCTCCAAGAGCCAATGAGATGTCCTTCGTTACATAGGATGAATGTTTTACATAAATCATTATATCTCCAACGTGACACATTATTAATACGCGCTCGTCATTTCCCAAACAAAAACTGCCGTCGCTAGCGACGGAACCTGTAATACGTTAAAACACCATGTCTGCTGTTACTTGCTCGCGAAACTCTTCGTAGCGATGGGCATCGAAACGCTTGCGTTTCCAGCCATTCGCGCGCAGTCTCTCAATTCGTGACCGAAGCTCAAGGGCCCGCATCTCGTCGTTGGCGGGTACGTACGCTTTGGGAGTCAGAGCCGCAGTAATCTCTCTGTCAATAGCACTGAGATGGGATGTGATTTGTCGTTGAATGCTGGACAAAACGGTACAATATCGTTCCAGCGACTCTCGTCCTTCCGAAGGGGGTAACTCTTGCTCTGCAAGGTTCCGTGGCACATCGTCTCCGTCAATACTTGACGTGGGAGAAAAAGCTGGGCAAATGTCGGGCATGGTTTGCACGGAAGGAGGAACCGGGTGAAGAGGGGTATCTTGGCAAGGTGATGTGCGTCCACTGCCTGGGTCGGAGAAGCCCAGTGTCGGCGAGTCTGGTCGAACGGGGGGGTCGTATTGAAGCTCATCAGCGAATGCAACCTTCTTCTTCCTCTTGATTTGTGTCCCTTTATTGGAGGCTGTAGAAGGCGTGGGAGATGACATTCTTGTGGATGTTGATTGATGTGAAAGACAAGATTCAATAGGCGATGGTAGACTGGAGGAAGGGGATGCGGGTCGCAGGACGATTTGAAAAGCCTGCTTGTCGGCTTTCTCGGAGGTCTGAGAAGCCAGGTTGTAGTGCTCGCGGGCCTCCTCAAAAAGCTTGAGGCGGTAATGGGAGCCGGCATGCAAGCTTCGTGCCTGCATTTCCAGGGAGGTTGCGGCGTAGAAATGCAAGTATATCAAGTAAGCAGGCTGGATGTTATCCTATTGTCTTGTCAGAATCATTGATGGTTGAGGGCATTAACACGTCTAAATGACCACATACCCGAGTCTGGGCATTCTTGAGAAGCTCAATGCAGCGAGAGGAGCAAGGCCGATATCTCCGATTGCTATAATCTCGCTTCAATTCAGACAGTGCCCTCTTCCACTCTAATGCGGTGAAGGGAAAGTCTTTGAGTGACGATAGTGCCGGGGCAGCTGGGCGTCTGTTTGTCGTTTGAGCGTGCTGTGAAGCAATCCAGCTCTGCAATGGTGCATGGTTGGCTTCCATGATTGTACTGCGGCGCGGCATGGTTGTCTGTCCGATGAGGACTGGTTGTATAATGGTGGTCATGGAAGGAAGGAAGGTCCAAATGAGGAGAGCGGGCGTCGTAGTTGTAGGTAGGCGAGGCGGAAGCGGTCTGTTAAGTGTTGACAGATTTCTGGGGGCAAGTGTAAAGGCGGGCGTCGGCCTAAGCTTCTTGGAGCAAACACGAGCAAATTGAGCGCGAATAGCAGCCCAAGAGTATCGAGAGACGGTATATATAGCAGGTTATATTTTTACCCCCGCGTGGCGAGTTGGCTCAAGCCGTTGCTCACGATACACAGGGACAGGACGCGCACAGCACGACGAAGGGTGGAACAGAATCAGCCGCGATGTCTCAGGGCCAGACTCTAGGGGCGCGGGAAGCACAGGGCTTTCTTTTCGAGGGCAGCACAAAGGCAAACAAGATATTTGGTGTATCGAGATACAATTACGTGGCTAACCGGAAAACAGGGCCAGCAGACGGGTGCGGCGCCTTTTAAGGGAATGTGGTGGTGAAACACGGTGGTTGTGATGGCCGGGGCCAAGGAGCGGGCGAGGCCCGGGGACGAAACCAACCTGGCCGCCCCAGAATATAACATGGAACACGCGCGATTCTGGATTCTGCTGGAGAAGTGTCCCACTCGACGGCCGTGGGTGACACCACCAGCACCGGGCGAGGGGCGTGGTTTGAGCCGATCGAGGATGGTCAGGAGGGTCAGGATGTGCTCGTGGGACAAAGCCGCCTTGTCGCTAATGCAGTTGGGACCACAGCAAAAGAAAGCAACGCCTAGGACCTTCTCCAGAGCGACGAAAAGTGTCCAGATTGGGGCTCATGCCGGTTCTTACTTGTCCTAATCCAACATGTGGCTGCGGATAATGCGACCCAAAGGAGCAGAGAAGAAGAAGCAAGCAAGAAGCGAAAGCAAGAAGCGAAAGCAAATATGGGCACCCAAGCGCAAAGCACCAAAGCACAACCCATGACGGCCCCAGCAGTCGACGTTCAGGCCTTGCGGCCAATGTGCAAGTGCAATACTAAGATGATTCTAGCGCAATGTATTGGCTGTTGTCGTGAAGTAATTTTTTTCGGTGCTAGATTGGATATCCATGCTGAACCGACTGTCTGTCGCCTGCATTTCGACCCTGCCACCACCACCTTTGCAAATCGATGCACCTCTGCTGCATGTAGCTGCATCCTGCATCGTGGCTTTTACAACGAGTCTAGGACCCTGTCTTCGCCATCAAAGCGCGCGCGCTATTCTCCGCTGCATGCGACTGGTCGAGTCGGCCGGCGACCATGAGCAGGGGTTTGTGATGGTCCATGACGATGATCACGTTGTTGTCTGTCTGATGAATGTCAAGGTCGATGAATGGATAATTGTCAAGGTTGACGATGGAGCAGAGATTTGAGATTGGGCCTCGCTTGCCTCGCCTGGGCGCTGGCCTGTGCGCTGCCAACGTTGGCAAACGTCTTTTCTTGTCCTGCGGCCTGCGGCCTGCGGCTCCTCTTTGCAAATGTCCGCATGCTACTCTGTACATTCAGGGCTTGAAGCCCACAACAGGGTAAAAAACGTGGGAGAAGGCGGGCCGAGCGATCACTCACAGTACCGAGTAGTTCACTGCATCGTCAACAATCTCCCCCGAACCAGCCTCCTGTCATGCGCATAGGGACGGGCAATACGGAATGCAACTAGGCGGGAAAGGTCCAGAGCCCCTCCCCCCCCCCTACTCATATCTTTGAAGCAGGCCATGGCGCTCTCTGGCGGCGAAAACGTCATGGGACGAAAGATGGCACCCACCCCGAACGATGTGCTCGCTGATCAGAGCGAAAGCCAGTTGCCACTTTTGTACGCTCTGGACATCTGTACATGCTGAAATCGGCGTTTTAGTGCTACAGCTTGAGCTTCCTCGACGCACAGATCCCTTCGACGCCTTGTCACTGCCTCAACCCTGTTCGCGATGCAACGCTAGCGTCTGTGCTTCTTTCTGTAGTTGGGTAGGTACTCCGTATCCGTCGTCCGTGCCTGTTTATTAACTACGTTCTTACTTGGATGAAGAGGTGGCGCCACGGAAGCCTCTGTTGTTGCGAAAAGCACGTGTACACTCTACTAGTCACAGTGACAAACAGTCAATACTAGTCACAGTGACAAACAGTCAATACTAGTCACAGTGACAAACAGTCAATACTAGTCACAGTGACAAACAGTCAATACTAGTCACAGTGACAAAATGTCAACTGCTCACTTCTGCAGCTTGACATTCTGGCCGTCACATCGTCCGCTCGGCGTCTGGCCTTCGCCTATCTCACCAGATGCACCAATATGTCTTTGACTTAAAGGACATGCGCATCAAACGACGCTACCCCGATGGTCTAACATGAAGACCTGCGGCCGATGTTATTAGCGCATCCCTTCCTAATAACTCGTTAATTGTTCCTGGTGTTGCATGATACGGCGGTCTAATAAGGTCTTACACGGGAACAAGGTTCGCCCTCGCGGCTGTAAACGAAACAAGCTGCACGACAGTGGAACAACAATGATGCACCTTCAAAGTCAGCAATTGATTTCCTTTGTAGATCGCACTTCATCTAAAACAATGCATTGTTTGAACCTGCACCGCTGTGATCCTCCACCAGCAACCCACGGAAGATGCAGGGATACCATCTGGGGAATCGCAACACTTTTCCGGGGCTTTGTTCCGCCATGGTCGCAAGGTAGCTGATCTTCACTCATCACGAAACACAAGTACAACGCGTAAAATATAGCATCGTTTTGTGTTTTGCTTTTGTTCATCGTCGTAGTCCCCTTAGATCAGACCAGTTCCGTACGTAAATATTGAGGCTTGTCTATTTCCTAGATGCCACAAAGTGCTAGTCAAATAGAGAAAACGAAACAGGAAGAAAGGAAGAGGCTCATATCCCAATTTCTGCTGCCACAATTCAGAAAAGTGCTCCAAGGTATCTGCAGATAATAAGCACCGAGGCTTGTCGCCTGGCTGCGTCGTCGGCGCGCTTTGCCATGCATAAGCGGAACCCTACTTTCCGCAAAAGGCAAAGGGAAGATCAAGCGTAACTAACTACTCGATGAGACATTTTGAGAGAGAGATTTGCCAACCATTTCGCGGATTCTTTTTCTTGTCCCATGACAATGCAAACATGGTTCAGCGAGGGGATCAGTCGTATTTCTCGCGCAAGACAAACAGTGAGGTCCCCGGTTGCCATGTAATGTACAACTGTCTCCTTGACTCGCAAGAAGCAGAAAAAAAAATCACAAAAAAAATCGAGATGTGATGATGAATTGCTGCGCGGGGGAAAGAGCAGGGGACATGCCGGTTCACACACAATCAAAGCCAACCCAGCGGGGGAAGAGGTCTGTGGGAAAGGAAAGCAAGTACAAAATACACCGCGACAGAGGCAGAAAATCGCAAAACGCGTCTTTTTTTTTCTGTTTTGGTTTGCAACCCCCCGTCCTCCCCGGTCTGGACAGTGTAGTTAGTTTTGCGGGTTTTTCTTTTTGAGACTTGTTGAAGAAGATGGGAATACGGGCAAGTGCCGAGACCGCCTTCGGCTACAACATTTTGCAAGACGAGGGGGGAATAACTGCGCAGGGCAAGCATCATGAATCATTGTATGTACATATGCGCCATCACGAATCATTGCGGAGCAGGAAAATTTGTTGCGAATGTTATCGCTCGATGACACTGGTATCAGTTCTTGACGTTGTATCATTGCGCGCAGTGTGCGGGGTTTCCATTCTTATTCGCCCATGCCCTTGCCGTTCCCTTTGCGTCGCAGGTCCCAAATCTATTCGCAGATTGCTCCGGTTTATTATTTTATTTTAAATTTCTTCCTTTTTTTTTTCTACTTTTGCGTCCCCCGTCATCTTACTGTGTAGTACTGGGCGCCGCTTCATCAGCAGCAGCAGCAGCAGCAGCAGCTGGGATATCCTCCGTCTTGATGCCGTCGACGACCCGGAGTCCCTCGGCCTGTTGGACGACGCACTCCAACTCCTTCTTCCTCTCCAGGCGGGCCCTGAGCTCGTCGACCATCTTGTCGAGGCTGACGAGGATGCCCTCCTTTTCGGGGTGGCCGTCGCGGAGACCCATCTCCTTGATCTTGACGTTGCCCTGGGCGACCTCGTCGTCGCCGAGGAAAATGGCAAACGGCACGCCGTTGGCCTCGGCCGCCTTGAACTGCTGCGGCACCTTGGGCTTGACCTTGTACAGGAACTCGGCCTGGTGGAACATGTTAGCGAAGTGGTCATGGTAGCCGGGTGTGACTGCATCTGTCCGTAGAGGAAAAGGAAAGGACTGGATGGAAATGGGCAAGTGTATTTACCTTGATGCCGCCCTCCCAGAGCTTGGCGCAGACCGCTAGGCGCTCGTTGACGAAGCCCTTGCCGCCGAACGCCATGACGTAGACGTCGACCTCGTTGTTGCGCACTTGGGTGGCGGACTTGTCGGCGGCCAGTCGAGCCTTTGTGATGGAGAAGATGCGGTCGACGCCAAAGGAGATGCCGACGCAGGGAATCTGGCTCTTGCCGGAGAACATGCCCACCAGGTTATCGTAGCGGCCGCCGGCGGCAACACTGCCGACGCCGACGGTCGGGTCGTTGGAGCGGTCGTCGTCCTCGCCGCCCTTGCCCCGTCTCCTGGGCACCGGGGCAGCGGCAGCCGCGGCGGCGCCAGGCGTGGCCTCGGGCGCGGATCCCTCGGTAACGACCTCGTAGATGAGACCGGTGTAGTAGTCGAGGCCGCGGGCGAGGCCGAGGTCAAAGGAGACGCGGTCGAGGACGCCAAAGGACTCGAGGTACTCGAACAGCAGCGCCAGGTCGGCGATGCCAGCTTGCATGGAGGCGTTGGCAGAGAGCTTAGGATCGCTGCGGAGCTTTTCGAGCAGCTCATGCTTGCCCTTGTGCACCACCCACTCGCCGATGCGGTCGGCGACGTCGGGGTCAAGGCCCTTTTCGTCCGTCATTTCCTTGCGGACGTCAGCCCAGGGCAGCTTGTCGAGCTTGTCGACGGCCGAAGAGATGGTGCGGATCTTGTCCTCGGGGACGCCGCAGACCTGGAAGATGCCGTCAAGAATCTTGCGGTGGTTGAGTTTGATGGTGTAGCGGCGGTCCCAGCCGAGGCCCTCAAACACCTCGCAGATGATGCGCAGCACCTCGGCGTCGGGCAGCATGGGGTCGTAGACGCCGGCAATGTCAAAGTCGCACTGGTAAAACTCGCGCATGCGGCCTTTTGTCATGGCCGGCTGGTCGCGGCGGTACACCTTGGCAATGTGGTAGCGCTTGATGGTGGTGATGTCCTTGTTCATGGCGAGGAAGCGCGCAAAGGGTACTGTCAGGTCGTACCGCAGCGAGCAAAGCTCGCCACCCTGGTCGGCCAGGTCGTAGATGAGCTTGCTGTCCTCGCCATACTTGCCGGAGAGGATCTCCTTGAGCTCGAAGACGGGGGTGTCGATGGTGACGCCGCCGTGGCGCTTGAAGACCTGCGTAATGGTGCTGAAGATCTTGTCGCGGATGACCATGTCCTTGCCATCCCCTAGAGAACACGAAAAAAAAAAGTGCCACAGTTAGCCTCTGGGTTGCGCTCACTCGAAGCAGAATGAGGGGTTCTGGGTGGTCGTCGGCCGCGGTGGTGGGCGGTGGTCGCGCAACAAAACCTCGTGATGATGGCGGGGGAGGGGCAGTCGGAGAGTGGCCTTACAGTCCTTGGTGCCCTTGGGGGTCTTGAGCTCAAACTTGGATTTGCCGCCCATGTCGATGGTGTTTTCGTCGTGAGGGAGCGACGTCGAGTAGAAACGGGTGTGGACGACGAGGGGGTTTCGGGGTCGCGGGGAGTGGGATAGCAGCCGTGCTGGTCGAACAGACCGAATGGTTGCCAAAACGGTCTTCATCCGCAGATTGACGCCTCTGGTATAAAAAAAACCTAAGCCCTGTGGTGCGCTTTTCAACCTCCTGCGCGCGCAAGACCTGCTGTTGTGGAGCTTGGGACGACATGCAGAATTTATGACCCATCGCCGGCCGCCACCCCGCTGGCCGGAGCGCTGACTCACCCATGCTCGGCGTCGTGATGATGTCTGTCACAGCGAACTTTTTGGCTTACCCTACAATGAAAAGAATAAAAGACTTTAAAGTCTCCCTATTGTACTAGACGTATAAAGAGATCAAAATTCATAGTACAAGATGCCACGACCCTCTGCAGACGACGTTGTGAATAGCCAAGGCCTTCTATCTTGCTATCCTCTACTTAATAAAGGTTAACAAGCTCTACCTGCTAGAATGGGTAGCCACACGTGTAACCAAGGACACACCTTAAGATTTCCTTCAACGCCGGTCCTTAACAAGCTGATCTTCCTTTCTATTTTGTTTTCCCTCTTGATTCAATCAAATAATACCGCCACATGTAGCATCATAATATTGCGATATTAACACATCAAATGCATCTTCATGTAAAACCACTCAATCCAGCAGACACCCATACTCCAATCGAATTCAATCTTTAAAGAGTTTGAGATTATACTTCAGGGGCCCTCAAACCCCACAGATGTTCAATCTCCCTGGTAATGGCGTCGGACTGCGTCATGACAAAGTCGTGAGTACCTGGGAGTACCTTCCAGTAGACATTTTCTCGGCCGCCCAACAGGGGAAGGCCGTCAGCCTCGTAGTCATCTAGATTGATGATTTCATCTCTTTCAGCGAGCAGTACCGCGGTAGTACCGGTTTTGCGCTGCGCGAGAGCCTTCCAGCTGTCTTGCTGGTGCGTGAGCGGCGCGTGGCGGATGCAGGACATGAAGGCAGGCACGAATCCGAGGTGGTGCGTAACCATCCAGCGAACATAATGAGTTACGCGCTGCTCAATGGGAAGGCTGGGAGAGTCCTCGGAGCTTGAGACGGTTCCCGGCACCTCTGCGGACGCGACTTTGACGGCGGCCTCGGCCTTGCCATGCACCACGGGGGTGGGTTGTTTGGGTACCTTGGAGGATGAGGCAATTGGCTGCTGCAGGCGGCGGCTGGTAAGACCGTGTAGGATGCGCTCCGGAATGACACCGGAAGAAAAGATGAACTTGGTGATGTGGCCGAAACGCTCAGCGCGGATGAGACCGGACGGCGCAAGCAACACTAAAGACTTGACCATGTGCGGGAAGGTGCCAGCGAAATGAGCAGCGATACCGCCGCCGAGGGAATATCCGATGATGTTCATAGACTCATTGCCAGTCCAGGACAGGGGGCTGGAGGCGAGTGCCAGGAGCATTTGCGTAACATAGAGACGAGCATCATGGGGGATGTCGCCGACACCGTCGGAATAGCCACGGCCAAACAGATCCTAATTCAAGAGTCAGCAAAGAGCCTCGAACGGGGGCAAAGATGCAGTTACAAAAAGCATCACTCGACAGCCACGTTGAACTAGGTTGTTGGCAATATAGAGCAGTGTAATGCACGACGTAGTGATGCCATGAACAAAAATGACTTTTTGGCCATCCTCGGGGCCGAACTCATATACGCGAATGGAGCCATACTGGCGAAAGCAATTAGCCTGAAAGTCGCCACCATGTTTGGAGAGAGGGTCTATGAGACAGGTCATCCACTTACAGGCGTTTCGACATCGCGTGCGCCTGGAAACTGATCAGGCTGATAGACTAGCTGGCGCGTCTCCTCCTTGGTCAGACGCGGAATTGTCGTCTTGAGAGGGCTGCGGAGGACCTTGGCCCAGCGCGGCCACAGCACCTCGCGAGATAGGATAAAGATTGACGCTGTCACCACGGCAGCCGTGGTGGCAATGGCCGCCGTCGATGTCACCGTCTCCGAGGCTGACATGATGACAGTGGCTGAGATGAATACCGGTGTAGTTGCGGAAAGATCTTCTGCCACGGGATATGTTACGAGACGAAAGCAGTATGAAAGGGGAGAATTATGCTGTCCCTGAATGATAGCTAGCGAATGAAACAAGGTAAAGTGAACAGGTTTGTGAACTGTTTGTCACAAAGAGCCGCCGCCTTGAGCGCCGGAGGGGGGGTTGCGAGTGGGCAGCAGCCGAAGGAGAAACAAGTCCAGCAGTATGGCAGCAAGCGGCGACCGCGCGTGTGCCTGTCGCAGTGTATTGTTATGCAAGACTGATAGTTAGATGGAGCAGCGATAAAGAGAGGGAAAATGATGAGGTGAGCGAAGTGGTCTCGACGAGGTGGTTATCGACGCCGCGCCTGCCGGGGGACACAGAGAGGCAGCTCATCGCAGTCCAGCCGTCCAGCCAGCCACAGCTATGCAGGGGGCCCATCAGGCACAAACGGGTGCAACTGGCCGACTATTACTGGCCCGCCGCCAAATCGCAGTAGTGGGGCCGCTACAGCAGGCTGCAACTGTAGGAGAGAACGGCAGAGGGGTAGTGTAACAATAAGGGTTTTCTTCATCGTGCATCATGATACGGATCTATGAATCTCTCTACCAGCATCATAGGTCATGAGGACAGTATCCGTAGACCGGCATAAGCTGCAGTACAACGCAGAGCCTGTATACATGTTGCGTCCTTGGATGCAGAGCACTAACCCAGTCCCACAGCCCATGCTGCATCCCCAAGCTGCTGAATCAGATGGCACAGGTTTTCCACAATTGGCGGTGTCGCCTCCTTCCCATGCGACACATTGGCGCGCAGGATTTCCTGTGAAATCTCCATGCACGCCCGCGTATCCTGCAGCGATGCTTCGCGTGGCGCGCCGCGCAGCACCGGCCCCCGGACCAGTGGCCGGCCCTGGTCGAAACCGATGAATCTCTGCACGGACAAGGAGTCCTGGTCGTCGAGATAAACATTTCCGTACGCGTTTTGCGACGTCATCGATTGCTGCCGGTTGGCCTTGTTGACCACGCCGTACGTCCACAACGCCAGCGCCGCATGATGCACGGCGACAGCATAGAATCCGTTTAGGTGGTCTGGCGGAAACATCTTGGCGCAGCGCAGAATCTGGCCCGCGCCAAACACGGCAGTGCGCGACGCGGTGCTCGCTGCCCATTGCTGGAGAACGGGGTAGACTCGGCGCGCCTGGTCCTCGCCCTCCTTGCCCGAGAATAGCTGCAGGTCATCAAGCGACACATGAAGGTTCATTTGCAGGAGATGCAACACAACTTGCTCCTGCACCGACATATCTGGCCAGTCTCCAACCACTAACTGGAAATTTTGCAGCTCTCGCACCAGCTCCTGGTGCCGCGAGTTGAGGAGCAAGCTGGCGGGAGAGTTCATGTTGCTCGTATACGATCGAGTTCGATGCACAACGCACATTTGGCGATACTCCAGAATCATGCTCCAGAATCCATGCAGGTATATCGAAATCGAAAGCTGAAGATCCAGGCGTGATGCGTTGGCCGGAAGCTTATGCGCTTCAGCTAACAAGTCTCCCAGCGAAGGCGGCCGCTTTGTCTGACCAGAGTGACGCTCAATGTACTTGCTTTTCCATTCTACCGCCGTCGGAGCAAACCATAGCTCTCGAGACTCCGGTAATGGTAGCGTGAGTTCTCCATATGACATGCATGGATTTGTCAAGGTTGTCATGGACACCTGTGCTTCGCGGAGGTAGCAGTGGAAAACAAGTCGTTTCCACTGCTCTCTCGAGATCCATGCCTTCCATTTCTCTTGAAGCTCGTCCCCTTCATCTGACGCGTCGACCTCCATCAAAGGATAGTTGGCGCGTTGGAACTTGCCACGATACCGCATCATGGTCACCGGGATGACGAGATGACATTCGGCAATCTCCATTTTGCGTCGGTTTCCACTCCACAGGGCAATGTCCTGCCAGAGAATGAGGGACTGCACGAGACCCAGGTTTTGAATTGTAGTATTGTTGGCCTCAAACCGCGCAGGGATCGTCAGTCGAATAGCCTCCTGCACTGCAAACCCAAACTTTCTGAGCGTCGGGACTGGCGTGGACACTGCACCCGCAGCTGCGGCGGTTCCTATCCACTCAGCCCATTGCTCATTCAGTTTGAATGTTGGGAAATGGATCCAGCCTGAAACTTGACACGCGTGTGCCTCTAGGAAAATGTGAATCATGCCATCCATCAACTCAACTGTTGGAAAGGATGCAGCAACCTGGTTTCTGCTGCTATCGGTCTTGCAGGTACTGAGAACCGAGGAGAGCAGTCTATCGCGCCCAGACTGCTCCAGCTTCTCTTGTGAAACTCGAAGAGCGCTGTTGTCGCCTTTTTTGAGATGCATTTTTGCAGCTTGGCTGCTGCTGACCGGCATATAGCCCAGCTCTGTATAACCTGTATCGTTATCCTTGGGCTGCCAGCGCCAAGGTGATTCGGTCCAGCCTCTCACAAGTGCATTGCGCATCTGCGCGACTTCGCCCGCCGTTTCAGGACGACTGATGCTCCCCTCTCGCGTTGACCGGCACATGTTTCCTACAAGATCCAGGTTCCAATTATCCAAAAGCCCAAAGTCCATGTCAGTCATTTCGAGACTGGTATTGTCGCAGAAATCCAACACGGCAAGACCATGGGGATCTACAGTTCGCGACGGGTTGAAGGGCTGCTCGTAGAGTACGTCTCGCAAAAAGTCGAAGAAGGGTATTGCCGTGGGATCCATCATATTGGAGGTGGGTTGAGCCAGCATTTGTGAGCTGTTGATATGCTCAGTGGAGGCATGTGCGTAGCTGTACGCCATTTGGGTGCTGTGAAAGTTACTGTGCTCCTGTGCACTTTCAGGCGTTGGTAATTGACCGTCATCGCGAGCGAGCTGGGTGGTTTGCGATCCAGGTGTTGTGTTCGCGTTTGTGGCTGGGACGGAGCTGGCAGTGTCAGGGACGGAACCGTGTGGTAGATGCGACGGAGAGGCCTCGCTAGCTTCTGTAGAGGCAGCCTGGGGGACCGATTCAACTGGGAAGTGTGCGATATTCTTTGAGTGCGCATGGCTCATATCAGACGACACACAATCGAGGTTTCTGGAGACACAGCGCTTGCACGGCTTTGCCTCTTCGCACTTCACTCTGGCAGTTGCGCAAGGTCGACAAGCTTGCGATACACGGCCCAGTCCTGGTGACGTCTGCTTACGGCGGCGCTTTGCGGGAGAGTCGTTCGCATGGTTCGCGACGTGACGACGTAGGAGGTCTTTCCTCGCGAATGACTTTTGGCAGATGTCGCAGATGAAGCGCCGACCGAGGGTATGTGTTTGGACATGCCGAACGAGATGTTCGGGCCTGGAATACGAGCGGCCACAATCTCGGCAGGCATAGAGATTGCTCCCTACATGACCTTTCAGAGGCGTCGTGGCCGAAGACTGATCTGGCGGCAAGGATTCCGTTGAGGTTGCGATTGTCGGGCTGGCAGTGCTGGTTCCGGATGAGCGTTCATTGTATTGCGCGGCAGCACCGGAGTAGGCGGCACTGGCTGGCGATTGATGGTAAAACGGTTGCTGGGCGTGCTGCTGATCCAGAAGAGGGGGCTGGGGGTCCAGGATTTTGGACAGCGAGGACGACCCGTTCATGATGGTCGTCTTGGCGTCTCGGAGAAGCCAAGCAGTTTCTGCGCGATGACGACCAGCGGTTGGTTACATGAGTACGGTCGCGCAACAGAATCGATGGACCAGCGCAGAGGTTGAGAGGTTGCAGCCCAAGGGTGTATTTTTGACCTTGGAACTTCTTCCAGGGAATAATGGAGGGAGTTGAGGTAGATGCTGGCCGATGACGCGGCTGAGGTGCGAAGAAACGATCGCGGCGCCGTTACCGTGCAGCGGTTGGGTTGGTTTCATGGTGCTGACTATGCCTGGGTTTAGTGGTTGAATAGCGCCATTCTGGTGAGACAGCGCCGAGAGGCGGACCCTATCTGACCTAGTAGTGACCTAGGTTAGCTATCCACGGATAACTCCGTCGGACGATCCCCCAATATTCATCAGCGACGCGTACCATCTTTTTTAAAAGCATGTTAGTCTAGCCTGCCAAGTCGCGGCCAGTGGAGATGTTGACGATGTTGACAAGGGAATGAATGCATCACCGCCAGAAACTGACAAAAGGTCATATTCATCCTTGGGAGGTCTTTTGGGCCGCATCCTATATCCTATCATCGTAAAGAAGAGAATATTTCGAGAAATGCCAGTCCATGACGAAACAAGGACGAATGCCCAGCTGCTCCAGTCATAAGAAAACGGGTTCTGTCATGTTAAGAAGGAGAATAGGAATTGTTCCTAATAAAAGGCGTGCCTCTCTCTAGGCGCCTGTTGGAATGGCCTGATACTTCACTGATAAGCCTCAGCCTGCCTTAGTAATCGCCACACACACACCCTTGAGCCCCTTTTTAACATCTCCATTGCACAGAGACGCCATTCCCAACTCCTCCACAAAGCACAAACTCTAATACATACTACACGCAGCCATGGATGGAGAACCGACCGAGGAGAGTCGTCTACTGCCACGGCACCGTTACCAAGCTCCGTCTGACCTACCAGGGAATCCGGATCACACAACGCCATGGCGGCTCTACGCCGCTGCTCGATGCGTGGCTGTGCTGTCACTTGTTCAGTTCGCGACCGTCATATCAGCAACTCCGACGTTCGAAATCATGGAGGGCATCATCTGTCATTCCATGCACCCAGACATTGTTGACCCGCGAAATGATGCCGCTTGTAAAGACACCGACGTACAATCAAAGTTGTCCCTACTGCAGGGATGGATCATGCCCTTTGCACTAATCCCCGGCCTTGTGACGGCCGTACCATACGGAGCTATGGCTGATAAATACGGTCGCAGGCTCGTCCTTCGTTTGGCCATCTCAGGGATGCTCATTTCACAGGCGATTGAGATGAGCATATGTAAGTGCTACTGTTATTTCTTCTTGACTGCGCTAAAGTTTCTCCTAGTCTGGTTTTCCGATGTGATACCACTTGATTTGATATGCTTGGCAGGGCTCGCGACTCTCATTGGTGGTGGGCCCATGGTGATCAGTGCGATGATTTTCGCCATGATCGGCGATATATGTACCCCGGGGCAAAGGTTCGCCAATACCATGTGTCGCTTGTATTGCTTTAGCTGACAAAGCGCAGGACTGTTGCTTTCTTCTATCTGGGGTCCTCCGTAACAGTTGTTGAACTGATATCGGGCCCGCTGACGTACTTGCTCATGAACAGAGGCGCTTGGTTTTGTCTCTTCATTGGCTTTGCTGGACTATGTCTAAGTCTTGCTTCGTCGTTGCTCCTTCCAGAGAGTCGTGGTGCCAATACAGGTGCAAGCTATAGTCCACTCAATGATGAGCCCGACTCAGGGCAGCAAGCCGGTAACGGACCCTGGAACTACTTGGCCAACTTACCAAAGGTCATTTCCAACTTACCAAAGGTCATTGCAAGTTACACGATCGCTGCGAGGAACCTTGTCTCGAGAAATACATATTCTGTGCTGCTTCTCATGGGTATTGTATTCAGCACGCTCGGTCAAGATGTCCTGATCTTGCTTCTACAATATATGACGAAGCGTTTTAGTATGTCGTGGGCTGATGCTGCCCTGCTTTTGACCATGAAAAGCGCAGTGGCTCTTGGAATGACAACTATAGTGCTACCTTTGACAAGTCAGCTGCTTTTAACGAAGCTGTCCCTCAGTTACACTCGCAAAGATTTATGGATGGCGAGGGTTAGTGCTAGCCTGCTGGTTTTGGGGGCCTTGTGCCTGGCGTTGGCATTTACGATCCGAACGTTCATGTTGAGTTTAATCATTTTCACTCTAGGAGCAGGCTGCAACTTGGTTCTTCGAAGCCTCATCACTAGCTATGCTGCAGAGGACAGGGCAGGCTTGATCTACACTGCGATATCTGTATCAGAGGGACTCGGAGCGCTTGTCGCAGGGCCAGTCATGGCATCACTGTTCCGCCTTGGTCTGAGTTGGGGTGGTACATGGCTCGGACTTCCTTTCCTATTTGCTGCGCTACTTTCTAGTATTACCTCGCTGATACTTTTTCTGATACCGGCTAAAGCAGATGAAAGCTGACTTGTCAGCTGTCAAAGAATGCGGCTAGCACGAAGAAGTTGAAAGGAGAGGTAGTTGGCAAGAAGATCGCTGCGTAGTAGCAAGTAGTAAAATCATGTACCTTGTGAAATCCCACTTTTCTAGAAATCCGTGGACAGTCCGTCCAGCAAAAAGAGTCAGTCCAGCTAGCAGGTCTGATCGGTACCATGACTAGTGTTACAGTGAGACAGGAGGCTTGACAGTGGGCAGGCCGGTCGTTGACTGGCTGACTGGTTGATCCAGGAGGGGGATACAATTACGTTACTGGTTTTGGTTTGGGGGGATCTAACTAACTAGGGACCTAGTTCGCAAGACCAGACCTGATAGAATGCAGGATGGTCCGGGGCCCGGGGGAAATCAGGTGCTGCAAGCGCCGAGAGCATCCGAGTCAATGTCTTGTCCTTGTCGCGGAAACTAACATCGACTCCAGTTTTCGGCAGCTGTCCGAGCGACTTTGGTGAGACGCTGAGGCATGAATACTACATAACCTCGCAGCCGCGCCAATCTCAAGGCTCGATCCCCGTTCGCTTCGACCCTGCTGAGTTGAGTTGAGAATGCTTCTTTCGTATTGATTGTTCCCCGCTGGCTCCGCAGCCATTACTGCAGTCGGGCTTATCGAACAAGGTACTTCGCCGGCCAACAATGACTGTCCCTGACGTCGTCCAAGCGGTTACGCACCCGCTTGAGAAGGGCTCCGATCTCAACGCTCGGAAAGCCACCCTTGGTAACGTCCGCCTTAGAAGTCAAGAAAATGACGAAATCATCCTGATTCCGGCGCCGTCCTCCGATCCCAATGACCCATTGAACTGGTTTGTCTGCCCAGCATCTTCATCCTCTCATCACGTCTAACTCGTCGACAACAGGTCGCAATGGCGTAAAAAATACGTCGCTGTCGTGCTGTGCCTGGCCATGGCCATGTGCAATTTTTTGGCGGCTGGGCCATCAATTGCCATTGTGCAGACTGCCATAGACTTCTTTCCGCAGACTGCGCAGAGTGACAGTCTCACGGCTTACGCCATTCCCAGAGTTGCATACTTCTTCACCTCAACGTCGCTGCTCCAAGGAATCGGTAATCTTTTTTGGGTCCCTGCTGCCAACAAATGGGGTCGCAGACCTGTGTACATTGCCAGTTACACCATATACCTTGCGACTGCCCTGTGGCTCATCTTTGAGAAATCATACTCTGGGTTTCTCGTTGGTCGCATCCTGATGGGTTTTGGCGCTGGTGCGGCAGAAATTCTAGCCCCATTAACTATAACCGACATATTCTTCCTACATGAGCGAGGGACCATCATGTCCGCCTACACTTGCTTCCTCTCCATTGGCGTTGCGTCTGGCATGATCATCTCTGGAGGCATCACCGCGAACGAACACTGGCGAACAATCTATCAAGTCAGCTCTGCCTTGATCGGGGTTGTCCTCCTCCTGTTCTTCTTTACGCTCCCCGAAACGGCATATAAGCGAGTTCAGCCCGGCAAAGATATTTCTTCCGGCTTTTCTGCAGCCCTGGGGCGTAACGCGAGCCAGACAAGCGATGTCGAGAGTGGGCAATCTACTGTTCACAAGCAGACATACACGCAATCCCTCAAAGTCTTTAGCCGTCAGCCTTTCACCAACGAGAGCCTGTTGAAAATGGTCATACGGCCCTTTGCTCTGATTCTCCTACCGCCAGTGCTCTGGGCTGCTTTGGTTCTGTCTGTGACTATTGGCTTTCTTGTAGCTGTCACATCGAATGTTGACCCTGCCTTCGAGGAAGCCTACCGCTTTCAGCCATGGCAGGTTGGTTTGTGCTTCTTTGCGGCCATTATCGGGTCGCTACTAGGTCTTCCAGCGGGAGGCAGACTTGGTGACTTGTGTGCAGACTATCTGACGAAGCGAAATGGGGGCATTCGAGAGCCGGAAATGCGACTTCCCATCATTATGATTTCTGCCATTACGGCACCTCTGGCTCTTTTCCTTTTTGGTGTTGGCATTGAGCACCGCCTGAGCTTTGTTTGCCCAACGATCGGCCTCGCATTGCGTAGGTGCACCAGCTACTCGTCTTGACGATGCTAGGCGAACTAACACGCATCATAGTGAACTTTTATATAACACAGGCTACTACCGTATGCCTCGTCTATGTTATTGACTCGTATAGACCTGTTGCAGGCGAAGTTACTCTTGCCGTCATGGGATTCAAATGTGAGTTTGCTTGCGGCTGCGCCAGACATGATGCGCTAACACGGATCTGTACAGCACTATTTGGATTTTTCCTTTCCTTCGAGACAAACCCTTGGATCAACAAGTCTGGCTATCAAAATACATATGGCGCCATGGCTGGCATCTCGGCGGCTGTCATTATCATGTGGATTCCCTTATACTTGGGGGGCAAGGCGCTCCGAACGAGGACTTGGCGGTGGCGGATTATGTCATTGGTGCGCTGGGCGGACGATCGTGAGGTCGGCGAATAGAGTTGGATCATGGATCCTTGAAGATAATGTGCATATTGTACATAACTTGTATTTGGACAAGCGTATTGCATCAAATATATGTGCATATTGTACATAACTTGTATTTGGACAAGCGTATTGCATCAAATATACCGATAGAACCAATAGACTGGTTAAACGATGATACAGGGCGGATTGGTTGGACATAGTTGGAGTGCTGACGCAGTCCTTGACAACGAGCACGACAGACTTATATCAAAAACCTGAGAACCAAGACAATATTCACCAAGTCAAGCATAAAGTTGTTTCATTTTCAATCCATATTTTCGTCTTTGTAATATGTTTGTCGATCATAGCCTCCCTAACAAGTGGGGGCAGTGTCATCAGTCACCAAATCAGGGCCCAGATAGGCGCAAGAGGGCGTGTGACATGTCTGTCTCTAGTGGCGATGCAGCACTGCTAACAACGCCCACCTCTGGAATGACTGACACAAGGGCTGCTCGCGTGTCTCGACTTGCCCTCCTATCTCCACGCCGCCGGAACAATTCTCAGTTGATGCATCTGCATACCCTTCGACTTGTCCGTATCCTTGTTCCTGCACGCTTGCTTCCTCTCGACCCGTGTTGGCAGGGCCGGTTCTTACCTACCTACCTAGCAAAAGGGCTCAGAGACGCTTGCATGGCGTGAGTTGCTGAGTCCCGCAAACGAAATCCAGGCGCCCGCGTCTCAAGCCCCAAACCAACTAAGACGACGCCGTTTGCTCGCTCCTCTCGAAATCCGTCCCTCCATACGTGTGTCCATCTCCAATAGACGTTGCGTTTTCGACGGTGCAACGCTTCCTGCACTCATGTTTTATTAGACCATGGCGACCCCGCGAGACCCTGCCGCGCATACAGCGCCGAACGAGACGATAATAGATGATACAACACAGCCCGGTCCCTCCACGAGCGCTGCGGGCCCCCAGTCCACAGGGGACGGTGTCTGTTTGTCTACAGACGGCGGCGGAACCCCTGCTACGAATCACGCGGAGCACCAGGCGCAGCCTGACGATGCTTCCTCGGCTGCGACTAGGGGTCCAGTCGCGCAGACCCCAGCTGCAACCAACAAGGCGCCTTCAGCCGCCATGCCTGCCGACAGCGAGGAGCAAAACATCCAAGGCTCCGGCCAGAATACAGAAACAGAAGATACGATTACCAACCGACCTCCCCGAGAAGAACATGCCGCCGGCCATGCTGAGACGGCCAACGCTGTAAGCAGCACGCTTCCCATCCGGACTTTGTCAAGCCCGGTCGCGTCCCAGGGCGCACCAACCCTAGTAGCCGCCGGCCCGTCTTCGAGCTCGCGCACCGAAGCTTCGCCTCGTATTAGCTTCGTGGGTCAGGATGGACAGGTTGTAGACCTGTCATCCATCATGTACCCGCAGAGGTCCAGCATCACGGAGGGTTTGCCTCGCCTCGCTACGGGCAGGCGAAGCAGCTTCCGCCAGCAGTTCAGCCCTTCTCGAGAGCGCCCGCAGAGATCTCGCCGAGAGACGCCCGAGTTTGCTCTTCCTAGATGGCAGCCAGATGCCGAGGTGACTCTCTGTCCCATTTGCAACACCCAGTTCAGCACATGGGTGCGAAAGCACCACTGCAGGTGCGTTGGCCACGACGCTCGGTGCACGGCATTTGCAGCTATTAACAAGATAATAGAAAATGTGGCAGGGTCGTCTGCAACTCATGCTCCCCTCATAGAATCACGATTCCGAACCAGTACATTGTCCGCCCCCCGGACTCAGAGGTCTCCTTTGCATCGAGCCTGTTTGCGGATCCAATGGGAGCCAGCTTACTGGATCATGGTGGAATACCAGGTGGTGAACGGGTCAGACTCTGCAACCCGTGCGTCCCTGACCCCAACACGGCACCGCCGCAAAGCCCAACGGTGCTCTCCCCGCGCTCGCCACACCATAGATCTCGGAGCAGCCTGAGCAACGCATATGGTGGGGTATCGACGGCTGGTGGATTCGGAGGACTTGCAGGCGCGCTGCAAGCAATCAGCGATCCAAATCAGCATACAGGCTCTCGCACCAGGAGCATTGCCCCGGTATGTTCTAGCTCTGCCTTTGATCGTGTCAGCACGGAATTAACTGGATAACAGAACCCCCCTACAAGAGGGCACGACCCTGTACCAACATCGAGCCGCAGTGCCTCATATCAGACTCCGTTTGAGCAGTATTTGTCGACGCGTCCGGCCCGTGCCGGGCCGTCCCAGTTCAGCGCGCGACCAGGCCTATTTGACGACCCGGCGACCTCATCACGACACCGAGCGCTGCCTCCGACGCCCCAGATTGCCGAAGAAGACGAATGCCCCGTATGCCACCGAGAGCTACCAGCCACCACGCTCCCCGACTTCGAAACCCTGCGAGAGCAGCACATCACGACATGCATCCAGTCCCACAGTACGTACGGGAGCCCAGCCCCAGGCGACGGCGGCGTCGCGGTGGCGCCGCCGGCCCCTCGCCGCAGCGGCATGTACACGTACGCGGCGACGGAGAAGGACTGCGTGGACGATGCCGAGTGCACCATTTGTCTGGAGGAGTTTGCCGTGGGCGTGCCCATGGCGCGGCTGGAGTGCCTCTGCCGCTTCCACCGCGCTTGCATCGCGGCCTGGTTTGTGAACCATCCGGGACGGTGCCCCGTACACCAGCACGACGGCTTCGGATTCTAGGAATGATCTGGCCGGCGGCGGCGGCGGCGTGCACGCAAGGCACTGGGTGACATTTGGCGAGAGGGTAGACTGGAGTTGTTCAAGGAGTCAGTTTTGAGTTTATTTGATTTTTAATGGGAGCAAGCGATTGTTTTGTACATTTATAAGACGCACCCTACAAGCGTGGTTTCTTTATTTCACATTACACAATACTTTAAATGGAATAGTCAGAAGAAGCACCACAGTGCAGGGCCTCGGGCTCCGATGACGAATGCAGTTTTGCAGTTGTCATTGACAAGTCTCTCGGGCTATCTGTGTACTTTTTTCCCTCAAGAAATAGCCGAGACATTTCAGCACCTTTACCGCCTTCGTCTGCTAACTATTGGTTTGTACACCAGAAACCAGAGTCGAGCGCTTTCCCCCGTCTTGGCGCTACCCAATCCAGCCGGTGAGGCCGAGCCCAATCTAGATGGGCTTCCATTTACAGGGTGAAACTATTCCTATCGTCGGCCGTTTGGGCCAAGCATGGACCAGGGTGATTGGCGGGCTATTCGTACGCGGACAATCGAACAGGAAGCTGTGCTGGTGCCAGCTTGGGTGATTCATCTCTAACAGATCGCTGGCAGAGCGGGAAAGAGCAAAGTTCCGGACCAAAGAAAAATAAAGGGAATGAAGCGTGGGCACAGACAGCAGGTCTTGTTTGGTGGTGGAGAGGGAAATAGTTTAATTAAAGCCAAGCAGAGGGAGAGGCTAGTTTCGCTGATGAGGTTTGTGGAGATGGGAATGCATGGCGCGACTTGTTCAGGACAATGATGGGCCAGAATGTGTGCGCAGGGCAGTGGGAACTGGCAATGGGGCAATTAATAAAAAGAGAGGCAGCCGGAACGGCATTGGCGAGCCGAAAGTTTGGCTATCGCGGCGGAGCGAGGAGGAGGAGCTTGATAGAGCTGAGCAAGTTCGGAGCCGGTACTTGGGGAGTACGGAGTACTGGGGACATGATAAGTGGTAACGGCAGAGACAAGTTTCAGTAATTCGTACACAGAGGTAACTCAATATTTGGGTACCTAGACCGGTAGGTAGTGCTGCTTGCAAGGCTAACAAAAATTCGTCGACTCATGCTAGTTAATCGTAGCAGACCATGTTCAGCTGGGGAGGATTTGGCTAGCAGAGCGCCACAAACCTCGGAAGCGTCCAAGTCGAAGCAGCGACGAAGCTCCAGTGCGGCGGCGGACGGGGCAGTGGATGCCGGGATCCACTAGGGCGAGCGAGTCGCCGCAACCGATCTGGGACCACGCAAGGGATCAGGGATCCCGAGCCTCGAGGACAGCGGCGTGAGGCCGCTGGGCTGGGTGGGCGGAACGGTCAATGAATGAAGGATGCGAGACGAATCCGGGCAAGGGAAGCAAGGGCACAAAAAAGCGGTCGTGACGGGATGCGCCCGGTGAGTTGGTATCGTCGGTTCGTCACCCAAGCAAGGACCAAAAGTTGGGAATGCCTTGTCTGGTTAAGCGAAGGTAGCCGGGAGGTGCATGCCAGCCAGCCAAAGCTCGGAGAATCTTGGCTGCTTCTGCACCATGGCGTCGTTGTGCAGGCCATGAATCACTAAATTGTTGGAAGCAGCTGCATGTCTTGAATGTAAAGTGGCCACGTACATGCAGATACAGGTACAGGTACATGCTTGCCTGCAGGCTACATTCACCATCGCTCACGCCTAACCATATGCATCGCAAACGTGTCTGGCTTGTTCCGCTCCCGGATGCACCCACCGGTAACTATGTCGACGGGAAATTTTGCAACATCAGAGAAGAATAAAACGAGCAAGGCCCCTACCGTGATTATTCTGGCGCTCTAGCGCAGCCCCCGGGCAGACCAGTTACGTACCGCCAGAGAGGCTGTGAGGCTGTGAGCCCACCAAGGTTCGCTCCTCTTCAGCAGAACCAGGATCAGACCAGAAAGCCGGGACTGGACGAGGGACGAGGGCCAGCGTTGGCGGGTACCTGTACTTGATGGACTTGGGAGTCTGTGATGGGATGGGCAGGGCAGAGACGAAGAGGGACGTACAAGGTACTAATAACGTGGCTGAGCGAAACAAGGAAGCTGCAAGTGCTGAACAGGCCACTTGGTGGCTCTACACTCTGGGTTAGCGCCAGTTTACGGTACACAGCTCAACGCTGATGAATGATGAAGCCAGACTGACTGGCGCTGGAATCCTCCGTCATACGTAGCACATGCAGAAACGAGCATGTACCTGTACATTGCACTGCTAGTCAAAGCTATCAGGTAGCTCTTTGTCGTTGCGCAAATCACAGCTTAGCTTTTTGCTGCAGCTGCTCATCGTCGTCGTCAACCCTTCTCCAGCTAGGTAGCCAGCGGCCACCCCCCCCTCACAAACAAACAGCCTCTCTTTTCCTCTTCTCCAATCCATCGTCTTCTCGTTGCCGTTTAACCTATCCGTCATCCATCTTTTGGCTCTTCCCATCCAACGTCCAGCCCCAGCGCCGCGTTAGCCTCTGCTTGCTTGCCATCTATTATCTGTTGTAGCTTCCCCATCATCACCAGCTGCCATCACCCACCTGCTATTTTTTATTCCGTCTTTATTATCTGCATCCTACTCCGTACTATCAACTAGTACTTATCCCAAGATACCCCCGCCGCCTCTTGCCACCCCTGTCAGATCAGCGTCATTTTATGGTCTGCAAGGAAGCCGAAATCATCTGGTGGGAACCGGCGCAGCTGCGGTCGTCCCATTGAGACATTCCTACACTCCTACTGCTCTGCTCCTCCTCCACCTCCAAGCTCGTGCGCTTTGCGACAGCTCTCGCCAACCCTCCATCCTGCAAACAACACCTGCTGATCTCCCTCTGCATGTCGCCTCGCCGACTGGCGCGCGCCAATTGATTCTCCCATCTCCCGTCCGACCTACAGACCTCATCATCCCAGCCCGCACCGCGCAGCACTTCCTGCCATACCTCATTCGTCATGGCTGCCGACCAAGCTCGCGACGCCAAGGTTGACAATGCCATTGCCGCCGCCCAGGACCCCGACAGCACCTACACGGCTGATGATGCTCAGAACCAGATGGTCGCCGAGTCTCGCAACGCTGGTGTCCCTGCCTTTACCTTTGATCCTGATGCCACTCCAGAGCAGAAGCTAGCACAGGCCACAGCTGTATGTCGCACCCCCCACCACTCCTCTGACTGCTGCCGTCGTTTGCTGACCCTTTGTCCCATGCCAGGCCATTCCCCAAGAGCTTCGTCAAAGTCGCCCCGAAAGATCTGTCGCCGTCGCCACTGACATGGACGACGGAACCGGCCCCGTCGAAGATTTGCCAGAAGCCTCCAAAGCAGGTGTTCTCGATGTCGCTAGAGACGCCAGCGGCAAGCCAATCGGCGACGGTGCCGACCCCGGCGCCAAGGAGCCTCCCTACATGCGCACCGGCTGGGCTCCTAAGATGGGCTGGCCCTCCGAAAAGACGTCCGAATCCGAAAGCTTGCTAGACCACTCTACCTGGCTTGAGGGTAGACTGCCCGACTCGCTCTACGGAGGTAAGGGCTTGAAATACGCCAAAGACCATGCGCTCGCGCATCCTGCTGACCTCAAATCCCTTTAGACTGGTATCACAATACAGCTATTGTCATTCTCGCATGCATCATTTCCTGGCTTATTGCTGTCCTCGGTGGCGGCCTCGGCTGGGTCCTCATCGTCATGGCTGCTTGCGCCACCTACTACCGTACCTCTTTGCGCCGCGTCCGCCGCAACTTCCGCGACGACATCAGCCGCGAAATGGCCCTCAAGAGGCTCGAGACCGACAATGAATCTCTCGAGTGGATTAATTCCTTCATGGTCAAGTTCTGGCCCATCTACCAACCCGTCCTCGCCCAGACCATCATCAACTCGGTCGACCAGGTCCTCAGCTCCTCTACTCCGGCTTTCCTTGACAGCCTCAAGCTCAAGACCTTCACCCTCGGATCTAAGCCCCCGCGCATGGAGCACGTCAAGACCTACCCCAAGACCGAGGATGATATCGTCCTCATGGACTGGAAATTCAGCTTCACCCCCAACGACACCGCCGATCTTACTTCTCGCCAGGTAAAGAACAAAATCAATCCCAAAGTTGTTCTTGAAATTCGTATCGGAAAGGCCATGATCAGCAAGGGCATTGACGTCATTGTCGAGGACATGGCCTTCTCCGGCATCATGCGCCTCAAGATCAAGCTGCAAATTCCCTTCCCCCACATTGACCGTGTCGAAATGTGTTTCCTTGGACGCCCCGAAATCGACTACGTTTGCAAGCCCCTTGGCGGCGAGACATTTGGTTTCGACATCAACTTCATTCCCGGTCTGGAAAGCTTTATCCTCGAGCAGATCCACGGTACTCTTGGCCCCATGATGTACGAACCCAAGGTCTTCCCCATTGAGGTCGCAAAAATGCTCGCCGGTACTCCAGTCGACCAGGCCGTTGGTGTCTTGGCCGTAACGCTCCACGGCGCCCAAGGCCTCAAGAACACCGACAAGCTCGGCGGCACCGTCGACCCCTACGCCGTAATCACCTTCAATCGTCGCCAGGAGCTTGCCAGGACCAAGCACGTCCCGGACAACGCCAACCCTCGCTGGAACGAGACTCACTACCTCATTGTCACTTCCTTCTCCGACTCGCTCGATATCCAAGTCTTTGACAAGAATGAATTCCGTAAATCCAAGGAACTGGGTGTCGCCTCCTTTGCCATGGAGGATCTCGAGGAGCTCAACGTCCACGAGAACCAGCGCATCGAGGTTCTCTCTGACGGCAAGGCGCGTGGCGTGGTCAACTGCGACCTGCGATTCTTCCCTGTCCTTGCCCAGAAGAAGCTCGAAGATGGCAGTGCTGAGCCTGCCCCCGAGTCTAACCAGGGTATTCTCCGCTTTACTGTCGAACAGGCCAAGGATCTCGACGGAACAAAGAGTCTTGTTGGCAGCCTCAACCCTTACGCCGAACTTTTACTGAATGGCAAGTCTGTCCACCTGACCAAGAAGCTCAAGCGCACCAACAACCCTATCTGGGACAATGGCTCCAAGGAAATTCTCATTACGGATCGCAGGTCCGCCAAGCTCGGCGTTATTGTCAAGGATGACCGCGATCTCGCCGGCGACCAAGTCCTCGGCAAGTACCAGATTAAGCTCGACGAAATGCTCGACTGCATGGAGCAGGGCAAGGAATGGTACAGTCTGGCTGGCGTCCCCACTGGTCGCGTCAAGATGATGGCCCAGTGGCGACCTGTTGCTATCTCTGGTGTTGCTGGAACCGGCGGCTACCAGACTCCCGTCGGCGTCATGCGCCTGCATTTCAAGCGCGCTACCGACCTGCGCAACTTTGAAGCTTTTGGAAAATCCGACCCCTACGTGCGTGTTCTACTCTCTGGTATCGAAAAGGGCAAAACTGTCACTTTCCGAAACGACCTCAACCCTGAATGGGACGAGGTCCTATACGTCCCGGTCCACTCTGAGCGCGAGAAGCTTACACTGGAAGTCATGGATATGGAAAAGGTTGGAAAGGATCGAAGCTTGGGTCTGACTGAACTCTCTGTCGGCGATTTTATGCAGCTGAACGAGCTCGGTGAGCATATGGTGCACGACAAGAAGGAAGACCGTCAAGGCGCCCTCCGTATCCATGGTAAGGGTGTCCCCAAGGGAACTGTTCACTACACCGCCGCTTTCTACCCCTGCCTCAACATCGCGGATCCTGAAGAGGAAGAAGAAGAAGAGGAGGCAGCTGCAAAGACCAATGGTGATGTCACCAAGGCCACTGCAAAGACCAATGGTAATGCCACCAAGGATGTCACCCAGGCTGCCACCAAGGATGCCACCAAGGATACCACCAAAGCCGCCACTACAGATGCCACCAAGGATGCCACCAAAGCCGCCACCACAGATGCCACCAAGGATGACACCAAGGTGGCTGCGATCAAGGACACAGCCAAGGATGTCACGGACAAGGTTGCTCCTGCTGCTGGACACACCAAGGGCAAGCCTAGTCTTGACACAGCCAAATCAATCAAGTCGGCCAAGGGTCGCACCAGTCTGGAACAGGGTGGCGACAAGGAAACTGGGCCTCCCAGAATTCACATGAGCCCCGAACAGCTGCTCAGAGAAGAGAGCGGTCTGCTCATCTTTCGCCTTCTCGATGCGGAGATGCCTGATGCCCCTAGCCACCTTGAGGTCTGGGTGGACGACTACATGTACCCTTCATACACCACAAACAGCACCTCAACCAAGAGTTTCAAGTTTGACGAGATTGGTGACTGCGTCATTCGCGAGCTAGACTTTTCTAGACTCACGCTCAAGGCCAGGAAGAAGGGCGACGACAGCGATCACGTTCTGGCATCTCTCACTGGCAACACGCTTGATACTTTGAAGCAGTGTCTCAACAACCCCACTATTCTCAAGCTCAAGTCCGACGATGGCAGGACCGGCTCTGTCAAGGTCAGCCTCAAGTACATCCCTATAAAGATGACCCTTGACCCTAGCGAGAGCATCAACAACATGGGCAACCTTCGCCTCGATATTCTGGATGGTGTCGATCTGCCCTCTGCTGACCGCAACGGCAAGAGTGATCCTTACTGCCGATTTGAGCTCAACGGCCAGGACGTCTTCAAGACCAAGATCATCAAGAAGACTCTCAATCCTACTTGGAATGAATACTTCGAGGTCCCTGTTCCTTCACGAACAGCTGCCAAGCTCAAGTGCACTGTCTGGGATTATGATTTTGCTGACAAGCCTGATCTTCTCGGCTCCACAGACGTGAACCTAGCCCAGCTAGAGCCTTTCAAGGCCTACGAGGCGCAGTACCCTCTCGACGGTAAGTCTGGTAGCGTGCGCATGCGCATGCTATTCCGCCCAGACTATGTTACCCGCCAAAGGCAAGGTACCTCGAACTTTGCTGGTACCTTTGGCGCGCCCACTCGTATAGTTACTGGCGTTGCTGGTGCTCCCATCAAGGGCGGCGTCGCTGTGGCTGGAGCTGTCGGCCACGGTGTCGGCAAGGGTGCGTCATTTGTGCGCCGTGGTCTCTTCGGAAAGAAGGACAGCAACGGCACTGTGGTCGAGGTTGCCGAGCCTGTTGAAGCTGTCAACGCTGCTGTTGGCCAGCCCGGTGGTGGTCTCAGGAAGGCACCTACGCTCGATACGGCTGCCCGCAGAGATGTGACACCCACTCCTATCGGCAACCCATCGATGCCTATCCCATCGATTGAGACTCCCGGCTCTGCGCACAGACGCGCCCCTAGCATCGGTGCTGCTTCTATCCAGAGTGGCATGCCTGGTGCGCCCAGCGGCACCGCCGTTTTCACAATCGTTAGCGCCGCTGGCTTCCCTAGTTCTACTGATCTTTACATCGCGGTCTCACAAGTTTCGCCAAAGGAGAAGATTGTAGGCAAGACGAAGCATTTCAAGTCCTCAACGGGCGAGTGGTCGATCGACGAGGACTTTAAGTTTAGCTGTGCCGCCGATTCTCAGTTCAAGGTCGAGGTCAAGGGAAATCACACCTTTGGCAGCGACGACGCCTTGGGAGACCATCCCTACTTTGTCGACGAGACTCATGGCGGCCCCAAGGAGCTTACAATTGGCGGTGGCACCGTTGTAATCAAGAGCACCTTCCAGGCTGCTGACACTGCCAGTATCAGAGACAGCCCCCGTTCGTCTAGCATCCGAAGAAGCATGCTGTTGAAGCGAGGCGAGTCGTCGCGCATCAGTCGGGACACTACGCCGAACCCGTGAGAGGTTTAATATGGAGGCCTGGGAGAGTTGGAGTTGGTGCGTATTTCTTTCTGTCTGGATACTCATTATAAGGAAAATGGGAAGGTATAGGCGAGTGTGCTTTTTAGTGTGTCAACATTTTGTTAGTTTATTAGAAAATTTGCAAGAATTCATTGATGATTTATCCATCATATTGAAGTGATCTGTAGCCTCTGGTTTAGAAGAGGTCAACAAGATCGTGGGACTTTAACAGAACAGCTTCCTTGCCAAGCTCGGTACAGCGCCGGGTGCTCCCAGCTTAGGGGTGCGTGATCAAGTCAAATACGCGGTTGAGAAGCATATAAACAAACAATCGTACGATTAGACGTTTGACAGCCTGTTTCTGAAGACCTAGTCATGTCTACGGAGGAAAATCGACCTATTATCAAAAGTGAAGCTGCGCACCGTCCGCGTTCTGTGGCAAGAGGTCGCCAAGGCGGTGCCTGCTATCTGCCTATTGACTATAGGTCCAAGGCAACGCCTGATGTTCCGCACTCCGCACAAGGAACTGCGGTGCTCTTGGTTAATAATGCCCCATCGCTGGCTGCGTGCTTTCAACAGACCAAAGGCCCGACTGGGGTCCTTTGTATATATATGGCTGCCGTACCTACGTCCCCGAACGTGACAGAGAAGAGAAACGCAGCCGGAGGCGGTAAAAGGTTCATCCACGAAGTGTTTGCTGGTATCTCGTGGGCATCTGGTTCTTGATGCGTTCGGACGGGCTACTGCAACTGGGTCCAGGTAAGCGGCACGACTGATTAACGGGCCCTGATAACCTCGGTATAGTCTGAGAGTCCGGAGGATCTTTATTTAAATCCCCATTAAGAAGAAAAGAGAAGCGTGATTGCCCTATGTTTTTTCGGGTGCAATCATTACCTAGGTAAGTTGCGTTTGTGTACTGGTCGTGGACCAAGATTCAGGCAGCAAGGCACCAACTTTGACAAGGCGGCCAAAGGTACGTACCACCTAGGTATTTGGTAAGCTTGCACCAAAGAGCTCCCAGCCAGCCAGGTTCCAGCTTGGTGACGCGCGATCCCAGAGCTGCCTGAGCCTTTCATCCCCCACGCCACGAGCTCCCATCAATCGGAAGCACCACCACCTCTCTTAACGCTTCTCCCTCTTCCTGCATCCAAGTACACCTTTTGCAGTGCAATTCTCGACTTTTTAGACATTTTGCAAGCCTCGATACCCGCCGGACGAGCCAGCATACGCACACACGGACTGCGTGCTCTTGGAAGGCTTACGCTGTTTGGGCCCCCCGTTACACCAGAATAGCAGAAAAGAGACAACATCAAGGAAATATGGACACCCTCATCGCGAGATATAGCCGGACTGCGCACACGCAGAACGAGTCCTTTGAAGATGAGACGCAGGACCTCATGGCCATGGGCCCTGGTGCCAACGTGTCGCTAAACTTTGCGATGCCGCCCGTCGCTCAGGTACGACCGCAATCGATTTCCCTCGGGGAGTCTCTATTCTTGCAATCTTAGACGCCATGACTGACTGTGCGTTCCTCAGCCTTCTGCCTGGCTCCGTGCCGCCACAGACGACCGCTCGAACCCCAACTGCCCGATCAAGATTGCCCACGGCACCACGACGCTGGCGTTTCGCTTCCAGGGCGGCATCATCGTGGCGACAGACTCGCGCGCGACGGCCGGCAACTGGATCGCCTCGCAGACGGTCAAGAAGGTGATTGAGATCAACAACGTGCTACTGGGCACCATGGCGGGCGGCGCGGCTGACTGCCAGTACTGGCTGGCCTGGTTGGGCATGCAGTGCCGCCTGCACGAGCTGCGTCACAAGCGCCGCATCAGCGTCGCCGCCGCGAGCAAGATCCTTGCCAACCTCGTCTACAGCTACAAGGGAATGGGCCTCAGTATGGGCACCATGTGCGCGGGCGTCACCGCCGAGGAGGGGCCGGCGCTGTACTATGTCGACAATGACGGCACCCGCCTCGCCGGCAACCTGTTTTGCGTTGGCTCCGGCCAGACGTTTGCGTACGGTGTCCTCGACGCCGAGTACCGCTACGACCTCACCGACGAAGAGGCCCTCGAACTCGGCAGCCGCAGCATCCTCGCCGCCACGCACCGTGACGCCTACTCGGGTGGCTCCATCAACCTTTACCACGTGAAGCAGGAGGGCTGGGTCAAGCACGGCTTCCGCGACACCAACCCCATCTTCTGGCAGACAAAGTTGGAGAAGGGTGAGTTCTCCAACGTTACGAGCGAGCTCTAATGAGGGGGCGAACCCAGGGCCGTGGAATGAAATGTACGATGCAAGGTGGAGGCAGGATAGAATAAGCTCATCACCTGGGAGCAAGAAGCTGTTTTGTGTAGTCTTGCCAAGAAGACTCGAAACGGCTTGGTTCCTTGTAACTTGTACAGTACAAGAATACACATTTCGTTTTGTTCATCATCTGCGTACCTATCGAGCAAAGTGTAGATCAATGTGCTATTGATTCGTAAAATTCCATGTTTCCCAATCCAAGTCTTTGACGCCATGCTGGTTATGCTTATGCTAATGCTGCAGGTATTGATACAAGTTTGTGTACAAATTTCTCGCCCAGTATGCCACACATCGTACAGCAACTCTTGGGCCGTTGCTGGCAGTCCTCGTTGCCGTCGTCTACTTCCACCTCAACCACCCGCCAATCTCCATCAGCCCGCCTGGCTCGCCCGCACTCTTCCCCGGCAGCACGACGGCGGGATCCAGCGGCCACTTGGCGACGGGCGCAACGTCGAGATCCGAGTGCCACCCGGCCTCGTACATTTCCATGCCGGCCCACGCAATCATGGCCGCGTTGTCGGTGCACAGCGCCACCGGCGGAGCGATGATTTCCCTGATGCCGTCGCCGCTGCCGCCGTCCTCGGCAGACGACCGCAGCAGGCCCCGCGCCGCAAGCGTCGTCCGCAGCACGTGCATCAGAAACTTGTTGCACGCCACGCCGCCCGCGACGACGAGCGTGCGCGCGGCCCGCGCCACCGCCGCGCCCTCAAACGCGGCAGTGCCCGGGTCCAGCGCCAGGCACAGCCGGCTGGCCAGGTGCTGGAACGCGACGCGCTGCGTGTGCCGGGCGAGCGCGCGCCGCTCCGCGTCGTCCATGTTGGGCCCGGCCGCGCCGCCACGGCGTGCACGGTGCTGTGCACCGCGGCAAAGGAGTACGCCATGCGTCGGGTGGCGCGCATCGGCAGCGGCAGGCGCCAGGCGTAGCCCGTGTCGACGTCGGCGAGCTCGTCGGCGCGCGTGCGGTGCGGCGTGTAAAAGGCGTACGGATCATCATCGTCGCCGTCGCCGTCAAACGCGTAGGACTCGAGGAGGCGGCCGTACATGACGTCCGGGCTCGCGGCGAGGACGGGCGCGGGTAGGATGACGCGCGCCGTCTGGTCGAGCACGTTGCCGACGGCGGCGTCGCTCGTGGTGGCGAGCACCCGGTGCGTGGTCACGTCGGTCGAGAGGACGAGCTGCGAGTGCCCGCCGGACACGAGCAGCGTGATAAACGGGAACTCTGGGGTGACGGCGGCGGGAGCGGGCGCCTCGCCGCCGCCGCCGCCGCCGCCGGCCATGGGCATGCCCAGCGCGCGCACCAGCCGCGGCGTCAGCGCGTGCGCCTGCATGTGGTGCACGCCGACGAGCGGCACGCCCCACGCGAGCGCGAGCCCCTTGGCCGTGAACAGGCCGGTCGCGAGGTTGGCGTGGATGCCGGGCCCGCGCGTGGCGGCGACGAGGTCGGGCCGCCCCGACGGGCCGAGGTGGGCGAGCGCCCGCCGCACCAAGCCCGCGAGGGTGCGCTGGTGCCCGGCCAGCGCCGCCGCCGGACGGATCCCCCGGTAGGCGCGCAGGTCGGCGCTGATGCGCTCGTTGAAGAGCAGTCGTGTCGGCCGGGCGGGGTGGTGGTGGTGGTGGTGGTGGTGCTCGAGTACGGCGACGGCTGTGTCGTCACACGAGGTTTCAATGGCGAGCGTGACGAGGGGACGGAAAGGAGGCCGCGGCGCGCAGCGGCACAGACGGGGCCGTGACGGCGACGCTGTGGTGAGAAGCGTCGAGGGGGGCCGGAGGCGCATGGTTCGGAGAGGGGATGACGGTGGATGGGTGATGGAGACGAAATCATGGTTTGTCGTAATGGACTCCCATGTTGGAACTTTTTAGTGGGGACACTTTGAGTATGAAGATATATCCAGTCCAGGGGCATCGAGAAGCTCGCCTGACAGATTTTGCATTTTCAAAGTTTTTCACTAGCATTTTTTACACAGCATGACCAATTTATACAATAATAACAGTTTATCCTTGCTGCCGTTGAACTCTCCATCTGTTGGCCGTCAGCCATGTAGGCTTGGCGGGCTCAGGGCGAGATGCAGCCACTGCACTGCGCAAATGAGCTAGGGTATGTGGCTACAGATATTTAGCTCCAGGGCGATGTTTTATATCTACCTACTTATATCTATATGTGATACATATTAAAAGTTATATACCTCTGCAAAATTCGCTATTACTAGTAGCTTCACGTAAGGCTTATGCCCTTAGCAAAAAGCTCTCGTGCCAATAGCACTACTCTTTCGGAAACAGTCATTTATGCCAGCCCGCATTCGCAACGCCAATGTTGCCCATTCTGGTACTTGTAACCATCCAACTCATCGGTATGCTACACCCAATTCACCCACTCGCACTTGCAGCCACCAGAACCGCCGTCGAAGCCCCCATACTTGGGGTCGCCCGTGCCGCGCGGGTTGATCCAGGTGCCGCCCACGTCCATCGTGTTGGCCAGTAGCTTGGACTGGTCCATGACGAGGTTCTGGCGATCGTCCACCGGCGTCTGCCAGACTAACTTCTTCTTGGGGTCGCCGCCGTGCGTGTCGAGCGTAATCGTCACGGGCCAGGGCATGGTGCCGGGCCTCCGCAGCGCCACGGCAACCTCTCCGCTGCTGCCAGCGTCGGGCCGCACGAGGCTCGACGTGTTGGTCGCCAGCTTGCGGGTCCAGATGCGCACCAGCATCCGCGTCTCGCCCCACGTCACCATGTGTTTGGCCTCGGACTTGCGGCACCCGCCGTCCTTGTCGAGCGGCACGTTGGGGTCGGCGGAGCTGTTGGGCGTGGTGACAGACTTGAGGAAGATGGTGCGCCGAAAGTGCGTGTAGAAGCCGTAGTGCTCCGTGGCTAGGCCGCGGTCGTAGAGCCGCACCGGCTGCTGCACGGGGTTCGGCAGAAGCACGGCGGGGGCAGGCGTGCCGTCGGCGGCGAGATCGGGACGGGGCAAAATGTCGACGAGGCTGACGTTGCCAATGTTGTTGCCGTCGTCGTCGCGTCGCTGCATGATTGGTGTGTCGACCGTGTCGTTCATGGCTTTGAGAATACTAATGTAGAAAGGCGCGGGCTCGCCGGCCTTGTCGTCGGAAACTATGTCGTCCGTCGTCTCTCCCATAAACCACATGTCCTTGAAGTCAGGAGGTGGCGGGTCCGACTTGAATCCGGCGCCAGCCCGGGCGTGCACGAATGCATGAGCTCTGGCGACAAAGCCCGGGGTTCTTCGCGAGATCGACGTGGGCGCGTCTCCGTTTGGGACTTTCCACGCCTTGCGTGTGCTATTGTCCCACTGTATCTGCATAATCACCGTAGGCTGGTTCGCCTTGTACGGCGCGACAGACTTTTGGTCGTCCTTCGGCAGCGAGCAGCTCCACAGGGTTGTGGGCGCCGTGCAGGAGCTCCTGGCAGCCGTGTTGTCGCCTCCGGCCACGGTCAGTACTCCTGTCGGCATGGGTGGAAAGTCGGTCAGGTTGACCCAGATGGAGGGCATCTCGTGCCGGGTGCGGGGTCTCGTGAGGACCACCGCCAGCACAATGATGAGGATGAGCAGCGCAATGATGGCGGACCAGACGCATAGGCAGACGCGGCGCTTCTTGCGGCCTTCTGGTCCGGTGCGGCCGTAACAGCCACGGGCCGGGATGCAGCCGCGGCCGCGCCAGAAGCCGCCAGCGCGATGAGCAATCATGTCTTCTTTTTCGTGGCGGCGTCTGGTTCTCTCGACGCGGTTGTGCGGCCCCGACGCATCAAATAGGTGAGCGGACGGCTGGTAGGTTCCCAGCGGGCGAGCGGGAAGACGTGCGTGAGAGAGAGGTGTCGCGCTTCGCATCGGCGTGGATCCCAGGTCAGTCATCTGCGTAGCACCTTGCGAGGTCATCGTTGCTGCGAGCCCTGGTGAGACGGGGTTGGGGTTGGGAGACGGAGGAAACTGGGCATGCAGTGCGTGTCCAGGGGGGAACACTGCTCTGTAACGGATCGGGCCATGCTCTTGTCGCTTCGGCGGTGAGTACGGAGGGGGGTGGTCCGTTGTGGACTCTTCTTCGTCTGTGACAATGATTCGGGGCTTTCGACCGCGCCGTGAATCAGACGGGGGCTGTGCGACTCGAGAGTCTGAAGCGTGCGACGGTCCTGCCGACGAGCTGGGCGAAGGTGTTCGCCGGGGAGTGGGAATGCGAACAATGGGAGTCTTGTTCATACTCGATGGGCGGACAGGCTCTGCCTTGGGGTATGTAACTGGCCAAGCTTCGACGGGCGACGGCAGAGGCTTGTCATCTTTGGGTGAGTCCATTTTCTGCTTGCGACTGCTCAATGTCATTCGCTTGTCGACGAATGGCGACACAACGTGATCCCACCACCCGCGCGATGCCGAAATGGCACTATCTGGGGAGACTGTGTTTTTTCTGCTCGCCATCACGTTCCTTGGACTGGTGCCATCTTCTTCAAATAGTGTGCAGGGCGTGTCAGCCTCGTCATCATCTGCGCCGCCCTCAAGTTCTACGCTGATGAGTCTGCCGTGTTTCTGATATTGCTTGGGAAGAGATGGCACCGGAGGCATGTCTGTTAACATAGGAGCGGCAGACGGTGGCGCTTGGGAATACACGCTCGAGGCGGGCCGAAACCTGGCAAATGATTGAACCGTGTCCGGGGTATCGGGAGACCAGAAGGATTTTGGCTGAGGGTTGTTCTGGGGTAAGATGCCGAGACCACCCTTTGCGATGCCACTTTTATCGGGGTGAGCTGTGGATGGAGTATGGTCATAAGAAGATGCGTCGCTCGGTGCTACTGAGATGCCAATCATGATAGGCCGGTCATCTGGGGAGAGGCCTTGCTGGGGTGATTGGTTGGCTTGCGGAGAGGCCGATGGGCTTTGTCCTTTGTTTCGCTTCAGCCAGTTCCAGTTTCCAACGGACGCCGAGTTAGGTTCGCCTTCGAGCGCGCGAAGCGCAGCGGAGTCGACAAACTTGACGGCATTTTGGTTGGGTTGTTTTGTCTCGCGACTCAAGGCGGCCATGTCAGTGATGAGACTGATGCCAGCCTTGGCATTCTGAGCCCTTTGTCTCTGTCGCGACTTGAGACGCTTAATCTTGACGGTCGAATAACGAGAGACTCGCGCTGGCGTGTTTTTTTGTGGTCGCAGGTACTGGGACGGTGGCTTGGGAGGCGGTGGATGAACAAGAACGTGCTCGTCGTCTTCACTGGGAATGACGCTGGCATCCTCCCATTCTTCCCAATCATTGGCGCTCAGTTGAGGGGACGGGGCAAGGTGCCCGTTTTTCTGGTATGGCTTCGAGCTCATTGGAGCTATTGTGGTGTTTTGGGGGGATTATTTATATGTGGTTGTCGTTTGTTGATGATGAACAAACTGGCCTGGTCAATGGAGTCGGGGTCGTGTTGGGTGTGTTTCTTTTTTTTTCAGAAATGCTCAGACAAGGAAAAATTGTATAAATCGTGCAATAAATCTGGCAGCTTCGTGGGAGCAGACTTGAAGAAGATCGAGGGAAAACGAAGGAGGTTGAAGTAAACGACAAAAGAGAGACGAAACGAAAGGAAACGAACAACAAGTCCACAAGGAGCGTACGCGTCTCAGCCACGGACGTTGACGAAACCAAAAGTGTATGAACACTACTCTGGATTCGAAGAGGGAGAAAAAGTATGAGCATCACACGACAAAAGGTGAGCATCAAGTGGCAGCGAGCCGTGGGGCGTGGGGCAGCACCAGGCCGCAGTCGCCCAGAGGCAACGGCCTATGTTGCATGGTTGGGCATGTACACATTGCTAAATAAAGAGACAAGCTCCTCTCTCCCGTGGTATCGGCAGGGAATACAACAACGATGAATGAGTGGCGATTGGTCGTGGATGGGAATCGGGAGAACGCTAAGCGCCGAGCTGTTGTGAGGTCTGCGTGCAGTTGAGGAGATTTGATTGGTGACTGCTAGCCGCCCGATCTTCATGGTGGTGGGGCTGGGGGGGGCGTTCATGGTGCGCTACCCTGTACATGATTTTGGCAGGTGTGTTTGGTGTTTGACGTTCTGTGGCGCATGGATTTTTAGATGGAGAAGGCATATATCGATGAACCTTTGTTCTGGTAGTCTGTACCAGTATGAGCCCTGTGGCGCTGCTCCATTCGTATCGAAGCAACGGCAGTATGTGGAAATATGCAACCGGTGAAACCAAAACGTATCTCCTGAACCAGTTACAGACATCCTATATATTTACATAGAGACATCCAAAGACCACCCACTGACAATCTTGAATAGTATCATCCGACTACACGGTGGTTACATGATACCCAACAAGGACGTGAGCGTACCTACAGGTAGCTACACAAGACATCGGGGGATCAGACATGCCGTCTGTTGTCCATGCCATGTTCCCGTGTTGACTGTCAATGGCGGAAGTAGGATTCCAACATGTAAGACAAGCATACGAGTACCAAGCCAGCACATCTGGCCGATTGGCGATGAACTAGTACAAGGGTTGAGAGATGGGATCATTATGTAATGCTGTTGGCGAGGACACGCATTGCCAAGGTGCCGCGGAATACAGCAATGAGACCAATCGTACTTTCGACGGACGTCACTGGCATGGTCATGGCAAGACCAGATCGGAGATGCGCGGGGCACGCTCCCGATTAGTTACCAGAGGACAGCAGCCGCAGCTGATGGACAGCAGCCGCAGGCACGTTGGTGGACCATGAACGGAAGCAGACGAGCAATTATCAAGGTGTGGCATGTGAGAGGAGAAGATCAATCACAAGCTATAGAATTCAATATAGTCATGTGCGCCAAGACAGGCCAGGAGTTGTTGCATCACAGCATTGACAGGCTAACTACTGGTATTAATAGTATCGAATAGATGATGCACACAGACTGCACATAGTCACTAGCGATTATCAACATGCTGGCAGGGGAGATTTAAGCTTTTTTTCCCATGGTGCCAGGTGCTCCCCAGACCACGCCATTCAGGTACCCGGTGCAAGGGAGTGAGGCGAGGCGACGAGGCAGCCCAGCCAACCAACGTCGTCGCTGGCGATGGAGTTTTGGATCTACAGAGGACCTTTGGAATGCAAAGGAAAAAAGTGGCAATATGTGTCCAGTATCATGCGCCGGAGATGAGATGATGTGCGGCTGCCCCTCAAAAAGGGCCAACTGGCGACAGGTTACAATAACAACTGTAGGCATGAATGCCAGCTCTTGGAGTGATAAGTGAGCCGTCTTATTTTGTGTCATAGGCTTTATGTCGGTATTTTTGTTTCTGTCTAATTTCCTGGCCAACTTTTCGTCTTGACGCGATAGGAGAACAACATGGCGTTGGTTCGCCAAACTGTCGCCCATTGGCCATCAAGGGGTAGTAGGTTCAAGGGGCACGCGTTCCAAATTGCCAAGACGCCATGCGCGTTATTTTCCAATGGACCGAGAACAGCCCCATTGCCAATTGGCTGCGTGCATCGGGTAACTAACTCGTGGTTGGCGGAAGGAGAAGAAAAAATTGGTGATAAGGGGATAAGGGGGGTGATATGGAAATTAATGTCGTCCGCATCGACGGCGGGCTTGCACGCAGGACGGAGCGGCGCCACCGAGGGTAATATTAATGCGCCGCGCTCACTGGCTAGCCTCGCGGGCCCGGCTCGATGCGGATGTTATGTGCATACATACAGATTACAGTCGTCACAGCACAGCTCGGCGCCGGCCAGGCCTTGCTCGAGGCACGGTGGTTGCGACGAGGACCAGGTTGTGTTGTGTGTGGCCAGGGTTGGGTGTCGTGATTCAGCCGCGAGCCTTGTTGAGCCAGCAACTTCGGACAAGGGCGTCAGCCCTGCTCACTATTGGCGACATCCCTCCGGATACTGTAAGCCCCGAGGGAAGTCAATGATTCGGGTCCTGCCCCCTTGCCAGTCGCTGTTCGATTATTAGTTACTGGTATGTAGCTGCCGTCGGTGGGCCGGATGCATTGTAATCTGTAATAGTAAATAGCGTTATCACTTCGCGGCCCGTTATAGATCTCTCCTTTCCTGTTGGTCCCTTGGGGGCCGTGATATTATCGAAAGCTGGGTCGGTGAGTCTCCGAGTCTCCGAGTCTCCCTTGTGAATAGGGGGAAGAGCGGGAGGAATATTTAGGTAGTTACATAGCAAGGTGATGGAGTCAAGGACACTGAGTAATCTGTACACTGTGGCACGATTGGTCGATTGGCAGATTGGGTTGATGACACCCCCCTGAATCTGCACCGATATTGCTGAGCTGGGGTTGTGAACTTGTTAGTAAGAAGAGTACCGCTAATCTGTACATGCATAGGTAGGTATGTACTCGATAATATGCAATACTGACTATTAAAGTGGTGTAGAGAAGATTGAACATGATTGTCCCGCTGCTTCGTGCAAGTCTGAAAACAGCACAGGACTAATTCGTAGAAAGCCACCAGTTGAGAGTGGCAAGAGACGAACGCGGCATCATTGCCATGACCAGCAACTCTGTTTCCGGTGACGGACGGTCGCAAAAAGGCGTCATTGCCCATCACGCTGCATAGTGTGCATCTCGGCACATTTCTCCAAAGATCGCCCCCGATTACGAACCTTGTGCCCAACCAAGACAACGACGCCATCATTGCCAGCCAAACAGAAGTGCCAACTTTGAGCGGGCGCATCGTCTGACCTCGTTCTGCCGCGCACTAGTTTGCTTGAGGGGGGTACGCCGGCACCATTTCGCCGCTGCATTACGAGCTTTTCTGGCCGCTAGTTGGAGAAGACGGGATTTTGACAGCGGAAGACGAGACGGCTTGGCGAGAAGGATATTTTTGGAACAGAGGTGAGTGCAGAAGAGTGGGAGGGGGGAATTCATGATGAATGATGCTAATTGTGGTGATGTTTAGGTACCTAGGTAGGTACCTCTACTGACAAGTGTCGTCTATTTGCGGGAGATTTACAATTTTGTCAGTGGTACATGCTTTGGTGCCCAGACACGTACTTTGCACTTTGTATTCGGTACTTTCATGGAGCACTTTGGGCAGGCACAATCGTCTCCACCATCTGCCTGCACCTTACAGCGCCTAGACCCCTGAACAGGCCGCTGCAGGCTCTCTGCATTACAGATTTAGGGGATCCGCTCGGTCGTGAACCGCAAAAAGCACAAAAAAAAAGAGTCTGAGCTTTTACTGACCTGCTGCCTGTCCTGTCTTGTCTCGTTTGTCTGCCTGTTGGTGGCCATATCGTTTCGTGTCTTTTCCTATTAAGGGTTGAAAAAGGGTAACTAAATACGAATCACCACTCCAAGACGCTAGCTGCTATTTTGTTTATATTCCCAAAATAACTACTTCTTCTTGCTAGTACTGGTACCTAGGTAACTACAGGTACTAAGTTATTACGGTACCGGTAGGCGGCTCCCTTGCCCCGTCCCACTGCCCACCACGCTACCACCCTTTTTTGCTCACCAGGCGTCCAGCCTCTTTTCTCGCCCGTTCGCTATCTACCGTTTTTTTTCTTTAACCCTTCCTTGCTATCGCCTTCGCCGCCTCCCACACACCCTTCCCAATTGCTCTCGACAACACATAGCTCCTTTGCTTCCCTCAAGCCGTCATCCTGGCGCCTTCAAAGCTTTCCGCCGGCTCCTCGAGCTCCTACAGCGACCGGCCGGCACTCTCTCACCACCGGCGACGCTCCTCCGCCGGCCCTTCTCCTGTAAACGACCACCGCTCCGGAAACTTGCTCGAGATACACCCGCGACAGGCCAACGAGGCCTCTTTGCCCACCATCGTCGGTATGTTGTCATCTTGTTCTGCACTCCCCTTTCAAGAGGCGTCCGCGTCTGCATACCGACCTGCCTCGCGTCTGTCCTGCCACCCTTTGTGCCACTGCGCACACCACTTCTACCCACGTCGCAGCGCATCCCCCCCCCGTCACAGTGGACAAAGTTACTCCCTGCGCCGCCCGCCGCGCCGCGTCGCCGCCTCGTCTCTCTGGCTACTTGTCTCGCTCAATCTTGCTTGCTCGCCTCGCTTATGGGCCTTGCTTGTTCTTGTTTGTGCTTGTCGTGTCGCCCTGCTCTCCAGGCCGTCCAAGACTCCCAATACTCTTGCCGCGACAGCCATTCTTGGCATCGTCTGACCACAACTGTCCACCTGTCCACAAGTCAATGTCAATCAGTTTCCTGACAACCCATCTGGCTAACCTCGTTTGTGATACTTGCCATGCAGGAACTCCCTCGACAAATACTCCAATGTCCCTCTCCCGCAGTCCCTCGCCTGCTCCAGGCGGTGGCTGGTCTAGCCCGGGACTCAACATGAACAGTGGCCGCTCCAGTCCGGCCAGCAGCCACAGTGTGCGTCCCGTCGCTTGGGAGTCGTCCAAATTGCGAAACGGCCATCCTTCCTTTTCCACGCAGAACCAAGGCTTCTTCAGTCGCCACATGCGTCGCATATCGAACAGCCTACCGCAATTCACCCACAACGAGACGGAAAAGATTGCCCCATCCAATTCGTACCTCGACAAAGTACCTCTTGTGGGCAGGATAAAGCTCATCTTTGGTCGCATGGGCCGCAAACTGAAGTTTCGTCTGCTCATTGCATTCTTCATACTCTTTTGCGTCTACGTCTTTTACCACTCTCGTAAGTTGACTGGCATGTATACAAAATGCCACTACTGACTCGTTTGCAGCCCTTGTCTACTGGTACCGCAGAGCCGCCTGGGGCGGCGGTGGCTCCAAGTTTGTCGTTGTCCTCGCCGCCAACATTGGCGGTGGTGTCATGGAGTGGAAGGGAGCGCGGGAATGGGCCATTGAGCGAGACAGCATACGAAACAAGCGTAACTACGTCGCCCGCTGGGGCTATGATCTCGAGATTGTGGATATGAGCACTAAGAAGCGATATGCACACGAATGGAGAGAAAGCTGGGAAAAGGTCGACTTTTTGCGCAACGCCATGCGTAAATATCCCGATGCTGAATGGTACGTCGAGAAGTGTACCGCAACCACCACCACCACCACGGCTACTGACACATGTTTGATAGGTTCTGGTGGCTCGATCTCAACACCATTGTCATGGAGCCCTCGTACTCGCTGCAAGACCACATTTTCAACAGCCTCGGCACCCACACGTACCGCGATATCAACGATTACAACCCCCTCAACATTACGCACCCCTTTGTCGACCCGTATCTCGACGAAGAATCCCGCAGTCCCGTTGGTGACGGAAACCCCAACTCTGTCAACCTGTTGCTCTCACAAGACTGCTCCGGCTTCAACTTGGGCTCCTTTTTCGTTCGTCGCAGCGCCTGGACTGAGCGTCTGTTGGACCTTTGGTGGGATCCCGTGGCCTATGAACAGAAGCACATGGCTTGGGAGCACAAGGAACAGGACGCCCTCGAGTCCATGTATGAAAGCCATCCTTGGGTCCGCCAGCATACTGGCTTCCTGCCGCAACGCATGATTAACAGCTTCCCCCCGGCCGCGTGTGGCGACGGCACCGGTGCAAACCTCACGCGCTTCCACTACCACGAGTCGGACCGTGACTTCATGGTCAACATGGCTGGCTGCGAATGGGGACGTGACTGCTGGGGCGAAATGTACCACTACCGACAGTTCAGCTACTGGCTCAACCGCAACCCGTGGGAGCTCTTCAAGGAGGACTTTGTCGCTGTCATCTGGTACCACCTGACTGGCCAGCACGTTCGCCTGTAGGAACGCATACGTGCTTCCAAACATTAATCGACCAATACCGCGGAAAGGTGCCAACCGCCCGCGTGCAAATTGCATTGCGATATTGGGCTGAAAACATTTCGATTCCACTGCACATATATATAACATTTACGCTTGCGTCAAACTGCAGGGCATCTGGTTCTATGCCGCGGCCTCGGATCAGATGCAACGGTGCAGTGCTTATAAAAAAGGGGAAAGGTGTCGGCGTTCTTTTTGGCGAATCGATGGTACCAAATATGGTGGCGAACTGACGGATGCTTCAGTGGCATTGGCAAACCAAGTGGCCGACTTGGGATGAGATGGTCTGCCGCAACCCGCCGCAGGCTCTCCTAGGTTGACGATGAAATGCCCCGAAGCACGACTCAAAGAAGCTTGATTTACACAAGCACAAGGCGACCATGCTACGTGACAGGTAGTGTACCAATACGCAGCACTGGTGTTGTCTCGCTACGAACTGAAACAAGGGCCGCGATGCCTTTACAACACAAAGGGAGAAACTTTGCTTTGGCAGAGGCTGAATCATGATGCATGGAGGACGGCGGCTGCCCCCGTTTTACTATTTTTTTTTTTTCATTTGTTGGGAGCAGAACTGGGCCACTCCATGCCGGCGTTGTGCATTTCTGACAACTTGCCTCGTCTTTTTTTTTCTTTCTACTTTTCTTCATCCCTTCATTTCTTTCATTTCTCTTTTTACACTATATTTTTTTTCTTCGTTTGCGTCTTTTCTTCTACAGGAATGGAGGTAGGAAGCGCACGGCTCGTCTTGAACCAACTCTTGTTTTTTTACTCTTTTTTCTTTCTGAAAGAGTTGGAACTATTTTTTTTGTATGATTGGGTATATTTATAGATGTGATGAAATGGGAGCAGACATGCGTAAAAAGACTAGGAGAGACGAAGCCCGCATACAATGGCAACAATCATTTCTCCATGACCGAGGCTGGTCAATCGAATTATAAAGACGTTTCACGCCATACTTCAGTGAGAGTCTCTTTGAATATGTAATAATATGCGGTGCTACAAGGGTATGTCCTACATGTGACGTCGGGCCTGCGGGGAGGCTGATGCTACACGGAATCCGCCTGGCGCTTAGCCAGTTGGGTTTCTCGGATGGTTCAGGAATGTCGGACAGCGGCGATGAGATCTTGCATATATGTATGACATGTGTGTGCGTGGCCCTGTGGCCTTTATTATACTGTTTCTACTATTTCGTTTATCCTCTTAACCTTGGTATCTGGTTCGATTTCGCCATTGGCAGTTTGATGCTCTGCTTATGCTGCAAGTATCCCTGTTACTGTCAAATGGAGACGCGCCGGATTGTATGTATTGCAAGGAAGAAATCTCTTCCTGAAAGTGAGCATGTTCTCTCGAGGCGATTGGCACAGCTGTAAGTGGGCTGTAGCATGTGGCGGGGTAGCTGGGTTTGGTGGGCGGCTAATTGGAGGTGATCATTCTGCCAAGAGTTTTGACTTTGCCATTTGCCTTTTGAGGGTGAAAAGATGAACTATTCCGCCTGGACAGAAACTAACTATTGGTAGGATCCAGAAGGGGGGACACCTCGGCAGATGGCGTTGGTTGGGCGGTTAGGCTGTCCCGTGGTGTCCGAGGTCGACAGAATGAGGGGACGAAAGGCACAAAAGTCAGGACCGAGCACAATGTTTCGACAGGTAGTGGTATAAACCCAGTAGATATATCCAACGTGCGAAGTTTCGTTTCGCATAAGGACGGATCGAGTGAGAAAAAATAATGTGCGGGCAAGAGTACGTACGGATCATGGGCAAGGCGATGAAATGCAGGGCTCCTTAGCTAAGCAGCGCCGACGTGAAGAAAACTCCGATGCAGAATAGGTTTCGAGGGGAAATCTGGGCGTGACAGGGGTTTACAGGGGTCTTACGGCCAGGCTTTTGAGCGAATGAGCGCGCCGTGTGCCCAGCTGTAACGCTGTACGGAGTAACACTAACAGTGAGATGCTGGTGGATCGATAAGCTGGTGTTTGGCGCCGCGTGCCCCTGCAGCACGTCGCCAGATCTGCCAGCCAGTGCCGCTTTCTCATTGGCTGGTCATGGCAAACGCCACAATGCCAGCTGCCAGCTGCTGCGAGCAAACGGAGCAAGCCGAGCAAACGGACGGCCCATTGGAATCATTGGAATGCAACCCACCACCTCCCAGCCGGACCACCCCCTTCTCACCACTTACATACCTAGGCACGATATTCACGTTCACGTTCACGTCGACTACACGGACCATCTCCCAATGCGACCCCGCAGCCCTCCGAAACTATCATTGTCGAGTCTTCACTGGCTCTTGAAGAAAGGGCGGCAGCCACGTCGAACCCCCTTTCCCTATTTGGTCGTTCAGCACGAATCATGGCTCGTGTTAGTGCCCGTGCACGCGCCGGCTTGACAGAGCGAGGAGGGGAAAAAAAGAAGCGATGAGGGGAAGAAACTAAACTGCAAAGGAAGAAACATTTCAGGAACCAGAAGAAAAAAAGGGCTTCGAAAAGGGTGTCTGTGCCTGGCTTGGCCTCCTCCCTCCCTCTCACCAGGTTGCCAGCCAGGGTCCCTATTTAGACACCCGCATTCCCGTCGGCGGCCAGGATTGTCTCACCTGGACGACTCCCGCCTCACGCTGCACTGCTCCAACCCGCGACAACCTCGTCCATTTTTCTCTTTCTGTCCTTTTCGCTTCTACCATCCTTCCTTTGGTATTCTTTCATTATTCCCGCTGAGCTGGTCCTCGGCCTTTTTTTTTTTCGTCTTATATATATATCTCTGCGTCAAAGCTTTTATACTTTGCCCTTTGTCTCGGACCCCTTTGCTCCTTCCTACCTCTCCAACGCCATTCTTCCTCTCAGTCTAGGTACTCGGCACCTTCTCGATATTCACAAGTCCTCTAAATACCCGGTCCTTCCTCGCCAACGACTTTCCGTCTTGCCCGTGACCTCAAGTCGTACTCACCCTACCTACGTACCACTTGTTTCATTGCTCAAACATTGGTTCTCTTTTTATACGGACAAAGCGTCCATCTTTGCTTTCCGACAACTCAGTAGTTCGCAATCATTTATCTTTCGCAAAGAGACACAAAGAGACTTGTGTGTCTAAAGGTGTTTGAAACACCACTTCTCATATCTCTCACGGCATCGGCATCGCTTCTTCAAGCCAAACACTCATTCTACATACATCATGGTTCGCCCAACGACTCTCACGGCCGTCGCCGCCACGCTTCTTGCGCAGGTCACCCGGGCCACGTACGGCCTCGACACAGTCTACGATGCCTCCAACTTTTTCCAAGAATTCAACCACTTTAACCAGCCCGACCCGACTCAAGGCTTTGTCGAGTACGTCGATCAGCCCACTGCCCAGGCTGCTGGCCTCAGTGGAATTCGCAATGGGACCATCTACATGGGCGTCGACTCTACCACGCACAATCCTCCCAATGGCCGTCGCTCCATCCGCGTTGAATCCCAAAAGACCTTCACGAAGGGCCTGTTTATCGCCGACATTGCTCACATGCCTTCCAATGCGTGCGGTGTCTGGCCCGCCTTTTGGATGTACGGTCCTAACTGGCCGACCTCTGGCGAAATCGACATTATCGAAGGTGTCAACACGCAGACGAAGAACTCCATTACTCTCCATACCCAAAACAAGTGCCAGATGTCGGGGTTTTCTGCCCTTGCCAGCACCTTTGTCGTCAGCGAAGAGTGCAACACCGTGACCGGCTGTGGTCAGCAGACGGGCGACAATCAAAACTACGGCGACGGTTTCAATGCAATTGGCGGCGGCGTCTACGCCATGGAGTGGACGGACTGGCGCATTTCCATCTGGTACTTTCCTCGCTCCAAAATTCCCAACGACATTATCAGCGGCAGCCCGCAGCCCTTGACCTGGGGCGAGCCCAGCGGCAGCTTCTCCTCGGGTCAGACGTGTGACATTGAATCCGCCTTCAGGGATCACAAAATCGTTTTTGACACGACATTTTGCGGTGTCTGGGCGGGCGAGGTCTGGGCTTCCAACAGCGAGTGCTCCGCCCACGGTCCTTCGTGCAAGGACTACGTCGCTGCCAACCCCCAAGACTTTGCTGAAGCTTTTTGGAGCATCAACAGCCTCAAGGTCTACAAGGCTCAGTTTCTCTAGAAGACTACAAGCCTGATTCCCGTGATGCGTGATTCTGGGCGTCAGGTGCCGGCCACTTGACTGCCAGCTCTTTGGAAAGCGCGGTGTTGTTTAGACGTGCGTGGCGTTTCGGATGCTTGGCGAAGATGATGATATGATTTTGAGCGATTCTTGTGTTTATATTTTTCTTTATTCACTTTACTGTATTTATTCAGTCTAGGCTCTTGACGTGCGAGCAGCCGATATCAATGTATTTTTGTCAACCCACTGGAAGCGAAACTGAAGCGTCTTTGTTCTGTGAAACCTGTCTGGTAGATTCGCGGGCTACTGAGGGCTGCGCGAAAGATATTCATTAATAATGGCTTAAGTACAGCATTTTATCTAGGTCTAGTGGTTCATATCCGCGGCAACAAACTCATTACCATGTCTTATTATACGCCCTTTATCTTCTCCGCTTTGTCCTGCAGGAAGCCATCCTTACATGACGGCGACAAAGCCAGCCAGGCCCGCGAGCACGGCCGCCGAACAGACAACGATCAAGTTTTGCGCGGCACTACCCCCAGCCGCCACATTCTTCTCATCACCCTCAGTCTTGGCATCCTTGCCGCCGCCGACAAACTTGACATACTGCGCATCCCAGGCGCTCAAAAACGCCGACACGCGCTTCTTGTCCTCGCCGGGCATGTTCTTGTCGTACCACGCGGCCGAGGTGATCGAGTTCCAGACCCACGTGGACAGGGCGAGCGAGGGCACGACCTTTTCCGAGTCGGACGCCCTGGCGGCGGCGGACCACATGTGCGCGGCAACGGTGGTGTACTGCTGGTCGTTGTAAAAGGACTTGTCGACGGCGTACAGAGCGGACGCGAGCGACGTGTACTGCTTGCCGGACACCGAGGCCGGCAGACCGGTGACGGTGGCGAGCACGGCCGAGGCCGGGACCGAGTCGGGGAGCTGGGCGTTGTCCGGACCGCCGGCGCAGAGCGCGGGACCGGCGAGGAGAGTCGTGACGGAGAGGAGGGAGGAGGTCTTCATGATGAGGGAGGTGGAAAGGATCGTGTCTGTGTATGTGTAAGCTTGGGTGTTGGTTGGTTGTGAGTGGGAGGACTGTGGTTGATTTCGCAAGATTCAACGGTCTAGATGGGAAAGAGAAGGTACAAAGAAGAGGAGCAGGAGAGGAGCTGCTGAGCAGGCTCCGGGGAAGGCTCGTATGTTCTAATAATCCAGGCAGACACTTCATCTCTACCCCCAGCTCGGAAACACCCGATGGGCCAGGATTTTTCTAGTTATTGCCTTATTGACAGCCCGATTAGGCAGAACCGCCCGGGCTTACGCAGGGGATAATTAGGGGGAGCCTTGCGGGTGTGTGTGTGTGTTACGGGAGGCAAACTAGAAGCCGTCCGCATCAACCGCGAGCGGGAGATTGACAAGGTTTCAAACATGAACAAGAAAATAACAGGATAAGAATGCAGCAATTGCCAACTGGAAAAGGAATTCGCAAAGAGCTCAATAATCAAGCTCTTCTTTTTCTTCTTCTTCCTTTTTTGAAAAAAAAAAAAAAGAAAAAAAAAGCAAACCACTAGTTTCTGGCCTCCACTCTCGTAAGGCTCAACGCCTCCAATAAGAAACCATCTTATAGACAGAAAAGCGGCTAAGATCCTGGGCAGCTATATTACAGTCATGTAACACTCGGAAGGGGGGTGGCCCTTTCACCCGGTCACGGCTTACGTATCGTGTTGGAGCCAGTTTCCGATAGACGATCAAGTCCGTGGGGAACGAACTCGGGCCAGGAAAACAACACTTCCGAGATGACGCACAAACTTGCACCTCCCAACATACCTGTATTTCTTCTTCGTCGTTTTGTATATACGTTTAAGCCATTCTCCTGATACTCCCGTCGCCGCAATCCCATCATGCAAATTTACAAAAAAAAGAAATCAAAGAAAATCATGGTATCAAAACGCCATCACGCCGGCTTCCGCCGCCTCTTGGTCTCGGCCGTCCACGCATCCTCAAACAGCGTCTCCCGCTGGCCTACGTCCGCCGCGGCGATGCCTAGGCGGCGGACGACCTGGAACGCGCCCGTACCAACAGCCATGCCCTGGCCCATGATGATGCCCTCGCTGACGCCCTCAATCTTGTCCGTCTTCATGCCCGCCGCTGCCTCAAACAGGTGGTCGGGTGTCTTCTCAAACGATGCCAGGTGCAGCACACTGTCGCGCATCTTGGACAGCCCGAAGCGCGTGATACCCAGGATCTCGCCCTTGAACGTCATGGCGTCGGCCAGCAGCTGCATGTGCCGGTGGTCAATCTCCATAAACTTCATAACCTGCTCGATCTCAAACGCAATGGTCGTCCGCGCCGCCTCGATGCCCAGCACCTCGTTGCACTCCGTCACGCTGTTGGTCCGCACCTTGGTCCCGATGACGCCCTCGGTCGTCATGCACGCCTGGTACCCGTACCCTTCCACCAGAACCCGGTGCGTGCTGTCTTCACACGTCTCAATCAGCGCGCGCGACGCGTTCGGGTAGCCCGAGATGGGAAGCGCCGGCAGCATGCGCCGGAGCGCATTGGCCCGCAGCAGCATGTCACTCGTGTCCTCGCCGGTTTTGCTGCGAGTCGTCCGCTTCGCACCAATGTTATCGTGCACGCGAATGGAGATGCGGTCGCCGATAATAGCCACGTCGGTCGCCTGAATCTTCATCTTGCGGTCCTTGCAGATGGCTTGCGCAATATCCTGGATGTCAATGCCGAGATGCATGTCTGCCAGCACCTGTCTGTCCACTTGCACTACCACGTTGCCTTCATCAGGCCGCCACTCGTCCTCAACGTATTGCAGCACATCCTGCAAGAAAATCTTTTCAATTCGCGCCTTGACAACCTTGGCAGCCTCAATCTGCTGGTTGTTCATCAAAGGACACGTAATAACTGGGGTGCTGATGGCCTTGGAGGCGTTGATAATTTCCTTGATACGAGGCACACCCTGTGTGATACTCATGCCAGCAACACCAGCAAAATGGAACGTCTTCAGGGTCATCTGAGTACCTGGTTCACCAATGGACTGCGCACCAACCGCACCAACCGCGTGCCCGGGTTCCACCTGGGCCTTCTTGTACTTGTGCAGACACAGCTTAATAAAAAGCCGTAGTGTTGTTGCTGTAATCTTGGCTGTGCGGTCCGCATGGTCCTGTGCCGCGGATCCTGTCTTGTCCTTGCCAGCAAGGCCTGCAAGAGCGCGGACTCTCTCCAACTTGTCGGCCAAGGCCCCGACAAAGTCTTTCACCTCTGTGATGAACTTTCTGGCTCCTTCGTGCTCATCAACAGCATAGTCGCTGACGTCGGTGTAGGCAAGGTCCTCGCCGTGCAAGAGGCCCTTGCGCGGGAATCGATTCCGCTCGCTGGCAAGCATGTTGCCACAAAGCTCGCGCGCCTCATTGGGAGTCAGCGCAACCTCCTCGTTGTCCCAGGTGGTGTTTTCAGCGTGGCGCCATGTCCGAACGAATTGCACTGGCGCACCGGACCCTTCCATGTCCACAGGGTCGAGCCGATCACCACCAAACTGGAACTGAACAACTGTCCCGCCAGATGTGCGAACTGTATCGTCATATTGTGTAGAGAGATCCTCCAGCGACTTCATTAATCGACGCGACATGTAGCCGGTTTCGGCAGTCTTGACTGCAGTATCGACCAGACCTTCACGGCCAGAGATGGCGTGAAACAGAAACTCTGTAGGATAGAGACCAGTGTAGAAACTATTCTTGACGAAACCCTTTGAAGGAGGTTGTCGGGCATTCTTGAAAAAGTGTGGCAAACTACGGTCCTGGAAACCATCAGGAACTCGCTGACCGCCGATAATCTGCTGACCGACCAGGGCCACCATTTGAGCCACGTTGATATCTGAACCCTTGGAGCCAGACTTGGCCATGATGAGCGGAGCATTGTTGCGGCTCAGCGTATCAACGCAGTAGTCACCGGCCTGCTGTCTGACCCTGGAAAGGATACCGGAAATGGAGTTTTCCAGCGTCTGTTCTAGGTTGCAACCAGGAGCTTTTTCTAGCTTTCCTGCTTTGAAACTTTCAATAAGATCGTCGCTCTGTTTGTAGGCAATCGACACGAGACGCTCCGTTTCTGCGGTGAGACTGCCAGTAGGGCACACATCACCAACGCCGATAGAGAAGCCTCGGTTCGTAAGTGTTCTGGCGCAGAGTCGTGCCAGGCGATTCATGGCAGTGGCGGCATGGTCGGCTCCAAAATCACGCAGCATAACGTAAAAGACGGAATCCTTCTTGCCGGTTCCTACGGTCGCCTTGTCCATGACACCGCACATGACTTCGGAATTGCGAACGACCAGCCAACCGTCGTTGGGGTCCATGTCGGGTATATTCTTGGACTTGCCAGAAAACGTCTTGCACTTGGACTCGAAATTGATTCTGATGTTTGATTCCTTGTTTGGTCGCATCATGACATTGAACAGCTGCTTTCCGGTCCACAGCGCAACCGGAGCAATAATGGTAGGAGGGGGTAGGTCGAGGCGTGTCTGGCTGTCGAGCATGTGCATGCACATATACGTAAAAGTCTTGCGATCAAAAAATCTGTCCTTGCTGCTGAGTAAAAAGGCGGCTGTGATGAAATCTTGCGTGGCTCCAATGATGGGAGCGCCGTCCTTGGGAGTCGTCAGGTTGTGTCTGACGCCCATGAGGGTGATGGCCTCGGTACGAGCTTCTTCAGTCTGCGGAACGTGGAGATTCATTTCGTCACCGTCGAAATCAGCGTTGTAAGGATTGCAAACACATTCGTTGAGTCGAAAAGTTCTCCACGGGCGTATCTTGGCAAGATGGCTCATAATACTGAGCTTGTGAAGTGAGGGCTGGCGGTTGAAGAGGACGATGTCGCCGTCTTCAATGTGACGCTCAACAACATCACCAATTCGCAAATCGCGAGCCACCATGTTTCTATTACCGAATTTGAGATTGATCTTGTAGCCCCCCTCATCCATCTTGATGACGCTCTGTGCACCCGGCCAGACATCGCAACCATTCGTGACGCATTGCCGCAACTTGGCCATGTTCTGACGCTGGACTCTTTCGGGGTACGTCAGATTCTTGGCAACCAGCTGAGGAATGGCGACTTCGTCGATGCCAAGGTTGGGGTCGGGCGAAATGACGGTTCGACCGGAAAAGTCGACACGCTTACCAGACAGGTTACCACGGAACCGGCCCTGCTTACCCTTGAGACGCTGGCAAAATCCTCGCATGGCTTTGCCGAAGCCAGGCTGCTGCAGACCAGGAACATCGCTGTTGACGTACATGGCAATCTGAGTTTGTAGATACTCCCATTGTTCCATGATTGTCTGGATAGCAGATCCCTTTTGCAGCGCCGACCGAATCATACCACTGACCCAGACGATATCGGCCAACTTTGTCGTAATGTCGTCTTCGTTACTGGCATTGTCCTGCGCGACAGAGGGTCTGATACAGACGGGCGGCGCAGGCAAAAACTGCCAAATGAACATTTCTGGCCGACCCTCTGCGGCGTTGAGGCCAAGCAACTCGCAGTCGGTCGCAGTAATCATCTTGAAGAGGTTGAGAACCCGCAGAGGGTTGAGATCCTCCATGGCCTTGCGAAGATGCTTTTCGAGTTCTGGGTTCTCGCGCTTTGCTTCGGTAAAGGACGCTTCAAAGAGAACCTTGCTCTCGGGCGGGACCTTTTTGATGGCTGTGGACTTGTTGAAGGAGGCAAATTTGTCGTGCACCAGCTTCAAGACACCAAACTTGCGAATCTGTCCGTTGACAGAGCCGCAGTAGGCGCAATTCTTCGTCTTTCTACATTGCTCGTTGATCCTTTTGCAAATCTGTGTACGTCGCAGGTTGTCGATGAAGGGCCGGCGGAGCTCGGCGAGGAATTGCCGTCGATGGGGTTCCTCGAGCAGGACGCGGCCGCAGTCTTTGCAAATCTCTTGCAGGATGGAGATGATGAAGCGCAGGTATCCTACATGGAAGACGGGCAGGGGAAGCCTGACATATCCAAAGTGGCCGTTGCAGTTTTGCAGGGATTCGTTGCAGGTGGCGCATTTGCCTGTCTTGCTCGAGGTGCCGAGCTGGTAGTCGAGGGGGCCGTTCTGGTACGGAGCGCGGTTGTTTTCGATATCGTAGAGCAGTCGATTGGAGATTTCGGTCACGGCCTGGTTGGAAATGTCTTGGTTGGACCTGGGAGACGGTCAGCACGGTCAATCGTGGTAGAAGAGTGCCTATGAGCTGGGTCCGTACTGGATGCCAAACTTGATGCCGCGAAAGCGCTTGGGCACCTTGTCAACAAGCTGGTGTTTGACACCAACACCAACATCATGAACGTGCGCCATGCCGCTGATAGGAGCAAGCAGCGGTGCGCGACTCTATTCCATGCGACTGCTGGCTTGCGCAATAGTCTCGAGAGTGTAACACACGATAAATGGCAGCTGTGGTAAGACTTGTCGTCGCAAATGTAAAGATCCAGAAAATTTGCGAGCTGGCGGGCAAGAATCAAGAATCAGTGGAGTCATAGGGTCGTACCCCACCATTCAGATGTGTTGTGCTGCCCGCCGCCGGGTTGGACCACGCGGGCAAGAAGCTTACAATGGCTGAAAGAGTTTACAAAATGAGTACGACGGAGCAATTGATTCAGGATTACAAGTAGCCGTTTTTTGAGATGCACGGTTGTGTCTTTGACAAGGAGATCAATGCGGCCAGCAGTCTCTCAAATACATCATCACTCTAAGCATCCGACTAGGTACTGACGCAGCCCCGCAGCCGAAATTGTAACAGAATTTACTAAATTACCCAAACAAGCCATGACAAATGGCTTCATTTATAGATGGGTCTAAGAGGGAAAAACAGAGCTTGTTCTCTACCTTGCCTTCCGTGCCCGTGTTGTGCGCTGCTCGGTAAATTGCCCAGTAATTAATACCCTACACTAGTTGTAGAAATTGGTGATCACGATGGAGCCTAGCTTCGCGACTTGATTTCCTAGAAAAGTGGCCTTATTGCCTCTTGACACGATTCAAGGAGCTAACTACTTGTCCAAAACCCCGTCCGAGGTGACCGTAGCGGAAGCAATTCCTCCCGATTGTGTATAGGTGTCCTCGCCTCGGTAATCAATATCGATCAACCTCCGTCGGGCAAACTGGTCACTGCTCAGGAGGTGAATGAATACCTGCTCCGTGCCTTTTCCGCCGACTCCTGCTCCCTCTATAATATGTCACCGCACTCTGAAGACCATACCATGTTGAGTGGTGGTTGTACGGTCAACACAGCCTCGCCCCCTTTCCCCATGTTCCATGCTGAGAAGATGCCAGAAAAATCAATCATGTCGAATTGGTACCTGACCGGGAACTACCTAGGTAGGGAGACATCGGCCGAGCAGCCTAGCTACTGCTCCAATGGCCGGGCCCCGTCCACCAGGTGCGCCGCTCTCATCATCGGGTTGGCGGGGGAGACGGAGGACCGGAGCGCTAATTTGGAATAAAAAAGCCCACTGGGGACTAACATCTCATCAGTCATCGGGAACGACCAAGGTTGTGTGGGGAGCTTCGTCGTCATAAGCCAGCCATCCATCCCTTTTGGCTCGATCAGCTCGCGGCCTGACAAGGTTCGCATACATAAAAGCTAGCTCCTGCGCCGCCGCGGTGCATTGCCATGTGTTCCATTCCATCCTCTGCCGTCTCTCTCCATCGAATTTCTGCCCATTGATACCCCCTAGTTATCCGCTTCGTCGCGAACCCACGCATCTTCCACAATGGCTTCCTTCCTCGGTCTCGACCTCACCAAGAACATCTCTTACTACACGGTACGCACCTCCTGGAGCTCCGGAGCGCATGCACATAGCTCCGTTGTCGCACCACGAAGTGCGCTCTGGATTTCCTCTCCCCGGATAATTACGCCAACAGGCCTCTGAGCCGCTAACACGACATGCGCAGATTCCTGTTGCCTTGGTCGCCTGCCTTGTCCCTCATGTCCTCGCCGTCACCGGCGCCAAGGGTACCTTTGATAATGCCAACCCCCGCACCCTAAAGGAAAATCTCGAGAAGAGCGAGTCTCTCGATAAGGAGGTACGTTTCCATCATTTTTATCATGGGCAGCAATTGCGTCGTCGGCGATTGCCCGTCGTCTCTGCTCTGGTCCGTACTCACAGGGACCTGTCTAGACCAAGCTGCGCGTCGCCCGCGCCAAGGCCGCTTCCGACAACGGCTTCGAGACCATCGGCCTGTACGCCGCCGCCGTTGTCGCCGCTAACACGGCCGGAGTCGACATCACCCTCCTGAACCGCCTGACCATTGGCTACGTCCTTAGCCGCTTCGCCTTCATCTTTGTTTACGTGCAGCTCGGCGGCAACCGCAAGACCGCCCCCGTCCGCAGTCTTACCTGGTTCGCTGGCATCAGTGCCATCATCACCCTCTTCATCACGGCCGGCAACAAGGTCGCCGCTTAAATGGTTGTCGGCAACCATGTACACTAGGCCGCCAAATAGAAGCCGAGACTGAAAGAAAACGAGTGAGGAAGACTACTGGTGGCGGAGAAACCTCAGTAAATCAATCCATGTATATGCTGTAATACTTACTATCATATGCGACTCTACAATATATAACAATAAATTGCTCAAATATATAAAAAGATACGGAAGAAATGAAATCGCTCAATGGAATCCAAGTAAGAAACGACTGCGACGTTAGGCATGGCAAAAGGCGTTCGGGTCGGCATTGACAAATATCGCTCCTTGCTACCGCCCGGTTTACGCGCTCGGAAGCACGGCATGCTCTTCGTCCTCTCCAACGCTTCTTGGAGATGGTCCCTTCTCGTCTAGGTCCCTCACATAGAAAGCCGATGCCAAAACGAACAGACCGCCGATGGCTAGCACAAACGCAAGGCTGTTGTCGCCCGGCGTGCCGCGTGGTTTCTGCCAAATTTTGAAAATGATGCTCGATCCCACGTTAGCGAGGATTTGGGGCGCCGCAATGGCCATATTGTGTATGCCCATTATGACACCTGCTTCATCCTGCTCTTCATCACCTTCCACGACCGCGACTATTTCTCCGCTCGGCAGCCTCTCCAGAGGCGCAAGCTCAGCTGGCTCCCGCGCCAGCTGCTGCTTCTGAGCGCGCTGCAGCACATCGCGGCGGCTAATCTCAGCACTGATAATGGCATAAGGAGCCCACAAGGTCATGGCCCATGTAATGCCAGCAATGCCGATCAACGCAGTGGCAGCTTCCACGGATCGTACAACCAACGTGCACAGCATAGCTCCGGCAAAGAGGACCAACGATCCGAACCAAGCCCGATTCAGTGTGAAGCCCGGAATATGCAGGCGATCGAGCATGGTGCGTTTCTGATTATATCGCTCGTGATACGCAGGCACAGGTTGGCCGAGCGCCGCTTGGTTGTCGTATGTAGGTGCAATAAAGAATGGCAACAGCACATTTGTGAGCAGACTCACTATCGAATTCACGAGAAGCGCAAAAGACCCAATGCGAGTAGCCTGCTCATACAGCTCATCAAGTTGTCCCGGCGTCAGGTGAGGGTTCTTTTCGAGGTGCGGCTGAACGTATATCTCGCCAATATACGACGACGAGTAGAAGAGCAGAGGGAAGAACCCAACCCAGCCGCAGAATTGCACCTGGCAAACGCGCTTGATTTGGGGAGGCAGTCGCTTGATAGATTTGAAGAGCTTGGCAAAAAAGGCAAAAACACCTGGATTTTTGGGTGTCGCTGCGCCATTCGCGCGCGGGTCCCGCTCCTGGACGAAGACGCAGCTTATGACGACGGTGATTGTCAAGGATATGCAGGCAAAAGCACAGAGAATCTGAAACTGAGTATGACCAAGGAACCAAAGTTGTTTGGTCAGGTTGACATAACCGGCGATGAAGCCAAGGATGTTACCGACACCGATGAGCCGGCTTGCCATGGCGTTGGCAGCTTCTTGTTGATGAGCTGGACCGCAGTCTACGATGAAGGCGCGAATGGACGCCTGAAGGGCATTGATTGCAATATCAAGAGCGTAGATGCCGATGACGGCAGCAATGATGATGGTTGTCTTGGCAAAATGTGAATCGTTTTGGATACCGAAAAGCGACAGGGCACCGCCCACAATCTCCTTGACCCACGAGAGAAACAAGAGCGAGAGTATGGTGCCGATTGTGCTGCCGACCATGAAAGGCTTGCGTTTACCCCATGAGATGCGGCAGTTGTCGCTGAGGATGCCAATGTAAGGCTGGACGAGAGTGCCCGTGAGAGGGCCGGCGATCCAGACGAGGGCCATAAGGGACTTGCTCAAACCGAGCGAGAGCAGATAGGGCGAGCCATTTGAGAGCTCGACAGACCAAGCGATTTGTAAACCGCCAATGGCGAGCGTCAATAGGGTCAGATACCACACACTCTTGGTGGCCTGGCTGGGGTCAGCGACCTGCCTCCTGCCAGTAGAGCCGGCAGCGTCCCCCCCAGCGTCGCTGGCTGCGAGCAGAGGAGAGTCCTCCCGTATCGTTTCGAGCTCCTGCTCTGGCTCTGGCTCTAAGATGTGGAGGCCGCTCTCGTGCGCGGCCTCGCTGAGAGGCTCATCGGGCGACCGAGCGCGGTCCGAGTCGAGATGCCTTGAGCCCATTGTTTGTAGCTTGCCGACTAACCCTGCTACTGAGATGGGTAGCGGCGTACTATAATCCCGGGTTCGTCGCAAGTTCGTCAACGGTAAGTGTCTGGCGCTACTCGGAGCGTTGGGCGTCGGCGAGCTTGGGTAGCCCGCATCCGCTGAGATGTTCGTCGTCTCCTGTGGTAGAAGGGGAGACTGGGCGAGCTAGACGAGGCGAAGCCAAGGCTAGGCTCAGAAAGATGATGACCAGTTAGGAGTGCGTGTTCGCCGGAGGCTGGAGGTCGGATGATTTGTTGTGATGGGCTCTGCCTCTGTCGGGCGTGTCGTGTGTACAAACGGGTGCGGTCAGCTGGAGTGACTACAAATTACGTATGTTGTCATCACCTGGTACAGAATCCTGACCAGTCACGAGCAAGCACCTGAGCCGGACAGGGTTAACTACCAGCCGAACTGCAGCATTGACACCCGTCTCGGTACGGCAACGAGAGCAAAAAAAAACAAAAAAAAAACAGACCTGATCCAAAATCAACGATAGCCATCAACTGGCAGGCATCATTTCTAGATCTCAACCAAGGTGGGCATGCTGAAATGCAGAGGCGACAGCACCTAGGGGCCTTGAATAAGAAAGTGGGCACACTGGCCGCTGTGCGACTACCACCTGTGCCAGGTACTAAGGTACCGAGGTAGCCTGTAAGGGGGCAGCCCTTGGCGATAGACCGCCAGAGTCTGCGCTGCCATACCTACCTACCTGTAGTTATTCAGCTCCCGGACTGCCAGCCTTGTTTCCAGTCTTGTAACAGGCCCCGAATGCGTTTCAGGCGTGCATATTAATGCCGCTGCCAGTATGGAGCATTCAAGCCATTCAAAGTGTTCTGAATACGTCCTTTCTTGATATCAGGTGGTGCTGTCCCTCGCTTTGAGTCAGCTTATTATGGTGAAGGCGGACTCGAGGTATGAGCTGTGCCATGAGGCTCCGACGCCATGACGGGACAGAGCGAGACAGGATAAAAAAAGAGAACAAAAAGAGGCAACCACTTGGCGCTCTCATGCATGGAAACGTTTGAGCTGCATGCTCCCTCGCGTCTGGTCATAAACAGTACCTGCACAACGCAAGGTGCTGCAATGTGGACTCCAGAATGGCATGCCACACTCTGTGTAACAACTGGTGTGCTCCAGTGACAATGGTCCTCTGCGGTTGATTTCTGCCTCTTATCCTGCCTCAGCTCTCATGTTCTTGTTCCCGGGAACATGTTTCTTACCGCAGTTTGGCGCTAGTTAGAGAAGAAGCAACGAGGAACAAATTTGAACGAGTACTGATCATTCTACATGGAGACGGCAGAGTATGATGATGAAACTCTTACCTGTAGCCAGCCCCCCTTGCTGCAGATCTCCATAACTATTTTCTATTAAAAACTAGAAAATAAAGGACAATGCAATATCGAAAGCCGGCAAAGGCCGGCTGTAGACGCACGATTACGGCCGTTTCCTGCAAGCGAGCTTCGGCATTTGCAACACTGTATTGGTGGGGGCTGGTGGCAATAGGTTACAGATGCATATAAGGCATATTTTGCAAGCACAATTGTGGTGGAAGAAAAGCGACAGTGATATTCCTGCTATCAGACTCGTCATATTCTATAACTTGGCTTAGCCCGAGCTGTGCCGCCACAGTCTGCCTCTTGTCGGCCCTCGACATTGTGATAGTGAGAGAGCAAGTCTGGACTGTGGTTCGCATGCGAAACATCGCAGACGCAGGCGAAATGCCTTTCCTATTCCGTCAAGTAGACGACCGTTCATCAGTCTACGACCCACACCGGATGCACGATACCCGCAGGCGTGGAGAGATGAAAGGCGATTATTAGGCTCCTGAATAAGCTCGTGACTCTGCCTCCATCTACCGACAGCCCGAAGATGGAGTCGTCGGGCCTAGCGACGTCATCTAACAGATTCAGCTCGAAAGCCTCAACGCAAACATGCTGCAATCATCTCCAGTGCCATGCATGGAAAGTCAATAGCTCTGCTTCATTTTTGTGGCGGCTTACTCACGAGCAGGCAAAAACCGGACGACTTTTGCCGTAGCTGACGGGAGTCGATGCGCCGGCTCTCATGGTGGTCAGGTATAAATAGTCTTCAAGATGCCGTTCGTAGTTCAATGTATCAATCCAGACATCTGCTTCCAAGACACCTACTTCCAAGGCATCTATTTCAACGACAACTACTTCAGACCTCATTTCACCGTCATAAATCAATCCTCTTCTCAACCATGAAGCTCACCACTGTTCTTGTTGCTGCCTTTGCCGGCCTTGCCGTGGCCAACCCCGTGAGCAACGAGGAAGGTCTTGAAAAGCGATATACCGACTTCAACGGCTGCATGTCCACTTGCAACACGCCAACCTGCGCTATCAAGAATTGTTATCAGTGGTGCTTCAAGGTCTGCTGCGGCCAGTACCCTTCGCACGCCGGCTGCTAGAGACACCAACGTGGTTCTCGGAGGACCCTTCGTGTACACGAGATTAATCAGAGAGAAGGAAACCGCCCTGGTTCGATTACATGGCAGTCTTCTGGCGCGTGTCCACCTCGCCGACCATACGTGGGACATGACAAGGCTATTCTCTCGACATGTACATATTTGGGGGAGGGTTACATAATGGGAATACAAGCTACATTTGGATGTCATGTGTTTTGCGTGCTAATAATAACTACTGCAACCGCGTTCATACTGCAGGCGGTACCGCTGATGTGCGCACCCATGGCAAGCTGCCATCGTCAATATATATATTCCGGCGCTTCCAGGCGGGCTGCCATTGCCCACTCATCGGGCTCGTTGCTGACCAATGTGAGTACATCTATGGCTGTGGAAGTTGGAGCGTTTCCATAGCCTAAATAATTACTAATTATACTAGCCTTGTTGCCGTGTTTACAAAAAGACACGACGAGTATCTTTGTCTACGAATTACTGGTACCTGGTACGTGTTTCTTACGGGGTTCTTCTTATCCTGTGATGACGAGTCGTAGCATGAGTGGCCAATTTTAAGAGCGAGGATAGGCGGGTTTCAGTAGCAGGCTAGGACGTCCTTGTCTCTTTCCAAGTTAGCGGTCTGCCAAAAAATAGTGATGAAGAGTTCTTCGACAACGCGACTTTTATTAGTATTAATTAACTAACTAGTTCAACTACCTACTCAACGTTAGTGAGCACCCGAAGAGCAAAAAGTGTGTGCCTCGAGGGCGGGCCGCTCTTGGGTGCGCCCCACGAGCCTACGTACCAGTACTTCGCCGCTGGTTGGTTCTCATTTTCTTCTTGTTCTTGCAACGACTTGTTCATTTTTTTTTCTTGCCTGTGGTGACGCGGTTATGTTACTGGACCCTCTCAATTTTTTTCGAGAAAGGCGGAGAGGCTGTGTTGTCACAGGAGATTCGGTAGCCAAGGTTGGAGAAGCCCGCGCAATTCTCTCTCATGTCACCGCTATTCAGGCGGCGACTTCTGTTTGTTTCCTGGCTAGTCCCAAGGCAGCATCTCTTTGCCCTTTGCCATTTTTTTTCTTGTTTCCTCGTGATGGACGACAATTCCTTCCCCCGTGGGGCAGGGCATGTGGTCGGTTCTGATCTGGGAGGCTGGGTGGCTCGAGGTACCCGCTTCTGGCACGCCCTGACATGGCTGGTCACTGTACCTCGCGGCCCAACTGTGCGGCAACGGGTTGGCTTCCGCGGTGCGCTGCGAGCCCTGTCGAGGAACTCAGCCTCTGCTGCGGCAACTGCCTGAAACTCAAGTACCTCCTTGCACCACCCTCATGCCCTCCGAGGGGCCCGCCGTCAGGCACGCTGTACTGGTACCTGGGCATATTCGCTGCGGTACCTGGCTCGTCTGACTGCCCCTGAATCCACCCTCTCTCTCTACAGGTACACGCAGGTGCCAGAGGTTCTTGCTTCTTGACCTTGCTCACACTCCTGTCACTCCTGTACGAGGGTACCTCGCTTGGCAGTGCTGCCTCGCCCGATGCTCGAGGTAACTATTACTTGCTCCTTTGTACTCCGTCCTGGCACCTCATCTTTGCTTTTCTCACACCTCCGTGACATGCCTTCTTTTCTTGCTTATTTTACTCGTTGTTGCCCCTGTCGTGAGCCCCAGGTACTGCCTCGTGTACAAGTGTTGGCTCCTGTACCAGTGCATTACCTCCGCCCACTCCATTGCCCAAGGTAACTGTTTGGTAATTGCTACTAGGCTCTCGCATTGCTGGTACATTACACGTTCCAGTAACCAGGTTAACATTTTCGAGTGCTCATAATAGAAGCTCGGACCGTCTTGCTCTGTATTATTGGTTGGTCTACCACTATGGACTGTCTGTCATGGCCTTCGTCGCGACAATGCGCCTCCCCTTTCTGTTCCTGCTTTTTCCTGTCTCCTCTGTTGGCGGTTGTTCCCTCGTACCCCTTCCCTTGTACATTCCCCATGCCCACTTTCATTCATTCCCCTGTGCTTGTCTCTGAATTTTGGCGCTCTTCCAGCGACGGCAACCACTACGATTCAGTTTGTCCCTCGCTGTACAGTGGGCCCCAAGTACTTGGCAGCAAATCACCACACAATCTCCATACATTACTGCTCCGAGTGACCTGCGCGCACTCAAGCCCGCCAGGTACCAAGTGCCTGTAATCATCGTACTGACCTACGCCCGCTCCCCCCTTCTTCTCGTCTCACCTGGACCGTTCTCACCGTTGCCTCTTACTCGCAAACACACTCACCCGTCGCCGTTGCTCAATATCGCGGAAGCATTTTACGCCCTCGTTTGTCGAGGCAAAATACGGCTTCTACGACTCGGCCCTTGCGCTTCGATCCAAGAATCGTCGCGTACAACTACCAGCTGCTTTCCTGGAGCTTCCAGGTATCCGAGGGCACACTCACACCACCACACACCCCAGCCGCGACGCCAACGATCTCCTTTTCCTCCCCTAATATCAACCCTATCCACTCTGCAATTACACTCACTCCAGTCGCTCCTTTCTCGTGCTCTGCCTTCAATTTCCATCTTGCATTGTGTGTCTTGCATATCCGTACAGAATCGACATTTCGTCCTTCTGCAACGTCCCGCCTCAGACACGCTGCTTCCACGTAACACTGACCGCCACGCCTCACCTTCACCTCGACTCGACGCGACTCAGTCTGCTCTCGCCCACAGCGTCACCAAACTCATCTGCATGCAATCCCAATAGATCGCAGGCTCGTCCGCTGAGCCCACCAAAGGCCCTCCTTCAGGCTCTCCCGTTCGTCTCGCTCGAATTGGTCTGACCTGATAGGACTCCTATCCCTACCCCATCTGACCTGCAGGTATCCTCTGCAGAGCAACACCAACACCCGCAACAACGCCGTCAAAATGACAGTCGCTGGTGAACTCACACACCGCGGCCAGCCTCACGACTCGCTGGCGCTCGAGGATCGCTTTGAGATCCTCAAGGAGATTGGTGATGGCTCCTTCGGTAGTGTCGTTCTCGCTAGGGTCCGCACGGCCGGCGCCAACGTCGCACGCCGTGGCTCTGTCGTATGTTCTCTCCTCTTTGGCCCTTCCGCTCCCGGCTACCATGCAATGCTAACTTCTGCTCAACAGGTTGCCATTAAGTCAATGAAGAAGACGTTCGACTCGCTCCAGCCATGCCTCGAGCTTCGCGAAGTCGTCTTCCTCCGAACAATCCCCCCGCACCCTCATCTGGTCCCCGCTCTTGACATATTCCTCGACCCGTACAGCAAGAAGCTGCACATTTGTATGGAATACATGGAAGGCAACTTGTACCAGCTTATGAAAGCCCGCGACCACAAGTGTCTCGACAACGCCAGCGTCAAAAGCATCCTGCTGCAGATCATGCATGGACTCGAGCATATCCATGCCCACCAGTTCTTCCACCGAGACATAAAGCCCGAAAACATCCTCGTATCTACCTCATCACATCAAGAGTCGTCCAATTCTTTCCGCCGGTACTCCGCCCTCGTCACCCCCCCCTCAACGCCACCTGCATACACCGTCAAGCTCGCTGATTTCGGCCTGGCCCGTGAAACCCACTCCAAGCTGCCATACACGACCTACGTTTCCACGAGATGGTACCGCGCTCCCGAAGTTCTACTTCGAGCTGGCGAGTACTCGGCTCCTGTCGATATATGGGCAATTGGCGCCATGGCTGTCGAGATCGCCACCCTCAAGCCACTCTTCCCTGGAGGAAATGAAGTGGATCAAGTCTGGCGAGTCTGCGAGATTATGGGTAGCCCTGGTAACTGGCATAACAAGGCTGGTCAGCGTGTTGGCGGTGGAGAGTGGAGAGAGGGCAATCGACTGGCCAGCAAGCTTGGCTTCTCCTTCCCCAAGATGGCACCTCACGCCATCGACACAATTCTGCAAGCCCCTCAATGGCCTGCATCCCTAGCGCACTTTGTTACCTGGTGTCTGATGTGGGATCCTAAAGTCCGTCCTACATCTACCCAAGCCCTTGCGCACGAGTACTTTGCCGACGGTGTCGACCCTCTTCGCCCCAGGTCAGCTGCTTCCAAAATTCTGGGCCGCAAGCAGTCCGACCTTGGTCGCACGACCAAAGAAGCAACCTCAGGAATCACATCGTCAAGGTCGTCTTGGTTCCGCAAGTCACTCATCGGCAGAAGCGAAGCTCCCGAACCAGCGGTTGTCAAAGATCTTACCCCTCGACCCGCCGTTGTGCACGCGGCTTCTTCGAATGATCTCACATCCGCGCGTACGACCAAACGAAGCACATGGGCCAACGGTCTATCCAACGTGGCTCCTATGCCCATCCTTCCTAGCATCCGACCAATTTCACCCCTCTCAGACGCGGTGACAGCTCGCGGTAATAATGGACCTGCCGACGCACCTCCACCCGTCGGCATCACCCAGGAGAAGAAGAAGCTCGGCAGACAATTGTCTGTCGCGTCTAGCACCAATAACTACAACACTGAAATGCACCGTCTGCAAGCTGAGCGTGCGCTGAATGGCCATACTGGTCTTGCTTCACCCCCTAGTGGCCAAAAGGAAAGCTTCTTCTCGCATCTTCGCAAGCGCGCACGTCGATTTTCTGGTCGTCACCAGACCCCCGTCTCACCCGCCTTTGAAGAGATTGAGCCGCAGGTCGGCTGTGGTCCTTGGAACAGCAACAGGTCGTCGTTGATAATGGATCAGTCGGGAGCCCCAAAGCCGGAAATGTACGAGTCTCTAGATCGTGCTCTCCAGAAACCCCACAACGGCGTTGCCCCGGCTCCCCCGATGCACCATGCTTTGTCGGCAAGCAAGCTTAAGCGACACCACTCCCTTCCTCAGCAGCAACCTCGTTCCGTCGACAACCTCATCGGTGCCGCGCGAGGCGGTCCAATTTCAAGCCGCACGCGCCGCTCGCAGGCAACGCATGGCGTTCACCAGTACGAAGCGCCTGCTGAAGAGGATGAGTTGTTGGATGAAGTCCTCAACTCAACCCAACATGCTATGAACCGTCTAGATGGGACCAACCGCAAACCCCTCCGTCAGTCGATCAGCAATATTGGCCTTACGTCCCAACCGTATCCTAGCCCATCACCATCGGCTAGCGGCAGTCAAATTTTGTTTGCTGATGGGAGCGAGACAATGACTCCACGACCTCTGGACCTTGGCCGGAAAACCAACAGCCAGTACAAGTGGCCCACGCCCCCATACGAGGGCGGCGAGTGGAACTCTTCCAGCTCTAACAACCTTTGGGCTACCGGCAACCGGATCTAAGCTCGCAAAACCGCGTTGAATGCACAAAGTTGATGCTCTTTTGCATGGATGATGCCATCTTGACGATATCTTACCCATACATACCGACACAGCCTCCATCGACCCATTGTACTCTTGATGTACTACCTTTGCTTTCATGCTCGGCCCATCGGCCCATACTACCGAATTTCCAATCAATCCTGGCTATACACTCATTTAATATCGACCCTTTTCTAATATTCCCTACTCTGCGACACAGTTCTTGTTGAAAACGAGAGCTTTGGATTTTTTTCTTCACATCTGCGGCGATCTGCATACACCGTTTTTCCCACAATACCCCCCTTATAGATTATTCCGGTTGAGACTCTGGGCAGACCTGTATAATATTCGGCCCCAAGACAGAAGTGCTCACCACTACTATTTCCTTTGTCAAAATTTTCCTACCGCTCTCCTTTCTCTGAGAGATTTGTTACTCTTGGCGGTGTCACGGCGTTTCATTTTCGGGTTGCAGCGAGTAGCTGAAGATGGCTACACAAGATGTCAAAACTAAAAAAAGAGGAGTCGAATCTCGGAGTTTCAATCTTGGCATATCTGCATCAATGTGCCGGCAAAGTAATTTACTTGACACATCTGGCCATTCTGCCTGGGAACAGCATGCCACCACTTGGCCTGTAGGCGCAAGCTGCACCAGGCAACACTTATATATACCTATACTATATACCTGCATATAACTAATATGCGCTGATTGAAAGAGGAGGGACGATGCAGACGGGCTCTGCATGGAAAGCCTAGAAGATGAATCAGTGGAATTCAGAGCGACTTTTCTCTCGTGATGGACTTGTCCCTTGTCAGATATCGTAAAGAGTCGAGTGTGTTGAATGTGTGTTGAGCTTAACCGTCACGTGCATACGTCAAGAGGCCAGGCTGCGAGCTCAAGCCGTTTGGCGGAGCTGAAGTGCCTCAATGGTGGGGTTGCTTGCTAAACAGCTGTCGCCCAAGAGCCACCTCAGTCTCTTCACAGCAGGCAGCAGGATAAACTACTCGGATCGACAAGAGCATAAGCGGCCAGGTATCCCTGAAGCGACTTTTCTGTCTGCCTAGACGATTAAAAAGGGCTGCATATCTCGTGGCCTTGCATCCGCTCTGGTAACTAGTGAGACTCGTCACCCCCGCCATCTGGGTAGACAAGCCTCGTTTCAGGAGCGACAAGAGTGTGCTGCATTGGAAATATCGATACGTGATACCTACTTACTCGCAAAAAGATAACTTGTTGCTATCAGTCTCTGCGCACCACTCCGTCTCGCGCCTCCCTGGCGATCCAACAAGACATCCACAGTGTTGTCGGTGCGCCAGGCACTCTCTCCGCGTAACCTGGGGTGAGCTCGCGACATGCGCAACCGCCGCCCGCTCAAACTTACATTGTAACAGGGAACAGTAAACAAAACTTGGTACAAAGCTGTCTATACCGAAAGAGGCGTTTTTCTTATATCGAGCATGCATTTGGTGCCTTCGATATCACTTGCAATTCACGTCGAGGCACATCCAGAAGCTGCTCTAGAGACGGACAGTTGAGGGCGGTTGGGTCACATTCCCCCAGAAACTCTGAATCCCGCGCGAGCAACATGCAAAGTCACACCCTTCCAAGCAGAAGCGCCGTCAATCTTGCGCTGCCGCTGCGGCCGAATGTCAGCCAGCGCAACCAGGACAGCCGAAACTTCTTTACCAGCAACACAACGGCTAGCTCGACTGAGGCCATCAACGGCCCTGTTCGCGAGCCTACGCGAGAGCAGCCCCCAGTCAGCGACCGACTAATTGTTGGAGTTGATTTTGGCACCACCTTTTCTGGGTCAGTATCGACGCGCTCTTGATCCCTACCCAGATCGCACGGCTAACTGTGTCGGCGCAGTGTTGCGGCTGTCTATACCTCAAATCCCGACGACATTGACATTATAAAAACATGGCCTGGAAGTAACGGCATCACCTCGGACAAGGTGCCGACCGAGATTTCGTACGATGTCCCGGCCAACGCGACGGAAGGGACTGATCCCAACGTGAAATGGGGCTTCCAATTCAAACCCGAGGAGTCTCGGTTGCGTTGTATCAAGCTGTTCCTTGATCGCTCGCAAAAGCTGCCCTTCTATGTCAGTCCACTCGACACAGCCGCGCAGCTCAAGCGCTTCAACAAGAACGTGGTCGACGCAGTCAGCGACTACCTCACTCAAATATACAAACATACCATGGATACGCTGACGCGGCGCTACGGCGAATCCTTTATGGCCTCGACAAAGGTCGACTTTGTTCTGACTTGCCCGGCGGTATGGAGCGATGCCGCAAAGAATACGACGCTGCAGGCGGCGGAGCGCGCCGGCATGGGCAGCCGTTCCGAAATTCAGATGATAAGCGAGCCCGAAGCCGCAGCCGTATATACACTGAAGGCCATTCAGCCAAACCATCTAAACGTCTCTGACAACTTCATCGTCTGTGATGCAGGTGGTGGCACTGTTGAGTTTGTCAACCCGTTGGTCATCGACACAAGCCACTTCTTACTGACAATTTGACAGTCTCATCGCATACGAAATCAAATCCTTAAAACCGTTACGAGTTGAAGAATCTGCCGTGGGAACCGGCGGTTTGTGCGGCAGCGCATTTCTTAATTACAGATTCGAGGAGCATGTCCGCGGTAGACTGGGCCAAGCGCGCTTTGACGAAATGAAGACAAAAAAGGGCAAAACGTGGCAGATGGGTCTCAAATACTTCGAAGAATTTGTGAAGCGTAATTTCAACGAGGAAGAGCACCAGGAGTTCAATGTTCCGTTAGTACGCCACCTTCAACAACTACCACTGCCCATCGCTAACAGAATTAGCTTCCCGGGTCTGGCCGACGACGAAGAGGTCGGCCTTGACTCTGGCTTCTTGGTCATGACTGCAGAGCAAGTAAAAGACATTTTTGAACCTGTCGTCAAGGAAGTATGCGGTCTCGTGCAGGGTCAAGTCGACAACCTCCGCGCCAAGGGCGCTATGGTATCCGGCATTGTCTTAGTCGGCGGCTTCGGCCAGAGCGACTACCTGTACCGCAAATTAAAAGGACACTTTTCGAGCGCGGCGCCGCCACCGTACAGCGAGCGGCCGACACACGCCACAGTGAGCGCAACGGAGGAGGCCAGCTCGATCGAGGTGATGCAGCCTGTGTACGCTTGGACGGCGGTGGTGCGGGGCGCAGTGCTGCGCGGCCTCGAGGGCAACATGGTCATCTCACGCAAGTCACGGATGCACTACGGCACGTCGTACGCGACCGTCTATGACGAGGATCGGCACTCGGTCAGCGAGCGGTACTGGTCGCCGCTGTGGGAGCGCTGGATGGTATCGGACCGCATGCAGTGGCACATTGCCAAGAGCGAGTCCCTTTCCCCGCTCGCGCCCATTGCCTTTCACTACACGCGCAACTTTCGCCCCGGCCAGTCCCTCATCGTCACTGATGACCTGATTTCCTGCGACGCCGATGAGCCGCCCGCCGCCTTTACGCGCGACCTTGTCAACGTCTGCACACTGACAACGGACCTCAACGCCGTCCCGCGTAGCCTCTTTACGCGACTGACGACGACGCGTGGCGTCGAGTTTGACAATTTGGACTTTACGCTGGAAATGATTGTTGACAGTGCGGGGTTGGGCTTTGAGCTCAAGGTGGACGGCGTGCGGTATGGTCGTGTCGAAGCCGAGTTTCATTAAATACACATGTTGGTTGAGGTATGCGATAAAATGGTGTGGCAAATAGTATAGTCGAATCTCTGCGATATCTTATATATAGAGAAACAAAGTGGTTGATGCCACTTTTCAGCATAGCGTCTCTGCTTTCTTATTTACGCTGACATGGTGCACATTCTCGTGTTGGGGTGCTCCCTGCGCTATTCCTCCTGACCCATCGCTTCCATGGCGGCGGCCAGCGTCTCGTCACTGTGCATGCTCTCCAGCGTGCTCTCCAGGACGGCCCGGCAGCGGTCCCTGTACTCGAGCGCGAGCGCCTGGCAGGGCGTCAGCCGGGCGCGGTCCGCCTCGCCCACCTCGACGTCGGTCTCCTGGAGGCGCTCCAGTTCCTGCAGCACCTTGTTTTGGATGACGGCCGCCGTCTGCGCAAAGTACGGCAGGCACGCGCCTGTGACCCGACCCGTTAGCAACAGCAGCCGTCTCCGGCGGTCTGCCTCGCCGTCGTCGTCGCTGCCCTCGACGGGAATCAGCCGCTGGGAAGCGTCACCCGGTGCCAAGGACGTAAAAATGTCCCACACCATGTCCGGCTGCACGTGCTGAAACGCGGGGGTGATGGCATCAGCGTGCGAGATGTCGAAGCCGGCCGCGATGCTGGGCAGCCTACCACGCGCGAGGATGGAGCTGGCGTCGCGTAGGGGCCGTGCTGAGACGAGGTACTCGTCCGATGCCGCTGTCGGCCCGTCGCCGCCGCCGCGCTTGCGCACGTGGACGTAGTCGTTGTGCAGGGCCGCCGTGGGCGGAATCATGAAGCCGTAGCCGAGGAGTAGCTCCGCGTTGGTCTTGGCGCTGTAGTTGTTGAAGACTTGCTCGCCCGGCTGGTGCGCGCGGCCGGTACGCAGCGCGCAGGTGCCGTCGGCGCCGCGCTCCCACCTCACGGGCGCCGTCATATCGTGGTTGCCAATGTCAAAGAGTGGGAGCAGCACGGAGAAGTCGTCGGCGCCGACGCCCGCGGGAAGTTGCTGGCGCTGCTCGTCGGACAGCACGAGGCTGGGACGGAAGCTGCGGCTGGAAAAGATGGCATAGGCCCAGCGGTAGAGCTGCGGACGAAACTGCTCCGCGAGACGCCGGTTCGTCTCCTTCTCCCCCCCCCTCCTCCGGCGCGTCGGCGGAGCGGAAGGCGGCCTCGATGGCGGCCAGCTCCTTCCGCAGGTCGGCGCGGATCCGGGCCACGCCGACCTCGAGGTTCGTGCCGTCGAGCAGCTCGGCGTCGTCGTCGTCCCAGAACGGCGGCAGCAGCCAGGCGGCGGCGTCCTCGGGCTGCGGCAGCGCGTGCAGGTACGGGTACCAAAAGGAGGACGCGCCGGCGAGGTACTCGCGGACGAGGAGCAGTCGGCCCAGGACGTGCGGCGGCAACCCGGCGCGGAGTAGGGCGCTGGCGAGCGGTGGTGGCGCTCCGGCCGCGCGGCCGGGGCGGATGGCGTCGAGGTAGGAGAGGGAGAGGGCGGCGGGGAGCCGCACGATGGGCTCGGAGGCGTAGTCGCCCGGGAGCGGGTGCGGCGCGGAGGGCTGCACGCGAAAGGAGAGCCCGGTGGCGGCGTCGTGATAGATGGCGACGGAGGGGTGGAGGGTGGCGCCGTGGGAGACGGCCCAGGCGACGAGGGCGTCTATCTTGGCGGCGGAGGAGGTCATGATGAGGGAAGCATGCTGGGGATGCCCTGCATAAACGGTTGTAGGCGCGTGAAGAACCGATGCTTGGCTATCGGTTACCTCATGGTGATGGCCTGGTGGAGGATTTTTTGGGAGGTCCGGGAAGCGGAGCCCCACGATTGGGTAGAAAGGTTGTGAATCGTAGGATCACGGCATGGAGTCAGAAGAATGCATTTAGCAAAACTGGAATGCTATATGGCTTCTTTGCGATATGCAAAAATATTTCAAGCATTCTCATTCGCTAGCAGTAATTTGGTCAAGGTGGTGTCACCAATTCATGCGTCCATATGCCGCGGCAAAAGCAAATGAGGCTCCATATGACAGATATCATTATATAAGACAACTGGGGAAGATTAACGCTGGATCTTTTCAATACAGTACGTACCCTTACTATTAGGCATAAGAGTTCGGCAAGATAATAATATATTCGCTAGCTACTATATAGGTGGCCTATAGCCCTAAGAGTACTATATATATACTATACACATAATAATATACCTTATTACCTATAGTAGTAACCTTACTATTAAATAAAACTAAATAATCTTACCTTATATATAGATAAACTAATTATACTTTATTATATATAAAGATACTTCTTTTAAAGCTAAGCTAAATTATAAGTATATATAAGTCCTATAAATAAAAAGAAGAAACTAAATAATCTTACTTTATATATAAATAAAAACTAATTATATTTTATTATATATAAAGATAATTCCTTTATATTAAAGAATCTTTATACTTCTATCCTATTTACCTTATCTATCTTATCCTTATTTATATTATTAATTAACTTTAATACCTTTATATTCTACCTAAGTTTCTTTATATTTAGCTTAATAGGTATTAGGCTTAATATATTTATATTTATATTCTTAGGATTAATAAACTAACTATCCTTAGGATTAGAGAACTAGCCTTTATTTATTCTAAATATATACTACTTTTAGTTTTAAATTAGCTTAACTAGCTTTAGTTACTATAATATAGGCTTCTATCTAGACTTTAACTTTAACTTTATTATTTTAATTACTACTTTAATTACTTTAATAACTATACTTATTTTAGTTATTAAAAGTATTATATTTATTATATTTTTAGCCTTTTTTACTATTATATACTATATAAGGTTACTATTAAATTCTAGCTTTAATATTAGTTATTATATAAATATATACTTTACCTATTAGTATATATAGCTCTTTAGGCCCTTTATTATAAGGATATCTAGGGTATAGTTTACTATATTAAGGTAGTAAAATATACTAAAGGCTATATAGGTCTATTTTATAGGTTATATATTAATATTATTAACTATTTTTTTTTATATTATTTTATATATAACCTTTAATATAATAGTAGTAATTAAGTAGTTTATATATTATATATTAAAAAGCTTATATTTAAATATAAAGATAGTATTAAGTAGGTATTTATTAGATTTTTATATAGTTATTAGTATATTAATATATACTTATATAAATATAACTTCTTATTATATAATAATTATATTTATCTTTATTATTTAGTATATAAAGTTAATATTATATAAGACTATATTAGGCTTATCTATAAAGGTATAAGCTATAACTTTATTAATTTAATCCTTTATAGCCTTTACTATCTCCTAACCTAGTTAAGGTCTTTAGAGTTAATTCCTTATTATAGTAGCTATCTCTCTTATAATATATATTAGCTCCCTTATATAGCTTTTAAGTAGTTTAGTATTACCTTCTAGGTATACTACCCTAATAAAGGTAGGTAGTAGTATTATAAACTATCTAGTATCTTAGTATAGCCTTACTAGGGTAATATTTATCTTAGTAATTAGGTCCTTTAGGTAGGTAAGTTCTTAGTATATTATCTTATTATTTTTCTTTAAGGTATTTATAATTCTTTATATCTTAGCTATATATACTTATAACTTATTAATAATATTAATCTTATTTACTATATATAAGTTATTTTAAACTATATTATATATATCCTCTTATAAGTTATATAAATACTTATATTCTATCTTAACTAATATAATATTATACCTAGCTACTCTTTATAGTACTATTAACCTAATATTAATATAGCTATTAGATTATATAATAGAAGGTAGTAGCTTAGCTATTAACTAAAAAGGTATTTACTATAACTATATATAATACTCTAAGTGTATAATTCGAATTAAAGCCAATTTAGTATTTATAAAGGTAAAGAGTCTAAATACTTAGAGAGCTATATATAATATACTATAAGTACTAGATATATAGTAACTAAGGATTTATAGTAAGTATAAATTATATAGGATAACTAATCTACTATAAGGTAGAAAGGGCTAGAGTTACCTTAAAGAAAAATTAGTTATAAGATTAATAAGACTTATAAGTAAATTAAGCCTAAATTAAGACCTTAAATAAACCTATAAGAATAAGATTAGTTTATATAAGTTTTAAATAGTATTTAAATAGTATTTAAACTCTAATTAAAAAGATAGGTTATTTTCTTTTTAATTATTATAAAATAAAAAGAATATTTCCTAAAAGGAAAAAAGGAATAAGCTTTAGTCTTAATAAGTAATATAACCTACTTTTTACTTTCTTATCTTTTTACCTAATCTAATCTTATTATTATAATTCTAAAGCTTTTAAAAAAGGATTATTTAGAAAGAAAATAGAAAATCTTACTAAAAATAAAATTAAATTATAAAAAAAAAAAGGTATCTTAACTCCTCTATCTCTTTAACCTCTTTTAGAATATCCTCTTATTATACTAATAAAGAATAATATAATTTAAAAAATTAATAATTTTCTTAAAAAGGCTAGAAATAGTATATCCCCTTTACTAGATAAAGAAAAGAAAAAGATCTAATAATAGATCTATAAAGCTAGGTAGAAAAATACTTTAAAAAAGGAGTTTTAACTTTTAAAGACTAAGTTAAATAAAAGAAGCTATTTATTATAAAAAGAAAGTAATAAAGATAATTACCTTTTTTAAGATATTTAGATTTAAAATATTATTAAACTACTAAACTAATATAACTTTTAAGTCTATAATTAATAAAAAAGGGATTTATAAAAAGCCTTTATAATTAACTTAAAGAAATTTTATAAAAAATCTTTAAAAATTATTTATATTTAGAAATATATAGACTTAGCCTATTAGGCTAAATAGGATTAATACCTAAATAAGCTATTATTAAATAAGTAAAAAAAATATAATAAAAACTAGGATTACTTTATAAAATAAAGTAAAGTCTTATTAAAAGACTTTACTAACCTAGAGATAAATATAGCTATTACCTTTAAGTCTACTAGGTAGGGGTTAAGCTAGTACTTTATAGATTTCTATCTTTACCTAGATTTACTAAAAAAGAAAATATTAATACTCTTAGAAGTTAAAAGAGTTTAGTAATACCTTATAAAACTATAAAAGTAATTATAGAAAAAGATTATTAATTATACTAATAAAAACCTAAAGATAAAAAAAGAGGTAATCTTAGCTATAACCTAATATTAAAAAAGTAATACTTTAAAATAAAGACTTTTAAACTAAAAACTATAAGAAGGTATAAATAAAAAGTATAAACTAAACTATAAGAATAACTATTAAGATTAAAATAAATTAAAATTAAATTATTAAGAAAGACTATATATACTTTATTAAAAAAATAAATATTCTCTATTTTAAAGAAAGAAAGAAATTATTTACTATAAATATAATAAACCTAGGTATATTATACTAAAATATCCTAAGAATAAAAATACTAATAAGCTAGACTTAGGAAAAGGAAACTAGATAGTATAATTAGTTCCTTTACTACTCTAATCTATACTAACCTTTTAAAACTAAAAATATAAAGCTTAGAAAAAGAGTTATAATTAAAGCCTAAAATAAGCCTAATATAAGAAAAACCTATATAAAAGAAAATAATAGCTAAACCTTTTTATATAATAAGTATTAAGACTAATAAGGTATATATAGGGTAAGAAGTAAAGTTATTATATTATATAACTTCTATCTAATTATATAGTATAGGTAAGTATTAGATATACTAGGTAATAGGAGATTATTCTTCTAGCTTTAAAGCTACTTATTATTATTCTTACTTAATCTATATTAACTAAGAAAAATAACTAAAAATAATTATAAAGAATAAAATAATAACTATAAAGAATAAAATAATAACTATAAAGAAAAGTAGTAACTACTATAACTACTATAATATACTATAATAGTAGCCTAATTCTCCTACTTATTAATAAGTATAATAGTACCTATTAATATACCTAAATTACCTTTTTCTTCTAGGTATAAGGTAGCTTATAGTTATACTAAGTATAAGGTAGCTTATAATTATATTAGGTATAGGGTAGCTTATTACTATATAAGGGGCTTTACTACTATATAGAGGGCTTTATAATTATTATATTTTTTATTTTTTATTTATAAGGTAATTTAACTTAAAAACCTATATAAATAAATTTTATAGAAAATAAAAGTTATACTATAAACTATATTTAGTAAGGGTACCTTATCTTAAAGGCTATAAAATATATAAGGGATTACTAGCTAAAGTATATTAAACACTATACTAGTATTAAGTATACTATACTAGTACTATATTAATATTAAGTATACTATACTAGTATTATACTAGTATTATACTAGTACTAAGTATACTATATTAATACTATACTAATACTAAGTATACTAATTAACTATAATAGTCTTAAGAGTAATAGAATAGTAATAAACTTATAAAGGCTTAGGCTTTTATAAGATTATAATTATAAAGAAGCCTTAATAATTATAAGACTTATAAAGCTTTATAACTTATAGTTATAAAAAGCTTATTATAATACCTTTAAAGGATAATACCTTAAAAGTATAATACTAATTAGCTTATAATAGTCTTAAAAATAATAAAATAGTAGTAAACTATAAAAAAGCCTTAATAGCTATAAGACTTATAAAGCCTTATAACT